ACATAAGGAAAGATAAATTATTCAACAAATTTAACAGCGAAAATGATGGATTAAGTACTTAACACTGGAGATCTGAGTATAACTCTCGCACGTCCAAAGTAGAAATATTATTTATTCTATATAATTCGAAACAAAAAGGGAATATAACAGGAACGAGGGTAATCCCTTTAGCTCCCCCAACCACTTTAATTACCACGCAAGGAAAAGGGAACTCCTCAGAATAAAAGGATTAAATTTTCCACTTGTCATCCATCTACGCGGCTCTGCCGTTTATGTAACGATCCAACAGGATAAAATAATTTAGAGTGGTGAAATTTATTGATGCCGCCCACTCTTTGCCCTACTTATCGATCGATGTCGGCGTCTGTTGGCCAATGTTTCAAGAGTAAGTACAGTGAATCCTCTTCGACTACCTATATTTTCGCAGAACGCAAATCTACAACAATATTACGTTACGTTACGTTACACTGTATAAAAAAAGAAAGAAAAAGCTTATCTTAGTTATTCACTGAACATGTTTCTGAGTATTGCAATGAAAGGATTATATGACTTTCTCAGAAGAAATATTAGTAAATAAAGTAAAAGAAGGCCTTTTAAAGACTAGATACCCTTAATTATACTTATTTAAAATGACTATGAACATTATTTTATCCAACTCAAAAGCCATACACAAGTTTCTGTAACAATGTAATTCTGCAAACACAAACGCGATTTCGTAATAATTACGGTTCCGTTAACGAGATGAGAACTACGTAATTGTCCGTTTAAATCTTCGCTTGCGCACTGCGGCTGCTGCTTGAAAGATCCTGAATAATATCCTCATTAACTTAAGTTACACAACCGACACGGTTGAATAAGCCAACCGCATTTTACGATATCGTATACGAAATCTAATCGTGTAATAGTTCACAAAAATTATAGCGCAATTATGCGTTAGGGTCCACTTTGTAGTGGCTCTCTGCCACCCACGATAATCTCATAAGGACACGCTCTTATTCCCGACATCCGACGGGAAGTGTGACCACTTGCGTCAGCGCACAAGACCTTTGCGTTACTAGACTATCAGGCAGACGTTTCAAGTGTGATATAAACTGCCTGCATACATATATATCTATTTAAACAAATCTTTTAGAATACAACTAATGTCACGACCAACCAACCACAGTCCGCAGGCGGAAGCTAAAAATAAAATCGCATTTCGCTTTCTGTATGCGGATTTCCAAATATTCAAAATAGGTCGACAGCGATCCTATTATAAGTTATAGGGCTGGGATAATAAATATATTATCAATTGAATACTGTGCTTGTGTATCACAAAAAAGGTTTAGACCAAAAAACGGATTTTTTTAATCAGACAGTTTCTTGTACACAGATAGAAATTGGATCAGTTTAAATTATGTTTAAATAAAACACTTAAACGATTTAAAACGCGATAAACTTATTTGAAAATTATTTTTAACTTAGGCCCGACGTTTCATTTTCAAATAAGTTTCACTAATATATAGCGTTTAAAACCGTTAAAGTGTTTTATTTAAATGTGTACTACTCGCGTAAACTATAAACGGTATTTAATTTAAATTATGGTAATTCGCCTTTTAATTACGTTGTTAGACAGAAAATGATTTAAAAAAATCCCACAAATTTCTATGTAGTTATAAAAATATGGGCCAGATTATGCTAGCAGTAAGACTGGACATTAGAGACTGAAGATTTAATGTTATTTGGATTTTATATTCCCACCTTCATTAAGATAACAGTCCAACCTGTATATCTTGTTAGCAAATCATGAGCCAGTTTTCCAAGCTCATTCATCGTATGTTACGAGTAGCATACAATGCTGGGAGGGGTAAGGTCGCGCTATTCATAATGTAGTAATGATGGTATCGTATTGGACTATTCAATTTTATCATACAATTTCCACGTAACTCTGTAACTTTATATATGTAGATATCTAGTTTATAGTAGCATTAATGAATTCAAATTGAGGCGAGTTTTTGTTAGCTATCAATGACAGGACAGCGGTGAAATAACATGCGTGTTAAATACAGAATATGTATAAGTAGTTTACTCGAGTTGCACACATGAAAAAAGGACAATATTAAACGGGCCAATTTTTAATTAATCAATTTTAACTATGACCCGACAATATTCCATAAGAAATAGTGTTTACGATTAAGCTTAATTTGTGTTATTAGTACCTTTTCTGGTATCACGTATACGTCTTTTATTGCTTTGTTTTCATTTCCACCGCGGTTGCTTGGAAGAGATAGCTATTAAGCTAGAAAGCCTATTTTTATTGTTACATTCTGTTTCTTCTTCTTTAATACCATAGGACCTAAATCAATACTTTTAGTTCTATTGAGCAAAAAAAAAGTTATTTGTTTTTTTCCTTTTCAATGAAACATTTCTACATTTGCAGATTGCTTGCATTCAAACGTTTCGAAACGGTATTTCGCCATAAACCCTAATAACCGTGATGCGTTTAAAATCAAGCATAACATTAATATCGTATATTAAGTTCCATCAGCATTCTGGACTGATAAAAGACAAACTGGCCTATGATAGGTGTATCCGCAATAAAATACAACCTACTCATAGGTCCGTGGAGTATTTTTCCTACGGTGTCCCGCGGTAACCTTGGAGCAAGATGAGCGCGTCTTGGAGTGTGCTGTGTCCTCTAACACAAATGCGGATGCGCTCAATTGACGCGGTCGCCGTTATCGAACTGCGTTAAACACAGCGCAAGGCTGCATTTTTATAACACACAACGAACAGAGACCAGTCGATAAATAAAAAAATCTCAATAGTAGACCATATGTATACCAAAGAATTATGTAACTAGTTGGTTCACAAAATTTTAACCGATAACCAAAAAGAAATAACCAACACTGGTTATATGGTAGGTATAAATTTACACTGTTAATAAAGAGTTTGTTTGTTTGGACGCGCTAATTTCAGGAACTACTGGTTCGAATTCAACACTTATATTCAAAATTATTAATTTGGGTTAGTTGAACCATTTATTTATTATTGCAAAGTTCTGAAACTTTACACAATCCAAATACTTTTTCCATAAAGATCTATCACTGAAATGTTTCAAATTCTTCATACTTGTGTTTTTTTTTTACCATTTCACAATATTATCTTAATTATCCAAAAATAATGTTCAATGCAATATAATACGTGTTTATTCTTGAAAGTAGCTCTCTTTCTGCAACCACGCTTCTTATAAGACTTATTTAGACAACATAATTCTGTAAATGGTAAATTGTTTATATCTCTTGCAGAAATTTCCATGTGTTTTTCTATCTATGATAATAGAAATATTCTAGACTAAGCCTTGTTTAAATTTGCCATTACAGTGGCATAGGGGTAAAGTGTACTTATATAGTACATAATAATAAAATAGTAAAATAAATACTTAATATAATGTTTACTTAGATATTAAAGGGTTTTAGATAATCAAAACCAATGGTGTGCCATTTTGACAAATTGGAGCTTTGTTTTGTAGGAAGAAGTTAAAGTATTATGTAAGCATGTATTTGCTATGACATTTCTTTAAATGGTGTCTATAATTTTTATTATCTATTGGGGGCACCAATAGAAGGCCGGTGATCTGTCCCCATTATCTGCTGACTATTTCACCCATTTTACTCCCGACAAAGGACAAGGTGGTAACTAACAAATGAAATTATTTTACATAATTTTTTTTAAGAACTCAATAAAGGCTCTTATAAACATAAATATACAATAGATGTAGAGTAGTTAATTTATCCAAGCCATAAGTGTAGTGCTCTTCATATACTAAACTTTAATATGTATATAATACAACTAATATTTTAGTTTTACCACAGAGAAATCAGTATTGTGATTTAAGTTTCCTATTTTAGACACATTCCATATAAAATACATATACATGCATATAATGCCATTACATTTTTACAATAGTTTCTAGAAAACTTGCAGTATGTATAGTATCAAGGGGCAGCGAAATCCAAAAAGTTAGAAAATAGTTGTATTAACAACCATGGATGCAAACAGTAATTGCTTGATATTCAATTTAAAATAATGCCTTGCAGAAAGTATAATACCGATACAAGAATTGTACATTTAAAAACACAGACATTGAAAGAAAGTTAAAGTATCATTTCATTTAAAAAAGAGTCGATTAACAGAAATATTTCAAATATTTAAAACCGGGCATAGGGTGTGGTCAAGAGAAGCCTAGTTCTCCCAGAATATTACTTTGAAGATAGTTTTTTTTACCACGAAACATATATACTACGCCGCAAAATAACCGTATCTCATAAAGGTAAAAAATACAGTGATAAATAAATAAATAAAGGACTTACATCGAGAGATTCCTTTGACGCCATCTTTCACACAAACTATTTGACGTTTAAATTTGAATTTGACAATCACGACATAATATTTTGAAAATCAATAAGTGCCTACAATCGGATACTTTGACTAAACCTTTAAAAGCGCTAAGTAATTAATATCCTTAACATAATGTTAAATATAAATGTTTCGTTATAGTACCATCAAAAGATTTTTCTTGTAAATCTGAAATATGTAAAATGTACACTTACAATACGTTGTTCAGGCCAAAATGTCTGGACGACTTCAACGGTATATAAAATGCTATGCTGCCAATATTATGATTGCGTGTTATTTGTGTAATATATTGTCATTATTTCACACTGACAGTTCTGAGTTCTGACGTAGATTATTGTACCTGCTTTATGAAGAAGCCGCTCTCTGGTGATAATTACATTTTTAGAATAAAAACAAAAATCCTATTTTATACGTATAAATTGGTAGTGAATGATGGAGATTCAAAGGCGGTGTATAGCCACGTAATTCTTGAACAACTCGCGAAGTTGCCGGTGTTGTAGTAATTGCGAAAGCGGTCAATGTTTACATAGTTTTAAGCGGAAAAGTATTGAAAACAATAATTATAGAACCATTAATGCGGCATTCTTAATCGCATATTAAAAATGAGGATAAGGCGCCTATCTGCGTTTTTTTGGGCGACATGTATAATAGCGTTTATTTTTATTCTCTATGTGGTAACTGATCTTACATTTAAATTACCCAGCATAAAACCTGCTATGGTGGAATTTGATGATGTGAGTATTGATGTATATTTTTATTTATTGACATCAATCATTAGAAAACCCAAATTTACAAAAATCATTGTTTTAGAGCAAATGGTCATCATTTGAATCAAAGCTTCGCCACATTGAAAATGAACTAAGTGAACATCATGCTGTTGTTGGTGAAATTAAAACGGCTATGGATCAGATTGTTGACCAATCGTCTGATAACCATTATGTAAAAAAGCCAAGGATCATGAAGAAACAATCTAAATTGAGAGAATTTAAAGTTGTTGGAGATGAACCTCCTAGGATGCCGTTTAAAACTAAAATGAACATGTCTTATTGTCCTATTAACCAGCAGACATCTAAAACAGATATACAGGTAGAGGTTTAATATTGTATCTTATTTTTATATTTGCATCTGCGTTCATAAGAGTATGAAATAAAATAAGTTATGTTTCTTATGGGTAAGTTATTAGAATGTTAAAGAAAACATTAGTCAGTTTAAAACATATGTGATGACATCTACAATGATATACTTTAGATTGTATCACCTATTGTATTAAAATTATCATTTTATCATCATAGTTTCTGTATTATCTAACCTTAAAGGATATTTTAAAATATATGGAGATTCACTCCATAATATGTATATTGTATACAGAACAATTTTTTTTTTCTGTATACATATTTTTATGTATATATATTTTGACGTTTCATAAACAATTGAGACCTAACTACAGCCTGGCTGTTCCCAGATCTTAGCTAGGATATGTCATCATAATTTTCAATGCTCTTATACAGACATTTTTCAAACAAACGTCTTTATAAAAGATATATATTTATAGATGTTATCAATTTATGAGCGAATAACCTTTGATGATAAAGATGGAGGTGTGTGGAAGCAAGGATGGGAAATTGAATACAAAGAAAACCAATGGAGCAGCAAAAATAAGCTAAAAGTCTTCATTGTCCCCCACTCTCATAATGACCCAGGTTTGTCTAATTGTAATTTTAGAGATTCCATAGACTCTTTTATTTATATAGCTTTATTAACACAGCTGATTTTGGTACACCTTGGTTTAATGTTATGGTCTGTTAACTTTACTCAAATGATATGTTATAACAGTACAAGTGAAACAAAGAAATGTTTAAAATAGAATACAATTCTTACTCTGCTGGTGCAAAGACCCAAACTGAATTCAATACTTATGTGTGAAATCTCGTTTCCCACTCGTATGGGCAGGGCAACACATTTTTGTGTCCGTTTCACTGATGAGTTCTTTAACAGGCAAGTAGTTGATCAGACTTCTGTGCCCTTCCCGACTGAAACCATTTTATTGTTTCCCCGGGATTTGAACCCAGGACGTGTCGCGCTTAACGCAATGGTAAGCGCTAAGCTTATCCATTAGGCTACAGAAGAGTTCAATACAGAAAAGTGCCATTTGTATTTTTAGGATTATGTAGTTGGTTTAATTTATTCTTTAATTAACTATGCTATAACGTTATGTATTTTGTAAATATTCAGGTTGGTTAAAGACATTTGAGAATTACTACAAGACACAAACAAAAGCAATATTTACAAATATGGTTGAAAAGTTGATGGAGGGTATAGGAAGAAAGTTTATTTGGGCCGAGATTAGTTTTTTATCTCTGTGGTGGAACTCGGATGCTACAGAGAAAGAGAAGGCAGCTTTCATTAAGTAAGATAGCAGTGTTTTGTTCATTTTAGTCTACCAAATAATCAGCATTGATTCCTATTTTTGTCACCATAATAGTCCACGTCAACCCCACGTGACGTGTGTTTCATCACTGACTAATTTTAATTTATATGCAAGTTAATTTGACATCTATATCATTATACCGCAATTAAAATATATTTACGCTTACTTTACCTTAAATTCAAAATCTTATAGCAAGCTTTTCAATAGATCGCTTATCTCCTTAATTATACCAATATAAATTGAAACCTGACACCACTATATCTTATCGATATGTTTTATCGCATGATAAAATTATTATTGTAATGTATGACTTTATACTTTTTCTGACCTACATTTAAAAAAGCTGTAATCAAGTTGTAAAAAGAAACTAATCTTAAATAAAATATTTTAACAAAATTATTTCACAGTAACTAAACTGTTTGGAGAAACTATCTATTGTATCTATTATACTTAGCCACTTCAAGATGAATGACGTAATAATCTAATTGGACATTGATTCCATACTATCAATCATAAAAAAAAATGTTCTTACAGCTTATTAAAAGCAGGAAAAATAGAAATAGTCACTGGAGGATGGGTAATGAATGATGAAGCTAACTCACATTGGCTGGCCATAATCCAACAGCTGACTACAGGCCACCAGTGGTTGACGGAAAACCTGGGCTATACTCCCAGGAACAGCTGGGCAATTGATCCCTTTGGTCATTCCAGTTCACAGCCATATATTCTTAAGCTGGCAGGATATGAAAACTCCTTGATACAACGAGTACATTATAGGATTAAGAAGGAGTTAGCTTTGAACAGACATTTGGAATTTAAATGGAGACAGTTGTGGGGTAAGTTGTATGTGGACTATAATATTATATGTGTTAGATTTATTTAGATCATCTAACAGTGTGTATGTGTAATCAAATTTAAGATATAAACTTATGACGTGAGAAAATGTATCAAATGTCTGACTGTGTGGCGGAAGTTGGCGCAGTATTTTAAATATTATTTCACAGATTTTTAAAGTAGCTCAATTGACTACAGCTTCCGGTACAACTGTCAAAGTGACGTATAAAATGAAGTGTGGTAATAAAAGTAAAATGTATAAAGTAATTGAATGAGGCCTTAGATTTTCTAACTAGCTAGTACCCACGAGGATGTCCGCGTCCCGTCGGTCTTCCAGTTAATAGTTATACAGCACCGTCGACGACATTATTTGAGATTATTAAAGAGGAATTATTATTTTATGTACCTATATTTTTTTTTGTTTCTTGAACCGATTTCGAAGCGCACGCAACGGTAGCCCTCAAAGATATAATATCCATCTGTCTTTATTCACAAAATAAGTAACTAGATGCCTGCCATTAAGTACTATGAAAATATATTTTAACTGTTATTGTATATTGTGTATAAGTCCTCACAATTATTAATGTATACACTTGTATACTTTCATATACTTTAATATATATAACTCCACGTACAAATACTTAAAAATTTTCAGACTTAAGTTTATAACAAAACACTACCTCATGTTAGTAAGTAATATTTGTTTATCAATCGACAGATGGCGTTGGCAAGACCGACATGTTCACTCACATGATGCCATTTTATTCATACGATGTTCCTCACTCTTGCGGCCCTGATCCTAAGGTATGATTTATATTATGCTTAAAATATGTGAACACGTGATCCTTCAATTTCATCAGGGAATTTAAATAAGTGAAAATTAAAAACAAAAGAATCAGATTAATTTAACATCAATGCCTATGGTATTGAGAAACAGCATGGACAACAAACACAAAACAAACAGTTTATTTGAGAGGTTGGAATTCATTTGAAATATTGATTAACCCACTTCCAACTTTCTTTTAATCATACCTGATTACTACATTATTATTTTCTTATAATTTTTTTTAGAAATAATTGCTTAATATCTTCTTGGCTTAGGTAGAAGGTAAAATAGCCCAGTCCAGTTTTTGAAATATTAAAATATTGTTCTAGATTTGTTGTCAATTCGACTTCAAAAGATTACCCGGTAATGGTGTTACTTGCCCGTGGAAAATAGGACCAAAGAAAATCATTCAGAAAAACGTTGGTGAAAGGTATGTGACAATAAAATCCTTGTAAATTATCTCCCATAACTCAAGCTACAATGAAAGCAAGTTCTATCTTTGTTACTCTACTCTGCCTAATAATAGTAACCTTAACAAATTTTGTTCAAATCTTATGTAGTTATGCTGTAGCGGACATTTTGTAGGACATCTAGACTTTACTAATAAAATAAAAATAGTGGTTTGCGCAAGGTATTGGGTTTATTGAAAATTGTTGTGAAGTAACAATTGTAGTAGCAAATAAATAATCTAGCCGATTCGTTTTAATAACAGGTTTTTGGCGTATCTCATAAAACTACAGAAAACATCTATTTAAAAAAAACACGTAACGGTTTAAAACGCGTAATTTATTACTTACCTTCATAACTGCTGCAAAGCATCCGAAACGTCGGGGCGTAGTTCAAATAAGTAAAAAATAATCTTACTGATGCATTTCACGTGTTTAACGTAAGAAGTGTTTTATTTAAATAAAACACTTGGTTTAAAATGCGTTATATTTTAGTTAAACTTGTTTGAAAATTATGTTTAACTACGGCCCGACGTGTCGGATGCTTTGCAGCAGTTATGAAGTAAGTTACTTATGAGGTCACGGGTAGTTTAAGCAAAATATATCGCGTTTTAAACCGTTAAAGCGTTTTATTTAAATGTGTACTACTCAAGTAAACTACACACAGGTGTTATTGAAGCTTTGAATGCAAATACAGTACACTAGCAGACAAAAAAATTAAAGCTCCCTAAATATTCTGTTTCTACTAACATTTCGTAACTCCCGTTTTACCTACATATGACTTTGACATTTTCAGAGCCTCATTGATTTTGGACCAGTGGCGTAAGAAAGCGCAATTGTACCGCAGCAACGTAGTTCTGTTTCCCCTTGGGGACGACTTCCGTTACGATCGCGCTAACGAATGGGACCACCAGTATCAAAACTATGAGATGCTCATAGACTATATCAATAATAATGACGCTTGGAATACAGAGGTAAGAAGTGGAATCCCGTTTCCCCATAAGGGGTAACAGGATGGGGCGAACACTTTTTTGTGTTCGTTTCATTGATCCGTTCTTGAACAGGCGAGTAGTTGATCAGACTTCTGTGCCCTGCCCGACCGAAACTATTTTTGTTTATTGTTTCCCCTGGGATTCGAACCCAGGACCTCTCGCGCTTAATACAATGCTAGGCAATACGTTCAACCATTTGGCTAGGCGGTCAGCAAGAGGTAAGAAACTATTTCAAATTTTGTATTTTTCTTAGCCTTTAAATAAAACGCTTTAAACTGTTTTATAAAGCGAAATATATGAGGTAACTTGTTTTTGACATATTTTGACTACGGCCGGACGATTCGTGTATCTTGATACCGTTATAGAAATGTACACAAACTTGATTCAGTTTTGTAACGCCTCTTTCTTAAGCTGCAGGACATAGAACCTTATACCTCAAGTGTTAAGGTTGAAATTTCATTGCGCGACAGGTATATCTGAAAGTCTCAGGTTAAAATTGAAATGACGACACAAATGATCGTGTACGACACGGTTTCCCAATTGGCTAGAGCAGCAGCATGGATCGCCGAGGATGCCTGTTTTAGTCCCAGTTGTGTCGTCAATTTTTTAAATAAATTATATTTTTTTTTAACACAAGTGGGCCTCGAACCTATGTCCACAAAGTACTTTGCTGTTGCCTTACCAATTTAACTACCGTACCTTGGTATTAAGATAGATTTTTTCCCTTTCCTTTTTTAAATTATCTAATTAGGTACATAAACGGATTTTATGTACATATCTATAACTTAAATAATTAGTACACATTAAACAGATCGGGGCGTTGCAAAGCATCGGTGAAAAATTCGCGTTTTAAACCGTTAAATAGTTGAATTAAAGGATTTGATTTGTGAAACAAGGAGTATTGTTATTATTACACTCTTTTAGTACTACTACTATTACTCTTCACTCTTCTTATTTGAAGAGGATTTCGAGTCATCCAAATGTTACTGCGTCTTCTTCAAACCTTCTTGTTTCTTTAAAAAATCCTATTATCTATTCCATCTTTAGTTCTTTGATCCAGCTACTGTTATTTTGTCGCTTCCCATTTATGTGTCTCTGGTTATTGACGCATTAGGATTCATCTATTTCTCTCACTCTCTCTCGCTCTCTTCAGGTGCAAATTGGCACTCTCAACGATTATTTCAAAGCTGTACACGAAGAAATGAAACTGTCAGACTTCCCCGTGCTGTCTGGGGATTTCTTTACGTATGCGGATCGGAATCAACACTACTGGAGTGGTTATTTCACATCTAGACCCTTCTACAAGAACATGGACAGAGTACTATTGGCTTATTTGAGGTAAGATTTACAAAGGAGGCATATATGGCGGTGGTTAAGCTGGAAGCCTGTTGAAACCCAGTTTTGTTTGTAACGTAAGAGGATGGCGTTCCCTTAATAGAAATATCCCAGCCGAACATCTAAACGAGTAGACGTAGACCTATATTGGCCGTGAATATTCGGAAATCCACCCACTGAAACCTAAGGGCGATTAAACGTTACGCCTTTTTCATTCGGGGACTGTGGTTGGTGACTGGGACTGAGTTTCAAAATTCCTTCCATCTATTTATTTAGGTATTTGAATGCTGGACCCGTTGGGGATCGAATCCGAGACCCTATGATTATTAGTCATACATATATCACACCAATGAAACCGTCAAATATTGAATCTAGTTTAATTGAAATTTTAACTTGAATATGTATCACAGAGCCGCGGAAGTGATTACATCTCAGGCCATATCTTCGAACTCTGTGACTTACATCCTGTCGCTGCAACTGCGAGACCGCGTGGAGCAGGCTCGGCGTGCTCTGGCCCTTTTCCAGCATCACGACGGAGTAACAGGCACCTCGCGAGATGACGTCGTCGTTGATTACGCTAAAAAGTAAGAGACGGATCTTTCTACTTAAATATAACCCTATTTACGGTATAAACCTGTAAATAAATTAGTCAAAACATTTTTATTTACTACACAGCGTATTATATGCTTGTCAGTAGCCATCATTAGATCGGAGTTATATTTCGCGTTTTAAACCGTTAAATCTGTAGTACTTGCGTAAACTACAGACAATATTGAAATCTTCAAATACACTAGACAAAATCAATTTCGTTAGATTTTTAATGTCCATTCTATTGGTTATTTAAAACTGCCAAAAATCTACATACAAATTATTCAATGAGACACCATTTTTGTATAAATATACCAAAACTACGATTTTATTTTCACCAATTTCTTTTTAAATTTTAAAGTATACTTCTAACATGGGAATAATAGTAACGCCTACTGTATTGACTGGAACCCAACAATATAGTCTAAAATCATGTTTATAACATTTGTCGCAATCAGGATGCATCAAGCAATCAAGAATAGCCAATCAGTGATCCAGCAGGCAGCTTATTACCTTCTCAAGCAACCGGTCGTCCAAGACCAAACGCAAGAAGATATATACTTCGAAGTGGACGACATCTGGCGGAAGCACGACGAAATTCCAGCTCGGATTACGATAGCCTTAGACGAAGTGTCTCCTTCGCGCAGAATCGTTTTGTATAACGCGCTTGCGTTCAAACGGCACGACATCCTCACTGTGTTTGTGTCGTCGCCTCATGTTGGGGAAGTACCTTTTTTAATGATACAGGTTGGGGTTTACTTAATGAGGTAAGCCATAACGGCTTTGAAAAAAAAAAAAAAAAAACCCCGAAGGGGAAAAAAAAAAAAAAAAAAAAAAAAAAATTTTTTGGGGGGGGGCCCCCGGGGCTTTTGGGGTTTCCTCCCCTTTTAAAATCCAGATTTCCAGGCGAAGTCTAACATGTTTCACAAAATAATATTAATAGATTACAAATATATTGGACCCACTTCAGAGGTTGGTGTCTGTTTATACTTTGAGTGATTTAATTTCTTACTCAAGGGTTAGAACATAAAACTACTCATTACAGCATTAGAAGATAACATTAAAGCATTATTTTCCAGGTGTTCGACCCTGAAGGCAATCCAATCATGGCGCAAATATCTCCCGTGGTGTCAGGAGAGTCACGGCTTGGATTCGCCGCGAATAAATTCCAGTTATCGTTCCCAGTCACAGTGGACTCTCTAGCCATCACCGTCTACAGCGTGTCGTTGCGGGACAGCATGAGTCTGAACAAGTTAGTCAATTGACGTTGAACTAAAAAACAAGTTTTTGAATTTTTGGAAGAAGCATCGTAATAATAATCAATGTCAAAAATACTTCACGTTTAAGATTATAAAAAAAATACGCCCGATATAGGCGCGCAAACAACGCTGCTTTGATAAAATTAGCCTGCCCTTTTGCTCGCAAAATTTTAAATTGTCTGCATACAAATAAGAGCCAAAAGTGACCAGAAAAACATAATTCATTGATTTCACCATAAAATTGATATCATCCATAAGTACTTAGTTAAAAAATTACAGTAATGTTGAAATGTCTGACACACATGAAAAACAATATAAATATGTCTCCCCGTGACCACGACTGCTGAAAAGCATCCGAAACGTCGGGCCGAAGTTAAAAATCTTATTAAAAATCAAGTTTACCTAATATATCGTTTTAGACTTAAATGATTTTACTTAACTGTGACGCATACATACTACAGACAGTATTTAATATAATTATAAGTTATAAAAATAATTTTATTTATAAATATACTCCATATACTTGGAGTCAATAAAAATATTTTTGTAGGTATACGTCATTCGCCCGAGTGCGCGTATACAACGCGGACTATTGGAACATTGACCTGCCAAAGATGTTCCCAATCGAACAACCGACTGCCAGACTATCGGAAGACGTCACGGTACAGGCAGGGAACAGCACCCGCATACTCTGTAATAAACACGGCCTCATCAAAGCCATTGTATCCACGGATGGAAGGACCACGCCCGTACATATGGATTTTGTACAGTAAGTAGAGAAAAAGTAAGCAGATGGTAGTCTGATATCTTGTTCTGTATTTTAAAAAATCTATAGAGTTCCTACATGATCTGCATAAACAATACTACTAATACAATATAAGCAATGACTATTCAAAGGCTAAAAGGACGATTCGTTCATCCTTAACTTGGTTCTCCACATCCTTACCGAATTTCTGGACTAGACCATTTTTATATTTTTTTAAACTTTTGCAACTACATTTTTGTAACCAAATCTAATGCTAAGTTCGTTGTCCAAGTTAATTTGGCTGGAAATAAGGTTATAGTAAAAATTAATAATTACTTAAGTTATACTTAAGTTATATGAACGTCACATCAATGAAAAACTAAAGACTAAATTTATGTTTACTATCAGTTCTCAAAATATAAAAGAAGCGTAGAATGATCGAGAAAAACTGGCAAAACTCGCCGCCTTTTATCGCCAAGTTTTATTTAATAGTCTTCACGTACTTCAAGTGTAGTAAATATTTTTTCATACACATTTTTGTTAAATGTTATATACGTGAGACCAATCCACACTTTCTGCAGATATGGAACTCAAAAGATGATAGACAACAACAGTGGCGCGTATCTTTTTATCCCGGATGGTCCAGCGCAGCAGTTTAATTTAGATGCATACCCAGAACTGGTCATCACTGAAGGACCCTTCAAAGCTACGCTGTATTCAGCGTTAGTTGGGCCTAGAGCTGCTGAAGTTATTCTTGCTGTAAGTAAAAGTGGAAAAAAATAATATGACTTCTCCTACGTCAAAGTTATTGAAGGTTTTTCTTTTGTTTCCATAACATATGTAGCTTATAAATATTCCAGAAATTCAAGGAAGGAATTCAGAATAAGGGACAGTTAATTATGACATAAAATAAATTAGTAAAAAACAATGTAAATGATTTTTTACGCTTCTTTATTTTTCCAGGTATCTGTATACAATAACCCATCGCTGCTGCAAAGTGAGGTGGAAATCAGCAATACGCTGATGATAGATCCAAAAGTAGACGACCTTGAACTAGCTATGAGGTTCTCTACAGGGATTAAGAATGGAGACGTCTTTTATACTGATGTTAACGGTATGCAGGTCAGTCTAGGAACATTATTTATCTTCTGTTACTTAAGTTAAATATTTTAATTAACCAAAAAGTATTTAATTTAAACAGATCATTAAGCGTCGCTACTTCGAAAAGCTTCCGATTCAAGCGAATTTCTACCCTCTCGGCGCAAGCGCATTTATTGAGGACGAAAGCACTAGGCTTACCGTTCTCACGTTAACGCCGCTAGGTGTCGCTGCGTTGCAGCCTGGGCAAATGGAAGTAAGTAGTTTAAACCGGAGTAATTTAATTTGGGGTCTTTTTTAAGTAACTGGCAAATTGAGGGACTATAAATATATTTTAATGATAGCGGACGAAGGCGTGGTGTTCTCTTGATGGTCGGTCAAATATTCCAACCATCATTATCTACACATAAGAGCTGCGACCTGTTTTGGGTCAAAGAGTAGTATTTATTTTTCTGGATACCTACGCTATATTAAAAATTTATATTTGTTTACAGATCATGCAAGACAGACGCTTATCGCGCGATGACAACCGCGGTATGAGCCAAGGCGTACTGGACAATGTTAGGACGCGACACACTTTCAAGTTGATCGTTGAACGTGCTCATTCGCCTTGCTCTGTGAGTATTTTATCGTGTTTAGAGCATAACAATATCGAGCATCATACATTAAGGTATACGGTGCGTCTCTATCACTGTAAAGAAGTAGATCACCTTACCTATGTAATTACAAAGAAGCAATTGGTATAATCATAATTGTCAGTGCTGTGCTAAGTCAATTATAAACTTTAATATCGAGTCAAACCAAAAATTGGTCCTTCGTGCCGATTACATTATTACTTTGAAATTTTCAGGCCAAGCCGTTCGAGCATCCCAGCGGTTACTTGACACTAGGAGCACACGTAACCCAACAGATGTTGCTACAGCCCCTCATCACGATGCATTACACAGCGAATGAGAATACCCCACGTCCTACTTATTCGCGCTCTATCGTCAATGCGGCAGATATTGTCCTAGCCTCCTATCGGTCACACGTCGCTGTTAAGGTGATTTCTTTGCACTGTATGTTATTAATCGTATTTACCTTTACACAACATCTGGTAAATTCTAATAGAACAAGTTGCTCAAATGAGGTGCTCATCATCATCATCTATAATCTATATAAAGCATAGAACAAAAAATAAACTAGCTTGCGTAGTTCTCAGAAAGAGATGGGATTTTTTAACCTTTTTTAATTAAAGAATGTATATCAAGCTTGCTTCTTCAATTCAAAACAACGTTTTATTTGAATAAATGTACAAACCTTTCCAGAATAAAGACAGCTCGACCTACCAAGGTATGGGAATGACGCTACAGCGAGTACACTTGGATACCTGCTATGGAAACGCCGCCATTTCTACATGGTACCCAAAAGGGGATGGACAAGTGAGATCTCATTAACAACATTACAATAAATGAATTTACGAAATCATACATACGTAGTCGTTTAACATAGGTGTTTCGCTAAATTAAAAATTCTATTAATATTTGAGCTATAATAACCATATGAAAGACCTATTTTAGATTGAAACAAATTATGACACAGACAGGACTTGAACAGCTTCGCATCCATGACGTTTTATGGATGCCAAGCCATGTGCAAAGTTTTGCAAACGTACTATTTACCGTATCCATATTGATAAATTATAAAGTCATTTTTTTTTAAGGTACAATTAACGGATTTAGTAGACGTACAACCGGAGAGAGTGTTCGACAGCTCCCTAACATTCCTTCACATACGTAACCCAGTCTCTGACGCCACAATCGTCCTCTGCCCGATGGAAGTGAGATCAGTCTTCATCAATCAAACATTGAAACACGGCTGAACAAGTGATCGAAGAATTATTTTTGGAGGACTTCGTTTAAAAGTTCATGGCCAACTTAATAGATCATATTTGACAGTAGGCTAAACCGTAAATTTTTTATTCACCGGCTTCAACAATGAAGGTTCAAAATTATTAAATAATTTATATTTTGAAAAAATTAAAATTACGTATTTTTGTATCAATTTTTTTTTTTTTGGGTTTAAATCTGTTTTTCTCCGAAAATTGTTTTCAATTTATTTGAAAAAAAAAAAGGTTTTTGGAAAAATTTTTTTTTTTTGGGGTTAAAATTGGTTTTTCTCCATTGTGACATTGGCGAAATGTTAGATGTAGCACTTACAAACACTTTTGAAATGTAAATATGTATTTAGTACCTTTAAATTGAGAAAATAAAAATAAATATCTTAAATGCATAATATACAAAAGGTTTATTAAATGTCCCAATAATTATCTGTTTGATGTTTTGAATAAATAAATACTTCTTAAATAAAATATTTACAGGCGTTATAACATCTTGTTGCACGTTGAAATGAATATACTTTGTCAATATTGTATGTATTTTTTAACAAAATGACGATGACCAGGCCATTTATAAAGTCAGCTATATTGTTAAATTGGTAACACTTTCCTTGGCTTGAAATAATAAAATATTCCTCTTTGAAAGTATATTTAAGACACCATTAGTCGGAGGGACTACGTTAGTCATTTTACTTCGTCCAATAATAATTTTTATTTGAATTGCATAGATATTTACAGACGTTATTTTACTTTAATGTTTTGTCCTTGATATTCCACTTTTTTTTTTGTCTAGCATAAAAACTAGTTATAGATGTATAGAATTAATTTTCTGTAAACTTAAGAAAGGATTTTTTTAGTTATCGCTTTTAACGGTTTTTTTCCTAGCGCAGTTAATTCATTATACTATATAATATTGCGTTAGTATGATTCACCGATAATCTTAGTAAAGTTAAACTCATACGTACTGTTTAAACATTGAACTTACCTTCTTTTAATATTCATAATAAGAATACGTAAAGCTTTTTACATAGCTAGTATTACACCCACTTAGCCAAACTAGAACTTTTATTTTTAATATTGAATTATGTGATCTCCCAATTGTTCCACATTTCTTTTTATGTACATAATTATTTTGTTTTGTTTGAAAAGCTAATGTAAATAGAATAAATTCGTTCTATAATTGCGTTGTTTTATTTTAAATGTTAACAATAAAAAATAACGTGCATTCATGATTCATGTTTTTTTATTTCTAGTACTTTATTGATATCTATCCAAAAAGGGCAAACATCGCGTTTCTTGTATGGCCCATACTTGAATGCAAGCAACATTAACGCTTAATGTTTAGAAGCTTCCGGAGATAAGCTGAGAGTGCGCAAAGGTCGCATATACGACCTAACCTTTGCGAACTCAATCAAATAAAATGTTTTTTTAAAGCTTTATTCAAACAAGGAATCTCGTACAATAAATAAGAATACGTATGAACTATCACAGTTTATACCTTAGCGCGCATTGTTACAAATTATTTGGCTCAATTTCGGAAGTGCTGCTATAAATAATACTAGATAACAAACCAAATAAATGGTAATTAACGAGACGGCAACAAATGGAAAAATATCTATATAGACTTAATTATGTTTTCTTTGATAACAGAGCAGCTTAGCGTTCACTTCAAGTGAAATGTCATATATCTGCTTTAACTCAACTTAATACGCGCTGTAACAATTACAAGTGCGACCAAATTTGTCTTGAAATAAACTGAAACCAATAAGCAGACTTCACGGGTTTTAACATCTATAGAAAAACAAAAGACAAAAAAATACTACTAGTTGTTTTAATAATACACTAGGACAGACAAGGTTTATATCTTACAAAATGCGTTGTCGACTTATTTTGGCTTTGGATATTCGGAAAATCCACAGACTGAAACCGAAACGCGATTTCTCTACGCTTTTCATCTATCATTGACCCGTTGATCATTAACTATAGATTGCTACCTCTATGAGTTTAACTATGATTATGAGCATTATACATTCGAGGGTAGTTGGATATAATAGGTGCGTTAAGATTTTCTCTATACTGGCAAATTTTCATACAAGCGAGCGATAGTAATATTAAAAGAAGTGATAACATGGAAATATTTCCCGGACAAAGTAATTTTTCACCCACTATAGCTTAAATTTATAAAACTAAGATAAAGTTGACGCAGTAATATTAGTAAAATTATTACCTAATACAATGATAAACTTCATATTGGAAGTTACTAATACTTGAATTAATGTCACAATTTTTTGACTAAAGTGCGCAACTTACACAGTACTTTTACTATTGGAGTAATAGTACAAGAATAGTTACTCCGGGTAACATTCGTTATATTATTGTACAAAGACATACATATTTAGCGAGCTACTGCTTTGTAGGAGACTGTAAATATTATTCGAATTAAATAAAACATTTTTAACGGTAAAAACACTAAATATATACGTGTGTATGAGACTGTAGATAATATTCGAAATAAATAAAATACTTTCAACGGTTAAAAACACTAAATATATTCATTAAGTTGTATTAACTACTTGACGATGTTAGTTAAAAAGAAGTTAACAAAACCAATGAATAAGTTAACAGTACACATCGTGAAATATTCCCGTTATAAGGCGTTTAAAATGTTTTATTCTAATCAATAACGTTATAATAATAAAGTGTATTCCCGGAACAGACTTCTGAGCCCTACCCGACCGACGGGATTCGACGTTTAACCATTTGGCTACAGAGTCGGTTAATATTATATTAACCAATTAATAAAGAACCGGTTTTCGTTTTCATCAATCGCTTATAAAAACTGTTTTTTAATACAATTTATTGACTAAGAAGTTTTTATTCGATCAAAGACGCGCACGCTGCTTCTGGTGTACTATGACGGGGTTGCTATCGTCAAAAACTAATCTAAGCTTAGGAATAATTGAACTAATTAAGTGATGGCATCGATCCATGACGGCGGGAACCACTTCGTATATCATGTCATTTTTCCTGAAAAAAAAACGTGAATGTTAATAATAACTGTCAGGTCTTTTTATAATTCAAAATTAAGCATAGACTGCAACTTACGACACATAGACACCATACATACATATTGACGGATTGAAATGCGAAAAATATTTAAGAATATATTAGATAATGGTTAATCAAATTTCCCATAACTCCTTAGTTTTCTCAGTTCTCTCAGATTCAAACCTACAACCTTTCGCGCTAAACGCAACAACACAACCATTGGCGTAACGGCGGTAAAACTTGTTTTAAATATTAAAAATACATCAAAATAAACTAAGTTATACGCAATTAAAGAAATGAAACTGAAATCTTTACTTACACTTTATATTTAAGAAGCGCTTCAGCATGTACGAGCCCTTGCAAACAGTTCGAAATTGCGTCCAGACTGAGGCAGTAGGGGTGACACTTTCTGAGTTCCGTTATTTCTTGAACCCGTTTGAGAGCCCGCTTGTGTTCACATTTCTTGCACTGAAAGAGAAAATTCAAAAGGCTTAAATCTAAACAATGAGACTTACTACGTTGATATTTCAACCACTGTTCTTTCCTACTTATTTAAATAAAACACTAACCATTTAAAACGCGATATATTAACCTTATATAAATTAGGTTTGCAGCAGCCATAGTCACGGGGAGACTCTAATTTAATCATTGTTAGATAGGAAGAAATAGAATGTTCAACATATCAGTCATAACCGTTGTTTCTTAAAATATATTAAAATTCAAGAATTGAGATAAGACCTTGCAAAATAGTGCAGCAAGATCTTATCTTGTTATTCTACAGCCATCAGAAAATGGTGCCAGCAATATAAAAGGTATAACTTTTAATTAAATACTGTCTCTAGTTTACGCGAGTAGTACACATTTCGGATACTAAACCATCCGAAACGTCGGGCCGAAGTTAGAAATCATTTTCAAATAAGTTTAACTAATATATCGCATTTTAAACCTAAATTTTATTTAAACTTTTATATTGCTGGCACCTAGAAGCAAACAGAAGAATGAAGGAGGTTCGGAAGCTCTTGCGAATAAAGTATGTATTAGTAAACATCTATTTTATAAAGAATGTTTCCTCTTTAAATGATTAAAAAAGTCTGCGGCAGAACGTGGCTATCTTTTAAGATTAACTTGCAAGAACGACGGGACGACGTCATGGGTAACTGCTTAAATTCATAGAGTTGCATGAATGGTTTGCAAAAACGAATTTTATGCCCAAAATAACTATTCTACTACGCAGACACAGCTAGTGTAAACATACATATAGGTTGCCGCCCGACTTAACTATACTAATTTATAAAGCCTAGAAGAGTTTGTTCGTTTGTTTGAACGCGCTAATCTTAAGAACAACGGGTTCGAATTGGATTTTTCTTTTTGATTAGAGTATTTATCTTATTTAAGCGAAGAACCAGCGGGTAATGTGAAAAAAAACGGGGAAAATCATTCACCGTGGTTTCCGAGACCTACACTACAAAAACTGTTCAAGATACCAAAAAAAGTGTGAAAGAATGATTCCTCTTTAAATGATCTAAAAGAAGTCCGCGACACTATATGCCTATATTTTAAGATTGACTTGCAAGAACGACGGAAAGGGACGCGACCGACGTCGTGGGTAACAGCTAAGTTTGTAAAGACGGGGTTTGCAAGTCGCTGAAACAGCTGGATTGTTACTTTAGCATTCGCATTTATATCAGCCCAGTAGTTTACGCAGAATTATTTTTTAATTGCGAAAATACATACAAAGATGTGCGATGTGAGAGAGTGCACGTTCAAACATGACAAATATGTTAAAATACATTTTATCGCGCAATGATTCTTTAAATTAGATCGAAAATAATTTTATTATTATAAATATTATAATTTTATAGGCACAATTTTAAAAATACTTGATTTACTGATAATTGTAATAGCCAACAATATCGCGTGATTCAAATGTGTCACATTCGAGATGGTGGATACCTTATTGCGCGTCGCCAGTGCTATCTTGCTCTGATAAGAGTGTAAATATGTACAGTTGAATGACATCGTCTAAATGACGCATTTGGGAATATTATCTATTTATTCCACATTATTAATTTATCGAAACTAATATTATAAAGCTGAAGAGTTTGTTTGTTTGAACGCGCTAATCTTAGGAACCACTGGTTCGAATTGAAAAAAATATTTTTTGTTGTTAAGAGTATTTATCGGGGAAGACTTTAGGCTATAAACACACAAAGAACGAAGAAACAGAGAGAGAAAGAAATGTGGAAACAACGGGTATTATTATTTATCTTTGAGGGTTACCATTGCGTGCCCTGCGTAAACGGTTCAAGATACCCAAAAACTAAGTAAGAAAGAAAGATTATTTCTTAACCGATCTGAAAAAACGCTCGCAACAGTATATGTCTATCTTTATAACTTGCAAGAACAACAGGACGCGGACGTGGTCGCGGGCAGAGCTAGTCGATATATAAAAGGGCCACACATACGAGTCTGTTTGATTATCCCTTATCGCGAATAGATATTGGCATATACTATTAATCTATTATACCTCTCGCATAACTTCGGCGCACGCGAACAACGTAGTCAAGGCAGGTATCACGGCCCATTGAAGCAGGAAGTGCAACTCATCTCCCGATCTGTTGTGCAACTTGTCGCCCGATCTGTTGGCCAACACGTCGCCACTACTCGAAAGCACTCCATTGTGAACGCAATATTCTAGCGCCTTGTTGAAATTCTGTTAAACAAGAAAGCCCATACAAATATGTTCGTATTAAATTAAAAATGAATTACGACACAGGCAGGATTTGAACCGCCACCCAACACGCACCTCTCGTGTAATGTATTTTCAACCTTAAAGTTTGCAAATTAAGGTTTGTAATAGCTAAACGGAGCAGCAGATAGATGTAAAATCTTATATTGACATAGATGAACCAACGATAATTTATAAGGGCTATGAAAAAGTGTTTGCATTAAATATTGTGATATTTTTGCAAATTATTAGCAACATGGATAAACAGAAATATAATATAAAACATCTTACCGCTTCTTCAATGCCTTCTAAATGGAAGAATTCGTGCTTAAGTAATTTTCTAAAAAGAGTGTACTCTGTGTATAATTCCGCTGAAAAAAAAACAGTCATTAGCTACATGAATTTCAAAAATATATAGATAAGTAACACGTGGCCACGGTTGCTACAAAGCGTCCGAAACGACGGGCCGAGATACTTTTAGCTTTAATACACTTTTAACAGTATAAAAACCATTAAGTATTTTAGAGCGTGTCTTCGCATATAGCCTTCCCTCCCGTCTATCAAATTTTGCGGCGACTTACCTTTAAGTATATTTCCGCGGCTCGCAATAAGGTAGACCAAAGCCGACGGCACACAGTAGTGTAACACAGGGTTTATATACAGCTGCACTTGAATAATCGGTACTGCGTTAACCATCGTCTCTGCTTTCAATATATGCCCTGAAAACATAAAAACATTTACGACTTATTTTATTGCTTTTAAAACCACTACAGACACTAAAAACATAAAACATAGTGCTATACGATATAAAGATATTTGCTAGTATGGTTTGTAGCTACTATTATCCAAAACAATTCGAGTTAGAAGTGAAATCCCGTTTCGCCTCGTGGGGCATAGGGCGAACACACATCTGTCTCCGTTTCACTGATCGGTTTTATTTACAGGCAAGTAGTTGATCAGACTGATTTACTGTTTCGCCGGTATTCGAAACCAGGACCCCTCGCGCTTAACGCAATGCTAGGCAACACCAACCATTTAGCTACGAGGCAGTCAATTTTTTCAATGCGAGTTAACAGAAATTAATATTATAAGCTTACTTCACATCGTAACACGTCTTTGCTTTTAGTGAAACCTACATTGAAAACTAATTACGAACTGCAATTAAAATTTAAAAAGATATAGCCTGTTTCATTACTTTTTTTGATGGAGGTCCTTAAAGGCCTATTTTAAAATGTTTACTAGACTTTCTAAAAGAGTTATTTAGATATTATTGTAATTTGAATCCTGTCAAATCATTTAGTTATTATTAACAACCACCACATATACGGCTTACAATAATCACTTAGTATAATATTATGAGTGGAAACGAAAAAGCTAAATCAGAGTTCAACACTCATATTTTTATGGAGATAATCTTTATTATAAAGTAATCTTATCATCTATTTGCCCAATTTATTATTGTAAAGGGTCCTTCATATAAATCTGTTTAAAATATATTTTGTGTACTTTTTTAGTATCAAGTAACATTACCGCAAATAAGACAATGTGAATAATGTCTAAACCATACACTATCGCTATGTTATCTGGACGCGATAACGTCGAAAACTATTTCTAAATGTTATCGGAAGAAAATTGTAACTAGGCGGTGCTACGGCACAGTATGTGTGTATAACAACAAACTAACACTCGCTACTTTTATTTACCAAGAAGATCAAAAGAAAGTTATTTCGAATACTATGTGTACATATTTTTAATGTAAGCTTCTATGATAGGTGAAAAAAGACACGGGTTACATTTTATGGTAGGTGAAACACCATCTAATGAACCCAAAACATAAAATCTAAACCAACATGTTTCAGAAAAATTATAAATAGATTACAAAAATGTTGGGTGCAGTGACTATCGAATCCACGACCCATAACGATTATTAGCCACACATTACTATTATTACACCGGCGAGCCCGTGAAAATCTTACCATGTGTAATGGTAACCTATATATGTATACCTTTCATCTTCCTCTGGACGTCATTTGTCATATTCATCAGCGCGCTGGACACTAATCGAAGCCTCTTCTCCTTGTCCAACCTCATCATACTCCTGTGCACCGTTAACACCCTTTCAATGCCGCTTTTAACATCCCTTTCAAAGACATTGGCTCCTAAACTACGCAGGACTTTTATTAACCAGCCAATCTGTGACTCTACTTCTTGCAAGCATAGGACCTTATTTCTATAGAGGCTGTCCATAAGGACGATACATAGTAAATTCGTAATCGTGACCACAGTACAGTCCTGCTGCAGTGTGACCACGTGGTCAGCTAGCTTTTGCACGTGCGTCATCTGTTCATCCGTTAACTTTTGAAGATCACGCGGTTTTAGAGTCTCAGCGGATAGCTCAGGGTGGCCCAAATACTCTTTTATGGACATCGGCGATCCAAGGTTAATGTAGATATCGCCAAAATTGTCGTTCAGTGTGTGCAGGGCTTTTATCAGTCCCTAAAAAGGAAATAAGTGTGTTTGCTAGTTAAACATTTTACAGAAAAGAATTTACGCAGAAAAAATAAACAAATAAATAAGATGCCTGTTTTTTTTGTTTGCTTTTCATAAGACATTTAAATTTAGTTAGGAGTTTAATTTTATTTAGTGTGGCAGCCCAGGCGTAAACCACAGAAAATACTGTTTAGAAAACGCGCTGATGCTGCAAGGCAAACAAAGTATATAGCACGTCACAGACTGAATGTGTATTTAGCTCAAAACATAATACACGAGAAGAGCAAAACAAATAATTATATTTACTACAATTCATAATGTTCAATGACATAAAACGATAAAACGCATATTGTAGATAGATCTGTTCAAATATTTGCGATGAATATATGTATTGTGTGTGTGTACAAACAGACATGCGCACCTAAGTATTAAAAATATTATAAATGCTATATTATATGCACTGCGCCACCTCTGTAGCCAAATGGTTAAACGTATTGCCTAGCATTGCGTTAAGCGCAAGAGGTCCTGAGTTCGAATCCCAGGGAAATAAAAAATGTTTCGGTCGGGCAAGGCACAGAAGTCTGATGAATTACTTGCCCGTTAAAAGAACGGATCAGTGAAACGGACTCAGACATATGTTCGCCCCATGCCCCACGAGGGCCAAACGGGCTTTCACTTTATATGCACTAGGTTGTACATTGATACTGTAGTAAGTTTGAGGTAATAATTATAAACCTATTAGCGAATGACTAAAAATGTTATTCCCTTCCAGAACCTAACCCCTGACCATAATGCCGTAATATATACCAACTATCTTATCACTGTTTTTCGGACTGTTTGGCCGACGGACTCCTCGTTTGCTCAAAGAATTATGTTTTAATTCTTCGAGCAATCTAGTAGCTAACATCTCCTGATGATGCCGTCCGCTAGAAATGGCGAATGGTCGAGAAGCTCTTCTCTCTCACGTCGGCCGAACAGCCCGAAAAACAGTGATAAATAAAGTTGGTTTCCTTATAACACAGACAATCAATGATATGCTGAACGATGGCCGTGAAAGCCTTACACAATTTATTTAACTTATTAAATTATTCTATCAATAAAATCTGATTGGGGGAGAATCGAACTTACGACTGTAGGCTTTTACTATTTAACGACTTATCTTACCCCTGTAGTTTCTTTAGGTTTGGGCACTCCTAGGTGTTCGTAGGCGAATAAACTCTGCTCCATGACCCGGTCGTAGCTAATGTTCACGGGAACTATGGTTATGTCGTCCACCTCCCGAGCGAAGTATGGCAAGAGAGTCATTGCTAACATTCCTGGGAATAAAATAGTTTACACATACATTTGCCGGTTATTTCACATTTATAAAACTAACTGTGTAAGCGACTTCATCCGAGTAGAATAGTTATTTTGGGCATCCAATTTTTTTTTTAGTAATCCTCCTGTTCATCTCTATAAATTAAAGCTGTTACCCACGACGTCTATTAGTCTATTAGCCTTCCCCGATAAATGATTTAACCAACGCAAAAATATTTTTTCAAATCGAACCAGTAATTCCTGAGATTAGTGCGTTCAAACAAACAATCAAACTCTTCAGCTTCATTAGTATAGATGATAAATAAAACCCTTTTTACATCTGAGTGCAAGAAATAAAATTTACAATTGATCTTTCATAGTACTATATTTTTATCGTACTAACTACAATTTAAAGAAGGCAAAGCAAGTAATTGTGATAATATAATACGTCTCATAAGTTAATAGATACTAAAATAACCTGCCAATCCTAAGCAAACTATGTAAATGGATTTTTTATTTCCACTTTTTGAGATAAGAATGACGTTTTACACAAGTTCAAGTATAACAGAGAAAATATTTGTATTTTAAAATGATTAAACTCCTGCTACGCTTGTCATTAAATTTTTACTTACGCGTAAGTATTTTCCGCAAACCGGTTAAAGCTTGGTGTCAATTTTTTTTTCATGTAAATGTAATCTTATCTATATGAATAAAACATATTTTAATGACGTCTTTGCTACAACGAAGAAAAGTTATTGCTGCATACATATGCATATATTATTTATACAAGCAAAATTCACCCCGACCACAACCATTATGGTATAGGTCTAAATCTACCATGCCGGCCAACCACGTGTTATGACGTTAACGAATAACAAATGAGGTCAAAACTTGTCATGTGATATAAACTAAAAAACCTTTTAGAACAAAAATAGGACGGGCAAAATCCACAGCATTGCTGTTACTCTTACTAATTCGGCTACTGTGGCTTTTACAGTGCTCCACAAATTTTTTGGCCGGACTGAAGTTAGCAAGGATGGTTGCGCAGAACGCAACAAGCAGGTATCAGTTGCGACAAAGGGGTTGCACGGGTGCGGGGCGACTCGACGTTTTGCCAATTGACATACCATACGCAAGATGGCGGTCGAGCTAACTTCAGCATGGCCGAACAATTTGGAGAGAACTGTACTTAGAGTTTTTGGACACGATATGCATGTGTGCATATACCATGACCAACTCAGGTCTCATTGCTTTACTCAGTTATATCGAGATTTCAATGAAAAAATACATTTAGACTGACAAAATCCGATATCTCCGAGATGAGCAGCGCTTGAACCGGCGTCCACAGCATTCCGTGCTGTTGCTCTAACCAATCGATCAAGACCTACCTGTGTCGTATTTTTTTTTTTAATTTAAAATCGATTATAATTTATATAATGCCGTCATGTGCAATAACACGAAAACAAATATTAAAGTTCTAAGAGTTTTGAGACTCACCGTATTTCGGCGATAAACTTTTATTACTTCTACTCCTGGTTCCCTCTAGAAAGAACTCAACGGGAGCTCCGTAGTGGCCGACCAGTGTTCTTACATAATGGCGTAAGGTCGCCGAATATAGGGGTGCACCTGCTAACGTACGTCGCATATAAAAGGCCCCCGTTTCCCGCATCATTTGGCCCACTACTGCCATGGTGTAGAAATCTAGAAATCACACATAAATAATAATTGCATTTTTTTTTCTACTGAAACCTTGGCCGATTCAAGGCCATGTCATCAGTCTACTTAATCCTATGTAAAACAAAAACTGCTTGGAAAGGGGGTATTATAATATATTCAATGCAAAGAAGATCTACTAAGTGCGTAAGAATTGTAACAAAAACTGCATAAAAAAAGGAGTGGCGGCGAGTTTCTTGCCTATTTCTCGTTCGTTTTCCGCCCTTAATTGGAAACTGATAGTAATGTAAATTTTGAGTTTTTATACGTAAAGTGACCTCCATGATTCAAGGATTTTTGATTTAGAATTAGCTGACCATTTCCCCTTTACCAAAGAATAAGTAAGTGCGCGTCTCCGTACGCCATAGAGAACTAGTAACTTGTCAAACGGGGCCGTAACGCGTTACGTAATAAATCGGCTTCCTTTCTCACAAGTTCTCAAAACTTTAGAAAAATCTTCGACGTTTGAGAAGCTTAACTCGTTTAAATGTAATATTAGGGTTTTTATTTGGTATGTCGGGATAAATACTGTTTTTTATCCTTGTTAATAGTGTAGGCCTATTACTTATACTTTACATATTATATGATATAATATGTAAAGTATAAGTATAACGTTAGAAATACCAAGGTCGCATTAATCGTGACTGTTCATACCATATATGTCATTACAAATGAATGTAATTATAGGATTGACTACAAAAAACAATTAAAACAACATTGTGTTTAGTCGGCAGTATAGGAATGTTTAACACATTCCAATTACAAAATCATAAATGGGAAAATGTTTAGAAATGTGTTGCGTGTAATGTCATGTCCCTGATCTTCAATTAAAATCATAAATTTAAATTATATTTATTTAAGCAAAAACTGTATGTAAATAAATAATTGTTTTATAATTAATCTTATTAACGTTTGAATAAGCAAATATATTTCTATCAACTTGAAATAACTTTATCTTAGTTAAAGTTCGAAAATTTTGTTTTGATTTGACGTGACTTATATTTCTTTATAATTTCCATAAGGAGATAAAATAATTGATTAGTCTAACAATATCTAAAACTAACTAGGACTTTTGCAAAAAATTACAATCACTTTAATCATTGTTACATGTTTGAAGAATTTTATTTAGTATAAAACAAAGGTCATTTTTTCGTTTGTACAAATAAATTATTTTCGAGACTTACCCATGCCTGCAGCAACAGCAGGTAACTCAATATCGTAATGATAGCAAAGGTATGTCATAAGGCAGAAATCTGCATAACTTCTGTGTGTTGGCAGAAACAGCACAGGATTCTCACCCATTGTCTCTTTGAGCTGTAAAACGCAATGCATATAAGAATGTTCTTTGTAAACTGTCATACCTTAAACCAATCAGTATAATCGTCGAATTTTTTCAACTTATTTATACATGCACCTCTCGCGCAATGTATATAAGTGTAAATTCGACGATGAGGTGTAGGACTCGGTAGCTCAATTGGTAGAGCAACAGCACGGAAAGCTGACGATGCCGGTTCAAGTCCTGCCCGAGTCGAAAATTTTTTCAATTTATTTTCGATTTTTAAAAAAATACTGTTGTTTCACTCACATCTCATAAATGCTGTGTTAATAAAAAATAATGTAATAATCCCGATAGATATTGAATTTGTTAGATACTACATATTATTGAAACCTTATAAAAAAAATTCAAAAGCAAATATAAAATAGTTTTAGTGTAGATCAAGTAAAATCATATACAATTTTACTCTACTCTGAGTGTGAGGCCTTGCATATTAGTCATCATATGCATTACCAACCATGTCCTGGTTGTCTAAAGATATATTACAGTAGCAGATATACAATTCACTAAAGTATGGCCAAATATGACCAAGTCTAGAGGGATGTGAAAAAAAAATGGAGGAGGCCCATCCACTTTAAAAAACAAAGCTCCTATTCTTTTATTTATTTTTCAACCATTGAGCTAGAGACGGATGTTGAATTGATTGACTGCTAAATGAATATAAATAATTTTAGTATATTACCTTCAAGACAGCAGGTTCATTGACAAAAATACCAATTTTCATCATGAATGATACTTTAAGAAAGAAAACTCCCATCCATCGAATAACATGCATCCGTTTGTCCATTGCTATTTCTTCAACATAATTTACTACTTCCTTCCTTAATTGGTGCTTTGAGACACCATTTCTTACACATTCCTTAAAAGACATAAATAAAATAATAAAAGATTGTAAAAAAAATATGGTATACTTTCTGCAACTGTTCCCTGATTTCATTTTTTAATTACTTGTTGTGAATGAGATTTCTGTTTTCTACATGACTGAAACTATGTATACCTTTAAATATTTTTCCAAATTAGAATAGGAAATCATATATTTAACCCAAGTGCTTGGATATGGGTTAGACCATAACTTGTTTTCAAGAATTATTTACATTTTTAAATACATACCGCATCTAAGATAGAATCCAAATACGTTGATTTTAATACTAAGTCTTTAATATCTTGCGGCAAATATTCCTTATCAAGGTTCAATGTCTTTTTAGGGCTCCAAGAGCGGGTCATGAATTTCACTATACCAAAGTGAGTATCACGAGGTAGTAAGATGTCCTTAAATTCTATTTTATTCTCCATTTTCATAATGTTTTTTGTTTTATTAGATCACTAGTTACAGTAAACAATGCGGCAAACGCATCCGCTAATAAATTTAATTATAGACACAGTCATTAGTCAATTTAAATTTATAATCCATGTGTAAACAATTGTTACGTTATATTGTAATTCATACAAATGAAAATCATTATTGTTAAAAATATTTGAATTTAAATTACTTTCTGATAATTTCGCCCACACCTCGTTAAACTTGCGCGCACTCTGACGTAACCAAAATGTCGCAATGTTGAATCAAAAGTACAACTGTCAAAATTGACATATTTCCACAGACTTACTAACATTGATGGTTGTTCGATACTCTCTTTCTTTCCCTTAGTCTCTTTAGGGTAGGTTTTCAAAAGAAGACTATAAAAAGCCTCACAAAAAGGAAAGGACTGTATTTTGCAAAATTAATCAAACCATATCTGTATTTATCTTAGCCGAGTTAAAGAAATCGATAAAAAAAGGCAAATTCATTCAATACTTTATTTATAAAAATAATATCATCTTCGAATAATAATTTCAATACAAAATAATCAACTTTACGATATAAACGAATGATGAATAGTTAATATTAGACAATAGCTGCGCACGATGTACATTTTAAAAACATAATCATTAATATCCGCTGGATTGTACTGGTTGTACAAAGGTCATTATTATTAATAAAATAGTTTAAAATCAACATGGCACATTAATGGCCTTGCTAAAGTTTTTTTAATGTTTTCGTTCATGTAGTTGACATTATCAATTATTAAAAAACATGGTAATAACAGCTTGCATTGGAATAAGTAGTGGTACGTAAATAGTTCGTTAGTACTTACTTACGCCGTTTATATAATAACTGAATTTATCCAAAATCATCGAGAGGAAAAGATTCTATATACTATCAAGATACCCACTACAGGACGTCACCTATATGTAAAAAAAATTACTCATTTAACGATATAGTAGTCAAATACACATTATCACAGCTTATTCATTATTACCATTTTTTATCATATAAACAAAGTGGTTATTCCCATAAGGTTAGTCAAAATAATACAAATTATATCAAATTACCCTGTGACAGGAGGAAAGTTATATAAAGATTAAAATTGTCAATAATATAGATAATAGTAACACTTTGGGATCCCATGTTAAAAACTCTGGATCCGTGAAGACACCGTTAGTCAATTATGTAAGGACCCGGCCAGTTTTAAACCTTTAAAGTGTTTTATTTAAATCTCGTAATATGTCTTACTAATAACATAAACAATAACTGAAAAACTTCAAGAAAATAAATTTTGATTTTTTTTTAATTTGTCATCTAATCTAATTGACGTTTATGTAACTTCGTCTCCTTACAGACTTAAGGATTACATTAACAGGCCATTTATTATTTCGTATATCTATACATATCACAAGACATACTTAAAATTAGAAAGCGAGAAAGTTAGAGACTATTCCAGCGCGTTTTATTTTTTTTTTAACGCAAAGATGAAATGAATTTCTTGATTAATAATAACCTGATATATTATCCTTGTTATAGAAGAATGAAGATTTAATTTCAGAAATAGAAAATAAGATAAGGTTTTCTTAACTCTAAAGAAATGGTTCATAACTTCAGAACATACAACTTTTGTAATAATGTTGTAATTCAAAATAAGAGGAAAAATTGCAAGATGCAAGCAAAATAAGTTTCTCCAACCATTTTATAACAAAATCTAACCTAATCCTAAACCATTAACCTTTTTTGGTATAATTTTTGGCACCTTTTTCCTTACTTTGCTGCACTTTTAATGTTTTTTAGCTCTTCTGACAACCGGCATTGGTCGAAGCGGGTTCTAGCCATTTCTATTAACGCGGCACTGGAACGAGCTACCTGCTGCGACTCCTGGCCGTGGTAGCAGTTCCTTTCTTTGCAGAAGTCCATGTACATCCGCCACTTTTTGTCGCGGGTGAGGCACGCTGGATTACCGATAATAACAATCTTTGCTTTGGCTCTTGTTAGTGTCACATTGTATCTCTGAAATCAAGATTACATTGGCTGTTGAAAGACTTGTAAACAAAAGAAGATGGTAACATATCCTAGCCTTATACATTTAATATGCGCTGTTGGCTTATTTTAGTTTCTTATAATGTCTCTGAAACATGCTGGACTACGTTTGCAAAACCCGGATATTAAACATAAATTCCACCCGGATCACGAACCACCACAGATGAAAAACCGTGAAACTTAATCGCGATCTTGTTTCAGTCTGGTATTCCGAATATCCGTATATTAATATCAGGTGAACCCTATGCCATCTCTGTCCTCCTCTGTCATTAAAAAAAAAACAGTTAACAAGTATTCAGTAGGTCTTACCTTATCGTCAACCAAGAATCCCAGGCCATACTTGGCGTCATACTCGAGAAGTCGACAGTTGGCTCGTACCGTTGACACCAGAATAACGCGTTTCTCTTTGCCCTGGAACGACTCCACCGTTCCCACCTCAATGTCGGGTATCTGAACACTTCTTAGCCAGTTTTTTACTTTGTAGACCTACAACAATTTTGATGTTGGTAAAAAAAGGAGTATCTATAAAAAGAAGGTCCATGTTTTTGTAACCATACTAATTCTATTTAGTTTATTAACAGAAACAAGTTAGAAAACGGGGGAAAAAAAAAAAAAAATTTACAAAATTTTATACAAAAGGAGGCCAAAAAAAAAAAAAAAAAAAAAAAAAAAAAAAAAAAAATTTTTCCCCCCGGGGGGGCCGCAACCCGCCGCCCCCGCCTTCCCCCGCTGTTGCCCTCCCAATTGGGCTCCCGGGCCGTAAGTTAGAAAATTTTAATATTTTTACATGTTAAATTGTATAATGTAATTATAATATATTTTTCAAAGTAACAATACATGTATAGGCCGTGGCACGAATGGAGATGGTAGAGGGAATAGTTGCGCATCTGTACAATCGCGCACGCAATTGATTGACCTAGGGGCGAGTTCTCATGGCGATTCAACCAGTGCTCCACTAGCACTACGAAGAAGATGTCCCAGGTCGACACGCCCCCATGAGCTGCGACTGTGCCGGCCACCCATTTACCCCGGGCGCAGAGTTCGACGCCGTACGAATAGTGCAGTTTGCGCAAGCCTGCCAACGGGAAGCGCGTTTCCTCTCCGGCAGTCACTTGGCTGACGCGTCTCGTGCTGGAGGTGACGGCCATTGTAATTGAGAAATAGTTATCGAAATTTCGATCACGAGTGAATAGCATCAACAGATGTCGAGAGTTCCTCGAATAAGCGAAGACAGTCTTGGATAGTATTGGATGGTGGGGAAAATAGCCCCAAAAACCTTCACAATTCATAAATAAAACTAATATTGTATGTAGGATAATCTTTGAATATTAGTACCCATTGAGTACTTTTTCTAAATAGCTTCGACTTTACCTGTCTGATGTATGGCGCTATGACCCCAATGTCTTTGGGCTGCACACCGTGTTTGTCTATCAGTGCTCTTATGTAAAGTTTCAAGATCTCGAGTTCGCGGTCATTGAAGAAGCTAAAATTAGAAAAAAGAAACCTCACGCTTTCTGTCTACTCTAATAAAATACTAGCCGTGTTAGCGACTTCGTCCGCGAGAATCGTTATTTTGGGCATCCAAATTCGTTTTTACAAACCCCTTCGTTTTATAAACTTAAGCTGTCACCCACGACGTCGGTCGCGTCCCTTCTCGTCATTCTTGCAAATTAATCTTAAAAGATGGACATATATTGTCACGGACTTTTTTGTTCGGTCATTTAAAGGAAAATCATTCTTTGATACATATTTTTTGGGTATCGTGAACCGTTTTTACAGCGTAAGCAACGGAAACCCACAAGGGTGAATAATTTTCCCCGCGTTACACATTTCCGCCGTTTCTCCCTAATATTAGTCACAGCGCGATATTTTATGGTCTATAGTCTTTCTCGAGACATGGTTCAAACAGACAAACTCTTCAGCGTTATATATTAGTATAGATAGAGAAATAAGAATTCAAGTTACAAATTACCTTGGCGCATTTCCCATCCTCTGCTCGCGTGAATTAACAGCGTGGAAGATGGTGGCGCTATCACCACCGCGCAAACCAAGGATACTGACCTTGCTAAGCGGATCTGGTGGTGCCAACGCCTGCGGAAATTGCAAAAGCCTACTTATAATGGGTGTACGATATGTTAAATTATAATTAAATTGATCGCTACAAATAAAATACCTCTTTTCTTTTAATAATTTAAGGGCTTTGGAATAGAAATTGTTAAATACATGACCAATTTTGGTGCCTTTGTAGTTGGTTGAATACAATATACACTTGTCTGTGCTTTACCTTTAAATTATCTTCATAGTAGAGGTTATTGGGTATAGCCAATATGTCTGGGTCAGAGCGGTAGTTCCTAATAAGCATAGTGATGTAGTCTGGGTCTCTGTCGTACAGATTAGGATATGTCGTCTTCAGTCTTTCCAATAGTGATTGCCCTGTATTGCACGTAACATGTTATTTATTCTATACATTGTAAGTACATTTATAACCAGAAGTTCGAAAGTGGCATATTAATTCTTCAACACCATTACTAGAGTAATAACTTACCTAGCCCCCTATCTTTAGCGGATCTGGACAAGCATATTGGTCCCAATTGTTGGGGGTCACCAGCAAGAATAAGCTTTCCCGTTGGAGCCAAAAGACCCGTGATGGGAACCAGTGTCGCCGGTTCTGACGCCTGCGCAGCCTCATCAACAAAAAGATGCGTCATTTGAAGCTTTTGCACAGCTTGAGATCGTGCTCTGAACAGGAAAAGTAATTATATTAATCAAAACTAATACGATTTCTACTATAACACTGAAACTAAGGCACATAATTTATCTTCTTGACAAGAAAATTAAACAAACAATTTGTATTTCTGTTATCGTCAAAGTCACAGTATTGATCAAAATGTTTTTAACACATTACATTTTTATGTAAGAGACTAACTATTCCTCAACTCAACCAATTTTAATGCAAGATATAGCGCAAAATCTTTGATACTTTCGTATTGAAATGAATCAATACATTTTGACAAAAAAAATCTGCAAATTTGGGGGGGCCTGATAACACTAACTAATATTGGTCTTAATTTTTATATTATTATAATTACTATTTACTACTATCATTGATTTTAATTTAGTAATAATATAGGAACATTTTTTTACAAATTCGATATACATACATTTAGTGAATATAATAATACTGGTTCATCACAATGAGTTGTCTCTTTCCCACAATCCTCTATGAATAATAAGGACACAAAATTATCAGTAGGTCTTTATTAACTGATTTGTCATATATTCCCCTATTAACTCCTTTTGGTGATTGGCAGACTAAACCATATACCACATATACTTACAAGGCATATTTAGCGGCGTGTAACAGCGTGGTCACGAATATACGATGCATCGCGACGTGATCATTGCTCACAGAGTAGAATGTTTTGTAGTTTGTGCCGTTGGAGACTGGGTGCAGTGCCGACGGCATGACTGTCCTGTTGAACCCGATACGTTAATAGTTCCACTTCACAAAACAATTAAAAACAGAGTAAATATTTTAAATAAAACACTTTAACGGTGTAAAACGCGAAATATATTAGTTAAACTTGTTTAAAAATTACTTTACTACGGCTCGATGTTTATAGGCGTTAAGTGTTTTTTTATGTGTATTGTGTACTCGCGTTAACTACAGACATTGTTTAATATAAATAAAGGACTTAAGATAAGCAATATCTTTTTTATTTATTATTTCAATAGATGAGAAATGATGGACATAAAACGTGAACTTGCTATGGCAGATGTATTACATTGTTTATTTATGGAGTTGCACTGCAGCTTCAAGGCAATTGGTATTAATTTTTATTGGTATCCATAATAAAGAAATAAAAAACAGCATTCAATTGTTTTAAGAAAAATTTACCAGCCAAACTTGCTTAAACCACCACTGTTAGACAATGCATTAGGACAAAAACCTTATTTCAACGAGAAACTTTGATCTCCGGTAAAGCTGACCAACCGTTAAGATATTTTGATAAACTGACATAGAACATTACCCGTTTAGTTTAAATGTCAAAATTTCCCTGTGATATTGGGCTTTCTTTTAATGATAGAGGATAGACAAACATGGGTTTACTGGATGGTGGGTGATATGGTAAGTAAACCCCATGCTAGGCTGGGGCAGATATGCTGTCGACCTATTTCGGCTTTGGACATTCGGCAATCCACAGACTGAAACCGAAACACAACTTTGCTTCACGGTTTATTCATCTGTGGATGGCGGTTCGTGGCCCGGACGGTATTTCTATATTTCTACCTATTAATAGGATATTAAAATATCCAGATTTCACTTTACACTTTAGTAGTTTAAAACGCGACATATTTTAGTTAAACTTGTTTGAGAATTATTGTTAACTACGGCCCGACGTTTCGGATGCTTTACAGCAGCCGTAGTCAAGGGGAGACTAAAGATGGAGGATGTCTCTGGCGTTAATGTAAAAAATTGCTACGCTAGCACCATCTGTTCCGTCGAAGTTGGTATTTGGAAAGAATCATTTTCAAATAAGTTTAACTAATATATCGCTTTTTAAACCGTTAAAGTGTTTTATTTAAATGTGTACTACTTCCGTAAACTATAGACAGTATTTTTAGCGAATTATAAAGATTTGAACATACCACTCGCGTGACTGCGAATTAGCGCGGAAGATAAAGTTGTTAATGTTCAGCCGCTTGTTGTATTGGAGAAGCATCAAGGCGATGTGGTCTGCGGCCATATTGGAGTCGGTACACACCATCACACGATTGAGCGGGTTACGGACCACAAGCTGCGTGTGTTAAATACTATTAGGCTTACTGGTTAATTAGTAGGCTATTTATAAAAATACAAATTGATATAAAAATGCATCAAATTAGTGGTTTTTCATATTGTAACATATAATCACATAATCAGTGGAGGCGTCTTCAACTCAATATGAATATGCTTTAAGTGTTTGGCTACTGCAGGCAGCTAGTCGTATGTTTAAACACAGACCTTTAAAACTAGCTCAGTTTAAATAAAACACTTTAACGGTTTAAAGCCGTGCTCACGGCTGCTGCAAAGCATCCTTGCCGAAGTTAGAAATCATTTTTAAATAAGTTTAACTAATATATCGCGTTTTAAACCGTTAGTGTTTTATTTAAATGTGTCCTACTCGCGTTAAGTATAGACATTATTTAACTCGCTCAATGTTAAATGATTAGAAATATGCTTCAATTAAAATAATTAATTTTGGGTCCAATCTAGGACAAATTACTTAATATATCTGTCAACAAATATTCTTTATTGATAAAAATCAAATTGAGCTTTTTGTGTGACTTTTTCCCATTGAAGTATTTTATGCCATTTTAAACCACACAAATAAACTATAGTGAAACATGAAAAAGGGAGTTTATTGGAGATAAGCTGCATTACCTGTACAATAGCCTCGACAATTGTCATAGTTTTGCCAGTACCAGGCGGTCCAAACACAATGTACGGCGCCAGACCAGACGTACCAGCCACTATGTGCTCCACAGCTGATCTCTGTTCCTCGTTATCAGCTACCAGCGGGTTGTAGAACCTAGGATCAAGATTCAAATTAACACAGTATTTAAAAAAAAGCGTTGGCACTTTTTTAGAGTTTTTGGCAAACCTATTTCCTTGTTTCTTGAATTTAAAGTCTGTATATTTTGTTGTTCATCAATCAATAAAGCAATAGTTTTTTTTACGTTTGATTCCTTTGGTTTGAGTGTTATAAGATTGATTTATACCATATCCTGCCAAATAGACTTACTGCGTTATATTCTTAGCGCTTATCTTCTTTGTTGGTACTGGAAATATTCTGGCCTTTTGCCGTTGCGCAAACACATTGTGAACGGCGGCGTGCATTCGCTCCATCGGGATACGAGACAGGAGGAACCGAATATTGAAAAGAGCTTCAGGGTTGTAGTACTGGTGGAAGCTGAAATAATATATAAATCAGCATTTAGTTCATTTAATGTGAACCCCCCAATCAGACCAATAAGTGTTTAACTCATAAATCGATTTTACAAGTGCTATGGCCCTGGAAATCAAACCAGCCCGTTGGTTTCAGCCATACATTGCTTTAACATAACACATTAATTTCGTTTGCTAATTTATTTTATATACGTACATAGTCATGCTAAAAAGTAAAACCTAAAACTTAAATCTCATTATTAAGTAGTTACCTAAGATATAACTTAACACTGAGTGAGATTATAAAAGCAGTTTTGATACCTATTTTCCAATCCAGTTAACAGCACAACACTATCCTCAATATCTTTGATTTTGGTTTCAAAGACATATTCGGGCGCGGCTTGTGGAAGCAGGTACACGCGGTCGCCTGAAAAAACAAGTCTGTGTTTCGAATGGAATAGAAGACATTTATAATATATAATACATATTAGTTTCGAGAACATATTATAAAAACTCCTAACTTCAAGCGTTGCCTATATTTTAGACTTGGCAGCAACCATAGTCAGGCGGTAGTTAAAATAAATTAAATAGTATTTAACTAATATATTTGGCGTTTGATACCATTAAAAGTGATTTGTTCGCACAAATAAATCTCAAATGCAACTTCTCACTGATACCTGATATTTATATAATAAATCTAATCAACTGGATTTAGTTTATTTTAGTGGCCGATATCACTATTTATGTAGGAATCCATTAAGCGTTCCACCAGCAAGGAATAATTGTAGACTAGTCTATAAACTACAGACTCTATTCTTAATAGTACTATAAAAAGTCATCTCTTCTTTTCTTCAATAAAAAATGTTTGAACAACATCACTTAAGAAAACATCTTCTCACCTCGTAATAAAGATGGCCGCTTCTCAGCAAGACCGGGAACCTCTAGCAGGTAAAACTCCCCTTTCCGCCCTATTTTTACATCACTCATGTTGTACTTCTGTGGAATTAGGAAAAGTATGAAATACAGTTTATTCATTTAAAAAGCTGCTTAAGGATAGCCCGTCCGTTAAAGCCATGGACTATTATTCAATGTCTAAAAAGAATCTATCCTTTTTTTTTTGGATAACCAACCTTCTTAACCATTTTCTTATGATAGAGGAGAAAAACTAGGGCACATGCTGGAAGCCACCCTTAACACCCCAATTACCCCCAGCCATATAACTTCTCAAGAAGGTGTGCTGTCGACTTAGTTGGCTTTGGATATATGGAAATCCAGAGACTGAAACCGAAACGTGATTAAACTTTTTTCTTCTCTGGACGGTGGACGGAATTTCGATATTCTTACCAACCATTTAATATCCAGATTTCCAAACAAAGTCGAACATGTTTCAGAAAGCATCTTTTTAGATTCATAATCACTTAGTATGAAAATAACCTTGTTTGCATTTAACGGTATGTACCAAAAAGGTAAAAAGGAAGCCTTTTAATTTTTTATTACTAATATTCCACTCTCTATTTTGTCTTTAACCAGACAGCATCTTCAGAAAACTATAGTTAAAATTTTTTACAAATTATCTGTCTGTTGCTGACATAAGAACAAATACTTAAAACAAAAAAAAAATCAGGGTACCCAGGTATACAAAAAAAACGCAATTTTATCCTAACTTTGCTTAAAATCAAAAGATAGCCCCTTCATATAACCAAAACCAGGATATATAAAATGTGTGTGTGCACATAAGATCTGTTTTACTCAACGTACAGTGATGTACCAATACTCTTTCACAAGACTCAAAACGCTTAATTTTTTTTTGTTATGGCATAAATAACACTTACCCTCAAATTAATTTTAGCAATGATTTCCTCCCACCAGAGAAGATGGTGAAAGAAGGCGATATAATTTCTTTCTGTGTAGCCTTCGTCCAGTATCATCCTATAAACAAATCAAAATAATGAGGTTCACATGAAACCATTACTTTACTAATATATTAACGAAATTTCATTATACGAGGATTTATGAGAAATGATTCAGTCTGTACAAATTTCAGTCGCTAAGGGGGCACTGAATTTTAATTACTTCGTGTTGCGTTTCAAATTCAACAAACGATATCCGATCACGAAAAAAATTACCTCAATTGTTAAATAAATAATTTTTGATTTAGTTTAAATTAAATTTTATTAAAATTTATAAATCAGAACTCATCTCATAATTATTATAACTTGCATGGTTTACATTCCTTACACTTTAATGTTACCTTGTGGTATGCAAAAGCACCCTTAACTGTTCCATTTCCTCGGGCGACACTTTAAGTTGGTCCAAGGCATTCTCGTCGAGACCTCGAGGAAGCAGTGTCTTTAACAATTTGGGTGTTTTAAAATCAACTTGATATGGCCTAGAAAAATTGTACATGTTAAAAATGGAAAAAATAAATCATTAAAAAATCAAGCTATTATTTTCGATCGATTTATTTCAGTTTACATAATAATAATAACAAAAAGTACTTCTTTGATAATACATACTCGTGACAGGTTGATTTAAAATATTTAGGCTTTGTCTCCCACGTGTTGTTTTTTGTGTAAGGGTATTTAATACTTGTGTATATCTCCCTTTCTTCTTGAACTAACACTACCTGCAATTGTACAAATTGTAAAGATAAAAAAGGGCCAATAAGAACAACAACTTTTTTGTTCTACTGATCAGCACAATATTTTGACATTGGTAACAGGAGCAAGCAAACCGAGGGAAGTATTCAGTTCAAATAATAATGGGTTTATTCAGGAAAGAAACAGCAGTGTGCAACATACCTAACTATAAATAAAATTGATCATTAGCAGACACTAAAATATATTCGCATTATGAGGGGCTCAAAGGAAAACGGGATTCAACTCCTATAAAGTAATCTTACCATTTCTCTGATAAAAATAAGGTTCTTTTTGTCCCGTTGATTGTAAAGGGTAAACATTATAGGCATCTCATATTGGCCTAAGTCAGAAGCACTAAATTTGACGCACACTTCTCCCTTTTTTTTAGTTTCTGCAAACAGTAAACATTGACTCAACTCTTAACAGACAATAAGACCAAATTACAATGATACATTTTTATCCTTTTTTGCAAGACATAACAAATTTGGTTTATACCCAAATTGCTCTATGCTCTTTATTATATAAACAATTAATATCCAGTCCTTCCATCCATAGTCCATGTGGACTGATAACCCGACCCAGCATCAGCTGATCATTTCACCCATTTCCCAAGTCCTCCTTGCAGAGGTTTTCTGGTTTATCCAACTCTCAGGAATTAAACACATACTAATTAGATGGCATAGGGATATTTTAAAAGAAGAATTCTCCAAATTAGTAACAGCTTAAAATAATTTGGTACAAAATTCCTACATACTCTTTTTAATGATTTTTGGCTCTCCTCCAAATACATAAGGATTTTTGTCCATTCTAAATTGTGACTGCATGTGTGCTAATTGTACACCTATTATAAGCAAATCTTCAGATTTCATATTATTTACAATATCAAATGTAAACTCTACATGTTGCCTTGGTTTCACCTAAAAAAAACATATAATTATTATTATAAAAGTGATAATGTTTTATCTCACTAGACCATCAGTGTGTTAAGGAAATTTGTTTATATGATTGTAAGTGTATTTGATAAATTTAAAATCTTTATAAGAACAAATAGAAGCAAGTAATAGTAGGAACTTCATCAACTAAAAGCCATGTAGGAAATTATTAATAGTTAGGTAGTACAGAATCTGAAAAGGAATCAACCAAGTGTTTATTTAGTAGTATGTGTACTTTGGTTTATGTTGTATCTAGTAAGCATTAAAGTATTTGATTTTATTGTATTTATCATGGCTAACCAGAAAACACTTAAAGTAGGGGCAAGCCCTAAAACTTTAAAGCAATGCCAAGTTACAAGTGATTTACCAAATTGAATATTATTATTGTTATAGAACTGATAAAAATTGAATTACCTAATATCATAATAACACAAGATATCTTATCATATAATATAGACATTGATAAATCAAAGGGGATTGATTATCATACTTACATATACTCTAATTTTGTGTTGATCACAATTCTCAACATTCATCGCAGGAGCATCCTTCATTGGAAGACTCTTAGCATGCCCAAAAATTAATACACCATCTTTATTTTTACTGAAGTGTGACCTACAACATTTAAATTACATATTGTTTGTTCTACCAACTCAATTAGACTAAACAACTGTAATGTAATTTATTGTATACTTACTTGTTACTATTATAATGTTTTAGTATCAAATTACAGACATGTTTCGGAGATGCTTCATGTTGCCCAGGAGAATTCTCATCATATTCGTCATCAATAACACCACAAACCTCACAAAAATTTCTGCAAAAAATCATTAAGGATAAATAATTGATATAAAATTTTGAAAATCTATATATATATATATATATATATATATATATATATATTATATAGTCTACTTACTTCGGAATAATGTCAACCATTGTGATGTGTCTTGAAAATTGCTAACTATTTTGTTCTAAGTCAATAATTAAAAGATTTGCTTAACATAGTCATTAGGATTTAGTCGTTATTACCAAATACCTAAATAAGTTTTTAACGTACAAAGTACTGCCGCCACAATAATTAATGAAAAGTGAAATTAAACACCAAACATAACAGAAACAAAATACAAAATGACCATGAAGGCAAACTCATTGTTATTTTTATTTTTAATGGAATTCCCCCGTCAAAGTCCAACAACCGATAAAAATCATAGATTCATCAATCACACAACACAATGCCTACAGACTAATTATTTCACTGTAGACTTATTTTTTTTTCATTTGTGGCAAGAAGAATTAACTATCCTCAGTCCTCACTGTAGACTAATTGTTTTTAGAATTGGTGACAGTATACATTTCTGGTTATTTCTAACCTGTGGTAATTTAATAGAACAAGTTGTGATAGCCAGATGATATTGCTTTACAAAAATATTAATATCACCATAAATATAAAATTACATTTAAATATAAAAATAAAATTAGTATAAACTAGGAACAGAGTACTAAAGCCGTATAAAGTGCTGGAATGCGTCTTATTTTGTATAATGGGGTGAATTAAATAGAAGATGAAGTGAAATGAGAAAAAGTTATCTGTAATGTTTTATTTTTTAAATTCTTTTTCATCTTTCTATATGGTCACTTTTGACATCAGTATCATTTAGACAAGAATAAACAACTTCTGAAAACATCTCTCAATATGTATGTGGCACTATTGAAATAAAAATTAAAACCATTTTATATTTTTAAACTACAAGATTTATTATCATGAACCATAGACTGGTGAAATTACTCTCCGTTTCACTCCCGTTTATTTGAAGTCTGTTGCTGATGCTTGACAGATGTTGAAGTAAAAAAGAGGAAATTTAGTATTTACATATTTTTTTTGTCTGCGATTTTAAGGTTGCCCCAAATATATAATTGTAATTTAGATTTTCAGTTAGTGAAATACAATCAATCACGTAATTCCAACATTATGTTTAATACTGATTTTTATCCGCTGAAATCGGAAAATTTTGAATTACGAATGGCCACAATAAAACGACCTTTTTTGAATGTTGAAATACTTAAAATCTCAGAATAAGAAATAGGAAATCTGGTTTTCCAACCGGTGGTTCAAACTTTTGTACATGTTACCTATACGCTGTTTAATTGTATGTTTGTATAATTTATTGTTATAGACTGAATTAAATTGTTTCTTTGGCTTTTATGATTCATGACAGGGCTAAAAGTTGGTATTAAGTATGCGGCACAAGCTTATTACAAAAGTTGGCCTATTATTATATATGTAGTATATTATCATTTCAATATCGTAGTACCTATATTTACAGATCACGTAGTCATGTTCCTACTACTGATTCCTAAAATATGAGCCAATGTATCTTTTGCGATAATTACCAATTTTTAAAGGTCCTAACGCATTCGAAACTTTAAAAGTACAATACGGCCGACGTAACTAGGCAAGCCTGATCTAAGCGCAAAACACTGCGCAGAAACGTTGTTTCGGATGTTAATGGTGGTAAGAGCAAGGGGCGCGGGACGAAGATCTAGGCTAGTGATTGACTCAATGTCAACACAATCGACCGCATATTCTATCAAATTTTGTAATCGATTTTTATCGATTAATGTATATTATGTAAAATAGATTATGGATTTTAAATCGTATGAGATATTGTACTAAATATATTGATGAACACAGTGAATGGTGTTGTTAATAAACAATACCATCATTACCTGATTTAGTTAAATATGAGTTATTATTTATATAATTACTATGCATATCTTCTTTAGAGCTTTTTATACAATTATATTTCTACAATCCAATTTTCTCAATTTTAATAGGAATCGATTAAACGACACTCTCAAGGATCTCGTATGGACATCTCTATTTGGTTCTTTTGTAAAGCTTCGTACATATTCGGTAAAGAATATGTACGAAGTTACGTCGGCCGTATTATATTTCATTTAAATGTGCACTACGTGTAAGCCACAGATATTGTGTAATTATAATTGTATAGATAATTGTGTGATTTATGAATATTTTGCTTCGAGAAGATTTTTAAGCAAACGTCTTGAAGGTTAAAGGAAAGAAAATTAATAACATTTCAATGAGACATTAAATGTCGTTTAATAAAGAGTTGGTCAGTTATAGAGTTGGATAAGTATCAAGTGCTTAAGAGAGCAGCATAACCGATTTTGCATTTAGAGTTTCATCTTCTTTCTGAGAGCGAAGTGGGTAGCGGTAAGCATGGTTCAGGAACCATCTGATGTGGCTATCAACCTTGTACCCCAGTCCGGTACAAACGTGGAAGTTGTTGTCGCAGTAGAAGCCGTATGCACACTTCTGCCCGTACACGTCTATATCCATTTTCTCTGTACACGGTTCGCCGGGGCCCTAGAATTAGACGACTTACTTTCTCCATTTTCAACATTATGACCATTTTACAAAGAGTGTGTATATAGGTACATTTTTATAAGACATTATGCGAAATATTAAATGGAAAAGAGAGTTATTTTAATGTCACGAAATCCGAGTAAATTAAAGACGTCAAGTTATTCACAATAACAAAAACGAATTTTCTCACGAACGAGTTTACTTGTGGGAAGATAAAGTACGGCAGCCATATATCATCGTGCTTTGTGACTCTTGATATTTTGTATCTCCTATATAAATTGATTAGAAACACGTTAGACCCGATGGGAATCGAACCTTCAGCCGTTGATTGTTAGCCATATACACTTTGCTACGAGGTATGTAATTTTGACATTCTGACGTAAGTTCAGGTAAGATACTAGCTCAGAACCTTAATTAAAAATTTATTTAGGTCAATAGTTTTATTTTTAAATGAGAAATTTTAAAACGCTTTTTACTGCTTATATTTACGTCATCTAGTTGAAACTTACTCGGTAACAATCGAGACGGTTTCCGCAAACATGATTCACGTACGTCCCCCTTTCACACTTCTTAAACCGTTTTTCACCCTTTACAATATTGCACTCTTCGTGACTTGGAAACCAAGACGGACTGTTATCACAAACTGGACATTCTACCAACGTTCTAAAAATAAAGAAGAAATTTAGACTGCTACTACAGGGTTATGTTATTTATGAACATTAAAACATTCAGGCGCGAAACAAAATAGCGACAATGACTTGTAAACAATACATACTTAAATAAAACACTTTAACAAATTAAAACGCTATATATTTTAGTTAAACTTGTTAGATTTAAACAATTTAAACCGTTAAAGTGTTTATTTTAAATGTGTACTATTCGCGTAAACTACATACAGTATTTACCAATACATACCTTAGAACATCATAGGCACGTTTAGTTATCGTTTCAACCTGAATAAAACAACTAGCACTTATCAAAATTAAAATTAACAAGCTTTAATTGTAACATAGCTGAAGTTGGATTTTTCATGAACATTCTTCAACAGTATCCAGTAGCGTAGCTAGGTGGACAAGGGCCCCGGTCTACGTAATCCTAAGGCTTCTTTTCTTCTACGCTTATATCTTCTTAACGATAAGCTTAGAAGTAGGGCTTCTAAGTTCCGGGGCCCTGGTGCACTGCACCACCTGGCCCTACGATAGCTATGCCCCTGACATTATCCAACCAAGCTAAAGGCAAAAAAAATCTACAACGAAACACCGATGTTTTGCCTTAGCAACTACGACAACGATGTTACCCATCGGTCTGTGGTTCTTCTCTTTCAATAAGATTACGTTCCTCATAACCTCTGTAATGACCCATGCAAATAGTGCTCACCGCCAGTAGAATATAAAGCACCAGATTCATGATGGAGTTCTGAGCAAAAAATATATGTATTTTGTAAGACACTTTATTATTTTAGCACTTATATTAAATATAAATTAACTAGTTGTGGCGACGACTTCGCCCACGTAGCATAGTTATTTTGGGCATTACAATTTGTTTTTTCACACGCCCTCATCTTTATAAATTATAAGTTACCTAGCTGTTACCCATGACGTCGTCCTCGTTACTGCAAATTAATCTCAAAACCACAGAACCAGTAGTTCCTAAGATTAGCGCGTTCAAACAAACAAACAAAGTCCTTAGCGTTATAATGTTAGTATATAATATTATGTTAACAGTTTCAAACCAAAATTACAAACTAAATGAACTGAAATGTAAATATAGTGCAAGTTAGTAAAAAAAAGTTAAGCAGATTATTATGCGAACCACATAATTATATTAGTATTTGTTAACAATACATTAATAAATGCTTTTGTCTTTAAGTATTACTAAATGTGTAAGGGGTTCGCTATATTGTTATTCTATTCTAAATGGAATTTATATATATGTATCATTGAACTTTGGCAAACAAACTTATTGTAAACAATACAACAGCCATACATCATAATAATATTCTTAATAGAAATTTATTTCTTACTACCAATATAAGTACATGTAACATTATAATGGATACTATTTATAACTGAAACGTAGAAGATGTATGTTTAGACACAATTGTTTATTAAGAACGGAGAACTCTCTCCATATGTCAGAAATGAAAGAATCTTAAAATAAATGTTTCTGAAATGTGTAAATTTATACATATAAATTTACACATTTCAGAATACATATTATACCAAATATATATTATACACGCCTATAGTAATAATTCAATACACACAAAACTTTAGTCCAAAAATTTCGTGCATATTTGGGATAAAAATAATTTCGCCTGGAGTCATTGAACGCGATTCCAAGCGATCAATATTTTTTTTACGATTCGCTCGCATCTGTGTGTTTGTTGATATATCACCGATGTCGGCCATTGCAGTGCGATATGAAAAATAATTCAAATAAATTGGCAATGTACTAATGTTGTCGGTTCAGTGTGTGCGCCAACGCCGCCCGCCCTGGCTCGTCCGCCCGCCCAATTACCGACCATTCATGTGACATTGTTTGCACAATTCAGGCGTGTTGTGAATAATAAATTATATCTACACACATCTTTTAATATTGTATTAAACAAGAACTTATTCCAAAGTATTTTAAACGGTTCTAAAGTAGTTTTATTGTTGAACAATGGGAATGATATCTCGTGTACGTGGACGAATTAGAAGTGATTCTTTCTCGAAGATTCAAATGAAATCAGAGGATAAGATTGCAAATATAGGTATGTACACATATATTGCACTATTGTAGATCTTATAAAAACATTTTTAGCGGTCTTAAATGCAATGAAAATATTCGTTAATTTATTTAATAAATATGTGTTTAAGATAAGTTCAAAACACATTATATAAAGTAAACATAAGTAACAAAGTTCTATTAAATGGTTAAGGACAAAGAAGTTTTACATAAGACCACATTAAACGATGTTAGTATAGACGATTTTTCTTCAAAATCTGAATTTCCTCTTGTAAACTTAATTGTCGAGTTTTTTTCAGTCTGGTTAATATCCTTGGTACTTCTACTGCCTTACTGGGCACCTCGGGGCCTGTTGGTGGCTCTTGGAGGAGCATGGCTGATGGCTGCATACACATGTTTCATAGTTCCTGTCTTAATATCAGCCAACTACAAATATCCCGCGAGATGGTACCCCGCAGTCGTCAAATTGGCGCGAAGTAAGTAGCAGAGGTACCATTAAGGTCTAAAAACCCGTATTTACAGTCTTTTATATTATAAGTATACGCTATTGTATATGTTCATGCTATGTTTTGATTAAATAAGACGCAATAAACTAAATTTGCCCATTTGCTTTCTACGTAAATATTATTTCATGAATGACAAGACGTAGCGCACGAAAATACTGAAGTAAACATAAAAGTAAAAATGTAAACATGGGTTGTGCCAATCTGAAATAAGTACATAATTTACTTGCTTATCCTATCATCTAGAGACACTTATTGAAGAAAACGTTTTTAGTGTTGTCAAAAGCATAATACTTATATATTAATCGTTTAGCCTAGTAAAAACTGAAGGCTTTGTTCCTTTAAAATGATACAGAATTAGTTAATTAAGGTCATGTCTGCTAAATTGTTTGAATGAGTAACTAAAACATTTAATTCGTTTCGTATTAAAAGCATTTTCGAGTGAAACTTCCTCTCAACTGGTCTATAAAATACGCCGAACATTCTTAACAAACATGTGACAATTGTTATGACTCACGTCTTGAGTAAGAATAATGTTATTAATGTTTACTAAGAAAGTGCGCTATTTCTATAAATAAAAATATATAAGCGAGAAAAATACAATCCGAATTAAATTGTTGATTTCTTTAGTCAAGAAAATTGTATGTACCAATATTCAACGCAAAAACGAAATTGCTACAAGAACTAGCCACGTATTAAATTTTTAGCATGTTTTTTTGAGAAATACATGAAATAAACTTACTATAATGCACTTTTTGAAATTAAAATCAAAACTTATAACTCGTCAAAAAAGATTTGACTTAAAAAACACACGTTTTTCTCATATTTCGTTTAAGACGTCTCCTACAGATTAAGCCCGATATTTTTTTAGTTCTAGTGAATGCAACATGTTTGTGTGGCGCTACTTGCATTTCCCAGTCAAAATACATCGTAGTTAGCGCGTAAATCTCATTCTAAAAACATCGTTTCGGAGCCATCACGTTGATTTTTTATTTGTTTACAGTACACAATATGTTCGTAGTTTGTACCTAGGTATTTATATGTGGGAAAGTCAGGTCATTGTCGATGCGATGCTGAATGGGGCAACGGAAACTGGCCGACCGCCAGAGCTCGTGCGTCAGTGGGACTTTTACTTATATTTTTCTGATTCAAACGAACGCATTACAAACGGATTATCCCGTTATTGCGAGACGGGGGAGGGGGACTACGTGATGTCTTCCACGATTTGTTTGTTTTAGGCATGAGCCATTTTAAAATAGGGCATTTGTCATCAACGAGGAGGTCTAATCTATACTAATATGATAAAGTTGTTTGTTTGAGGGCGCTAATCTCAGGATCTTCTGGTTCGAATAGAATTGAAAAATTCCTTTTGTTCTAACCAATAGGTTAGAACATTTATCGAGAAAAGGTATAAAACATTAAATTGCAATCAGTAGGAGCGAAGATACAGAAGGAAAAGTGGGAAAATATTCTTGCGTGCGCTGCGAAAACGATTCAAGAAACGGACAGGACGGAAGGTAGAAAAACGATTTAGTAAAGAATCTTTCAACGACCTAAAAAAACGTCCATGATCTTTTAAGATTACGTGACGGACGCGGACAAAGTCGTGGGTCACACGGTTATAACTCATAAAGCTGAGGAGGGTGCAAAAATAAATACGATGCCAAAAGCGAGCACAGCGAGTGTTTTATAAAACGGGGTTTTGTTGGCACAACTTTAGTATTTATGAACATAGACATATGGATATAAAAATATTTTGTGAATTTCAATATAGTCATCATGTACATAGTTTTTTGAGCTTATGAAAGGCTAGAGATCAAATCAAATAGCTACAAGTACTAGCGCAATGTAATTTCAGCCGTAAACACTTGAATATTAAGGCCCAGGTCGTAATTTTTTTCAATTTATTTTCGATTTTTATTATATATAGCGCCATCATGTGATTAAATATTAAAGGTTTGAAAACTTTATGAACGGTTTTTATGTAGTTATTCTTTGGAGAAATTTATCCTAGCTAGTATCGAATCTAAAAAAATAAAGGACAAAAAATTATAGACTTACCAGCTAAATCCTATTAGGCTGAAGTTATATTCCGTAGAAGTCCAGTCCTGAACTGATAACGCCTAAGCGATGGTCCATTTTATATTAAAAGGGTTGAGCGGGATGTTCAAACAATCTAAGAAAATGGGAAAGTATCATTCAAAAGAGAAGCAGTCAAAAGAAGCTTTCTTTATGTTGCTATGCAAAAATATGTAGAATGTAGATACTAACAAAATTGTATGAAATAACCACAGATCACTTAACAAATAAAAAAAAGTATGTGCTGGCAATAAATATAACTACATATTTGTAAACGAAAATTGTAAACGCACAAAAACGTACAGAACATAAGGCAATATAAAAATCTATTATAACAGCGAATTACATCTATAGGTTTAAAATACGTTAAAAAAATTATTCATGGTAATTTTATTTATTGCTTATTGCCATCCAAGAAAGTTCGAAAAAAAGATAATTAATGCAAATCTAATGACTTGGAAACACGATATTTTAGTGGACAATATAAAGTGACAGTTTGTTATAAAGAAGAAAGGACGCTTTGGAATACCTAATTCTCAAGTGTTGACATAATTCCTTGATTTCTGTATCTAATATAGATTGAATAACTCTCCAAGGAGTGTTGTGACTAGCGCTACAAAACCGCTGGTCATAATTTAGACTAGAAAAACGGTTTTCCAGTCGTAGCGAAAGCATCTGACAATCTACCAAAAAGCACAATATTTGTTCACTTCTAAGTATTTATTTCAAATGTACACCCGTTAAGCTAAGCGCGTGTGTTTTGTCTGTTCGTGTGTTCTTAATACTATTTTTTTATATTCTGGAATGGTAATGCATTCGAAAACATGATTTTTGTTTTTAAAACACTACTTCAAGTACTATTTAAATCTTGAAAATCATCGGAAAACTTACTAAGCCAATACTATCGTGTCGCCATCTTTAAAAAGCAACGCGCAGCCTTACTAGGAACAGGAACGTATTATTATATTTATCTAAATTTTGATTAATTAATTTTCTTTGTTGCAGAGATAATAAGAAGATTGAGGGAGCCAATTACGCGAGTTCTCTACATTCTTAAAACAGCTTATTCTCCTATTGATCGCGCAGAACGTCTCTTTTTGCAGTTGAACAATCTATCAACAATGATTTCTCAGGTAATTGAAATGATTTAAAAAAATACTGGAATAGTTTGTATTTCTTTAATAACTTATTATAAAATAATTTAAGCTCAAAATGGCGTTCTAGAGATAAGACGATTCCTATGAAAGATATCTTTCAACCACATTCCAAAAAAAATTTAAAGATCCCTACTAAATTGTAAATTGTTATTACAGCTCCTGATTTTCACGGCCTGCGACCGCCTCCTCGTGTCAAGCGGCCGCCTGACCTGCCTCTACTCCCTCATGTTCTACAACGTCATCACATACTCCGTCAACTACATCCGGGAAATATGCACGAAGGAAAATTGGACTCCGTACGTTAACGTCACTCGCCACTCCCAAGTCAAGCACCTCGCTATGTCCGCAACCAAAATCGTCCTCGAGTGGACCAAAGCCGTCACGTTTATAGTCACTATGACTTTCATTCTTCTAACGCTTGGCTTGGAGCAGGGCTTGGAGCATTTTAAGCCAACTCTACTGTACACCATCATTACGGGCACTTACTACTTATTGACAGAGAAAACATTCCTAGAGTTATGGCCGGTCGCTCTAACCGCTCTGAAGATAGAGAGGCTTGAAGGTATGGACGCTCTGTATTGTGGAGTATGGGCCAGGTGTGTGACCACTTTAATAGCGCTACCCTTGGTGCCTGCTCTAGCGTGGGGTGAACGCTGGAGATTGGCTCTTCTAATTGCGTACGTCTGTGTTTATATGCACGGGCGTCACAGGCTTGGAGAAGCGTTGGTGAAGCTTAACGAAGCTTGCGATTCGCTGGCTCAGTTTCGACGGGCGACAGTTGAAGAGTTGTCCACGCTAGAAGACGTCTGCGCTGTCTGCCTTGGCATCATGAAATCGGCCAGGGTTACTCCATGCGCCCATTTCTTCCATGCGGACTGTTTGAGGCGCTGTCTAGCGGCTTCAGACAGATGCCCCATTTGTGTCAGACCTTACGTATTCTGTTGACGGGTGGCGATTGATAGACTGAAAAAGACTGCTTGGTTTATGATAAGCCAGATATGAACAGTATTATATGTCGAAAGATATTTTTATGAATCCGCAAAAGTATGTATAATTGTATATATGCACTTAAGTAGGTATATAATGAATATATGCCTTCATTCATTTTTCCTCTTAGCTACTTTTGGAATGTAGAAATATGTATTAGAATTTCAGTACAAATACTATGTTGTGGAGAAACCTTAAAAATCATTAGATATAAAGGATATAATATGTATAAGACATTTCGCCTGCTATATGCTCTGAAATAGATATCTAATAAGCAACCTTTGTTTGGGGCTTTTGTTATTTAACAAATAAATGTACTTTTATACGTATATAAAGAGGTTTTATTCCATGATAAATATAATAACAAATAATGACGCGACAAAATTTTATATGTATCTAGCATACACAATCTACATCTGTCGATAGCATCAGGAAGTTGAAGCAAGTCGGCGATGGGCAAATACAGAGTAAAAAATAAAGGAATCTCGCAATTATCGATAGAAAACCATTATAAAACTCATTCTTGAAACAAATAAGGTTTGACTTTAAGAAAAGATATACTATCAAACTCTATAGACTTCTTAGCTACATAATATTTGTGTTTCTTTTTGGTGTAAAGATAATATTTTCCTCAAACCATAGATGGCGTAATCCTAAGTTACTAACCACGTTTTGTTGGATTACGTAAGCTCAACTAAGCTCGACCGCATATACTGTAAAAATATGCCATCTCTTTTTAACTTACAGTTAAAATATATGTCTGTTTCGCACGTTTATTCCAACTGCTATACAATACTGAACTCTAAATTAACCAAGAGTCGGTTTACACACGGCAAGAAGCATCATCCTTATAGAATTTATCAGTAGCCGCGAACAACATTTCGATTCGGACGTGTTTTTTTTTCTTTCTTTCGAAAACATTTAACGCATTATCATTTTATGAATGAAAATGTGATTTAGTTTTGATGAAATACGCTTTATAGCTAAAAGTCGAGTGACACAATTCATTCTATTGATAAACAGGTATGTTTAATCAATTATTGATAAATAATTTTAAGGATTTAACTTACTATATTTTTTTTACCCAACTTATTTAGACATAAAAAATAAGTACATTACTTTCGTCTATATGAGTAAAGCCGAAAAGGTAAAGCTTATTTCAGTCTATATCTATGTATATTTAAAAATATGAAGCTGTTTAATTTTTAGTTTAATGAACGAAATGTCATATCAATAAATCTATCGTGAAAAATGACGCAAGTAACATCTGATATGTAAATGTAGGTATGTAAAGTTCAAAAGTTTCCGGTTATTACGAGTCGAATTATATTTTTTTATATATATTCCAGGTATTTTCAGCTTGAAAATTAAAATCAAAATATGTTTATGGTGTATAAAAATAAGAGTACTAGGTAAAACTAAATAAACAATGAATTATTAGTTTATTACAATGCCAATAATATTTCACGTATGCTCTAAAAAAGTGGGTAGAATGCATGAATGTTGATTGAACTGGTTGATTCATGTGTTTGTTATTGAAAGTTGATTGATTTACAATAACGGCACTTGTTTATATCTTTATTAATATTTTTCTATTGATGTTTAAATCGTGTAGGAATATTTACCCTTTGAAATCTCAAGTCATGTTACCTTGAAAATCTCCATGCAATGTCGTCATCGTTATTAAGGATAACGGTCCTTGAACCTAGCGAATGGTGATTGATTGTACATAATATATAATATGTTCAATTCTATACAGACACCATTATATTGTCTAAATAAACACCCTTAGAAGTAAATTAAATATAAAAGACAGATTATATGAAAACATGCAATATTATTCTCAAACGTCTCAGGCCATATATATTTTACAAAGGAACTCATTAAAATAATAAAGTATATATAATTAAATGTTTATCAATAGGAACATTATGGATATGTACATTTTTCACATAACCGTAATATCTCTTATCAGCAAGTATGAACGAAAAACGAGTTGATAACAATAGCTGGGTGACTAACGTATTTAGGTATATACATAAAGTTGATTGGATTACATTTTTCGAATACAAAACTGGTTTAGTTTTCTATAATTAACCACAGAGTACAGATGCGCAGTATTTTTTTAAAATTATATTTATATACTATTTTCAGCCAGTATTTAAAATTATCGCAAAGCTTTTACATAAAACAAATTGCAGAGTCTGTCTCTATACAGTCTATAGTATTACAAATATAAAACGAGATCAAACTTTGGAACCAAAACTGCTGGCCGTAGAAAAAACTTAAATATTAACGTTGTAAAAGTACTGTAATGTATGTGGTAAAATAAAAAATAATTTATGGCGCTTTATTAAAGAATGTTTGATCAGTTATTGTGTTCTGACGCGAGGATTGCATTTTTAATCCATAAACAAGAAAAAAGTACAGCGCCGCTAAAGGTTTAATTACAATTAAACAACATAGGTCTCTCGTATTCATTTTTCATTATGTTTTGCTATTGTCACTTGGCTACCGCCCGCGTTTTTTTTAAGTAGTATTTACATATCATTTATAGTCTGTGATAGTTTTAGAAAGGAGTTTATCGTCCCTTACATACACTTTCACCCGATTGTTACGAGTACTGCCTTGTAATGTTTTGAACACAAAACATGTTGGTGATGTTTACCCATGAATAATGTGGCACAAACACAATGCCCGATGTGAAATATTACGTCATTCGGTTGACGAGATTAGAATTGAATTTAATTATAGACCACGAATCGGGTTAGATATGTGGTCTCTCCTCGGATTTAAGCGTAGTATGTCAACATCTAGTGTTTTAAACTGGAGGATAGACAGGCATGGTTCACTTGATGGGTGGTACAATACCCAGCCATATAACGTCTGAGCAAGATGCACTCTCGACCTATTTTGGCTTTGGATATTTGGAAATTCGGAACTATAGTCTAGTCGCTAGTGATTAGTAAATTCATCTGTTGATATTAATTTGATTTACCAACATTCTTACAACTAAATACTTAAGCTAAAATACAAATTTAAGGGGATACAATGGGTCGTGAACAACAATTATAGACAGCAAGCAAAAATAAATATTATAAGACAGGAGAGATCTCGAGTTTCAGGCTTCGAATTTTGGAAATAAATTCCACCCTCAGGCCAGCTGCATAGCAGTTATGTGTCATTGAGTAGTAACGCTGTGACTAGTTTTTACGCATTTTCAAATGTTTATAATATTTAGTATAAATTTTTATTGGGATTTCTTTAATCTTTTGAAAAAGTTCCTCATCTTCAAACTACATTTCTATCGATGATCTCAGGCTCATATGAGCACACATGATAATTGCGCAAGTTAGTGAATCACAATAAATTAGTTTAAATGTACATTCTACACGAAAAGAGGCACATGGCAGACTTCAATAATTGGCCTTCCGCCAGTGCTTTCCTCTTGACATAGATATCCACTAAGCAATAAATCTTCTCGTATTAAGCGATTTAATATAAATCATACATAATCGAACCAAAATTTAAATGAAGACATACGTTCACCCATTTCTTTCATAACTGGATTAATAAGAGATTCGAGACATAAGAACAAGGATACATAGAATTACACATACAAAATAAAACATGTTTGTGCAAAGGCGGCCTTATCGCCTATGGCGATTTCTTCCAGGCAACTTTTGCATGTAAAAATAAGAAATAAAAAGATAATTTCGGTAAACAATCAAAAGTCAACATAAAAAATTAAATTATACAATAAAAAGATAATTTAAACTGGAAATTAACACAAAATTACTAAAGCTAAACATACTTAATAGATAAAAATAACACATAGTTTGTATGTCAGTGTAATATCTCTTTTTTATGATAAAAGAGGACAGTTAAGAGTTCACTTGATAACATGTAAACAAGATGCGCTATCGACCTTTTTTGGTTTTGGATATTCGGAAATCCACAGAAACCGAAACGCAATTAAAACTTCGGCTTTTTCCGTGCCCTACCATGTTTTAGGAAAAATAAAAAAGACATTAGAAAAAATTTGGACCCCGTGGGGATCTAACCCACGACCCGATGATTATAAGCCGTACATTGCTACCATTGCTACCATTGCACTAACGAGTGCTTACTTATTATAAAATACTTAGTCATGAACGTCTAAAACATACAGCTATGTCTCAAAACCAACATAATTATTTAAATAAAACACTTTAACGGTTTAAAACGCGATATATTAGTTAAACTTATTTGAAAATGATTTTTAACTTCGGCCCGACGTTTCGGATGCTTTGCAGCAACCGTGGTCACGGGGAGACTGGTCCTCATCAATTTCAAATAAGTTTAACAATTAGTATCGCGTTTTAAACCGTTAAAGTGTTTTATTTAAATGTGTACTACTCGCGTAAACTACAGGCAGTATCCAACAGAATTATTCAAGATACACTTAGATATATCTTAAAAACCGGTTGACCTCGACTGTGAGAGGTCCAGTGTATGTGCTGTGATTTTGTTACTATTGTTGACATTTTCTTTCCACAAATACGCGTAAGGTAATTTAGAATATCAACTAATACAATGAATTACTATTCAGTACAAATATAAATATACCCCATAAAAAAAATTATACCATGTAGGCAGTGAAAGGAAAAAAATGGTCAGTAGATCATTTTTAATCCCACTACCTACATTGTATAATTTGTTAATCTAATTTTGAAAGCTTTTGAACTAAATACTTATATATTCTCAATAATATATAATTCGACATTGCGGTAGTGAAATAGTTAATTATTATTTTTTTATATTAGATATACCGTTTAATAACGATTAAACGTCAGGATAAACATACGTAGACAAACATTTCAGTTTATTTACCACAAAATATTAAAACATAATCCTAATGTTATTGCACATGTAGGCACCATATAGAGCCACCATCCGAGCAACAGCACGGAAGGTAACGATGCCGGTTTAAGACCTGCCCGAGTCAATTTTTTTTCAATTTATTTTCGATTTTTTTATTACATAATAATATACTATTAAATAACAGGTTGCTAATTATTTGTATTTTTAAAAATTTGCATTTGATTTTACTATTACTCATGCTTGATGCAAGCCCACACATATAAACAGTTAAGTTTCAGCATCACTACGACAATACAATCGGTTGTACAATTTATTGTATAATTTTTGGGTCAAATATTTTTAGAAGTACAAAAATTAGATTTATGAGTCTGATACTAGGTCTTTGTCAATTTAAATGTGCTCGTGTCAAAAAAAAAAATCACTTTGAAAAATTCTTAAATTTAATAGTGCCGATAACCTACCTAATAAGATACAGTCAATTAAACAAATGTAATGGTTAGTCTACAGGGTATAATCATAATCAACCAGCAATGAAATGTCAGTTTACGGTTAATTAATTAATTTTTAATTTAATTATACGCGTCGTATTGTTAATTTCTTTTTCATACCTAATTTGACGGCCCGTATTTATAATGTTGTACGATATGTGTAAGGGAGCAAATTCGATGATAACGGACACGGCACAAAAAACCCATATGGTACAGTGCACTGTGGTCTTAGATTCTGAACCCGGTCGGGTCAATTGAGGTAGTCTAATCAATTAGTTGAGCAACAGCACGGAGCGATGTAGATGCCGGTACAAGTCCAAAATCTTTTTTTTTATCTATATGTGATTGCACGTGAAGTTTTCAAACCCAGATGTTTTCTGTATAAAATCTATAGTTATGTCCAGGAATAAAAACGTGAAGCAAATAAGCGAAGGAAGAAAGAAAAGACCCACGTAGTTTGTTATTACTTTTATCGTCATTAAACATATAAAAGTATGTACACACTATTAAATTTCTCTAATAAATAGTAATTCACGATACAAATAGTAAGTAGTAGTAGCATTGTAAGCAAGACCTTCAGTAATTGTAGCAGTAATTAATTCATCTTTTTTTGCTCTCTATGTCCACGTATCGACTAAGAATGTATCCTGTTTTCCTCTTATTTTTCATTTATTCTAGTTTCACTGACAACGTTGGTCTCACTAGAAACTTGAGATAACAACTTGTTTACTTTAGCTGAAAATAAAAACGTCTAACAAATAAAACAAATAAAAATTTAATTAAAGTACCTTAAAAGGCTTAAGTTTTCTGAATAGTGATAAATAAAGGGGGGTTTTTAAGGAGGAACACTTTTCGGTTTCAGATTAAAATGTGATCAAGAAGAATCAACATGACAATTCTTCTATATGACTATCGGGAGTTGGAGGAGAAGGCCGCCACTCAGCTGAAAGCTTGGAAAGGTTAGTCTAAAAAAATATAAGCGGCTAATACATATATCCTTATTAAATTATTGGAGATTAATAACTTATATCGAAAAATAAATAAATACGTAAATTTTGTCGGTAGTTAACGCGAATTTATTTAACACACTTTTAACAGTTCAAAATGTGAAATATATTAGAAACTTATGTTTATTTAAATAAGACACTTTTAACGGTTTAAAACGCGTCATTGAACTTATAAATTATTTTAACTACAGACAATGTATAGCTTTATTTTTTATCATATGTTAGATACACAGCTTTAGTTCTTAATAATAAAATATCGTCTCATTGATAACAATGTCAAAAAAAGTAAATTTGGTTTACCCTACCTGGGGTAAGAGGCAAACACATCCTGTTTTATATAGCTAATCAAATTATTGTCGTATTACGTTTGTAAGTATTGTAGAGTCCTCGGCATTCGAACCTAGGGCCTCTCACACTTAACGTAGTGCTAGGTGATGCGATTTATCATTGGAGGTGTTCCAAGATATGGAAAATGTTAAAACGTAAACTCAAGATAGCATACTTGATAGCCTCCTCTGTAACTAAATAGTTAATCATGTTGCCTAGCATTGCATTAAACGCGAGAGGTTCTGGTTTCGAATCCCTGGTCACTGTAGATTTCAGTTGAGCAGGGTACAGTAGTCTAAATAACTACTTGCATACAAAAGAACGGAGCAGTAAAACGGACTTAAATGTATTCGTCCCATGCCCCACGGGGGTATCGGGATTTCACTGCACTTAGATAGATTGAATTTAAAGAAGTTAACAGAAAAAAATAGTAACATTTGTGAGCACAAAACATCATACCCTCAATAAAAATCGATTCGTGCACCCCGATAAAATTGTGATATTTTAATAAAATGACCACTCGTTATTACGATAACGTTTGTTTACATAAGTGATAGCCAGAACACGTAAGGTGATAAAAGTTGATTAACACAGGTACAATAACAATACGAACGACTATTCTTAAATATTGCCTGCCTATTACTATTACTGTTCTATTTTTTTTTAATATATGTATCTATTTACTAATAGATACATATATTTAAAAAAATAAAGTTAATTTATTATGAAACTATTTATTGTTAGGTCTTTGGCAAGAGTTTATTACATCTACATTCAAATTCCTGGCCGGTATTACGATTTTTTTAGAATATACTAGAAGTAACCAGAATTCAAATCCTACGCGACCACTGCACAAACAACGTGGAAAAAAGTACTTGTAATAAACATATTTGATTTTTGTCTGAGATCATAACATGCAGTATTATATTAATAGTTGGATACAGGAATGTACGATAAAAGATAAAAATAAATCAGTCAAGGCGATGTTAACGGGATAACGCAAAATGTAGGCCGCATTGTTCTGGGTTTTGATTGTACAATTGTGGCGTGTAGTAATTTTGTAACTTAAATACATCCATTCTTTTTCGAACTGGCTTAGCTAGGACAATTATGCGATTCCGACATCTTTCCTTTAACGTTGATACCTTATACCGTACAATAAGAATCATTACTCGTTTAAGTACATTTATACAATTTCGACTTTCTCTTTCTTTTAAGAGAGTATATATTCAAAGGAACCCTTCAAACGAGTTTAATAGTTATTTGACGTCACAGATTTATTTTTAAAGGCTATTTATTAGGCTTTGTTTTTGTTTAGGTTTGATATTTAGTAGAAAACTTAAAAACGCGACAAATATTATTTGATTTTGACGTAAGATACCTTGGTAATTGCGTAGATTTAACTAGAGTTAAACATAGATGGCGTTCCGAACTATTGGAGTTATTTTTTAATGTATAGGTACAGTAATACCACTCGTATAAAATACAAATACAACTTACTTATTACTGTACGTAAATAGCATCAATAAGGAAAATTGTTGTAAAAAATGTGCTCTCGTAATTATCATTTTATATAATTAATAAGTAATTAACGTGTGTTCTTAAGACAATTGTTTAGTTTTATCACCATTGCTTCTATAAATGTAAAAATGCAGTTAAAATTCCTCATGTAGGGCATATAGCAGACAAATTTCTATGTCTGCTTGACTGATGGTTTATACTTAAGACTTGATTAGATTTATGTATATGACATTAAGTTACTGAGCTGGTCTTTATTATAAGAATTTAAGAAATCTTTATATAAGAAGTAATTTCAGCAACATGAATAAGCAGAGATAAAAAATATTTTTCGTTTTTTACATTTACCGCTGTAGCATAGCGTGATGTTTCATAGCTTCCTCGATATATGCTCTAATCAAAACAAAAATAATTTTTAATTCCTGCGGTTAAGGCGTTCAAACAAACAAACTCTCCATCTTTATATATTAGTATATTTACGCAATTTAAAAGTTTTGAGTTAAAATAAATATGTTATAATGGCAATAAATAGTTTTGAATTTGAATTTATTTCATATGTTTCAGTATGGCATCTAATAATATTTGCTCTCGCTGGCGGTTTCGGCATCTTGAATTACGTATTTCTGCAGAACACAATGGATCTAGTGGACAACAATTGCGTGTTATTTCCACGCCAGCTAAGTTTCAAAATGATAGACGTACCAATCGGAAATACTAATCCAAACGTAGGAAATGTTGATGCTCAAAATGCCGTTCATATTGACAATGCTACGGACGTGAAAGCGAGGGAAATTGCCGAAAACGCAACGAACACGAATAAGCGGGATATGACCTCAATTAGCGATGACAGTGCGCAACGTGGTAAGGAAAATATAAATCCTATTAGCAGTTGGGGAAAGACCCGTTGGTTCAATGGTAGCAATGTTACTTACAACCAACGGTCGTGGATTTAATTTTCACCAAGTGCAGCGAGCTGGAAAAACATTTGCCAACTTAAAAACTTGATAATGAATTAAAAAAATGTACGTCTCGGGCAGGATTTGAACCGGCATCCACAACGTTCCGTGCTGTTGCTCTAACCAGTTAAGCCGAGTCCTATACGTCATCATCAATTTTTTTTACCCTATTGATACATGCATCTCTCGCGCAATGCAATTTCAAACTTAAATTTGGTTAATTAAGGTTTAATGTCTTATGCTTTGCAGCTTAAGGAAATCATTGAAAATGAAATTACAAAGTTTAACGATTGAAAACTTTAATATTTTTCACATGTTATTGCACATTATATAAATTAAAATCAATTATAAATTGAAAAGATTAATTACGACGCAATGGAACTCGAACCTATATTTTAAATTATTTACATGTGAAGAATATTAAGAAATTCTATCTTTTCTAATCACGTATGATCCTGTAATAACTATTTTCTAGTGGAAGAGCGTTTAGTGCTGGACACTTCAAGAACACTCTTTGGGCGCGATACTGACTGCGAGTTCGCTGAATACATGCCTGTAATATCGCTGATTTTCGCAGCCGCTTGGGCGACGATGTTTACTATGTGCCCGGGAGGAGGACAACCTAGATCCGGGTAAATTAATATGGTTACATATAGATTTTTTTTAATATAGAGGAGGCCAGCATTGTGCCCACATGATGGGAGGTGAACTTCCCCAGCCATATAACATTTAAACGAGATACGATGTCGACTTATTTTGGCATTCTTTATTTTTGAATCCCGGAATCATTATTAAATAACAGTTTGTCTATACAGGAGTTAAAGACATCTGTACGGCTGGTTTTCTAAGCACGTACTACGTCCTCAGGCGTTCCTCGCGATTCATAATTAAAAGATGGTGCTTTTGTCTGAACATTATTGGATCTTTTTATAACAATCTCTGTTCCAGGTTACCTCAACCGTGGCGGATCCTAGCACCTGCTCTTATCTTTGCCCTCGTGATGGTAGGATTAACTGGCCATAGTTTCACCCGAATAAACGCGGGGCTTGTCGAGTTTTGCTCCGCGTTTTACAACGTAACAAATACAACTAGGTGCGTATTCCATAAATGATTGAAGATAATAAGAATAAGAAAGTAAAAGTACATATTTTAAAACACTTAAATGGATATAAAGTTGGTTAAGCGGGAGTAAAACCGTTGTGGAGTTGGTACCTAAAAAATAAATACAAATTTATTATTTAAGTCATTGTATACTTGATAGGTATATAGCTTTGTTGACAAATGAATTTTTAATCAAATTTCTTTCTGTGTGTAGTTGCTCAGCGTTAGACGCACACTTAGAGAGGTCCTGGTCTGCTTCATGGTCATTTGCTGGCCGGGCTGCTGCTACGCGGGCAGTCAGCGCTGGTGTTTGGGCTAGCTGGGCATGCGCAGCTACACTTTTTTTAGTACGATGCCTCGCTGCTCCTGACTTCAAGGTTCGACGGACTGGAGCGTACCTGAAAGACCCTCAGAATGTAAGTAGGTATATTGCTACTAGCTGTGTCAGCGACTTTTTCCACGTAGAATAGTTATTTTGGGCATCCAAATGTGTTTTACAAACCCCCTCTTCATCTTTATAAATTTAATCTCTTATTCGCAACGACGTCACGACGTGTCCCATCACTTTTGTTAGTTCATCTTAAGAGAGACGTATACTGTCGCGGAAATTTTTTTTATCATTTAGAGAAGAATCATTGTCTTATTCATATTCTTTGTGTAAAACGTTGCAGAAACCTACAAAAATGTTTCCTAAGGAAACCTAAATTTTCCGCTGTTTCTTCGCTACTATTAGTCACAGCGCAATGTTATAGCCTTCCTCGATAAATGCTCTAATTAACACAAAATTAATTCTTAAATAAGAACCAGTAGTTCCTGATATTAGCGCATTTAAACATACAAAAAAACAAACGCTTCGAAACGAAAATCGATTTTGATGAAGTTGCCTTCAATTTGTGAAACTAGACATTTTTTTATTAAACCAAAGTACTTATCATAATTTTTCTTTCAGAAAGTAACACCATATCTGAACAAGCCCCGGCGTCAAATAAGCAAAGAGTCCCCAAGCAAACCGGACATGACCTCTCTTAGATCTGAACCAACTATCACTACGGAGTTGGTCACAGTCTCCATAGAGCAAGACCAAGACACCGCACCTACATCACTTCAAGTTACGCCAATCAAAACGCCCAAAAAAGAATCTATAGAATTGAAATCACCGCCACACATTTTAGACTAATCGTCGTATAAGTTATCTGTGATCGTTTACTAATAAATTAATGATTAATTAGCTTACTAATATGCTCAACGCTTTTATGGACAATGATGAATAAAGAGTGTCTGATAAAATGGTTTTTATCATTCCACATCCTTTACTAACACCTCTGTTTCCCTTTTGAGACTTTCCTAAAAAAACTTGAAATTAATAAATAATTTTTACCTATTATTTTGATTGACGTATCGATATATATCTTCAAGAAGGGAACGTAGAAAAATTAAAAATCTTTTTCTTTTGGTTAATGCAAAATTTTTAGGTTTAAAAATACAACACAAAAAGGACAATACTTTTTTATACCTAGGTTTTCTTGTATTTTGGTTTTATAAATATTAATAACGATATGGATATTTTCACCTAATTTCCGACGTGAGGTACGTCGGAATTTATTATGTTTTTTACAAGGTATTTATGACATAACGTAATGAAAGGGGTTTAAGGTGTTGCTTTGTTATTGCATAACTTATGAATTTATATATTAATATATTTTTTTTATATATATAATGTATATTATCTTCCTTGGCTTAAAATGTTTATGACCAAGCCATTAAAATACGATGACTTTGACATTGACAGTGATACTCATATAAACATTGCAAATATTTTCAAATTTCAACATATTGCAACTTACAAGAATCAATCGAGCCTAAAATTGTAATAAAAAAGGCTAGCTGGGAACTAAAATAATGGCAATATACCAGGTAAACAAATATATTAACAAAAGACATTACATAAAACAGTTCTTGCGGTGCCTGCAAAATGTTAAGGATCCCCCAAAAAGGTGCTATATCCTCTTGAAAGTAGGAGGCTACTGAAAGTTAGTGGGACGGAGGCATCGGCGTTTTTACAAGGGCTCATTACCAACGACATGCGACATTTCGAAGAAGGGTCCCATTCTGTGTATGCAATGTTTCTGAACAACAAGGGACGAGTTTTGTTTGACACGTTAATTCACAAATGGGATGATGAACACTCTTTCATGTTGGAATGTGATAGTAAAATCATCAGTTCATTAGAAAAACATTTGAAAGTATTTAAGTTAAGACGAAAAGTTTCTATTGAAGATGTAAATAAAAACTACAAATTATGGGCTTTTATAACTCCATCAGACACAGTTTTTGATGAAAATGTAAATCCTAAGAATGAAGTGAACATGTTTAAAGACCCTAGATTGAATGATCTTGGATACAGGTTAATATCTGCACCCTCTCTATCCGAGATTCATATAGCATCTACTTTGGGCAAAGATGTTACAATTGATAGTGAAGATGGTTATAAATATTTAAGATATAAACTAGGTGTCAGTGAAGGTTCTGAAGACCTACCACCTGGGACAAGCTTTCCCCTAGAAGTAAACTGTGACTATTTACATGGTGTAAGTTTTCATAAAGGCTGCTACATAGGCCAAGAGCTAACTGCTAGAGTACATCATACTGGCGTTGTGAGAAAGCGAATTATGCCTATAAAATTCTCAGAGAGTATAAATGAAAATATACAAAAAGACTCAATTATTACAGCAAGCAATAACTCAAAATTGAATTTAGGGAAGCTTAAAGGTGTTGTAAATAATTATGGGTTAGGCTTGATTAGAACAAAGGAAGCTTTAGATACCAAAACAATAAGTGTTGGTAGATATTTGGCAGAGCCTATTAAACCAGATTGGTGGCCTCTTGAAGCGCCTAAAGAAATTACAAAGAATGAATAGAACTGTTCAAATGCATCATTCAAAAGATCTGAACTTATGTGATGTAGGTATTTTGCCAGGATGTTTAAAACAAAACAATATATATAATATGTAGTAACTTTTGCCTTTGTACACATTAAAATTTTTGCTCATTTGTAAAATGGCTTAGTTACATAGATATCTAATTTGATACTGAGTGAACTCTGTGGTTTTTGCTTATAATATTTAATAGAACCACTTTGATTTATATTAATATAATTAATATGTTATTTCAGAGAAATGGATACTAAGGAAAAGGTAGACTCCCCCATACATTATGATTTCATCTGCACAAAATGTGGACTCCAAGAAAAGGCACATTACAAAGGAACAAATCCACCATTCTCCCGTAACTTAGAACTTAAATACCAAAGTTATATTATGAAAGACCCTTTCAGCCCGCCAGGAAAAGGTGAGATACTTGTTCTTGGGTCTGACTGTGCCATCTGTGACAGAGCCGTGTGCGTTAGTAAAGATTGCAGTGTATTTTTCTGTAAATTATATTGTTTAGACTGTGCTAAAACTTCAATCGATCACTTTCCTTTAGAAATTCAGAGCAAGATTACTCAGCTATGTAAATAAATTACGATTGTAATAAAAACTTATTTCAGCCATTCGTGTTTCTTATTTGGTGGTATAAATAAAACATTTCCGTTTATAAAATACTGTTTACTTTGGCTTTCCAATCCGATTTACAGTATTTATTTTAAAACTTTTACAAATGAATTATAACACAGTTTAATGAATTGAAATTTAATTACGCATTTCTAATTATAATACACAAAATTATGGTTATACAAGAGAAGTCGCCGCAAACGTGAGCTATAACCGCGGCTGAATCCTTTTGGAAATTAAATCTTAATATTACAATGTAGCTATATTTATGTTATATATATTAATAAGCTCTAAATCAGGACAAAATTAAATCACTATATTTTGTCTCGACCGACCGTCCAACTCTGACTGTTAGCACCACATTTCATCGTAACCCCCTTAGAAATCGACCAGTGATTCTAACAATGTATCCAATAATAATCAAACGCTAATTCAACAGCAATTACACGTAGATAAACATTTAAAAGTGACTATATTATTGCTTTATGTGATCCCTAATTACCTATGTGTTGAGAAATCACTATACGCTATCTAAAACTTAAAAGTTCACCTCTCACAAATAGACAAACATACACGAAAATAAAATTCGTTTATGTTAACTGATAGCTATTGAATTGCTAATTACATGCTGGAAATACGAAAGAATATTATGCTATTTTTATGGAAGTGCTTTAATTATAACGTGACGACTATGAATGATAAAACTATCCAAGGAAGACCCAAGCTTAAGAAAGTTTGTGTCTTCTTTGGGGAGTTAATTTGAAGGAAACCAAAATCGAATTACTATTAAGAAATAACTATTCAGTGTTAATATCGAAATAGATTATTTTATTTCAAACTTGTCGCAATTGTCAACAACTTGATAACCCAAGTGGCGTACGGAGGCTCTTTTTCATCAGTGAAGCAATGTCAACCAATCAGAGCTTGTAAATTTTTAAGAGCTCTGATTAGTTACAGTTACACTGACAAAAAAAAGGGCAGAATTAAATGAACATGAAGGTTGTAACTATTTCTATAATACTATTCCAGAATATTTTATTAGCTACGGGGAATGAGCAACCTGTCACAAATTCATAACACAATATTTACATCTCTTGTTTTTGATTGACGTTTGGGAAATATTCTGTATACTACGAACACCTTATCGCAAATGTAAATTTCGATACAAATATTGACACGACACAAAGTTACATTCATCTAAAATTGTTGGGTAAATGTTCATAATAATCGTTGGTACTGGCCTAAGTTAAAAAACGATGGTCTAAATTTAAATCAATTATAACACTTGGACGGGTAAAATTTACGATAGGTACAAAATTATTATACAATTACTGGGATCTAAGCATTTCGTTTTGCTCGCACACTGATTCACGCGAGCTAGGATCATTCACAGCCGTGTCACATGTCACACGAGCTTCTAAATTTTACATCAAAAAGTTGACAGGCAGGAATCGAACTCGAACCAGGTTCGGACACTAACAATCCAATTTCAGCTCAGCTATTCAATTGATAGAATGGCACTGAACACAAAAATAATGGTTCGTGGGTTAAAGTCCCGCCTGTTTCAGAATGTTTTAATCTGAAATAGTCTTTCAATTTTTAATTCATAGAATTTTATTTATCGTTACGCGAAGTTAGTGAAAACAAAATTATATTAAGATTTTGAAGGAAGGAGATTCTTTAAAAGTTTTTCTTAAAGGAAAATTCAAGGGTCAGATTTCCATCAAATGAGAAAATGAAATTTAATAAGCTATGAGGCGTTTCTGCATTTGTAATAGTATACAGTAAACATAGTATGGTGTTTACTGTTAGCGGTTGTAAACTGTACCAAGCCGCTTATAAAAGTACAAGTACCTACTACTAAAAACGCGAAAATGCCGCAAATTTATTACATTAAAGCCGTTATAGATCTTAAAATATTAAAGAGATCAAAACTGCTTTACAAAAGGAACAATAAAACAAAATAGTGTAGAAAGAGAATGTACATCTGGCCACAAACAGACAATGAGTTTTAAATAAAACCATTGCACAGAATTTTTCTACTAAAAATATACTTGTTTTTGAAAACTTTCACATCAATCACATGGTAATTTGTTAACATGTTGTTTTTCTTTGTCATTTCAATTTAGTTGGCAGCGTGGAATCTATGAGATTTCCTTCGAAACATACTCTTAACTAAACTGTATTGTTCACAACATCTAACCAAAAACCAAAATTCTTCTTATTATTTCATCATTAAACATTATAGTCATTTGATGAAAATCTGCGTTAACCAAATTTTAAATAATGTCATATTTTCACCGTCCTTTAAATAAAATCAATATAAAACTAAAACTTACACTCGAAAAACAGTCTTAAATGATAAAATTTATATTATGTGCATATACCAAAACAGTATTTAGGCTTCTAAAATAAAAGTTTACCGGTCACATCATAAAACATTTTTCACAGGGATATAGATAATTTGTTACTTAAGAACTATGTGAATCAAAAAATTGCATAGGGTATGAGCAACACACATATAATACTAGAAATTTTTAATATCTATAAACTATTGATCTTGGTACAGTTATAAGGATTGAAGGACAAATTAACAGACATACACTTTTTCATAGTAATAAGAAGTTTTTATAGGATTCGTAAGATTAAAAAACGAAATATTTAACCTATATTAATTGAACACAAATAGTTTGTCATATGCTTCCTTGTATACTTTCTCGTTTCTGTTGTATTGCCATTATTTCAAGATCTTAAACAATAACTTGGGTGTTAGAGGAAAAATCCTAATATATAAAAATATAACTGAAGATAATAAAGATTGAGGGAGTGTCTCGGCGACCAGAATAAAAAACAACCATCGATATGCCCAGATCAGGCCACCGGCAACCTATAGTTTTGAAAGATAAATTCGATAACAGTTAGAAGTCAAAAATGAGTCTGTGTGTTATTCACATATCTCACAAAACAAAGAACTTTTAGCGTCCACTTTTAGCCTAGGATATTTTGGAGATCCACTTCGCGAATACATGTTCCTGCGATCGTCAAATTATACTTAACAGGATCATACAAAATCAATATTTATAAAATCGTATGTCTACTATGACAACGCAGTCGCCATTGTGATGTAGCACATGGAATGTACGTTTAACACCGGTTTCCACGAACATTATATACAAAATTACAAAACGATAACAATTTTTTATACACCTGCAAATAATTATTATTCTAACAACGAAGATTTGGCGCAATATTACAAATCAAGCAACTTACACGCCTTCTGCAAGGGCCACTCGCTGGCTATATGAAATTGTGATAAACTGCGACAAACACTGTCTGTAGTTTATGCGAGTAGTAAACATCTAAATAAAACACTCTAACGATTTAAAACGCGATATTTATTAGTAAAACTTATTTGGATTCCAAATACCAACTTCGGCGGAACAGGTGGCAGTAGCGTAGCAATTTTTTAGTTTGATGTCAGTGACATCCTCAACCTGTAGTCTCCCCGTGACCACGGCTGCTGCAAGGCATCCGAAACGTCAGGCCGTAATTAAAATATTTTTCACATACGTTTTACTAATATACACATATCGTGTTTTAAACCGTTGAAGTGATTTATTGAAACTGCGACAAAACAACTAGCATTCAATACCACATTTCACCAAGAAAAAATGACATTGAGTAAATCGATCGGCTAGTAAACCGGAGTTTAAAAATAAGAATTTAACAACCGTTAACTTTCTTCTCCTTCTCATTTAATGCGATTACTTCTAGGTGAAACCGAAGGTACACACAACACCGGTACACCACTTATAAGTACGAAAGTACACCACGTTTGGGAGTGGAGGAGTCCCCGAATTTGAAATCCGCAGTCCAATAGCATTTTGAGCTTTTAGATCAACGTTTCTTATACAAAACTGCATTACATTTTGACACAAAACACAACAACACATCACTGAGCGAAGGATACGTTAGCACTGTCAAGTAGGTAAGAATGTACAAGGCGCAAGTTACGAACGCAATATAAACATCTGATCATCAATTTTTATTTTATTGCATTGTTTCAGTTTTGTTGAATAAACAAAATCACTAATCAGCAAGCACCTTGCACGCATCCTAGTTCCGGTGTCCACTTCTTAGGACATTTCACACGTTGAACATATTAAGAGTTCGTGACGTCAGGCGCCACGGGGTGAGCGACACTCATTCGGGTAGGAGGTGCCGAACCCGGGCGGCCAGCGCTTGTATCGCGTCACTCAATTGTACGGTGCAGTCTGGACGAGGAGGTGCCGGAGGTTCTTCTTCTGGGGAGTCATCCGAATCGGGGGGTAAATCTTCTAGCGTCTCCTCCGCTTCGCTGCCCTCGGGCGACTGACATCTGCTGACTTCCGCTATCGTTTCGGTCGATGCTTCGATCTCAGCTTGATCGTCTTCTAAAATAACATATTGACTACGTAATTCAAATGAAAGCTTTGATGAATACAACTGCATTTCTGCTAAAGAATCCAAAGAAATTTTTAGGCTATTTGTTGGCCAACAAAAAAGAAAAAAAAAGTCTGAGTTTGAATACTATACTCACCAGCAGTAGTAGGCGGTCGTTGATGCAGCGCCGTCAATGCCCTCTGTAGCGCAGTAACAGCAGCAGGCGGCAACGATCCCGCACTTAGAATGACCAGCGCTCTCACCCGCCCCAACACACCTCGCGTTCCACCGCTTGTCACCTCTTCCGCTATCGCTTCTATCGCGCCCGAACCGCTGGTTAGACTTCCGCTACCGCTCCCGCTCCCGCTAGCGGCACCGCTTATTTGACACACCTGGAACATTTCATTTGAAATAAATTACCTACTCAGGTAATTGTAGGAAGAACTTAGTCTAGAAATTTTATGAATGGTTCGACAAACTAAATATAATATATTAACAATATTAGTATGAATGTATTTGTCTTTTGGACATTTTACCTACCGTTCAATACGAGTAGTCTCACTACTCGTATTGAAAGGTATTTTCAATAACCTATTTAATAAGGTTTAAAGAATAAAGTACATAATATCGTGATTACTTTTCTACAAACCTCTATGAAAAAGGGCATCACGGTTAAATACTTTAATTAGTTTGTTTCCATTAGACAAATAAAATTATAGTTTTTTGTGTTAGGATTTGATCAAACAGGTAATAAGCAAAAAAACAAAAAGACCGACGCTTGTGAATATAAACGATCACGGAACTTACTTTGGGATAGTAATGTTGAACAAATTCATAAATAATAGGGTCCTCTAGAGACTCCCGCTCGTCCAGCAATACGGCGTCGATATATTCAGATAGTACGCTACACTCCAGCAACATTTCTTCCAGTTTTGCATCGGCCTGTAAATTGGGATCAAAACATCAAATCATATATTCCTGTTTTCCCCATTTTTTGACTCAATCTTCAAACGAACAAGGTTAAGCGCAAGAGGGTTCATATACCGGGATACATAATCAATTGTGTGGTCAGAATGGGCACAGAAGTCTGATCAACTACTTGCCTGTGAATAACTCTAGCAGAAAAACAGATAGAATTGTTTCTCCCCGTGACTCACGAACGGAAAACGATTTGTCTTTTTATTTATACTTGCTATATATACATAATTTCACGTTATATGTTTTATTGACAGTAAAACTAGTTATTATTTATTGGATTCAGAGTCAAGGAAGTATAATTAAAAAAAAATATGTGAATGAATGAAAAATACATGTGAAAATATTTTCACATGTTATTGCACTATATAATTAAAAAGAAAAAGCGCAAGAGGTGAATGTAAAAATAGGTTGAAAATTCGACGATGACGTGTAGGGCGCGGTAGCTCAATTGGTTAGACCAACAGCACGGAACGCTGCGGATGCCGGTTCAAGTCGTACCCGTGTCGTAATTTTTTTTAACGTTTCTAACGTTGAAACGAAGCTTTCCTTAAAATCTATAGTACCTATGAATGTTTAATACATACGGGCGTGTTGGCGATATCTCTCCAGAAGGCGGCAAAGTAGTTAAATCTTAGTGGTACCGCTTCAAGAGCGCACAAAGCAGATAGTAGTACTAGTTGTTCTGACATACAGCGCTGATTCCGAGCCACACGACAACACGTGTCTGCCAAGATATGACACATTAATAAAACGGTTCCTTTAACATCTTTTAGAAAAATCTTTGTATCCATGAGACACATATACGAGGGAAAAGACACATGAACACCATTTCGGGTCGAAAGCATACACAATAATCTATAATAAATTTAAAAAAAAAACATATTTTTAGTAAGTCATACAGAAATCTGATTATCTTCTTGTCTGTACATGAAATCGATCAGTGAAAGAGACGAAAGTGTGTTTGCCCCGGGCCCCTATGTAGGAGAAGTGGAATTACATACCTAACACAAATAATCAACATAACCTCTCCTAATATAAATAACACAGTAAAACATGGGAAAAGCTTGATTGATGTTCGGTATTAGACACTATCAGAGTGGTAACATTTTAAAAAATACCCCCATCTATTTTATGTAATATATACCTACCTATAAATTTATGATACGGCCTGTATAACGGTGGGGGTGCGTGCGTGTGAGAACGATTGCGGGTACGTGGCCGTGCGGGAGTACGTGCAGCCGCATGCGCTTCCGCGGCTAACGGCACGAGCGCACCAAGTGCAGCTCCGCCCCCAATCATTACTAGTTCACGGAGGACACCTAAAAATAGATATGGTTAGTAAATACAAAAGCCTAAAATAGAGTCACAAATACTTTCTATCATTGTAGGTTGCTTTATGTCATAAACATGTTTATGACATTTACACCCTTAAACGTCATAAAACATGTTACACACTTAAACGGTTTAAAATGCCAAACATATTAAATAAAATTATTTTAACTTATGGAGGTGTGTATCTAATGTCAAAGAAAAAACTGCTAGCGCCATTTGTTCCGTCCTAGTTGTTAAATGGCAAAACTGGTCGGAATTAATTAAGAATCTGCTGAATCTCTGCAGAATTGATTAAGTTTAACTAATATATTTCGTATAATAATATACACTGTCAAAGTGTTTTATTTAAATGTGTACTACTCGGGTAGATTACAGACAGTCTTTACATTTTAACAGATGTCACTATTATTTACCTAACGCCGCTCGGGGTAACAAGGCGGATCGCTGATGCAAGTTTAGTAGCGTAAGTAGCCGTCTAGCACACTCGGGCCAATCCTTGCAGGCTAGCAGTAGTGCACGGGCCTCTTTCGGTTCGCGGCGCGTGCGCAGCGTGCGACACAACGCCCGCGCCCAACGTAACGCTGCTGTCAATTCGCCACGGACACCTTCCCCCACAGATGTACCGCCTGCTCCGCCTTCCACATAAACAGCGTGTAGACTATGTAATGCCTGAGGAAAAAAATAGTCGTTGTTTTTACTTAATCGCAATACATATTCTGCATTGTATTCTATTACACGAGGCGACTTATGACGAGAAGTTTCTTCTCTGTAGCTAAAATATATTTTGATGTACTGCTCAGAAAATGACGGTTAATTATACGAACAAGCAGATTTATTCTTGCTATGACTATAAAAAGGTATGCTTAATGAAAATTTTGATACCCATAAATTTGACACTATGAAAGTAAGTAAATCAGGTTTTCTGCAAAAAACATTATATGTAATACTCACTTCGAAAGTCATTTGCAATCCTCCATTATAAACTACGTACAGTCTATCATCTCCGTTCTCTACTAGCGTACAAAAAGCCGAGATAAGCGTAGTCCACGATGTCCGACCATTAAGACCTAGAAATGAGATTGTAATAATGAATAAAACGATGAATGAGTTTTAAATCTTTTCAGATTGATTTGTGAAAAATATTTTTGTCGTATGTGGAATTATTGAAAATCCTCTAACAACAACAAATATTATTTACCCTGTAAATATGCAGCAAGGGTGCTCCGTCTAAAAGCAGCTGCCTCTCGCTCATCAATCTCACTTCCATTAGTTGCGTTGCTGTTGCTGCTGCTACTGCTGCTACTGGCTGCACCGCCTCGTGCTGCTAATATACGGGCTAGCCTGAAAACAAGACCAATATTCCTTAATTGTTATTTGTTTTATCATGAATTTCATGACTGGTCATTTAGTTTGAAGAGTACGGAAACAGTGTGCGGCGCGCTTCGGTCTCCTACTTATGTTATCGAGTTGTTACTTCAATTGAAAAAAGTAACGTTAAGTAGAACATAATAGAAGAAAAACGAACATACGAATCTAAATTAGATTTCGCTGTCAACCAAAAATTTGTATAAACCCCTTATTTTTTAAATAATTATTTTAAAAGGTTTACAAAAAAATACCTAAGCAACTCGTCAGCGGCGGCAGGATAGAGATGCGAGTGCGGTGCAATATTCCGAAACGCCCAATGGACATTTTGGTGTTGCGCAAGAGTTCGCGCAAATGACGCAGAACGGCGGCAGCAGAGCCGCAGTAATGCGTAGTATGGTGGTAACATTGCGCGATTGTACGCAACTACATCGCTGTCCTCGTGATCGGCCCTTGAAAACAGGTATATATTAGTATCTCATAAGTTATCATTCTTATTGCTCTTTTAAAATGACATTCTAGAATTGAAAATCTAAATGGCACATTATGGGGTATATTATATAGATTGAAAAAAAAATTACAACAACGGACTTGTGCCGGCATCCACAGCGTTCCGAGCTGTTGCTCTAACTAACCAATCAAAGTCGAAGCTTCAAGAACTGCCCGTATCGTAATATTTTTTTCAATCTAAAATCGATGTTTAATTTATATAATGCCATTGTAACATGTGAAAAATATTAAGATTTTTGAATAATATATCTAGTTTAACTTAATGTAGGCCACTCAACTTTCTTCCACCATCATTCAGTTCATCACACATCAGTTTACTTCACATGCAGAATACTTACAGGATGTAATTAAACGCGATGTGTTTGATGACGCGGGGATTGGACACTATTAGCTGTACATTTTCTGGACAGTCCACCGATACGGTGTGCCAGAAGGTGATCAGAGCTTGCTTATTAGGATGCACTGCCACAGATGGCTCCGAGATGCCCGGGTGGTATAGATCCCATAGATCCATGAAGTATTGTCCGAACTGTACAAGTAATAATATCATCAACTTTACCAGTGCTTCAATAATTAAAAAAAAACGTAGAAAGGTTTAAGTGATGAAAAATCATGTTAGCCAGAAATGTATTGTAAAACTCCTAATATTACAAATTGTACCGTTAAATATACTAACGTGTACGTACTTGTATATTATGTGATTCGTTAAGGATGAAATAATTGAATACTGTCTGTAGTTTACGCGAGTAGTAAACCTTTAAATAGAACACTTCCACGATTTAAAACGCGAAATACCGCGTGCCCACGGCTGCTGCAAATCATTCGGAAATTCGGATGATTTGCAGCAGTCGTCGAAATATATTTCGCGTTTTAAACCGTTAAAGTGTTTTATTTGATGGATAATGAAATTTTAATTTCTATGCATTGCTAGTCTTACGACATATTTATTATTAAAAAGCATGTTAATTACCGCCTCTGTAGCCAAATGGTTAAACGTCTAGCATTGCATTGAGCGCGAGAGGTCCTGGGTTCGAATCCCAGGGAAACAAAAAAAGCGTTTCGGTCGGGCAGGGCACAGAAGTCTGATCAACTAGTTGCCCGTTAAAAGAACTGATCAGTGAAACGGACACAAAATTGTGTTCGCCCCATGCCCCACGAGGCGGAAACGGGCTTTCACTTGAGTTAATCACAATATCCCGAACAAGTTCACTAGGAGACACAACTTACCGCAAGGGTGGAAAATTTTGAATATTCCAAAAACACTCACCATTAACTTTTCCACGCGACTGACAACACAATATGACATCACTCCGAAATACGCAGTCAATTTGACAGCGCCATGCACTGCAATATCAGTGTACTTGCGAGCCGCTTTCAATTTGCTTAACAGCATCGTGTAGACCTGTCCAGAAGATAAATGAAATTGAATTAAGAAATATTCGATAAGACGTTTTTAGTAAACCTCAGTCAAACAATTACGGCTAATGGTCGTGGGGGAAACATTTTTCTAATCATCTTATAATTTTTATGAAACATGTTGGACTTCGTTTGGAAATCTGAGTATTAAATGGGTTGTAACATAGAAACATCGAACTTCTGTCCGGGTCACGAACCACCGCCCACAGGTGAAGTAACCTTGAAGTTTACTCGCGTTTCGCTTTAGTTTGTGAATTCTGTAATATCTAAAGCCGAAATAAGTTGTCAGCACATCATGTTTGGCGTTATATGGCTGCGGCACTTCACCTACCATGAAGTGCTTGATTGTCCCCCTCTATCATAAAAGAACCTTTGTGAGCTATAAAGTCGATGTTGAAGCCAAGTGGGTTTCAGCAGAATCATATTTACATGCATTTTAAAATTACAAAGTAATTCCAAGAAATATTAAAGTCTCCCAATAAAAATTCCAAGTAAACTTAAAACTTGTCTTTCTACTGTCATTTATTAATTTTATTATTTTGCCAAAGTACCTGATGCAAAGTATGATGTGCTGTATCCGGTAGTTTGGCAGGATGATGAGGGTGCGGCCTTGACCTTGAGTAACCAGCTCGGAAGTGCTGGGAAGGCACTAGTGCTACCAGCAATAGTGCAGCAGCTGCACGGACACGCGCTGCTCCAGCAGCCAGCAGCTGTTGTTCAACCCAACGGTCCGCGGTGCGTAACGCCCAAGCGTGGGCCACTTTGTTACGAGGTACCTATTTACAACAAGGAATGTAAAGCAAATACTCTTTCAGTATCAATATTATTACTAATGTGTAATTAAAAGATGCACAAAAAAAACAAAGTATGAACTAATTTAACTTAATAAACTTAGACAAATTATATAAATAACTACTTAGTCTAAATAGTTACTAAAACGTTTGTTTTGTATGTAACATTGATTTTCAGTGGCCCCTGGCGCCGCTTCTAGAGAACGACTATCAAATATTCGTTTAAAAACTCGTACAGTTTTAACTAAAATAACATATAACATAACGTTTAAAATATGAAGCGATTATCTAAAAATGTGTATTTTTTAAATAAAACACTTTAACGGTTTAAAACGCGATATATTAGTTAAACTTATTTGAAAATGATTTTTTCGGGGACGGGGAGACCCGTGACCACGGCTGCTGCAAAGCATCCGAAACGTCGGGCCGAAGTTAAAAAAATCATTTTCAAATAAGTTTAACTAATATATCGCGTTTTAAACCGTTAAAGTGTTTTATTTAAATGTGTACTACTCGCGTAAACTATAGACAGTATTTAATGTGTATTTTGTTTACCAGTTGGTCAATAAACTGATAGATAAAAACCGACCCATGTAAAGAAACGGGAGTTTAGATTTTATTTTATTTGTTTTTACTTACTTGCATAGCAAGCCATTCAAGCGCAGCATGGGGACATACATCAGATAGATCCCACAGCCGTGCTAGCACCAGATGAGTAAAACAAGGGAGACCACTATTTCCAGAGATACCTCCACCTCCCCCCGTTACCGCCCCCCGATCCCCCCGCCACTCCCTTCCACGAGTAAGGTTATTAATTTAAAAAATGGACCGCAACTCTGCAATGAACACAAAATAAACATTTATCAACTCACGTCGCCTTACAAAATTAACCAACAACAGAAATATTGAAATTACTCACTTCAGAATGTTTAGCTATCGCTTGAAAGATCATGTTGACTATTTTCTGTGCAAGCGGTTCGTTCCAGCGGCACAGCGCAAATATCAAAGAGCGCGTCTGCTGAAGGTTCAGGCAATCTCGTGTTTGTTGATAGAGAAACGGAAACCCCTGAAAAAAAAAGAAAGAAAGAAAAAAATATTTAATACCACAAATTTTTAAAAATACAGCAATATACTTAAAAAGTAGACGAGGTTACTCTACTACTATTTAATATATATCGCAAGACGCCAACCATGTTTCATTAAAGTTAGTATTTTTTGACATGTACGAGTAAAGGTTTGGGCGTCTAAGAAAGTGGTCTCGGAAAAGTTTACCATTTGACATACCTTTGCGTGTAATAAAGCTTTAGCATCACTTTCAGCAAGGGCCAGATGACCACTGGTATCTCTAGAACGTTCAACTAAACCGGCCACTAGGGCAACCATTTTGTCTAATGCCCCGGGCCGCAACTTATCCCCCGCCCCTACTGACTCATTGTTACCACTTCCGCTTCCACTACTGCCCGCTTCTTCTGTCGGTGATTCCACCTTTTAAAACAATACATTATATATTATATAATTGCTTGAAAAGTTTCGATAACTTCATCCGGCACGAAGGACCAATAAAAAAAAAATATTACCGTATTAGTATTCTGTCCCAGGTAAAAATTGACCATACTGGATATTGCATTGACACGTAACATGAAACGCCCCTCTTCCTCGCCCATCTTGCTGAATTCGTATAATAAACTGAAATATTCCGTCAGGTGGCGCAAATGCGATCGCGCTCCTGTTTCCATCTAATGAAAAAAGAAAATTGCTGGTACAATAGAACAGAATCGATATATTAATAATTTTATATATAAGTTACTTACCAAAGACAACAACATTCTTATAAACCTAGTAACACAGCTCGCTTCACCCAATTTACTACTATCCTCGCCTTCCTCCATACCCTGTAGGTATAAGGCACAATGACTAGACCTATAACAGTAAAATCATTATAAAACATTCCATTCCTTGAGTTTCTTTGAAAATGAAACAAGCATCGGTTATACGTTACCTTAGCCTCTGTATGACGTGCATACATAGCCTCTGAAACATTTGCCGAACCATTTGATTCGGACATTTTATCAACACCTGGAACAGGGAATGCATAAAACAGTTATATTACGATGACCTCGTTAAACTTTCCATAAACCTTAAGCTTATTTAAATTACTTTATGTTTCAGCCCCCTAAAATATTTGTTTATTCTTTTTCGGAGTTAAGAGAAGGTGATTTTTCTGTCTTTGTCTATTTGAATTTCATACGTTCTGGTTTACATTGTAAAACTAACCTGCATTGGCCACCATGTATCATCCGCCATATGGCCCAAGAACCATTCAGAGGCAGCAGCAGACGCGTTGAACTGTTTCGTGACTAATTCCACCCACGAAACCATAGTTGGCTTAAAAGAAAATATCTTTTTAGTACTTTGATTCTAGCTATATCTTAGGGTAAAAGTTATGGAGAAGTACTACAATAGATTTGTTGCCATTTACTTAATGATGGTATTAGATGTATTTTTAAAACTCAAATAGTGTCAACGTACCTTTTCTTTAGCGTGTATAAACGTTTCAATAAAGAACGAGGTTGAAAGACGCGCAGCGACCTCTGTCACTTCGGGTCGTAAAGTTAACAAGGACTGTGGCACGGAACTACACATTTGACCCATAAACCTGAAAAAAAAAGTTAGTTATAACGTGAAATAATTAGATTAACTTAACATTTATTTAAATAAAATAAATGCTATCATCTAAAGCGATCCGTGCTGCTCGAACAAGTTAAGATACCATTTCTTATACATTATCCTCGATTTTTTCCAACAACATATTACATGTACCTCTCACGCTATGTAATTTCACATTTACGAATTGGGATAATTCAATCTAAATAGATTTTTAATTTATATACTGCCATGATTTGCATTAAAATGTATTGAAGTTATTAAAGAATTTTAAATATCATATAAATGAATTGCTTACGTAAAGTAGGAATGTTGAAAAATATTCTTATCGTGTAAGAATTGCATGTTGTCGTCCCAGATCCAATTTAATAGTTCAGGCGGTACATGGATCTCTGGCACTTCACTATTACGACGTTCTAGCGAAGAACTGGTACTCTCCTCGGCTGTCGATGACTAAAACAATTCAATCATTTATTTTACACTGTTAAAGATGAATGAAAAGATTCAACAAGCCTTTACGCACTTAACTAAAAATAATGTGAGTAAGAAAACCATTAAAAAAGGTGTAAACATAAGATTACGTGCATATTCAAATTCGATATCTATTAGAAAAACAGCATTTTTAAATATTTAATTATAACCTGTGGTTCTTCCTGCTGTCCTGAGTCAGACCCTCGCTGATTTCGAGGCGGACTCAGCTCATAGAACAACATGTAGGCGCTGTTCGTCTTTTCAAATGAGAAGTCCATGAATTTATCTGTCACCGAGTCATATGTTTTGCTCTGGAAATAATTTTTAAGGTATTTTTAGTTTAATACAGCTAATATCTTTTACAAAATATATGAATTCTTGTATACATATATATGTATACTACATGAGTATTTTTTACGTTAACCCTTACAGGGCCATAAAATGACTGACACTAAATATATCACAATATTTTAGCTATTTTGGTGGTAAAGTATGAGAATATCACTAGAACAACATAGCAGGGTTCATAGATTCCCCTTAATTTCATATATTTTAATTTTACATTTAAATATCTGAATAATTTAAATATATAATATTTTAAAATATCGCTTTAATAATAAGTGAATAATTGATAACGATTTTTGTATAATGGAAGATATAGCGTGAGCGTGAACGGGTAAATATTTGTTCATTAGTAGTCGTTCCTTTGTTGGTGTTGCCTGTTTTTTTTTATCTCATAATTACCGTCATCTCTCCCCCAAAGCATTCTGCAGCAATGTGCGCTGGATCGAAAGGCTTAACTTCAGCGTCGTTGAATAGCAGCCACCGATCGTGCTGCGTTCGTTCACGGTCGCGTATGAACGAGTAGTAATGCCCGCCGTCCGCGGTGCCCGTGTGTACGGTGACACCGATCAATTCGTACCTAAGGATGGATATATTTTATAAGCAAATTTAAGTATTGTCTTTAGTTTACGCGAATAGAATATATGTATATACAACAGTTTTAATGGTTTAAAACGCGAAATATGTAAGTTGTATTTATGACCCCCCCCCTAGACAACCGTCGGGTCGTATTTAAAATAAATTAAGAGGAATTTACCTAATATATTTAGTGTATTAAAACATTTAAAAAGTGTTATTCACATTATTTGATAGAACTTTTGACGGTTACAGTCAAGCGAGAATGGGGATCGCTTGATAGAAGGTAAAATACTCCAGCGATAAAAAAACAAAGATTCACTTTGAACTGCTTTCGGTTTGGATATTCAGAAATCTACAAGCTAAAACCGGGTTTAATCTTCATGGTTTTTGCATCTTTGGACGGCACCTTTTAATGTCCAGATTACTCAATTTAAAATATTCAGTAAGATTAATTTATAATATCTTAAAATCTACCGTATGTTAGAAGTATAATGATGTAAACGAAAATGTCATACTCACTCATAATGTTCATCCTCCACACTCTCATCGCTATCCACATTTGGACTATTTTCACCATCTTTTCTCAACTCAGCAGATTTCCTTTTCTCCTCTAAAATTCAATCAAAGAAAACTTTTATTTAATTATTCAAAATTATTTTAATTTAAAGTTGTTTAGTGTGACATAGTAAAATGTAAAATACACAAAACATTTAAAATAAATTAGGATTCTCTTTAATAAACAAAAAAAATCCAATTAAAAAATACCTATTGAAGAACATTGTAACTCAATTGGTTAGAGCATCAGCATGGAACGCTCTGGATGCCAGTTCAGGTCCGCTCGTGTCGTTTTTACGGCACTTAATTTTACATGAAGGTATCTAGTTTGAATTAGATGTGTTTATGTACCTTGATACTGCGCCGGCATCAAATGTTTCTCAACATAACCGGACATATCTAATCGCATCGGAAATGAAAAATGCGTGTTGACTTTTTCCTTTAGCATTGTGAGCATGTTGAATGTGTATCTCATCGTGTTGAAACATAGTATCCGCGGAAGTTTCTTGAAGCACGCTCTATTAGAGAACAAAAAATATTATACATTATAGAATTACTTAATACCTAATATGAAAAATTCGTCCAATAACATACGACAATTGAGTAAAATTTAAATTCAAATTATTGAATAAATTACATTTCAGGACTTAAATTTCATGCGTGAAATTCTAACTAAGAAAAAAAGACAAATATACCGTTTCTCAGCCCGCACTTTGTTAGAACAGTGCGAGCATGTGTAGCAGTTGTCTCCCTCTAGCGTGTCCTTGACAGTCACTTCGTCGAGACTCTGATGCAAATTGCGCATGTCCGCCACTTGACAGCGAACTGTGTAAAATTCTTCAAGTGTCCGAGATACGTGTGGACAGTCCTGTAAATGTATTCGTGACTATTAAAAAAAAAGAATTAAAACTACAAAAAACAAACTATTTATTATTTAGTATAAAAAATTGTAGATTGTTATTAGAAAGTGTTTAAAATTATTTGATAAACAATTTGCATTAATAAAGAAATTTCTTTATTTCAGTTACTTAACCTATTATTTAACCAAAATTAATTTGTCTTCCTTTATTTAAGCCGCAGTGTATAAAAAGAAATTTTTGAACCAAATGAAAAAGGGACAATAAAGAAAAATGGTATAAAAAATACTCACCAATGAAACAACGTTATTACTTAAAACTCCGCAGAACAAAGTTTTAACTAGCTTCTTTAGTTCGGGCGTCATTTCTTCTAGTTTCGATACGAGATCGATAAAGAACTCCGCCATATCTTTCTGTTCCCCAGTGTTCAGGGGCTGATGGTCCATTTGGTACACTTTGCAAAAACTTCGCGGGTTGTAAGCCTTTCTTTCACTTTCCTGCAAAACCATTACCAATAATAATAATGTATGATAGGTTTTTCTGACATTTGTAAGAATAAAAAACGAAGAACTAAATTACCAATAGGTAAGCGAACATTCGCTGCATCTCATGAAGGGTCGCTGCGTGACGACTATTAGCGGGGTCCGCCTGAAGAATAGCAGCGCGGGCATGCGGCATCATATACAAGTGCTGCATGCAGGATGCCATATAGCACGTGGCACCGAGGTTTGTGAGGCCAACGTACCCACACTCCGAACGCGACTCTTCAGCTGGCCAATAATCCCAGGGGTATGACGCTGACGGTCCTAAAGAAAAGCAATTAACATCAAAAATGTTGCTTTTTTATTTTCCTTAATACTACCAATTTCTTACACATATTTTCCTTAACGGCTCGAAGGACCAATTTTAAAATTTAACGGAAATTCTATGTATAACATATGGTGATTTTTTACATACCTGGTTTATGATGTTCCATTAGTTTCTGATAAAGCACCATATAATTATCAGGAGCACCACGGACTAGTTCTACCAATAGGTCATAAGCAGCTGCTCGTGACTTCTGGGATTTGCACTTTGGTAGGTTGCGTTGCGTGGGATTTGGTACATCAAACAGAAAACCAAATATCTGAAAAAGGACAAGTTGATATATTGTATGAATTAACAAGTTTGCTAATAAAATTGGATTAAAGGAAGACCAACCATTTCTAATGTCCGAGTACCATGTTCAGAAGTTTTGAAGTTTAGGGGGTGTTTTAAAAGGTGTGTAAGTAGACTTAATTGCCCGTAAAGACCGTCGTCTGGAGTACATGGCTCTGACCGCTTTTCTATTATTTCTCTCTTCTCTAATGAGCAACTTATTTGCTCGCAGAGCTCATTTAAATCTGGTGCTCCACTGTCTTCTGACAATGCACCTTCTGTAAGTAAGGAAAACCTTCTCTATAGTATTTGCTGAGCTTTGCTGTTTATGCATTTATTACTTGATATGATTTATTAAGTGTTTGCAAGGAGATAGATACAGCATTTCTTTCAGCTACATTTAAACATTTGAATTGATTGATTTGCTCTGATTCTGATCTTACCTTTAAAGAAGTCTTCAGGCAATCCGTCTATTAATCTACAAACAAGCCAGAAATAGTCTCGACAAGCAGGTCCATAGGGTTCTTTTCCCTCTTCCGCGTGATGATGTACCACCTTTTTAAAAGCAACAAAGTTTTTAAGTTCCTTAAAGTCACCATTCAAACTAAAATATATATTTATTGTGATATTAAGGTGTATATTAAATAATTTATAACATTCATAGTGGATATGGAATTGTAAGAACAACACATTTATCACGTGATTGCATATGTATGTACATAGTGAATTGATAATATTGATTTTGTAAGATTGTATATAACACAAGCTGTGCCCGCGACTTCGTCCGCCTGGAATAGTGACTTGGAGTAGAATTTTTAATTATTTAGGCTGTTCATTAATTTATTATGTAAGCGCGCATTTAAGACAGCCAATCTATGTTGTAAGTGCTACTTTGCCGCAAAACTCTTACCTCACATCACTCCTACTCTAACTCCCACTCCCACTCCCAAAGAAGAAAGTTTCATTGTTTTAGCTTCAAAAACCACGAATTTCCAACCCTTTTTCAACGCTTTTTTGACATTAAAAAGTAGCCTATGTCCTTTTTCAGGCTCTAAAATATCTGTGTACCAAATTTCATTTAAATCAGTTCAGTAGTTTCGGAGTTAAAGCGGGACAGACAGAGAGACAGTTACTTTCGCATTTATAATATTAATATAGATTATGTGTATCCCAAAATACATATTTGTCTATTAATAATAAACTGCAAAAATGACAACCTCGTGGTGATGATGATAGTGTTGAGGATGTGGTCGCATGTCAGCAGCACGCGGTAGATGCTGTAGCAGCAATTGCAGCAGAGGCGCTAGAACTGCTACCTCTCCACCGGCACACAACCGATATAGGGCACTACCGGCTTCACGACGAACCTTAAATTAACATTTAAAATTAAATTAAGCAATTAGAAAGAGAAGACGGAATGTAATATTATTATTGTAATTTTTTATTTGTAAAACACGTCACAAAAAATACACATTTAAATTAGGAAAAATCTTACATACTAACTTATAAATAAAGGCGGCCTTATCGCTAAGTAGCGATCTCTTCCAGGCAACCTGAAGTACAGGAGAAAAGAAATAGAAAATAATTTATTTAGTGGGTAGGTGTAAGGAATAACAAAGAATATCAATGTTACATAGTAAAAGTACACAGAACGAGTAGGAGAGAAATTAACATAAATATTATTTTATATCATATAATTTTTTAAACTATTAAAATATTAGAAACTAGTTGTGTCAGGGATTTCGTATGCGTAATTATTTTAGGCATTAAGTTTTTGTTTTACAAAACTCCTCATTATATTATAAATTATAGCTGGTACCTACGTCAGACTTGCAAGTAAATCCTAAAGATGTCACTAACACTCTGTTTAGATAATTATTTTAAGAGGTATAATTTTATCAAACCAATTTTTCGCGATTCTTAAACGGTTTTATTTCCCCCGGATTTTTCCTGTTTCTTCCCTCTTATTTGTATATATATTTTAGATGATGTTATTCTGTGATTCCTAGATCCTTCGTCAATAATAAAAATATATTAGTATAGATAGCACACAATGTCTCATATTTACCGCTGGATCAGCATCGTCGAGTAACAGTCGTGGTGCCGCTTTCCGCAAGGCCCACGCAAGCGCAGCAGCCTCGCCTCCACCACGAGCCCATACAACGCACATGCGCATTGCATGTTGAACCACCTGACCGTGGACAAGGATTTTAAAAACCAAAGTAAAATCCCGTTACCCCTATGGGACATGGGGTAAACACATTATGTTTCGATGGCTTTTAAAAACGTTAACTCGATGCTCGCTAACACATTTAACCATTGGGTTATAGTGGCATCTACATTTCTCAAAAATATCATGAAGATTTGTTTTTCTTCTTTATTGTATTTCAAAATACCTGTGCTCGTCCCCAGAATCCTGTTTTGTAGGTGTTGGGCTCTTTAGCGGAGGCAGCTTCGCAGAGTATCGATATTAACCGGTCCGTCGTCTCTTCTACGCTCATTAGTGCTAATAGTGCCTATTGACATAAATTAATATTGTTCGTGTAAATAAAGTAATAATTATTATATAACCAACGAGAAACACATTTACATGTTATAAGAGGAAGTACTTTAAATTTCAAATTGTTTTCAAACCAATGTTTGGACTACCAACTAATAATAGTGAATATTGGATCTTATAAACTTATGGATCTTATATTAAAGTGTTACTTTTTCTTTTTGCTAAAATAACTATTAATATAACCTACTGGATGTAACTTAGGTGTTTGTCCAGTTTCTGCACAGGGCAAAGTGCCAATACGACACAATAATTGAAGCAGCAAGGCCAAGCAGTCTTGCCTCCATTCGCTGTCGTCGTTGCGTTGCAATACACCTGAAATAAAGACGGCATAATGACTACATATAGCAAGAATAATTTAAAACAAAATTAGATGATACAGGTGGGAATCGGACCCTGTTAATCATGCGACGTTACCTTGAAAAACAATTTTTTTATAAGCTAATATTAGTAACAGTAATTATAGATTACTAACAGAGATATATATTTGAAAACTTTAATATTTTACACATGATGGCATTATGTAAGTTAAAAATCAATTTCAGATAGAAAACATTTACGACACGGGCAGGACTTGAACCAGCGTTGTTTAAAATATCAGTAATATATAATCTACCAAAAACATCAATGTGCATGTATTTTACATTATGTAAACAGGGACAAACTTGCATTTAGCACCTACAAGCTTTATTAACTCACCAGACATTATAATATCGTACAGCAACCGCAATCCACCCTTTTTAATAAATAATTCATTCCAGTTATCTACATTCGTTTTGTCTTCAGTCTTTTCGGTAATCGCTTTTAAAATTCCAGAAGTTTCCTTCACATTGGGGCTGCCATTATTAGAGCTTAATTTGTCTATAATATGCAGGGAGTACATGAGTTTCTGTGGACTCGTAGGATCAAGGAGTTCTGGTAATTTATTCTCTGTGGGATTTTGAAATGCCTCCAGCAGCGTTGGATTAAGGGGGACTGCTTGAAGAATGTCCCACACTCGCCGCGACAGCAGTTGGGCTTTCGTGTGAGCCATGAGTTCCTGCAAACATTCATTTCGATCCATATAACAACAATATTTTTTAATAAAACGCTTTAACGGTTTAAAAAGCGAAATATATGAGTGAAACTTAGTTGAAAATCATTTTAAGTACAGCCCGAGGTTTCGACTACTAATATATTTCGCGTTTTATACCGTTAAAGTGTTTTGTTTAAATGTGCACTTCTTGTGTAAACTACAGACAGTATTTAACAAGATTTTTACAATGAAACATTGTAGCAGTAAAACTTTTTCTTCAAAACTAATCACCCCTTATTGCATGCAAGGGATACAAATTATAGGTTATTAAATGTTTATTTTTCATACTAAACATGGCAAAGACAATTAATATTATTAATGTAAAAAAAAGTGAGCGTTACTCTATCAATCTATATATTACCCCGTTGGGAGCCGGTTCCTTCATTTGCCCGAGTGCTTGCATGAGTGTAAATAGCTGGTGGAAGTATGTAGGATCTAGAAGAAGGTAAGTCGGCAATCTAGCACGCGCCGGCGCAGGTTGAGCAGATGGCCATTCCGCCCATGCGCCACGACTACCAACGCCCACAGATACGAATACCAACTGAAATAACGGAAACATTATTTGTTAGTCACATATACTGTTACGAGAGTAACAGCTAGTATTTACGGGACTATACCTGATTATCTTTGAATCCCATATCATATAGGGTACGCTCGTCATAATCAATTGTAAGTTCTTGCCCTTGTGTTATCATCCTCAAAGGACCATCTGTAGATAGAGCGGTGACAGCTTCTTCGCCTTGTATCTGAAATTATATTACCATTATATTGCCTCTTATAAGACGTGTAAACCTTTTTTCCACAAGTACATACTACAAGTAAGCATTTGAGTAGATTAAAAATATTTAATCGGTTTAAAATAAATATTTTTAAGGGAAAAGGCGGGAAATTTTACAGTATTTTATACATTAACGATATTTTTGTAACTTATTGAAGATCGTTCTTAAATGTTAATTTGTAATACTACTAACCACTAAATATATGTGTCGTAAGTAATTTAAAAAAATGTAAATAAGTCATACGTAGTGTCGGGCTGTAGTTACAATAATTTCCAAAGTCGCTTTCTACTCTTAACGTTACTTCGGTTTGTACTGACCTGTTTCTCCCACCAGACATGAACATGCGCACGCAAATGCGCTACCAGATCCGAGTGGTGCAATGTGAGAACAGCTCGCGGGCCTGCCCCAGCTGGCTGCAACGTCACACGAACGCTACCCCCACCAGTGACTCCGCCCTCCCAAGCGCCCGACTCGGCTAGCGCCCAGCGTCGCAAATGATAAGCGTATCTACGAAATATACAGATATGATTTATACTTCTTTAATAAAGCAAACTTATAAAGTGTACCAGTGCAAGACGCTATTATAAAAGTAAAGTGGCAAGTAGCTTATATAAACAATACAAATTTAATTTTTAAAATACAAATTAGCAAGCAACAGCACGGAACGCTGACGATGCCGGTTCAAGTCCTGCTCGAGTCAAACATTTTTTCAAGTTATTTTCGAATTTTAAAATATAAAGTGTTTTTTTTTCCGTCCATCAAGTAAACCTTATGTGTAAAAAAACAAACCTCCTTTTAAACGTATCCAAATGCGTCTTCAGCAACAACAACGCCCTCTGTATGCACTGCAATGCGGCGTCCTCGGTCATGTGATCGTATATATTCTGTTTATCCGCCACTTTGTCTTCTTTAATTTCACATTTATCGTCCTGGTTGGAGGTGCCTTCGCCATCCTGGCTTTTAGAAATGAGAATCTCAGCGGCGGACGACAGGTGAAACATGCACTTCGATACAAAATCATCTTCTTGTTGAAGCTGTTGTCCCATATAGTAACTGTTTAAGTACTGGATTGCACCCATCGAGACATCTGCAAATAAGTTATGCATTGGATGTAATCTATACTGTTATTTATTATAAATCTGAAGAGTTTGTTTGTTTGAACGCGCTAATTGATAAATCGAGTTGGTTGGAACATTTATCGAGAACGGCTTTAAAACATCAGGTTGCGACCAATAGGAGCAAAAAAACAGGGGAAATGTGGAAAATAGGGGAAAAAATCTTGCAGGGTTTTCATGGCGTCGCTGCGGAAATGGTATAATGGTAAATGGTGGTCGAAATATTAAATTTATATCTAAATTTAGAATATTTGTAATATATCAGAACAGCTTTAAGATTCAAACCATCCTAACCTGTGCTGTTCGCTCTTAGAGCAATCTTCCACAGATGATCCATTGCTAATGTATGGGGATGGTGTGGATGGTGGGGGTGCGTGTCTCCCGCGCCGAGTGCCATCCGCGCGAGATTACATAGCTGCTGGTATAGGCTTAGCCCCATTATGCTTATTGTCTGTTAAAATGACAGAAGACGAGGTGTAAATAAATAGGAAAAGGCTACTTTTACAATTAAAAATAAGCTATTTACGTATTGTCTAAATACTACTCTCTACTATGCAATTTATACGATAGCACATTTAAATAAAGCAAATTGCAACGTTTTCAAATTCAAAATATATTAGTTAACTTAATTACAATTTAACTACGGCCCGATGTGTCACACACAAAGCTTCTTCTAAGTATCCAAAAATATATTGTGTTTTAAACACTTTAAAGGTTGATTACTTAAAAGCTTTTAGAAAACCCACCAAATTTTTTTTATAGTCAATCCCTTCCTTATCTTTCTAATTTATTACATACATAAATATAGTTCAATATCTTTCTACGAGCATGTTGTTTTGCTTTGAACATAACTGAATACAAAATATAGAAGACACAAGGGATCTTTAAAAAAATAATTATTATCTTACCTCAGGATCTAAAGTGGGCATCTTTTCGACGTATAGGAATCTTAAGGCATCCAACCCTAGAGCATGTTGGTCCGGTGACTTCGTGTGCGACAGCAACCAAGAGTATAGACAATCAGCGCATTCACTCGTGCCGTCAACGACAAGGCACTGCCACAGCTCTTCCACTTGATCCACAGTCAATCTAAAAACGATAGATTAAGTATAAGTCTATGACACATAAATGAGATAGTTTCTAATAATGTAATTAATCTGGAATCCATTATTACTTAGTACAGTAGGTTTTGAAAAGCTTTTCAAAGATCGACAAAAAATGCTTACGAAAGTAGAATTTTCGTCTTACTACTTAACAACAACGGTTACCTTGGAAACCGTCTAGGTTAATAATGTTATATCAAAAATAAAAAAATATTGGCAAACAAAACAATTATTGATTTTTATGTTTTGCCTACAGAGGGGGCATTATCTAAAAATATTTTTTACCGGAAGTGATGCGGCGACCCAACTGGCGAAAAGATAGCAGTAAGGAAGTGTAAGCGCACAGTGAGTTCAGTTATATGCGCGTAATGTTGTGCTTCCGTAGTTAACTGTCCATTGCCACTGGAAGCTCTCTGTTTCACGTAGTGGCGTAAGTCCTCTAGAAACAATCGCATCATACCGCGTTCGCGTTCCGCCCACATCACAACCTAAATTAAAGCAATTTTGTTTCATTAGGTATTTCAAGTTAAAATACAATTATATATGAAATAAAATAATACACATTTAAAAATTAATAATAGTATATAATGAATACAATGTATGATAGATATTTACAGTAGATAAACCAACAAAGAAGTTTGTAAATAACACATTTCATTAAAAAATTGAGAATATTACAAAATACATAGAATTTCTCTAACAAATATACCTGGTGCATATCCATGCCGCGCAGTTGTTGAAATGATGAGAACAATTTCGGCAGTAATCGCAGCGACACCGCAACAGACCTGAAAAGAAAATTATCTAAAAATCGCTAAGAAAACGGACAACAGTTTTTTTTAAATTAAAAACCAAAATTTACTTCTTGTGATATTGTCACCGTGTGAGTGTATTAAAACAACTTTTCTTACCTGTGATTAGCTAGATTATCAAGACATCCTTCGATAAACTTGATTCTGATAAACTTATCTGTGCTAAAACACAGGAGTGCACAGAGAGCTTTCTCTGCTTCTAAAGCGAGTCCTTCTCCGAGTTGTTCCTGTTAAAAAATTACATATTAATGAACAAAAAATGGTCCTTCGAGCCGGATGAAATTTACTTCGATTTGTTCCTTGCAAAGCGCTGATTTGTTAAGCTTTAAATACATTAAACGAATTGATTTAAGATTAAAATAAAACTTACAATTGCTCCATCTTGTAACAAATCCCACAAGAGCGTATTCCCAGGACGGCAAACGTCATCTACGTTGAAAGGTAGGGCACCGCCAGACACAACTCCACCCATTCCTAAAGCACCAGCTACTAACCCTCCCACTTGATATTCAGGCATACACTGCGCCTACAAACAAGGATATTCATAGTATTCTTTATATTATTCGCACTTTCTTTGTTTGATTTGGACATACATAGAATATTTATAAGCTTATGCATAATACTTAAATAAAACCTTACCCTTTTAAAATGCGATACATGTATATTAGTTAAAGTTATTTAGAGATTATTTTACCTACGGCCCGACGTTTAGAATGCTCGGCAGCAGCCGTAGTCACGAGTCTTCCCGTGTGTTTTATTCAAGTGTGTACTACTCTACTACAGACAGTGTTAAGGTATCAGAACTAAATTAAACAATATAAATGCTATTTCGCCTTTCGAGCTGTTTGCCTGTTGCCCTCGTGATTTATAATCATATTTCAATTAGAACGTTCGGACGCCCCAAAAACTCAAGAAAGCCGTAGAAGCCTGAAGTAATGCTTAAAATATATGAAAGTAATTAATGTAAATTGCTTTGAACGGATTTGTTCTTACCTGAGCAGCAAGCCTAGCTAGTTCCTCCTCGCAAGCAGAATCATCTTCATCCAGATCGGGCAAGCGATGTGAATGGGGCGATACAGCGGAGGAAGCGCTGCCTTCTTCTTCAGACCGCTTGTAACTTTCTAATAGTCGTAGCTCCATTAAGCGTCTGAAAACATTGGTAAACGCTGATTGGCTAATACAACGTTATTTGCTTTAAACATTTTTAACCGTTTAAAACGCGAGGCATATTAGTTAGGTTTAGTAAAAACTGCCACATTAGCGCCATCAGTTGCGTCGTAGTTGATATTTGGCGAAACTGGTTCCTTGCACAACTGACTAACAGTGTACTGTTTACCGGTATGATTACTTTCGGGGTCTAGTCATTTTAATTAAGTTAACTATTAACAGATGGTGCTAGCGTAGTGGATTAAGGGACACATACGAAGCATCCGAAACTTCGGGACGTAGTTAAAATAATTTGCAAATAAGTTTAACTAATACATTTTGCGTTTCAAACAATTAAAAGTACTTTATTTAACTATGTATTACTCACGTACACTACGGACACTCATAGAGATTACATTTACAGTAAGTTTTTTCTGATTAATAACACAAAGTCAGATACTAAATTGAATATAAAAGAAATCTTGTAGTTATGCAAGAGCCTAACCTAGGTCGTACCTTGTTCCTAAGTTCATACCTTGCATCCACATTGTCACAAATTAACTGGCAGTGGGCAGTATCGCTTCCACTGGATTCCTCCTCCACATCTGATACTGATTCGGCTAATTCTGCACTTTTAATTTGCGCCGCTATAACAAATTGACCATATTGCAACTTATGAAAATGCAGTAAGAACGTACGTAACACAGTTATTAAATGTAATACAACTTTATTTAAGATATATATACTGAATTATGACATAATTTATTATTAAAAAAATTCTACACTGTTACACGTACAAAGTGGATTGATGAATGCTTTATAATAATGACTAATATGCCAGAGTCTTGTATTATGTGTTTCATAATATTTAGCTTAAGTTAAAAATAAATTTATTTAAGATTGAATTAAACGATAGCACGAGCGGGACTCGAACCCTCGACCACATCGTACCTTGATCCTGGTCTACCGTATTAAGGTTTTTTGTAAATTATTAAAACGTCGTGTATGGACCATGCACTCACGGAAATGCCTTGTCTTGCCGGGCTTGTGACGTTTCTTGTAGAGTTTCTTCTTACGCGGTCGCATCAGCTCTTCGGCACCACTACTCGCACTCCCACTGCTACCGGCACGCTTGTTGCGTCTGCGCATATAATAATTAATAAAGTTATAATAAACGTTGACAGTCGACACCCTGTTGACCAGGCTCATAATATCCTTCTGTGACATGTTTAGTGTTCTTATGACCGTCTCTGACATATATAAAATATTAAGAAAACTTTGTTATAAAAGTGTAACTTTTCTAGGAGAAATTTCCTAGTTTTTCTTAAGTAAAGATATTTTAAAAATCCTAAACATTTACTCACTTCTGACATGACTTCATTGTTGCACAATCTTTCTTGTTTAGCTCTTCGCCTTCTCGAAGCCATTCTGGATCGGCTGTGTGAATATAATGAATAAAAAAAGAAACCATTCAATCAATAAACTTTTGCAATAGCTTAGTAATGCTTTTATCCATATCATCTATACTAATATTATAAATGCGAAAGTAACTCTGTCTGTCTGTCTGTCCCGCTTTAACTCCGAAAATACTGAACTGATTTAAATGAAATTTGGTACACAGATATTTTAGAGCCTGAAAAAGGACATTGGCTTTATTGGAAATATACTTTCTAATGCCAAAAAAGCGTTGAAAAAGGGTATAAAAGTTTGTATGGAAATTCGTAGTTTTTGAAGCTAAAACGATGAAACTTTCTCCTTGGGAGTGGGAGTGGGAGTTAGAGTAGGAGTGACGTGAGGTGAGAGTGTTGCGGCAAAGTAGCACTTACAACATAGATTAGCTGCCTTAAATGCTTACATAAATTAATAAACAGCCTAAATGATTAAAAATTCTATCCCTAGTCACTATTCCACGCGGACGAAGTCGCGGGCACAGGTAGTAGATCTCTATATGAACTTTTTGGTAAATCTTTAGTGTTTACCTGTAAGCTCTCTTTGGTGTTTACTTTGCTTTCTTGGAGTGGGACCAGCTTCCTCGCCTGATGTACTTAGCTCCTCACACTAAAAATACAAAATATTATGTAATATACTTCACAAAAGGAATAGGATCTCCAGCACATTTTTATATATATCTTAACTTAAATAGCTATTAAAATTTATGTATTTATGCTAGTTAATATGTTTCACTGGCTGGCAACATTTATCAATAAGGCACACTTACCGGGTCATCATCAGAATTTGTCTGGTCCATGCTAACACTGGCCTCCGATGAAGAGCGATGTGGCTTGCATGCAGGAGGTGGCAAACGTGCTGGTTCCCCCACCGGGCTGCTGACAGTTACACCTGCTCGACCGCGTGACCACATTGCACGCATCAACGCTGATGCGAGATATAAACTCTGTAATAAAAAGCAGATCTTAAATCTGTACTAATATTATAAAGCTTATTTTGTATTTTGAATGTGCTAATCTCAGGTAATACTGGTTCGAAGTGAAAAATGCTTTTCGTGCACAGCTAAATCTATAAAGATAAGGAAGTTTGCAAAACAAAATTTGATACCAAAAATAACTATTTTATGCGGACGAGGTCGCGGCTACAACTAGTGTTTTACATGGGTGATATCCACAGAAATTATGTAATCATGGTGGAAAACGTAGCTGGCAAAGGTAAATAACTTCAGTTTTATAAGCATTTTTACTAGTGGTACTAGGAAAATTATAAATTCTAGTACTAAAAATTCAATTTCGTGGCTGTTTTCATAGCTGAACACATACCTGCTCAGTATGTTCCTTCGGTGGCAAGGCACACAGTAAACTGTACAGATGGGCGCACGGTTTGGGCGACAGTGCTCTGATAAACCCAGGCAGCAGGTCATAAACCTGACGACCACAGTGTTTAAGCTGAGTCGCAGCCCATATGAGTTCCACATGTTCTGATGTGATTCGACCTTCCACGGCCAAAAACTTGAGGATCATGTGCGATTGTTTTATAACCTGGGATAAAAGACAGGAATGAAGGTTTGGTAGTTCATAACAATACTGTTGGAGTCTAATATGCAAGAGATCTTTAACACCTTCAAACAAATGCTAAATGTTAAACAACATATTTATTTAAATGAAGGAAAATAGTAATAGCACTATTTATTTTATATATTAGACTAGACAGGTTTAGTACCAGAAGATAAATGATAAAAGTTCTTATATTGTAAAACATACCTCAACATGTAAATTAGGCCCAAACAAGTGTTCAATTATGTCATGATATGATAACCAAGCAGCCAATTGCTGCCCCGATGCCTCTGCATCCGCCGCTGACTCTCCAGCGCACAATTCATTATGTGCTGCAATATGTGCATTGATCTGAGCAATTCCAGCCAGTCTCATAGTCAATGTGCTGCTGTTGAAGTATTTAAAAGCCAGTGCCAAGCCATCTTCGTCTATTAAAGATGGTGTGTCTAATGGCTCTTTTGCTGCACCCCACATAAAATCTGCAAATAACATATCTCAGTACATATTGTGGATTTGTTTCCTGCGGTAAGTTACATAGGGAAAACACTAAATGTACATGCATTATATATATTATTTTCTTTTGGGGACACCAATAGAAGGACAGGTGATCTGTCCACATCATTTGCTGACCATTCCACCTATTTCCCCTAATGCATTAATGATAATAATAATTCATATACCAATATAATGCTCCTATAATGCAATATATTTATAAGCATTGTTTTTATTTCATAGCAATATAAGTCTATTAAGATAATCTCTTACCTGCCATAGATTTGACTGTAGCTAACCTCAGATCTTTATCTTCTAAACTGCACATGTATTTCATTATTCTATTTCTGAGAGGCATAAATTGTTGTCCTACAGCTCTAAAGTTCAACCAGAGCTTTAAATTCCCCACAGCAGCCACCATAGCATGTGCCAAAGTTACTGAAAGTGTCTTTGGTGTTGCATGCTCAAAGACAGCTGTCATAGTAAACACACCACCCAGTTTACAGAATAAATTAACATTTCTTAAGAGATAAGGTGGTATTTCCGTATCATGAAGATCACAAAATGAGCTCAGATTTGTTATTTCTTGGGCAGAGAGGTCATCTAGCCTATTTAAGGTTGAATGTTTGCAAGCTACATACAAGGGAAAGTTGTGTAAAAACAGTTTTGACACAAAATTGAGAAGCTTTTCCCTCTGCTCCTCTGTCCATGCTTCTGATTCTTCTTGGGTGGATAGTTTCTCACTAGTTGGTGAATCATCTTTATTTTGTGCACTTGGTTCAGGTGCTTTTGTACTTTCATGTTTTGAGGAACTTGGATATTCATCTTTATTTTCATCACTGTTAACTATACTCTTTTCTTCACTGGATTTGTCTTTGTTAGATTCGGACTCATTGTTTAGATTTTTTGCAGCAACAACTAATTCATCTTTGAGTAATTTCAGCTGATATATGGATAGACAAATAATACTTTGCACCACAAGATAGAACCTTTCGTAGTTTTTTACATCGCGATAACAGCACATGCATTGCCTGCAAAATAAATTCATATTAGACTCTACCTATCTGAAAGGCATTTCGCGAACGACAAAGCCAAACGAATGCAATCAGTAACTACGCTTTTGAAATGCATTGCTAAAGTTTAAAAATATAAAACTCTTACCGCTGAGACCACGAAACTATGTAATTCAATACTGTTTCAAACTCAGAAAGACTTATAGTTTGGTATTGAGACTCATCGTCGGTCAAACGAGTTTCACCTAGAAATACGAACAGAATATGAAAAATCGCTTCTGAAGTTCTATACCCGTAAAACACAAAACTTTTAATACTGCTTTAATAGCAAATATAAAATAAAATAATGTTGAAAGGGTGATCCACAAAATTTCGAAACAATGTAACTTACAATTTATTAGAAGTTGTGAAAACTCCGAACAAACATCACACATTCTCAAAGATTTATATTAAAAATGAGCGAAATATTGTTAAAATATTATCGCAAATATTGTTTTGTTTAAGATATTGATCATTATTGATATTTTCGTATCAGAAAACGAACACTATTTCTAAAATGTCAAAGAATCCGTTCCACCATTGTTGACGATCTCTGTCAAAACCTTTGGTCAAAATTCATAACACAGAGAATTAAATGCACAGATTGTATCGGAAATTTATTATTAATATTGTGAATATTTGAAACAAGTTCGTACATATTTATTACTAATTACTACTAGTGATCTTAAATAACTTTTGTTTGTTTCGTAGTATTGTAAAATCTTAATTTTGTTTTTGATTTTTAATGTTATAACTTCTTCGTGTTCATAAAGCGTTCAAATTACAATAAGTCAGCGTCAGCTGATTGACAATATTCAATTTTTCAAATGTTTTGACAGCGGCATTCATATGATGTTATTGAAGACGTGATGATGAATTTCTTATCGTATTTTAAAAATAATTATAAATAAAAGAAATGGTGCAACTATTGTATATCGTGTCTAGTTTACACGTTCTCTTATGTCCTTTCACCAAAGTCGAGGAAAGCTTTAATATTCAATCGTTTCACGATATTCTATATCATCGCTTTAACCTATCTGAGGTAATAAAGTGGTTCTAATTTTGGATTCGTATTTCACACGTATCTGTACAGAGTGAAAATAACTTTTTTTTTCCAGTACGACCACAATGAGTTCCCGGGTGTCGTACCGCGAACGTTTATCGGGTCACTCGTTATTTCAGCATTATCGTCACCTGTTGTTGCGGTGTTACATTTATGTGGTATAAATAAATTTTGGACGCAATAGTTGTAGGTACTTGGTAAACTATCTACGTCAGCGATTTAGTTCATTATTGATAAATAGTTATTTAAAAATAGTAATCTCTACCGTTTCTGTTTGTTGTAGTACGATTAACTTTAGCGCTCACAGTGATAGCATCATGGAGCCGCCTCAGAAATACCCTTCAAAAGGTTTATGGCGGCACATTTGCTTGGTGGTTTACTATTATCACTGTATCCCAATACCACTTTATGTTTTATATGAGCCGTCCATTACCTAATATAATGGCTCTACCACTAGGTAAATTAAAACATTGCTTTACACTCATTTTAATACATTTATTATACATTATTTTCTATCACACTAATGCATAAGGATCAGTTTACAGTGACTACTAACCATTTCACCCATTTCCCCATTCAACTTGCCTCCTTAGTTAGGCCACAAATGAAAGTGAAAGAGAAGAAAAAACTACTAACCTGAATATTACTCTCATTTGCAGTTTTAATATGTCAATATATTATTAAAATATTTCTGTTTTTAGTTTTACTAGCATTCAATGGATGGTTAGCAGGGAAGCAAAAAGAATTTATCATATCAGCTGGTGCAGCTATAGTAATATTTAGATCAGAGCTTGCCTTGTTATTTGGTTTACTTCTCATTATTGATCTATATTTTAAGAAATTTGAGTTTATTGCGTGAGTACCAATCAAAAATTTTATTATTTTAATGTCAATATCTCATTCATCTAAGAGCAAATACAAATCCAAAATATACTATCATAGTGCTCTGTAGGTCAAGGGTGTGGGCCTGTGTGTGTATATAAGCTTTTTTTATGTAAAATAAAGTTTAAAAATAACATAAAATTCTTAACTATCTTTGAATTGAATTTTTTAAAATTGAAATAACCGAAAGTATTAATTCAATTTTTAGCTACAAGATTTAGAATTTTGAAACTCACACAATTTTCATGTTAAAATATTATTTTACAGGCTCATAAAAGTGTTGATTCCGGCAGGTATCTGTTTAGTGCTTTTGACAGTACTCATAGATTCAATGTTTTGGGGTAGATTAATTTGGCCTGAGGCCGAGGTATTCTGGTTTAATACAGTACTGAATAAAAGCTCAGAATGGGGTGTATCCTTTTTAAAATATATGTAACTTGATGCTTTTTTAATTTGACAACGTGAATATTTAAATGTTAAAGCTTTTGCTAATAATATGTTTACCTTTAGTTATGTTTAAAAAGCAAATGAGAAAAACATTAGCATTTTAATGAACAAAGGAAAGAGGTCGTGGGTTTGTCAACCCAAAATGAAATAAAAACACATCTTTGTGATCAAAGCCAACGGATGGTGTATATCATCTCAAAATAAATTATATGTGTGAAACAGCCATCTCCTAAGACCGTGAGATAAAGGGACTTTACTAACATTTAAAAATATATAATGCTAAAAACCTTAATTCCACCTGTAACCTTATGATTGATGACCTTAATTTTATAACAGACTTCGCCATTCCTATGGTACTTTTATTCAGCTCTACCACGAGGTCTCGGTCCAAGTATCTTATTGATACCAGTGGGAGTATATATGGATAAACGAGTGGTACCCATTGTAGCTGTGTCTCTTGTGTACATATTGTTGTTTTCATTTCTGCCCCATAAAGAACTTAGATTTATAATATACGTCTTTCCATTGCTCAATGTGTCTTCAGCGATTACATGTTCTTATGTGTAAGTACATTAAAGGTGTTAGTCACAATTTCATGAGAACAAGTTAACTTTTAAAAACGTACATAGCGGTACTGTTATAAACATTGTATTCTTAATAGTTGTTCATTTATGGCTTCTTCCAGATATATTAGACGGAGTAAAGCACCAGCGTTTGAGATAATGTTCTGGGTTTTAGTCGTAATCATTGTATGTAATCTAGTATTTACGACGACTTTAGTCTTAGTAGCTATGACCAATTATCCAGGAGGCGTCGCTATGACTCGGTGAGTATAACAGTAGTAGTGTTTTAAAATAGCTTTGCATCATATTGAATTTTTAACACGTTGCCTTAATTCTGTTACAGATTTCATAAGTTACTAAAAAACGAGCCTTATGTACACGTGCACATTAGCAATTTAGCAGCTCAAACTGGCGTTACTAGGTTCACACAAATTCACGATCACTGGCATTATAGCAAAAACGAATCCCTCGACACCAATCAGCTGCAAGCCTATACTCACCTTCTTGTAGAAGCAAAGAGTAAATATTCACCGAGCGTAAAAGCTTTTGCACAAACGCATACAGTTCTGGATAGTGTAGAATCATTTTCTCATATCACTATGAATTACAGACTTCTACCTCCGGTAAAAATAAAAACGAAACAGTCAATATTTATATTAGAAAGGAAAAACTTTAGAGAGGTACCTTATTCATATGTAGGTGTAAGTGAAAGTTCCTCTCAAGAAATATTAAACGAAGTAGAATCAGAAGAAGTACAAATAAATGTAGTCACTTATGACAATAATATTGATAAGTCGGAGGAGGATCTAAGTTTAAAAGACAATATTTTAGAAACAACGAATGATAATCCTACTGAAAATGTATCTCAGGAAAGCAGCGTCACTTACGTAGATGATGAGGAAACCGAGGCATTTCGAAGGGAAATAGAGGAATCCATATCGCAAATAGAACCCGAAAAGGACATAGTTGCACCAAAAGTACTTAATCGAACCGAACGCAAACGAAAGGCCATTGAGAAGATAAAATCGGAAACACGAAAGGAAGTCGTGGCTTCCGCAAAAGAAAAATTAAAGGAAATAATGAGACGTCATAAACATGTCGCTAAGGAGTTATCTGAGAACGATGTAACAATAAAGGAAATCGAAGTTGATAGTCGCGGTGATATTCCAGAAACTGTAGAACCTAACATTTTAAAAGAACCTGATTCTATGCCCGCGCCAATCATTCCAGTTATTATGGACGATATTTCAGAAGTAACTGCAGATGAAAACATTAACAAAATTGATGAAAACCAAACGGGTGATATTCAGAAAGAAAATGATATAAAAAGTAGAACGGACGAAAATATTGATTCTATCGTTGAAGAAGTTATAGCGAGATTGATAGATAGAAAGATTTATGATGACAAAACGAAACCAGAAGATATAAAGATGGAAGACAGAAAGGTTATCCAAAAGATCGTTGAGGAGATTCTCTCTGAAAGAGTGAATTACAAATCTGATAACAATACTAGATGAGAAGAAATAGAAAACAAATGTATAATATTAATTGATCATTGAAAAGCTGTTAATGCGGTACGTGTGTATTTTGTTGCATTTGATCCTGATTTTAAAAATTACTTCTTCAATCAATCTCTCATCTCACAATGTCCAATAAGCGTTTTAAAACCAATCTAGTCTAAAAATATGTTTTGTAACAAGCATCGTTTTTAATTTGAATGAAAAAAAAACTATTGTATAAGAAAATAAATGTTTATTGATAAAAGGATTTTTAGTTCACCTATATCTATATATCTTAGTTCGTTCGAACTATACGGTTTTACTTAGAACTAATTCTTAAATTACTTTGATGCAACAAGGGTTCTTTATTTGACCAAAATCTTGCCATACAACCAAATTACACTATAACAAGAATAATTTTAGCAGAGGCACCAATTAATCTTATTCTAACATTCAAATATTGATTTATAATATCGGACATATTTCCATTAATAAAAGGTATGATCATGTAACATCATTAAAATATGGTTTAATGCATTAGTATCTCTATAAAGGAAAACATAACTTATCTAAGATAGGATACAATGTCCTGTTTGTACTACTGGTGACAGAAAATGACTAGGAATCATTTCTAGTGAAAATATTGTCAATAATTATAGACTTTAACCGAGAATAACAATCTGTCTCACGAGAAGTGAATTTTATGGATATTGGGGCTAAATATATCAAAGTCTGAGCGAGTTAATTGACAAATTCTATGCAGAATATTTATTAACTAGGGTTCAGCCCACAATTTCAAAATTGTATACATCTCTGATATAGTTTCTAGAATAACTAACCTAACCTAACCTACGTTTTGCTCAGTCATTTAGATAAAATAAGGCCTACACTAATGTAAAATACTTTTAAATGAGGTAAATATGCTTAGTATGAGAAATTAATCTGACTTGCCTGTTTGGTCACAGGCCAGTAAATTTTATGAGACCAATATGTGTCATGAAAGAGCACGTCTCGTAATATAAGGAATGGTCTTAGTCGCCATCTTGTTTTTACATCACATTAGTTAAAGTTTTTGTTAGTTTTTTATTTTATGTACTAGATATGTGAACAGAGATCAAATGCTAACTTTATGTATCTCTTTGTTTAACATAAGGCTAATCTATAGAATGTTTTACAGCGAGAAAATAACTGATTGAAACAACTGCTTATAACAATAGTGATGTTACGATGCGTTGACAAAGACCCTAATATTATAAAAATAACGCTGTCGTAAAACTAAACAAAACAAGTTTCGGATTGCAAAGAAATATGCTTACTATAGAATATGATCGGAAAGAGGAAAGCAACCCAAGTCATTAATGTATTAGAAAATTTTGTATTTTTCTTTTCCATATTTCAAAATAAACACAATTTTTTTTTTAAGTCTATCTTGTGGTCTGAAGTGGACATTCCCCTCTCCGTCACAACCATTTAAGATTCGTCCACCTTAATATCAAGAAGCATTTTCCAGTTGTAACGAGCTGAACTGGTATTGATAGAAGGGGGGCATGGTGGTGACACCACTTCCCATGGGTTAGTGCGCATAGCTCCGAGGGCGCAATAGGGCACTCTTAACAGGTTCTTACTGATCTGGTAGTTGGATTCGTCAGTTTTACCTTCTGCCAGTCTTTTCAAAGCCAACACCATCACATCAATTGTCGCCGCGTGACCGATGAAAATAATGTTGCCACCTATAATCAATAAATTGTTTCTTAGTCAAATCATTAAAAAAAAATTTACAACTACTAAATTTTATTTATAACTAGCAACAGAAATTTGTGATCGTTAGGGCATCTGTGTGTTAAATAAATAAAATATTCAATAAATAATAACGAAAGGTTACTTATTATTCATTAATATAAGACGAGGTGAAACTAAATTTGATTTGAAAGTTCTGATCATGTCTATACAATTATTTAAAAGTTCAATGTGAACATTAAACTAATATTTATGTACTAATAAATTTAATTTGGTTTGGTGACATAGTTGATAATCATATAATTGTTAATTAAATAACCATATCAAAATTGTTTTCCAAATATTAACTTTTATCACAGTTATAATCATGCGAATTATGATAGTATTATCATTGAATTGAAAGTAAGTAAAATACAATAACATTATAGTATTATTTTGTGATAGCGGAAAACAGACAGGCATGGGCGATTCACTAGATGGTAGACGAAATACGGTAGCCCTATAACATTCTAAACAAGATGCACTATCGACCCATTTTGGTTTGGATATTGTGAAATCCTCCGACTGAAACCGAGACGCGATTAAACTTGACTAAGCTTTGGACTTTATTTTAATAAGTTTTGATATTATCCAATAATGCTATTCTTGTTCAAAAGTAAGTATGTTTCTGAGGCTGTACAGAGAATATTTACTAAAATTACGAAATACCTTCAGCTTCGGTGTCCTTCACAGCCGACTGCATCACTAACTCGTTTCGAATGAAAAAGTCTTCCAATGTCTCAGGAGTGTTAATCTCTAGATCAACGTAGGGCTTGTAACTGGAAATATTTGTAGAATTACAATGACGCGTTTTTTTCTTTATTGAATCATTTTTGTTGATGTTGAGGTTTTGTCTTTTGAAACAAAATTTCGATATCAAAGGTGCAACAAGAAGTTTTAAAAGAATAGTTGCAATTGTATAAACAAATATTAATATAAAGTTTTCGTAGTCGTATGTATAGTTGAGGTTTCAAATTTATCGATAAATACATTTTAAAAGTTATAAAATTTAGATTGTCTCAAAAGGCGTATTATTGTCTGAACGATTTCTTTAATGACAAGACCGCCTGGCAGTAACATGGATTGCTCCCTAGGTTAAATTAATAAATTCACAATGTATTAGTTTATACGACATGTTAAAAAAACCGGACTGAGTTTCTTGGGTGTTCTTCTCAGTTCTGTTGCTCTTTTGAACACTCTGTAGAATCACGATGAACAGACAGACAAACAAAACTTTTTTGACAAATCTAAATAATTTTTAAAATTTTAAATAGAATAAAGTATATTTTATTTTATGTTTACAGAAAATTCCTTTTGAATAACTTGTTTAATAGCATACTTTTGCCAAGTCATATCTTTTTGGCCTTAAGTGGACTTTTTTAACACACTATAAAATTCAGAAATAACTTATTTTTTCAACTATAAAATGTAACATAACGAAGGATATTTACTTGATATCAACATTAAGTCCAGCCTTGTGGAGTTCCAGCGGTGTCATAAACGGTGCCATTCCTTTTGCCAAATGCCACATTTTGTATTCAAACAGGCCTGGCTCAACACGAACTTTGACTGAAGGGTCCGCCTGCAGACCTGGAAAGAATAAAAGCAAACATGAAAGATAAATAATATTTCTTCAATTGGGTAATTAAAATATAATGATATGCTTTTAAAAACATTTCGAAAAATAATGAATTTGTATAATTAGCTATGTATAAGCTAAATTATCTCGCTGTTCGATATTATTTACAGCGTTGTGTGTAGTACTTCTCATACCCAGCAAGAAATGATGCGCAGTCTCAATGGACCGGAGCGCAGCGGAAGAGTACACGTGCTTAACGGTGACGCCGCTCGCACGAAGCCCCTCCCCCACAAGTTGCGCCTGCAGTTGCCCAACGCGGGTCAACGGCGTGTCCATTGCGTACGAGTCCTTGCCTCCAGTTCTGTTTCATTATATTTTATTATATCATAGATCCAACGTCCTATGCACATTAAATATAATTTATTAACTTTCAAGATTTGTATGTTGTTTGTATTTTTTTTTATTTATTTACACTTTATTACACTAGGTCCTAGGAAGTAAAAAAAACACAAGCGAGACTAATATACTAAAACTACGGAGTGCAATAGGCGGTCTATTTGCTACCAGCGAGGTTTTCTAGGCAACCCAAGTTGAAAGAAGAGAAAGAACGGAAAGATATATTTAAAAATAGCGCGTATATTTAGCATATATTTAATTACAAAGTTGTACTTTAAAACTTATATTGAAAATATGTATGTTATTCGAAATTACTATCGCATTTTATGCTTAAGCAAGAAATTTAAAATGAAGGGACATTGCAAATTAAACACATAATAATTATTATGATATGAATAAAAAGCAAGGACAAGACATTTTCGAATGAAAACACTTATCTGCAGAAAATAGTTACTACATATTCACTTTAATACTAAGATTAAGAAAATTCTATAATTTGAAATAAACAAAAAGTATATGTTTAATTACTGTCAATATTACCTATTTTTAATCAATAGTTTCAGTTGGACAAGACACATAACTCTGATCAACTTGGCTTTAAGTACAATCGAGCAATGTGAAATGCACAAATGTGTTTTGGCGCATGCATAGCAGCATGTATACATACCTATCGCCCAAAGCCACTGGCATATTCAAGTCCTTCCTGACATATTTCCCGCTATCATCGAAACAGAACGGAACCCACACTCCGTAAGTGAGGTCTACCCGTTCGCCGTGACGCATTGCGAACACCCAACGACGCCGTTTCTTGTCTCCATTCATCTTTGAATCATGAAATTAGGACAGTGAAAGACTACAAAATATTATTGGAGTTCTACGGCTCATCTACATTAAGTGGTACGCTATAACGTGTACCTTAATGATAAATTATATAACATAATATCGTACCAAGGTGGTTTATGAAATGAGCACCACACTTTCATTACTAAGTTCGTGTGTTCGATTTTTAGTGGTGCATCAAGCTCTTTCTTTGAGTAAACTGATTCGCCTAATTTGATTGAAAGTAAGATTTCGATAGGCCAAAGCCTGTGTCAGAACCAAATATTCAAAATGTTTCATTTACTTATAAAGTTATAAGCATTTTTTTGGAAACCTGAGCCCAGTGGGAACTATTGAAAACAGTTTATAACACAGGTACTTTATATAAAGGGATACATACCTTGCAATCTCCATTACCAGTAGCTTTTTCTGACTTCCAATCAAGTCCATTGCCACCTGCAAGAATATAATATATAATTAAATAAAAGAAAAAGTAAAATAACTCGTTAGACGTAAAATACTTTACTTTTGTAAATTAAGATGTGTCTGTAGTTTACGCGAGTGTATATTTAAAAAGACTCCGAAACGTCGGCGTCGGGCGATAGTTAAAATAAATTGTAAATAAGTTTAACTAATATATTTCGAATTATAAACCATTAAAATGTTAATAAGTTTTAACAACGCTTAGGATGCTTTACATCGGCAATATAGTTCGTTTCATACCGTTAATAGGGTTTTATATAAGGTCGTTGACGCATCATACTACGTCGTGCAGGGACAGGAATTGTTAGGAAGAAATTAAGAGCAGCTCGAAGGATCTACTATATATATACTATGTATAAAATAGTATTCAATTGTTTTGTTATATTTTTGTGATTTATTTCGGTTTCTGCCTACTGTTCTACTTCAAATGTGATCAGTGGTCAGTGATGCCAAACGCTTGGTGGGGCATCACTGAAAATCGATGTCGTTCCTGCTTATTATTTATTATTACATATTGACAGAATATTTAATTGTTCTTACTTTATGAAAAAACATGTATCGCACTTAGCATTTTCAATCCACGTTCATGAAATATGACCGTGAGATAAGACACCGACACGCAATAAGCTATCGCACTTCAGATTCTTAGTAACAGAATACGTTTAATGGTACGTTATTTTACCATTCATTGGAAATCTGATGTGCAATTATATTTTCAGTGTCGATTACAATAATTGTCGTTTCACATATCAATGACTATCCTAACATACATCACATATTGAACATAACTATTGTTTAAATATCCGTAATAAAATTGAAATAAAACACTTTTTACGGTTTAAAAGGCGAAAAGTATTAGTTGTTTTAAATACGGCGCCATGTTATTGCTTTAATCTTCAGATCCTTCTGACCACGGCTGCAAGGCATCCGAAACGTCAGGCTGTAGTTAAAATAAATGAAAAATACTAATGTATTCCACGTTTTCAATCGTTAAAAGTGTTTTCAGTTTAATATTGTTTTATTTAAACTGAACGATGTCTAACTACATTTATTTCAATTGGTCAAAAACGGTTTTATTTCAACGTGATATATGTATATTATATCGCACTTAAAGTAGGAGGTCAATTTATGTTGTTTAATGTTTAATTTAAAGCTGGTCGTGTGAAGACTCTTTGTAACTAAATAACAATGACTAAGAAACCTACCTTCAACCACATTCAACATTCCATCTGTCTTCACGTCCCTCACTGTCATCCAGTATTTCTCCCAATCCTTATACATCTCCTCAGACTTCTCGAGACCCAGTTGGGGCGAGTCTTCGTGCGGGTAGCTCGTCATTTCCACGTCCGAACCAGACTCCGATTTAGAATCGGCACCTGTTATACAAGTATTATTTCGGGACATTCCGAAGTTGCTGGGGTGAGAATTGACCACCACGAAGGCGAATAGAAGTACGTTAATCGAATACATAGCCAGCCCACCCCACGGTACGATTACAACTGCTCAAATAGTTTGTTTATTGAGCCCTAAATAGATTTAGAGAATTCGACGTTTATTCAAATGTATTAATCACTTGTCCTAAATTCTTATTTCATTGTAATTTACTTTATAAACAATTGAATAACTTAGCGTCACTTGAAAAGTTGGATGTAAACTGTTATGGAAATAAAACCAGTCGATGTGTTCACTAAGCGCTGCATATTTTTCGCAATATTTAGATTCCTACCCTGCGAGATCGAGTTACAAATATGGCAACATTGGAATGAAAATTAGAATCTTTAACTAACGTATTGCTACGAGTTTCAAATCTAAGGTTCGATGTCAATAACAAAAAATACAAATTTATGTAAATTTAAACAATTCGATGTGTTAATTTCGAACAACTTTTTGCAGGGTTTTAATATATAATTACCATTATTTTATTTAGAATAGGATTATAAGTTTTTTCTTTTAAAATTAACAGACTGAAAATTAAACGCGGATTTTTCTATTTGTAGAAAAGAATTTCCATATCATCAGCCAATTACTGTCCATATTAAGCAGTACATGCTATTAGAAAATAAAAAAAATCGCGATTAAAATACATATTTAACAAATGGGAATCGAAACCGCGATCCAGTTGTATTAACCAACCGGAGTTTATGGTAATTTTCTGATGTTATTTTTAAAACTTTATTATATATTATAACATTTATTATATATAACGTAAAATTTTCGCATATTAATTATTGTTTGTAATTACATGAATAATCGATGCTTACCCAAATTGTTTCCCAGCGATAGAGCCCGGTGTAAAGTCCACGCGTCCGACTCGGCCGTACGACGGGTATACACAGCCGGTAGATAACCGCTCACACCTATATCATACGATGTTTTAGCTATCGCGTAATTAACAAGTCGATTAGGTAGAAATTTTAAGTGTTGCGACTGCTTTGAATGTTAGACTCAAAGGACTGAGTGCCCATTGATACTGAATCTATACTTGCAAGTTTTCAAGAGTGAGCTTGTATTAGTATATTTTATTCAGTGTATTTAGTTGTTTGTAAGTCTTAATCGGGTATGTAATGAGAACAACAACCTCTAGTATTTTTAATACATATATATTCGAAATACTGGTTGTAAGTTTTATTTGCATCTTTAAACTACTTAAGTGTCGTAAAATTTTGTCTCAAACGAAACACTAAACTATATGTTTATACCGGAAAGGCCAAATGTTAATTGTTAACGTTTAGATTTAAAGTAACTGACGCGTCTTGGGAGTATGTTATATTTTTACATGTCGTTATACGGTTCGTTACAGGCAACTTTAAAAATAGAAAAAAAATGTCCATAGGTAATTTAAAAACGCGTAAATTTAACTTTACACTTTCCTATATGTAAACCCTATTGTATTAATCAATTAAATATAATTTCAGTTTCATTTGTTTTACGAGACAAAAACGAATCTCTTTTTATGGCTACTAAGAAATCTTGTTGTGATTATGTTACAGCTGACTGGAGTTTTGTATCAAATTACCTTACTATAAAGATAAGAATGCATAAAGCTTAACAGTCTTTGGTTTGGTTGAAGTCAAGGTCTTACAAGTACTTCACAGACTTAAAATTCTTAATATGCGTAAAGATAAGCACATGATTGAATATGGCAATAATACATCAGTTATCGCTTTCTTGGATTATCTAAAAGAAAGCTTATTGGTATATTAGTGATATTTTGCGAGCAAAATCAGCTCCTATAAATAATATTAGCAAGGCCGTCTAATATCAAGGTTAGATAACGTATGTGATATATGCTAATTGATTGCACTTTGAATACCTCACGATTTATAAACAACTACCTTACTAAAACCTCCTTGTTTTATAATATATAAAAAAAAACTAACCAGATAGCTTTTGACATCTCATAACACATTTTAACATTCTTTTTCTGAAATATCTTTGAGAAGATAAAAAAAAAACACCTACAGATTACAATTCATTACAATTTGCGAGATAGATAACTATTTGTTTTTTTATTTTTAAAACTTCACTTAGGTATGTTATCTGTATTAGCACATTTTATGTAATGCCAATGCCTGACTATCACAAATGATAAAATTATCATTTAAACATTGGGAGACAGAGTAGGTATTTTGCCCTAATTTTAAAAATCTACAGATAAAAATCACCTGTGAGCCAAGAAGTGCCATGCACCCAGCCATCTTGGGAGCTCTCCAGTTGTTTCTCCTCTATATAAATATAATCGCCGATAACTAGTTCCAACTCGTCACTCGCTTCTGGGACGTAATTTTGCACCACTTTATGGACCTACCAGACATTTAAGGATTATATTAATTAATTATTTTACTTAGCTGGAATCTTTTGTATGGACTTTGACTTATTTTAAAAATTAAACTATTAGAGAACGTAATTTTTAGATTAATTATTTAGAACATTGTAGAAGATGAATTAAAGCCTACGTTTGGCAGACAAATATATGTGCTATTACGGGTGATTATTCATCACTTATAAATTATGCCTAACCTATTACAATAATTACAGTTATTGACTCACCGAATGATTGGCGAAGCGAGGATCCCTCGAATAAAGACGCAACTCCCAACTGGTAAGAGATTCTGGCTTCAAGCCTTCCACCAGGGTTTTCAAAGCATCAAAAGCTGACACATCAAAATGGTACGCTAGAGTTATATGCAGCGACTTCACGTGTGCCTCAAGATTTGTTGCTAAAATGGATGGTATGCAATTAATATTTACAGTATATATTTTCTTTTATAAAATAGTAAAGTGAAATCATTATAAAATAAATGCTTTGACTAAGCAAACTGTTCCCTTGAGTAAATTGACATATCAAACATTATTTTATTAAAATGTAATATACACATTATATAATAAACATAGTTTTTATTTATATTTCACTACATAATAATCATAAAATATTTACCATATTTGGCTTCTACAAAAACATCTACAATACAATATACAATAATATTAAATAAAAAATATCAACCAGCAAAATTACAGAAATAATACCTATTAAGCAGTTAATCACAATAGTTACCTTCTCACTATCTCCAACTAGCAAAAAGTGAAACTCAAACTAAAAAATAAAACATTCTTCAGTTTACTATTTGAAGCACAAACTACGCCATGCAAAACCGTTTGGACTCTTACAGATATCTTTCTCTTGAGCCATGGTACACCAGGGAAAGCAAGCACCCAGCGCATCCAAATGCTCATATGTATCCACTTTTACACCCACTGCATCAAATAATACGTTATCAGTATGATTCTTCTTAACTTGTTCAACGACAATTAAATATCAAAACTTAAAGATTTCTCCTCAACTTTATTAAGATAGGGTCTAATTTAAAAAGAGTACATGCATATTTTTAATATAATACTTAAAAAGCATTAAGCATAAAGGTTTAATTTAAAAAGCAATAAATATAATGCTTCTTTGCATAACTACAATTTATTTTAATGATTAAAAATATTGGTAAAATATAATTATATTTAAATTTTGGTTAATGTATAAAGTTTTGAGTATGTAGAAAAAATCATCAGTATATTTCTAAAAGGATATTAGAAAAATTTAAACCATTTAGTTATAGAATAAACAATGGCATCTTTATGTCACCAGAGCCTCCAGGGCTTGAATCTTGGGCAAACAATATTATCAAAAAGGCAAGATTTGACTGCCTTGTCTGTAACTGAATTTTTTAAGTCTAACAGAACTAGGAAAACAAACCAAACATACATATTGAAGAGACTTCCTTGACAAATTGTACAGCGATCTTCTTAAGGTACTCAGCATGTTCCTCCGATATGAAAAGACCCATAAAATTGTGAGATACATATGGTTCCAGTTTAGGTTGGCTTGTTGGTGGATTACCAACCATTTCCACAACTTGCTTTACTGCTTTTGCCAATTGTAAGGATGTATCATCTGCTGCCTGCATTTTATTATGCATTTAAGAACTTAGAATAAAAAATATTATTATACTACGTAATCTATAATGTTATAAACTGTTATTTTATATTGTTTCTTAATTGTAGTTTTTTTTTAATTTTATAAGAATAAGTACAAACCACAATTACCTTGAAAAAGGAAACAAGTGTAATGTGAGGTGGAAAATTGTGGGCTCCGTTCCATTTACCAATGGATTTAGATTTCTCCCAAAACTCATGCAACTGTTTCAGAAGTGGACCAGTAGGACTAGCATAGAAAATGTATTCCCGTGGCTGATTATCATCTATCGAAGAGTCATTAACATGGGTTAGAAGCCAGTCAGATGCCAACTGAACACTGCGGTTGCCTGTAGCCGCTAAGGCCTTTAATCTGCAATGATATATTTTAAATTTCTAGGCATAAATAGTGATTGATAAGACACCGCGAGTTACGCCGCTATAGCAATATAATCAGACCTAGCACCTGCGCTGACAACAACTTTTATTAGCCTCATACAGTTTGTTAAACTAAAGAGTACTTTAAACTTTACTGGGTATATATAGTATTCGAAGGTAAATATGCTTACTATGTAAACAAACGTCTATATCCTATCGTATCGTATATCGTCGTATTGATGCCTCATCGCTGTATAAAAAAAATGACGCTGTAACAGCAGCCATTTTATAATTACCAAGTGTATGATAAATTGGTGAATCCATACGCTCTAGTGTGTGTAGAACTTCACTAGCGACAATGGCAACCACTTAAATAGTAATTAGGTTTAATCTTAGACAATAAAAATATTAAAAACCCCGACAAAGGTAAAAATTAAAAATATTCAAGAAAGGTTTTTTTCTTTAGTTAATAGTAGTAAACTGTGTTTTACGTAAAATTATAATAAAAAAATTGCGCTTACGCTCGATTTTTCGGAAAGCCCATCTGTAGGAGTATTTGCAGGGGAGATGCATCCTGCTTAGAAGTTTTACTAGATGTTGAAAATTTTCTAGGTGGAAGATTAGCCATTTCACGTCCTACTACACAAATAATAGAACCAAAACGCAAATCACGCAACCATATAGAATAAATGCGTGGAAACAAAAAAGATATCTGCTTCCTTAGATTTTACGAACAACAACAACAGGCTTGATTGTAAACAGAAATTGTAATTTTTTATGTCAAACCTCAAAGAGTAAGTAGTAGTAAAACCTCAAAGAACTATAGTGACGTGCAATCATCAGTTAATCGAGGCAATGTCACAATATACTCTGTGGACATAATCACTGGCTCCCAGAAATATATCGCTTACAAGAGTCTGTGAACAAATTATACCTCTATGGTGTGAACTGTGAGAACAAATGTGTTTTAGTGATGATTTTTAGGTTACAGTGTTATTTACATTTTACCATAAAAGTTGTTGGCTGAAATTGGTTAAAGTGGAAAAAAAAATCTTGAATACTTTACAACTTTCTGTTTTTAATCAAATATATTTCAAGATGTATTTAAGATACTTTTTAAATGAAAGCGGAGACCGCCAGTACACTTTAGCTGTGAGTTTTAATTAATCTAAAAATAAAGAATATAAAAATGTAAATTTACTAACAGTGATTGTAAAAGTTTAAACTATTATACAGAGGCATTAATTGTATTTCCTTATAATCAGTTTTTCCACATGTCCCTATTTTTTTGGCATGGCTGTACAATTCCATAGTTTAGCCAAAACGACTGTTAATTGATATTATTTTACCGTATGCTTTGTAACATTGTAATTATTGTATTTCAGACAATTGACCCTAGTGGAAAACCTACTCTATCAGCACACCCAGGTATTTATATTCACATTTCATAAATAATTTAAAAATGAATTAAATGCATTTAGCATTAGTTCTCATATTTTTAATAATCTTGTATTAAGTTTTAAATATAATATATTATAAAGCATTAGATTCATTGTTTCTTAACATGTTAACATTCATTAAATGAAAAATATGATGTTTCAGCTCGATTCTCTCCAGAGGACAAATATTCAAGGCAGAGAATTGTAATTAAGAAGAGATTTGGTTTACTTTTAACACAGCAACCAGAACCTATTCATTAAAATATTATTTCATTGATAAGTTGACATATATGTTTAAGTTTAAAATAAAGGCAATGGCAAAATTTTATTTAGTTTTTCTTTCAGTTTTCAAAGTTGACGTAAACAAAACATTTTTTTTCACTTGTTATCAATATATTAAAAATTAAACAAATCCAATTTTATTTGTTACTCAATTGAGTAATTTGGCGATTTCCATTATTGTATTTTACATCAACCATCTGTAGCCTATTGTTTTTTTTTCCAATCGGTGGCCAGCTACAATTATATATATATATATATTTCTTAATATAACTTAACAGATCTACATTTATATATCTTTTTTTTCCTTAAATAAATAAATATTGATTTGTTCAGTAAGAGTTTTTGAAACAATAATATCCGATTTATTTTTTAATGACGACGTCTATAAAATAACTTGCAACACTGCTTGGTTGTGCCATTACAATAAATTAAACAAAAGTGACAAATTCAATGTCACAGATGACAGTTTAAGTAAAGACTTACGCCACATTAAAGAAGACGTGCATCTTAACGATATAATGAAATATGTAAATTTGAAATTATTCTACATTGTGAGACAAATATATTACGCTAATTCTTTTTTGCAAGTACGATTAGCTGTATAAACTATTATAACATAAAAATTCGGGTATTCGAGCGTTATCAATAGAATACAAACTTAGTTAAGTATAACAAACGATTTAGTGTTTTTCAAAAAATTTAAATATGTCTCAAAAAAGTGATGAATTGAAAATATATTGGAATAAAATCATCTATGCATTTCCTATTTTAAACGACAATTTGTCCTCGGAGTGCACTGATACAGAATATGAAGAAATAGCGCACATCATTACCGGATTAAGCATACAAGTTAAAATACGCGACCTCATACTAGTACACATTGAAAAATACTTAAGGCATAATGTTGCTCCATCGTTTTGGTCCAAATTCACCAAAATTGAGGAAGAAATAAAAGGATTTCAATTATTTAAATCTGCAGTTAATGATTTATATGAATCCGTTAATAGTTTTTCTATTTTGTTGAGGCGGTTGACACTATTGAATAATACATGTTGCGACAACAGACCTATATTTGGTGAACGCGATGTTATTCAAGGATTTAAACAACTTGTAAGAGCTACATTACTGTCGCAGCTGCCTGTGACATTCCACGTTATTATAAACCACTTCTATAAATTGTCTTTCAATGTCTTTGACAATATGAAGGCATATGAAGATTCTTTTATGGACGAAGATGCTTGTTCTGGTTGCTGGAATGAGTATTCTGAATGCAACTGTGCCTATATTGTAAAAGTATTCTATGATACAAACAGGAAACTGGTTGAATTACAACTGTTAGAAAGATTAGCAGGTCAAGTTTTGACTAATTTTATTCAACAGAGGATAGAAGCCCATATTCATAAATTATGCACAGGAACATTTGATTTGTCATACATAGCCCTTTTAGAGAAATGGTTAGATGTTACTGTCATGACATGGTTAACCAGAATCTATTGTGCAGGATCTTCAGAACCTCCACCTGATGATGAGAATGTTCAAAATGCTATTGCAAAATTTAAGCAAAAGTTAAGATATTATTTATATCATTCTTACACTAAATTGAGAATAGATCAGTTGTTTATAATAATTATTGAATACCCAGATTCTCGACCAGCAATTTCTGACATAAAGGTATGCCTTAACAAAACTGATTTGCAAAAATCTTTATGTAAAAACTTGCAAAATGCTCTAGAAACTAGGCTATTGCACCCTGGAGTGAATACACCTGATATTTTAACTGCATATATATCTACAATCAGAGCACTCCGACATCTAGATCCTTCTGGAGTTATACTAGAGACAGTTACAAAGCCTGTACGAAGTTACTTAAGAAACAGGGAAGACACTGTGAGGAGTGTTGTCAGTAGTTTAACAGAAGAAGGTACTGGTAGCGAACTTGCCGAAGAGTTGGCTAAGTTTGCAGCAGATAATGATGAGGAGGGAGAGAAAGAGGAAGCTTGGGATGAGTGGATGCCTGATCCAGTAGATGCAGACCCAAGAAACACTGCTAGTGACAGAAAAGGTAGTGATATAATATCCATGTTAGTTAATATCTATGGTAGTAAAGAATTATTTGTCAATGAGTACAGAACACTACTAGCAGATAGATTATTGGCACAAGGTGTTATTAACACAGACAAAGAAATAAGGTATTTGGAATTGCTAAAACTCCGATTTGGTGAATCTCAGTTGCATTTCTGTGAGGTAATGCTGAAGGATATTTCAGATTCAAAGAGAATCAATGCCTTGATAAGTCAAGACAAAAACTTTGAAGAAATGAATAATAAGTTTGCATCAAATGCTATGATTCTATCTGCTCAATTCTGGCCCCCTTTTAAAGATGAAAGTTTAGAGCTTCCAGATGAGATTAAAGAGCACTTAGCTGATTATACTAAGGCCTATGAGACATTGAAAGGTAACAGAACATTAAGTTGGAAGCCACATTTGGGAAATGTCAATATTGAAATAGAAATTGGTCAGAAAAAGTTAGATTTAACAGTGTCCCCTTTCAATGCAACATTAATTATGCATTTTCAAACAAAGCCTGAGTGGTCACTTGACGAGTTACATGAGATGATGAAAGTGCCTGTCAATGTTTTGAGAAGAAAGATAACTTACTGGCAGTCATTAGGTCTTATATCAGAGAAAAGTTCTGATTATTATGTATTGGTAGATGGCTCTGAAGCGTGCAAATCAAATGTACCATCTAACCAGGTACAAGAAATGATTTGTGAAGATGAGGAGGCAGAGAGTGTGATGGCATCTGCCCATGATCAAAGGGAGGGTGAACTTCAAGTGTTTTGGTCTTATATTGTCGGTATGCTAACCAATCTAGATTCATTGCCGCTAGAGAGGATTCATCAAATGCTCAAAATGTTTGCCTCACAAGCTCCAGGAACTGAATGTAGTTTGAATGAGTTGAGACAGTTCTTAGATACTAAAGTGCGTACTCATCAACTCTTCCTTCAAGGTGGAATGTATAAGTTAGCTAAGTCATAGACAAGATATACATAGACACTTTAAATGTGTTATAATTTGTTATAAATAAAACACTTGCTAGGTGTAACAGAACTTTATTTTTCTTGTTTTTTTTTTATAAAATTTGGTTATATCATTACATATCTGGGGGTTACAAAACGTTATGGTTTTATATAATATTAATGAAGTAATTTTATTTTTGACCACACATGAAATAAGGCAAACATCAAGATTTTTGTAATATCCACATTAATACTTTGCAATTTCTTAATACAGTGTCAGTCTTAAATAATAATATTAAAATACTGTTTAAAATAAACATAAGATACTGTTAAAAATACTGTAGTTAAATATTAAATAAAATGGAATGCATTTTAGTACAATTAAATGCAAGTATATGGTAATAGTTCTAGAACAAATTAATGAAAAAGGGAAAGTTTTTGTTATTCCTCATGAAGAGAAGTTTTAATAATTTGTGCCTTTGTGTCCTTGGATTTTTAATACATATATAACAATTAGCACAAAGTATATTATAAGCATAAATTTCGCAACGTAATCGTCAATTTAAAAACTATAAAACATAATAAATTATGCAAAAAACAAAATTATAATTAACAGATCTTTAGGTGAAAAAAAAACAATACAGCCAAGTAGAGAGGATAGGTATAATAATGATTAGTGCCATACTAATTGAAACACCAATGTATATAAAAATAAATAATACAATATTGTATAACACTACAACAGTTAAAGCTCTACATGTAGTTTACATATGTACAGATGCAGTAATTTCTGCCAAAGTATTGTCAAATCATTTGACACTATCTATTGCATAAGCTGAAGACAATAACAGCAAAATTGTAATGAATTTCGATAAAAATGTCTCCTAACAGTTAGGCTTATTATCCTGTTTTATCAATTGTTGTAAACACTATGACCAAGATACAAGATTAAAGGAAATTGTATATTAGAATTGAAAAACTACATTTCCCATCAAAGATCAAACACTATGCTTGGTTTTAGAAGGCTGATATAAAAATCTATATAAGGCTTGCATACTTACTACAGTTACATTTAAATGCATAATACTAACATTACTTAATCAATAAATTATTAAGTACATAAAATTTCAATAAGTCTGTTATAGTACTAAGAATCTCTTTGTGGACGATACATTATTTCGACTGAATTATTGCACACCAACCAAAACCTCAATATTAACTAAAGAGTGTTTAGAAGTGTGTAGATAAAACTTTTTTCAGTCATTTCAGTAAGTAACGCAACTTAGAATCCTAAAATAAATAAAATCTACGCTAACAACATAATAGGTAAAATTATATAGATTAGAAATCTGTAAGTAAAAGTGAATATTTTTTAAAAGGACCTATCGCTTTTTTATTTAAAGCAAGTTACCAGGTAATGTCTCGTGAATGGTAGAAGTTTTTGGAATTAAGCACTTGTCACAACTCTTAGGCCGAATCTGGGAGGCCATAATTAAAATATTATTTTTCTTTTAGAATAGAGAGGCCAATACCGGGTGGTTTTGTGTCGATTTGCCATTTAATATCTGTTGGAAAAAGTACAAAAATTATTCTAGCTACTTTGTCTAATAATTTTATTCACCGGTTGCGACGTGGTGCGGGCGCCGGTGCGGTCACGTTCGCAGTAGGCGGGGCGGTGTGCGGCGCAGAGATTGGCTGCAGAGGTCTCTTGAATGGGCCTAGACGTTTCACTGGCCGTGGCGATACCGAATGCGGTTCAGTGTTACACGTCCACGTGCTTGCTCCGTGGTCGAGCAGAGCGTTCGCTAAGCGACCACTGCTTTGATCTGTCAAGTAAACATATCATCATTCATATAACTGTTCATATAATAACTGTAGAACGATGTCGGATAACCATTTTGATTAAATTTCTCTAGAGGCATCCTGAAAATTTTATAGGGCAATCGGATTGAATACTACTGTTGTTTACATCAGCTCAAAATCTACTATTAATTATAACTATCCAAAAATTATTTCCAAATAGTTGATTTAGCACACTTTGTTTTTCAAACAATTCATGTTCCTCAAAGTAATTAGAATTTATGTGAAAAAATCATAGTACCATAAAAACGCTAATAAATGGAATACTTGCTATATCAATGAAGTACTTACTAAATATTATTGATTAGTGTCAATAATGAGTACGTTATCATTAATTGTAGTAGACAATTTGAAACACATACCCGTCTGTTGTGTTTGCGTGTTTAGTGGAGCCCTAATACGAGTTACGAAATGTTCAAAGGGCGTAGGTTGGGTGTGGTTAGTGACAAGCGCGTCTAGATCTCTGGCTCGCTCGCTGCACGCGTGTTGATAGAGGGGCATAGTGGCTCGTACCGCCCTCCCCCCTGCGAACGCAGCTCCTCGGACCAACGCTGCACAGCAACTCACGCGCACTATACACTCCTCCCATAGCGGGCCGAATACTCCCACCTAGAATTTGTTTAATTTTATTAACTATGATATGTATTAGTCGTATATGTAGTATATTAAGAGTTTAAATGACGAACCACATTTTCAAAGTTGAAATAAACCACAACTTGCACATGAACATATATTTTTTACAACAATGCAACCTAAGAGTTCTACAAATCTGAACAGAAACATGGAAATACTGTCTGTAGTTAACGTGAGTAGTACACATTCAAATAAAACAACGTCTCCCCGTGATCACGGCTGCTGCAAAGCATCCGAAAAGTAGGGTCGTAGTAAAAATAATTTCAAATAAGTTGAACTAATATATTTCGCAACTTAAACCGTTTAAATATTTTATTTAAATGAAAACATGAAAAAACGTCATAACGTTTAACGTCATTCTGGTCTTCTGAAGTTATTGAACTAGATGTCTACAATACTTCCATTACACAATGTATTTTAGTACTTACATCCGGTTTTCTAGACACAGTACAGCGTAGTAGACCACCCGGTAACGGATAGAGTACAATAAGTACATCACAAAACTGTGTCGGCAATGTGTCCCTTTTATAGGGTCGCCAGTGTTCACTCCATACCACGTGTACTTCATCGTTGCCCAAGTGCCGTGTCTGTAATAAGGTATTTACACTTAATCAAGCCACATACTCTGTCATGCATCATAATAGACCTTAATTTTATGTATACATAGGGGAGTTTTAGGTCTCTCTATAATCTAATTCCACCAAACTTGTAACAGAATCACTCACAATATAGCCACGATGTGATTAGGGACTCTCAACTAATTCTACTGCACCACATATATGCCATTTAGCACTATACTAGAAATATAACTATACTATACTATATAGAGTATATACTGATATATTTTTAAATTTCACATGTAAATATGTACATACTCTTATATTATATTATACTGAATAAGATTCTAAGGAAGGCCTAATAACAATACAATATACAGTTGAATCCGTCTATTATGACTCCGCCTATATTGACCAACCGTTATTACACTACGAAGTTTGGTTTTCATATAAAATTCTTTATAAAAAAGTCGGATATAAAAACTTCCCTTACAATGACATGTCGCTGATTATGACACATGGTCAATAAATTATAACCAGTTATAATGACCGAAACGATAATATACACCTCTGGGTACTCGGTGATGTTCGTTGAATCCCGACGACGTTCTGTTTGAAAAGAAGTCGAGGAAGAACCATTAAAAGCTGCAGGAGTATTATCACGATTTGTTCATAGCAATATTAAAAATTATAATTTGACCATAGCGATGGCTTCTATACTATACACAATAATATCAGAGACTGTTACAATAAAATGAAAAAACAAAGTCAACAAAAATTATAAATTACTTACATTAAAAAATACATTTGTATGTGTATAATTTACTTATTACGTGCAATTTTTGTTTTCATTTAATATGTATATTTACATACGTAGTTACTAAATTCCTCTATTAAAATACTAAAATACATACATATTTATATGAAATAGGTTTTTTTTCACAAAACTCAACTGAATTTTGTATGTTTAACGCTATAGTGAATCCACAAATATTTTTAAGTACGATTTCGAGTACTTGGGCTATGTCCAACACAATATGGCAGAGCAACAACAGTAATACATAGAATCATCTATAAACTACCTTATTTAATATAGCGTCCGGAGTATCAGCCGGCATCCTAGTGGCGACGTGGAATAACGCTTCTAGCGTTAACGTGGCGAGGTACGGTGCACTTGTTCCACCACCCCCTCCCCCACGCAGTCCACCCGCGAATCCAACATGGCTCTCTAACTCCACCTATAACAATTCATAAATATAGATAAATTAAAAGTCATATATTGTTGTTACATAACTATTCACATTAAAACAACCCAATTAGATTTTTGGTACAAATTTTCTAATATTCAGGCTTGATTTCATTTATTTAATGCTTTCAAGGATTTTAATGAGGGATAACCATGAGAAAGGTTTTGAATAGATGTATTTACTTTGATTGTGTCAATTTGACTTTAGATATTATACCCATAACCCGCCTCTAATGGGACGTCAAAGTAATCTGTGCTGTGCAACTATCGTCTTTTTAAGGAGAAATAATGTAACTTACCTCCCACGCAAGAGCTGCCAGGAACGCCTCGTAAGCCGCACTACCACAACGGTTAGATAGGATCTCGTTACGGGTCTCCTGTCCTTTGCCCACGTATATAACCGCTACCTTGTGCGTCTCTCGACATCTGTGAACATTATTTGTATACATTTGCATACGAAGGTCTTCGACTAATTTCGATTAACCATAAACACGGCGCTGGTGAGCTTATCTTAAAAGATAGATAAATACTGTCGCGAGGATATTTTTTTTTATTTGATTATTTAACTTAACTTAATTTAACACATGTCTCAAAGATGAATAAATTTCCCCGGTTTTCCACATTTCCACACTGTTTTTTCGCTCCCATTCATTGCAGCCCGATGTTTTATAGGTTTTATATATAATCGAGGTAGGTAATATAACTCGTTAAATGATCCAACTGGCCCAAAAATATTTTTCAATTCTAACCAGTAGTTCCTAAGATTAGCGCGTTGCAAACAAACTGTTCAGCTGTATATAAATATTCAATAGTAAAGATATACACACCTCTGTGCATCCAAGTTTCTCAGCTCCCTTAACAGCCTGTCAGTGCGCCGTAAAAGGTGCGCATTGGCACGTCTCGATGGAGCGAGCGTACCCAACTGCGAGACCAGTTGACTAGACGCGGCAAATGCGCTCTTATCGCTAGAACCGCTTATGTTCGATGCAAGGTCTAGAGAATCCACTTCGTCTTCACTGTAAAATAATTTTAATTACTTATTATTTTTATCACTACGGTATATAGTAACATATGAATAATATGAACGTTTATACATAACGAAAAATTTGTAGTGCTCAGAGTTAATGTATATAAAAGAAACACTGTGAAAGTCTCTGATGTATTAGGGTAAATTACAATAGGAACTGATATTAGAGTAAAATACAAAATCAAAGTTACACGTCACGAAGCCCGACCAGTTTCCAGTCTAAATAAGTAAATAATTGAAAACCTATTCTAGATTGAAAAGATTCAATGACAAGGGCGGGATTCGAACCTTATTTGTTAAATCAAATATAATTTTATAGGATTTTTTTTCTTTACCATCTATTAATCAGATACAGCAACATAAGAAAGCAAAGTTAAGAAGAGAGTTAAATAAGTAATTTTTTAGAATATTTTTTCATCCTACCAATCTCTATGCTGCAAGTAGTGCCTCTCAGCGTTCCGATGTGCCACCAATGCGCAAACCAGTTCATCTTCCACTCCAGCCGGCAACGGTGTGGGGCCAGCTTCGTCTAACCTCCTACCGCACGTTACCTCGGGAGAAGTGTGGCCTATGTACGCTAATACCTAAATTACAAATCAATTTTACTATGCGAAGCGTTAGAGAATAAATAAAAGGACAAAAAAATGGTCTAGACACTAACTCTTTGTAACACTAGTTACAAAGAGTTACGTTTCCATAAAGGGGGAACTATACCTAGATAGCTTAATCAACATTATTCGAAATTGGCATACAATGTTTAAAATGGATATTCTTGAAGCAATAAAAAATCTTACATGATCCAATTGATGTTTATCTGGTGGCGAATTCTTGTAATCAGGCAAAAGATTAGGTGGCAAAGGTGGTGGGAGTGATGACAAAGTGTTTTCTCTTGGTGTGTCTGCACTGTGAAGTTAAATAGAAGTTGCGTTCGATCCCAAACTACAAATCGTTTATTTCTTGTTTTAAGAAACAAAAACTGACAATTATATTCTCAATGGCCTACAGCAAACTTAGTTTTGTTTCTGTCACTCAAGCGTAATTTAAGGTTTAAGGTTAAGGTTGAGTAAAAGGGACAAAACATAGTCTGTTTTTTATTGCAAGTTGATTAAAATTAATTATATAATATTGTACGTACACTTTTGGTATAGGAAGGGGTTCTATGACTTCCGAAGACGTGACAGATGGGTCGTAGTAAAGCGCGGATGCGTCCCAGCACGCTTTGCCCGTTATATCTCGCAGTAGGACGCGCACTTGACGGTCCGACGTTATTAGACCTAAAAAATATAGGTATTTGTATTAGCAACAGAAATCAAAAAACACTTGATACAAAATACATTAATATTATTGTCAAAATACTAAGACTAAGAATACATGTTTTATGACATATTATATTCAACTTTAGCATTGTCTGTAGTTTACGCAAGTCGTACAAATTTAAATATAACACTATTAACGGTTTAAAACGCGAAATAGATTACTTAAAACTTATATCCACTTTATTTTAACTATGGCCCGATGCCAGCTAGTTTGTCCAAATACTAACTAAGAGGGAATACCCCCGTAAACACAGTTGCTGCAAAATATAGGGCCATAATTTAAATAAATCGTAAATATGTTTAACTAACATATTTCGCGTTTTGAACGTAATGTATTTAAATATATTAAACTTTTTTATAGCAATGGTGTTTATCAGAAATGCAGGAATTGATTTTTCATGGTCAAAATGAGTACTTTTAAATTTTTTAAAGAAATACATATTTGTATCTAATATATAAAAACTCTTAACTCTTACAATGCGTAGCTTTCTAGTTGACGTTGGTATAAGACGACGATATAACTTAATAACTTCTCTTCAATAAACAATGTTCATCTACAATACCTGGTGTGGTCCCACCCTGCGGCAAGTCTAACGCGGGCAGTTCTATAAACGAGGCCAGAGTCGAGTCGCTTAGTCTCATCAGCTGTATATGGGGAGCAGTTAAAACTGCTGGGCCCAGCTCGCTACCCAGCGGTGGGATACTGTCGTGTTGCTCGCAAACACTTGACGACAATTGACAGCCAGTCCATAGTGGCCAGTGGCCCAAGTATAGCACTAGTTGGGAGCATATCTACGAAAAAAGACGTATTAATGTAAAAATACATACACATTACACAAAAATACATGGGTCTAATCAAAGGGAATTCAACATTTACCAGTTTTTCATACAAAAGTAAAAATTAAAAGAAATATGTAATAAATCAAATATTCTTGTTTAACTCCCTACGTTCGAATATTAATTTGGTTTACTAATTATCACGCTAATAATAAATGTGCTAATATAAAATATGTATATGTTATAATAGAAAAGATTTACTTTAAATACTGTCTGTAGTTTACGCGAGTTGTACACATTTAAAGAAACACTTTAACAAATTTAAAAGCGATGAATAAACGTATTTGGAAATTATTTTAGCTACGAACAGACGTTTCAGATGCTTTGAAGCAGCCGTGGTCACGGGGAGAATAAAGATGGTGGACGTCTCTCTAATGTCAAAGTAAAAACTACTATCTACTTAGAATAGTTTTAACTAATATATATCGCGTTTTAAACAGTTCAAGTGTTTCATTTTGAAGGGATAAATATTACAAATTTAATTTCTGGGTGTTACGTTCAAATATTATTTTTTTATTATTGTTTTTCTTTTAGCATTCTTCTATTATTATTTAACTAACACATTTGTTAATTTTATTATTGTTAGCGTAAACTATACATACACATAGATTCAAAGAGAAAAACTACTCGCGAAATCAATTTTACCGTCTGTGCCCAGAGCTTAACATCGATGCTGGAAGCTGGAGTCGTCTTTGGTCCAAGGTTATCAAGCTGAATATTGGGATCGAAGTCTTCATCCACGGGCAATGTCAACCCTTCGATGTCCCCGCCATTGGTGCCCTTCATCACGGCGTAAAGAACCTGGAACAAATTGGAGATAAAACAACTGTTGTTTTAGATAAAGGAAGAATAACTTTATTTAAAATAATGTTATTAATTCTTATTTCAAATTACGTCAGGATTAACACGTTCACTAACGGATCAAATCAAAACGCATTGTACAAAATTAAAAGAATTGCCACTTGAGTGGCAAACTCGTTAGGACCCATGTTCACTTCTTCTTCTTTAATACTTCGGGAAAACTTTGGAAAACACAATCATGTGTAAACATGATTGTGTTTTCCAAAGTTTACTGAAACTCAAATTGGGTCTATCATCCATACTAAAGATTAAACTTTTATTAATGTTCATTATTTGGTGCAAATTGTATGTTATATTAAGCATAATTAGTTTACATATTTTAGAAAAAAAAGTATAGTGCTAGGTAATTGTATTGTGCCCGCATTATTTATTCTTTATTGGTTCTGTTAGATTCGTAAAGCGTCATTTACTAATTTATAACGGGGAATCGAACTCGACTCGTGACGAATATCGCGGACCTATCACGTTAGCGCGTTATGTCAATATTACGAAGAAAACTTTCTATATTACCATATGAGAAGGTCAAGATGACAAAATAACATTGCTAAAATAAGCCAAGGACTTCACTCTCCGATAGAACACTCTGTGCGTTACGTAAATCATTGTAATTTAGCACTGGACATATTTGTTAGATATCCACCGCTTTATTCATTAGCACCATGTTGCGCGCTCAGTACCCAGAGATAGTTTTGTCATCAGTTACTGTATGTACTTATAATGCAGCTGCGGCGACAAATCTTCACATTCAACAGCTGACTTCAGCAGAAGTACATCGCTTAGGAATACCAAAAACCAAAACTTTATCATCATGCAAAAATTCGTGAGTATATTTTTTATATCGCTTCAATTAAAAAATGGTAAATGAATGATTTTATTTATTGTTTAAGAAGTGATAATTTCACTGATTATGAAACTACGAGTATGAAGAACTTAAATATTAACACACCAAAACAAAAAAGCCTGTTATTTAGGTACAAGTCCACAACAAACATTGGGCCCTTTTAACGGGAAAGCGGAAGCTGAGATATAAGGGAGATTGTTAATTTCTTTTATTGTTTTTCTTTAGGTGTTGGTAGCTCTTGCTCTATTTGCTGTAGCGGCAGCAGCCCCACAAGAAGCAGCCCCAGAACCTATCTATATCCTCAAGCATGATGCTAATGTCAACCCAGACGGTTACAATTTTGAGTAAGTACGATGACTTTTTAAGTAGTATTTAGTTGTTTATGGTGAAATTATGGGTGAAATGGTCAACAAACTATGTGATTGATTACCCGGCCTTCTATCCATGTCCCAAGAGAAAATAATATTGTGGATATTTTCATAGAAAGTCAACGACTAAAGACCCCTAGCTACTGGAGATTACTTTCACACAGACATGTAGTAGTTGGCAGGTTTTACCTTCGCATAATCTCAAATTAACAATTGACGGTATACAATTTACTTAAAATAAACGTCGCAAAGGCAAGTATATGACAACCCATTTACTTTTTATATAAAAATAATAAATCAATTCTTTCTAAGGTTCGAAACCAGCGACGGAACACAACGCCAAGAATCCGGAACGTTGAAGCAGATCTCTGAGGACGTGAAGGCCCTCGAAGTGCAGGGCAGCTACAAATACGCCGCACCCGACGGCCTCATTTACACCGTAACCTACATCGCCGACGAGCACGGTTTCCAACCGCAAGAGCGCGTCGAACATCCAGGACAATAAGTCAAAAAGATCGTTGTATCAAATTCTGTACAGTGTAAGTGGGGCTTAAATTGCCTCTAGAACCCTATTCCACCAAGACATATTGATTAACGGCAATAAATGTTCATTTTACAGCCGGTCAACTTTATATTAATAATTCTTGGTGAAATTGGACTTTTGAAACTAAACATTGGTTACCATTACATTAATGGCATTCAGTGCTAAATAATTAGTTTTTTTACTTCTTTTTTACATTTTCTACTGTTTTTAAATCAATAAAATTATTTGTTTCTGAATGTATTATTTTACTTACGACCTTTCACACAATAGGCCGATAACTTAAGAATAATACATTAACAATCACATTGCGCTTACCCTAAAAATCATAAGCAGTAGTGTCTGTTCGTCCTCCTTTTGCTGCATAAGTAATGCCGGTCCGCAGCGAACAGCAAATTCGGCCAGACACAGTAGCAATGAGCCGGCCAGCGGCTTAACCGCGTCTCTACCGCTGTTGTGTGAGATGTGGGCCAAGCAAGCGCAAATCCACTTTAATATTTTTTCTGCGGATAAAAATATTCGTATGTACTAAAACTCGAATTCCACTTTAGATATTGTTTAAACTGGTACTGGTGGCGACTAGTACGAAGTTAACGGACACTTTTAACGGTTCAAAACTCGCATCACAATGAAACTACGGCTGATGTAAGGCATCCAATATATCAGTTGATATTAAATTAAGGCTATAAATAACATAAATATTGCGCCGTTTTAAACAGTTACAAGTTGTATGCTATTTAAAGTTTAAACCACTTTGTACGTAAATACAATATGCAAAAAGACAAAAATTCTAACCAGCGAGTCCCGGATACATCTCCACTATGCGGTCTGTATAATCAGCTAGGACAAGAATAGCGTCGCTCACAACTTTCGCTATTGTTTTGTTTTTCATCTGAAATGAATTAAATAATAAATTTCCAAACATGTTAATATTATTTTTTTGTATGCGCATGCGCAGGCATTTGTTCGGCATTTGGCATTGTTTTGGTCGGGCAGGGCACAGAAGTCTGGCCAATTACTTGCCTGTAAATAAAACCGATCAGTAAAACGGACAAAAGAATGTGTTTAATCTATGCCACACGAAGGTAACGTGAATTTCACACGCGTTTATGACCCTAAATGATACTAGAAAGATATATTACTTAATTTGGTCAGTACCCAGCGTTAAACTCTTAACTGTTTTGTATTATTACGCCATTTGCAAGATATTAGAAGTAATGCATTCGTTTGAAATATTGAAGATTGGAATAAAAAGTTAAATATGCCACTATCTTTGATTCGTCTTCTTAAATCACTGTATTACGCGTCTCCTTCTCAAGACGTGTCGCTTTGTTTTCCTTGCTTCGAATAAAGTATATAATAAACACATCCTTTGTAAATTACTAATAACCTCAGCGTAAGTGTGAAATGGTCTTTATGACGTGTCAACAAATTAAAATGCACAGCTTTGTGTGGTTAATTAATAGTGTACTTGGCATTTCAATATTTACTTGAAGCCAAATGCAAGAGAATTTACGTCTTTTTATTAAATAAATAGTGGTATATTATGATTTTGCATGTCAAGGCTGAAAGATAAAATGTTCACAACGCTTAAAATATTTTACGAAAATTACAAAGTTAGAGATGGGTCACTAGAATTCAAATATTCCTTCATCACGTTTAGTCGTGGAACCGAATGTGTCGACAACAAAAGAGGATTATTTGAATTTACATCTTTTTTATGTTGGAATAGTTTTATATCTTGTCACATGTTATTGGACATGATGGCACTAGATAAATTAAAAATCAATTTTGGTTGAAAAAATTTTACGACACGCGCATGACTTGAACCGGCATCCATCCATTCATTAGAGTAACAGCACGCACTGCTGTGGATACCGGATTCTTTACAATAAACATTTTTTTAATGTACCGAGAATAATGTCTGACCGAAACAGAATAATGGCGAGATTAAAAACTTTATTCCATGTAAAAACTAAATTAACGATGTCGTCATATGATGAGGTAACCGTAAATATGCTTATTATTTTCAATTTTGATTATTTAATATACATATTAAAAAGGGATATTTGTAATAATTTATATAAATACGCGCTATCAAAAGAATTACTAACCATAAGCATTTGCAATAAGCATGTGACATATGCGGGCAAGCGTTCACAGTGGGTACGCGTCGCCAATAGATGGCACACGTGCGCCGCGAGAGCACATGCGCCCGCGCATCTAGCCGCGGCGGCGCCTTCTCGACGACATACTCGCACCACGATATTTAGCACGTGTTCCTGAAAAATACATTCAATAAAACGACTGCTTAAACATAGACGTATCTAATATTAAATACATATATAATATTATAAAGATAAAGAGCTTATTCGTTTGTTTGAACGCTAATCTCAAACACTTATGGTTTATTGTTTTTGTGTTGGTTAGAGCATTTTTCGAGGAAAGCTTTAGGCTATAACATTACACATAACACTGAAAACCGGCGCTTCTCATGTACTATATGCCTTGTGAAATAAATGGCTTGAAAAATTGAAATTGAGTATATAGAAAGACAAAAATTTCAAGTTTTACCTTAAGATCGGGACAAGAAACAGTGTTGTATTGGTGAGGATAGGGTTGCAACATAGGCGCGTTCATTAAACCGTCAGGCAGAGATAGTAGAGAACCGAGAAATGTGACGGCAGCCGTACGTGGACACTGAAAGCAATATATTTTATTAGACTACAAACCTAATATAAAAATGTAAAATATATATATCTTTTTGTATATAACGAAAAGATAATGGTTTTAGTTGTCACTGATTGAAAGAGTTTTTTGATTGGAAATGTTTGTCTAAGTTCAGAGACATTTTGAGAGATAATAAGTCTAACAAATACCTAATTTAGACAACAAATCTTACCGACGGTCCCATGTCTGAAGAATTAAGTACCACAGTAGATGCGTGGACGAAATCTAACAGCAGCAATGAGTAACCGTCCAATGCTAAAGAGAGATAGCGCGGTGCTGCAAATTCTACTAGCACGTCAACTACTGAACGATCTTCTCCTGTTAAGCCTAAAAAGATATATTTGATTATAAACCAAGGCGGTATAATTTAAAAGACTAAGATTTTTCAGGACTCTTCTTACAATTAAAGTCTGTTTAAAGTTTTTAAAAGTAACCCAATAGCCACCCACATCTACGTAACATCGACGGATCTTTTATTCGCAATAAATATACATACATTAAATAGAACTTTTCAATAGTAAGAAGTTACAGTAAGACCAAATCGAAGGCTGTAATTGTCATATAAAATAATTATAAATTATAACCTTTGCACAAAATATGAAGATAAATCTTTTATGTAATCATTATTGGCAGTGGCATTTTTATCGATATAATTTTATTAGTTTGTGAAACTCATACCATGATGTAGCGCCCTCTGGTAGAGATTCAAGTGAGCTAGATGTAAACGATTATTGCACGACGTCGGAGCGCCCGGCCCCTGCGCTTGCGTCGATTCGCATAATAACCGCAACGCCAGAAGCTTTCCGGACCTGAGGAAGAACGAAGAAAAGTGAATTTTAAAAAATACAGTAGAGTTTATACGTTATATAAACAAAAACTCCCTTGTATTATAACAGCAACAAGGAAAAGTTCATGGATTAATAAAATTAAGTTATAATAATTAAAAATAAATACAATACTAGCCAATACATTTAGCAATAAAAACAAGTCGAAATACTAGTAAAAATATGAACATGAAAAGACTTCATTTTTAAAATTATTATATAAATAGTATAATACTTCAATTCAAAGAAACGTATGTAAAACAATTAAACACGATGCACAAACACGATTCTTAACTATTGTTATCTAGTGTATTCTGTGTATTGTTATTCCATTACATCATTTACGTAACGTAACGTTTTTAATAAATATTATAATTTTCGTTTTGTAATTGCATTATCGCATGAAAATTTAATAATAAATTATTAAACTATATGGAATTATAGATTCCAACAAAACTAATATAAATAATAAGTTTCTATACACCTAAATAGAATAAGAATCTAAAAGAATAAATAGAGAAAGAGAGAGAGGGAGAGTTTAAGTACAACGCACCTGTGTGATGGTGGGAGTGCTTCTGCTTCCAAACACCACCCTGCCACCAAGTTGAAGGGCACATGAATCTCCGTGTTTCCATTCAGCGTCTGATTGGCACTTATCTATAATATTTATTGTTGTTATTACAATACACTGTAAATAAATAAAAAAAAACAAAAAGTCTTATAAAAAACTAATTTAAATAAAAATAATTGATGCCGCAACCTATTTATAGCGTTTTGAATAAAATATTCACCTTGATATAAACTTCCGAATATTTTTCTACAACAACAAATTCACCATTAAGATTAAATAATTTATCCAAATCTAACATTTGACACGCCATTGTCCGTTCGTAACGGTCCGTACCGTTCTTCTAACTTCCAAAATTACTACTTCTCCATAATTTAGAAAATAATAATTCCTACACAACAAATTACAAAACATGACAATTTACAGTTTACACTCATTTAAGACGCAACTACCCTCAAAATCACGCTCGATGTAACCTTTGCCAGTGTTATAGGAATGATTTCGTTCCTTATTTGAAAATTAGTAAGATTTTTTTTATTCAAAGTCAATATTATAATTATTACTAAAAACATAACATTAAAAAATCACTTCAAATTCACAAAAAACATAACACTCTAGCATTGTTGATTTATCCATTGACATTATGAGAAAAAGAAGAACCTCTCGCTTTCGCAGCCGCCTCAGCAGCCTCCTTTTTCCTTTTCCTCTTTCGCATTGGCAATCTTTGAACAGTTTATTATTGGAGAACAGTTCGCACAACCTCAACAGCACCATACGCGAGACGCGTTTAAATTAATTTAAACAAAAAACAAATGATTCAATCGATGAGATAAACGCGGAATCGTACGTATTCTATTTCAACATCTGTCGAACATTGCGAGATAGCGTTCGATAAGTCATATTTGTGATATGCATTAGCGGTAGGACCAACGACTTGTAACGTAGGTGTAACACCTACGTTTTATTTACGTTCTAATTTTTTTGTAAATATTCGCGAAATGATAATTCCTAGCTGTATAATATGACGTATTTATAGAAAAGTTTGGATGTATAATTACGGAGACAAAAACTGTTCGTTTACGGGTGAATGTTGATTTCGATTTAAAAAAAAAATTATAGGTTTTTTAACGTCTCGTGATAGCAACAATTTAATACAAAATGTATAGACGTTAACAGACAATCAAGGACTAGCTTTGGCTATGACTCTCGGTTTGCTAGTTGCTGCAGAAGATAGATTTGTTTTTAGGAATGTTTATGTTTTATCAATTATTTTGCGTATATTTATTATTGAAATAATGTTTTAATACGGATGGTACCTAATTAAGAAATAAAAATCACAACACTATAGCACGTCTCCAGAGTCCATTCTGGAGCTTCGGCTTTGGCCAAGAATATACGAACAAAACCATTATTATTCAAATCAAATAATTTGCAGAATTCGTGACAAACGTAAACAAATTAGTATATCTCTAATAATTTGTCTTGATTATAAATGACTACAATATTTTTTGAATTTGATATAAACTATGAATGCCTAAGTTTTTCTCTCTCAATAAGCCTAATGAAATGAAAGAGAAGAGAGTATTGTAGTTATGGCTCTCTGTCTGCCACACACAAAAAAAATTAACGTCGTGACAAACACGTGTAAAAAGGAAAAGATTTTTTTATATTTAAAAGACGACAGACATATCATTCTTTTATAATATAGACTTGCGTATATTGCTTGTGTAAATTGCAATAACGCAGCGTGAATATCGATACGGACACAGTTAAATATGATTATTTCCGCAGTTTCCAGATTGTTCATTATTTTTATTACATGCCATGAACTGAGCACATTTTAAAAGCATGTCAATGCTAAACAACAATAATGAGATTTCCTTGCGAGTTATTTTGCTGATATTCAAGTTGTACAAGACCTTGCATGCAAGAATAATTTATTCCAATATATAACTTCCCTTCATTTAGTAGCTATGTAATTATGTAAATTTCTCAACATATCAATAACTATATAACCCATTATTTTATTATTTGTAGAAGATATCATATTAAAAAAAAGAGCTTTAATTATTGGGAGTTATTTTTGATTTCAATAAATAGTAACGTTTTAAAACGCGTTATATATTATTAAACTTATTTGAAAAATTAGTACACGACGTTTTCGGATGTTTTTAACCGGAGCCATGGTCACAGGAAGACCGGTGCCCGGTATTTTATTTTGATATTCATTATTACCGAATTTTTACTAATCAGTTAATCAAACGTACCTTTACAAGTGTTGCATTAAGATGTATCAAGTAGTTGAACAGATGTTGGTGGGCATGCGCATCCCGCAGTGCGTTGGGGTCACCGAGGGCCGCGAGCATGCGACGCCACATCACCCAGGCGACGTCGGGTAGCCAGCCACGAGCGCGACCGCCCAGAACCACGCCCACACCTCTGACGTCACCCTCCACGCTTTCGCCGTTATCCGCTTCCGACCATTCTACACATAATAATGTAAAACAATGGCTAAGTGCGATGACCATTGATGATATCTCTCCGGGTAGAAACTCCGGACATCCACGTCCGAGGTAGAGGAGTAATAGTCTAGTTAATACATGGTGTAATAAGGATATCATGGCCTTCGAAAGGTGTTCTAGCAACTAAAAACATAACTCTTCCCTACTTATATCAGAAAAGCTCAATCTCTCCGTTCTTTTAAGACTGTTTTATAAATTTTATCTTCAAAATTCTTAATATTTTTTGCCTACTTAATTATATTTATTATTCCACCTATCCCACCTACTTAATAACTACCACATAACAATTCTTGTTTTAGTTTCTTTTCTCCCGTAGTACTTCTGGTTACCTGGAGGAGATCGCAGTTTAGCGACAAAGACGGCTTTTATTAGTACGGCTTATATAAGATAGCCTTAAGACTCGATCTCTTGTAGTTTTTGTTTTGTAGTTTTTGTTTTGTAGTATGAATAATAAATCTGCAATAAATAAAACTCACCAACATTACCGCCATCCGACGCTAAATCTATTTGCAGAGGCGAGTCCTTAATGGAACTACTTTCAACGCCGCTAGAGGGCGCTGGAGATGGTGAACGCGAACCTATTGAAAGAAGTAGAGGTTAAGTTTACAATAATGTGTTTTATCAAGGATTTATTTAATTACAACAGTTAAACTATAACAATACAATTGACATTTTGTGTTTCTGTATAGAAAAAACAACAATAGCAAATTAAAATACATCAGGATATATAAACAATATTAAAGGAAAAGGTGATATTAAAAACAACAGCGCCATCAAACTTTTTGTACGTAAGTAGTTTGGTTGTCGAAAGATATTAAGTAAAACTGAGTAAAGTAGTGTTACCGCTCGCCGAATCCCGTTCTTCGTGATGAGAAGACTGCCTAAGTGAGTCCAAGGAGTACCAACGTCTTGTCTTGTTGTCAATTGTTTCTTTGGTTTCATCTATACAAAATAATATAATTAGTTATAGGAAACAACAAAGGAGAAACACAAAGTAGGTGCGATGCGTAGATATTTGATAACCAAGAATAAATGTTAAAAGGTCTTGGTCAGTTTTTTAACATATATGTTAGAATAGGCATATTTGTCTTGTTTCTTTATAAGTTTGTTATCAATTATAAAGCTGAATTGTTTAAAAGATGTTTACCTTGTGAGCTTTGCGGCGAATACGCATGTCTATTAAGATGTGGATCACTCCGGCAGCGCACAAGGGGCCGACGCGATGATGCGTCCTTGCGCGGGTGAGCTTCGTTACCCACTCGGGGAGATTTGCCTTCAAAAATTTGATTTTATAAATAAAAGATAAAAATTTGTCAACGTACCCTGATAAAAAGCAATGACGTGGTCAGGAGGTTCATAACCAAGTAAGGACCGAAGTCATACTGTTCCGGGAATATGGATTGCGGTAGATGCATAACTTCGTTTCGTTCATGAAGTAGTTATATGTGGAGTTTGAAAGAATGTGTATTGAAACTAAATATAAAATTGTAAATGAAGTTTATTCATAGTCCGCGTTATATATTTTAGTAAATTGGTGCTAATACTCTTAAACAGTTATTCTCAAAATACAATACAAAAGAATAATATAACTTAATAGTCGATTCACAAATTTAGTCCTTGTTTCTTGACGATAGACAAATAATATGGTTCAATAAGCTTTGCAATTTATGTAAATTGCAAAACTTTTTATTGGTATTATGCTTTCAAAAATAATTGATTCCAATCTTCTGTAAAAAAAATACCTGGTGTCCTAGTGTCAGCGGGCTGTAACGCAGCGCGTCGCAGGGGTGGGGGGCGATGCGTACACGCAACGGGTGGAGGCCTCCGACCCCGCCCTCTTGCGTCACCAGACCCGCTTGATCCGGATTCTGACAATTCCAAGGAGTAGACGTGGCGGGCTAATACTCGCGTTAGTGTTTCCATAGTTTTCTATAGATAGGCAAAAATGTAGGTCAACATCAATAAGTAGGTAAAAATCACATTGTTATGTATTTTATAGGACGCACACAAGTCTCAAACTCAAAATAAGGTATATATAAATGTTATCAATTATAAATAATATACAAAGGTGAGGAGTGTTTTGTTTCTTTGTTTGAACGCGCTAATCTCTGGCACTACTAGTTCGAAATAAAAATTTCTTTGTGTTGGTTAGAGCATTTATTGCGGAAGGCTATATAGGCCCTAAACATCGCGCTGCGACTAATAGCAACGAAGAAACAGCGGGAAATCTTTGTTGTGGCGTACTCTGCAAAAACTGATCAAGATACCAAAAAAAATATGTATAAAACGGTGACGAGAAAGATTCCTCTTAATAAGATTGGTTTTACTTAAAATGAGATTAACAAAAAGACTTACAATTACATGTACACAATGATAAAATTTTTTTCTATATTACTAAACTAAATTATTAAATTGTATAGACTTTAAAAAAAACCCTAATATTTAGGTACTTACGGCCCATTCCTTAATTAAATCTTCCCAATGAGTCAGTCTTGTCAACAATTCCATAAAGCTTTGCCACAATTCGGGTTTGACGGCGACGTTTAGATTCGCTTTAATCCACGTCACGATTAATGTTTGAAACAAGGCTGGTGCCAGGTGGCCTCCTGAAAGTTCCAAAACATTTTACAAAATTCAATAATGTGTATGAAAAAAAATATGATTGTTTTATATGGATACTTACCTAAAGACTCCTGTTTCTTTTTAGGCGGCACCTTAGTCAGGACGATTGACGTAATTTGGAGTAGGACTAATAACAGTTGCTCCCTAAAATAATGAATAATGAATTGTTAGTTAAGTCTTAAAAATATATTGAACTAGCCTTCCCTTGAGGGTTTGTTCTTGTACTGTACAAGAAATAAAATAATACGTTTGAAAATTTTAATTATTTTTCATATGTTACTGCATGATGGCAAACAACTATTTTAGATTGAAAAAAATTACGCTTGAGATGCATAAGTTGAAAAACCTACCCGTCTCGTTAGATATATTCAATCTAAAATCAATTTTTAATTTATGCACCAGTACCCGTTACTATAAATAATTATACGGAAAAACAGTATAATTATTTATAGTAAGGAAACTTTAACAGAGAAGCTTATGTTGATGGGGGGTTTTTCAAAGAGTTTCACTTCTGTTACAATATTCCATTTACATTGATTAGTAAAACTATTTCATCGGAGCTGTAGATTCTGACATTAGTGCATCTAAACTAACTCCACTTTTAAAATAGGTGGTAGAAATATTGAAATGCCGTCCAGGTCACGAACCACCGTCCGCAAATGAAAAAGCCGTTTAATTTCCAAATATCCAAAGCCAAAATAGGTCGATAGCACATCTGGTTTATATGCTATAGGCTGGGGTATTTCACCTACCATCAAGTGAACCACATGCTAGTCTGACCCCCTCTATCATTAAAAAATACCTTATATTTCTACAGATAATAAATCTTGGCTTTACTGCAATTGAAAGTATCTTACCAAGAGCGATCGTCCATAGCAACGTGCATTACCATATACCGGTAAATGTTGAGTACGCGTTTGCACGTATCCGTTTGCTCCTCCAAGAGTTGATGTGAAGGTGGTCCACCAGGTGGCGCCACACTACTACTCGATACGAAGACATTCGCCGCTTGGGTCATGAATATTTGTAGTATGTTCTGTTAAAGTATTTGTTTATAAGTAATTTGTAAATACATTGATTCCTAAATGCGTATTTCTATCTAAAACTTAGTTAAATTATAACTTTTAGAGATATTTATTACGATTGTTAGAGAGTAATTGTATAAAATATATCATTGTCTTAAAAAATCTTCAAACTCTACTGTATGTTTTAGCGCTATAGTTTATTTCAAATGAATGATTTGTTCCTATCATACTCTCACCTGTAAACCAGCTCGGACCATAATATTGTCACGTCCAACAGCACCCAAATATGAATCGTTTCTCAGTCTACGTGGTGGAACCTGTGGCTCGCCGCCAGCTTGCTGGTCGTAGACATTCTCCAAAAGGAACGGAGGAATTTCCGCCACCTAAAATTAATCCAATTTTATTATTAGACCAAAAGCATGGTGCCAACTGAAATTCAAATGAGAAGGGTTTTTTTTTATTTCATACTATGTTAGAGTTGCTTAATAATATATTTCAGAATTGGATTATCTTTCCAAATAAATAAAGAAACTTACATTCATTTGTATCCAATCCTTATAAAGCGCTATAACCCGTCTCACAGCAGCAGCGTGAGTGAATGGCAGCAGGAAAGCCTGTCGTAGGATCTCGATCGTAAAATCCACATGTTCGCGTGAGGAACAGCACAGCACATCGCGCACCACTTGGTCCGACGAGAGTTCTTCGTAAATTCCAGTACCTTTTGTAACATACAAAGAATGCTTAATTTTCTATTTATATAATTATTCTAAAGCGAATATTTCACCTCACCTATATCACATAGTAACCTACAAATTTATTAATGTTAAAATCAATTTAATAATATCAAAACTTATTTGTTTTAAAAGTCCATCTTAAACAAATAGTTATGTTCTTATTTCTTCTTCATTATAAGAACTCTACTAAATATCCGTACAATGACTATTGTTATAAAAGCTAGTAATGAGGACAATTTTTTTACAGCAGAACGGCCTATCTGTCTGAAACACAAACCTGATTCCAAGCTCGGATGTGGAGTGTTAGAAGCTGAATCGTGAGATGACGCTCGGCTGGAGTCCGATGGATGTCCAACTGTGAATGAGGTCTCCTCTTCATGATGCAAGGATGTTGCAGGTGTCGGGGTATTAGAATGAACTATGTGAGATCCAGTACTTGTCATTGATGAAGGCTGTCCGCCGTCGCTGCCTTGCTTCTTCATAAAGTGTACGTAATTCGCCACCCACTTTATCAGAACCACTCTACATATTGCAAAGTCATCTTCTAGTATATTATGTTGAACTGGTAAATCTAGAGAGAACATAGAATGGATGTTGTACTGAGAGAATTTATTATGTGCTTACTTGTACAACTTCTATGTTATACAAAGTATAATATACTGCAAAGAACTGATTTTAATTTTGATCATAGGATATCATCCATTCGAAATTTTATGACACTATTTGACTATAACTTTCCTTACAATAGTCTGCATTTTTACAATATTTAAGTACTCACCAAGATTAGGCTTATACAATGAATTTTTATAGTTATATTGGGGACATATAACTGGTAAATAATACATTTTGAATTTCTCCAGCAGGAAAGCAAAACTTCTCATTGCTTTCGCGTGTGATCTGTCTTTCCACTGAACTTTAGTTACTGATGTTGCCATAGCATCAAGCAATATTTCAAAGAAATGTTTCGTTTCATTCTCTATAACCTTTTCACTCGTACTAGGAGGTAGAAGAGGCTGTATGTCAACGCTTTGAACGGGATTTAGGGCATTTGTATCATGGAATATTGACGCAGACACATTAGCCAATTTTCCCATGAATCCTGTGGACGTGTGTTCCACAACAACTTTTTTAGCACTCTCCGTAGAACTAAAGTTAGGATGCTGTAGGATATCTTCAACTTTGAATTCACTTGAATTCTGCGACATATTTGTCACTAAGTCAAACACCTTAGGTTTGAATGGAGACCCAGTTGGTGGTAGGCAGGAGTCTGGTAATCCCGGGACAAGGGATGCAAACATTCTATGTACTTCTTGTGGGGCGTTTTCCCCAAGAGCTTGGTACCATAATAGGAAAAATCTATAAGGAAAAATAAAATCAGCAATTTGCAGACAGTCATTAAATCAATAAAAGGAGTCCTGAAACCCACCTTATTGCATCTGCTCTTAACTTCTGTGAATTACCTCCATGGAGGAGTTTTGAAAATATCCTTGTCAATGAGTGTAACTGCCATCTCTTCCCAATTAATTCCGGTAGAAGGCATAGAACCTTTTCTAAGAGTGACAAAGCACCCTCAAGTTCTTCTTTACCAGCCTTGTGAACTAGAAAATAATTCCTCAGATTGTACTACATATTACATTTACGTATGAGTAAGCGCAGAGTTACAAGCAGTTAAACCGTTCATTCATATTACACCTATGATAGTTAGCATTTATTATGTGCGACTTAACACCCATAAATGTATAGAAATATAAATAATGAGTCACAATGCCATAAATGGATGAGTCACTTTTGTCAAGCATTCACATGTTTTAAGCTGTGCCAACGATTAATCATATAATCTATCAAATAGATTGTGTGAAATTATAGCAGGCTTATGTAATACAAAGAGGCAATTTGCAAATAAGTGACATAAAATTTACACTAAATAAGTGGCAATTTTTCTCAGAGTCAATGTAAATCTTTCGACACTTTTTGAAATTGCCTCTTCCATTTATGAGTTTCCCTATTGAATTTGTATATAAATGAAGGTCATTTAAACAAAACTTTGTTTCAAATGTCAAATTAAAATATAAGTGATGTTAGTTTCTTTTCCCCAATGAAAAGGCTGAAGTCAATAAATAATATTGTAGTTAAGTTATGTAATCAAATTGTTATGATATGTTAAGAAAAAGTAAATAGTGAATTTAACAAAAACCAAATTAAGAATAAAAAATTGTAAAAATGTGTCTTATTTCAAGTAACTGCCAATTGATAATGCTTAAATGCAATGATGTTCAAATTTTACAATAACACAAGCATCAAAACTCACCGAGATGGAACGGTAGTTCTGTGGCAAAACAAAAAATAACAATTGAGTAAAAGGACTAATAAAGTTTACATTAGGAATAGACGTGTCAGCCAGAACTACATACATTATATTTAACTTTAAGATCAATTTTCTAGGCCTATTATAGCTATGATTTTATAATATGTAGGATATAGTAGGTAAGTTGCCAAGCAAGAATTTAAAAATTTGTGTTATTTACAATATTATCTCTGGATTTAAAAAAATTTTCAAGGTTGAACTTTCACCCAGATAAGAAATATTATATCTGTTTACCTCTCTGTCGAAGATTGTTTTCAGCTAAAATAAAATTATCATAGAGAATAAAGTAAACATGACTGAAATTGGCCTCAAAGTAGGTTTTTGCTTCATCTGCTTCAAAGTGATCTGAAAATGTAAAATAAAAGATTTTTTTTTTTTTATATTTTAAAACAGCATGTTGATAGAGTAATTTAAAAACTTATTCTTAATAATTAGCAATTGTTTTTCAGTTAAACAATGCATTTAAACAAGACAATATAACACAAGAACGCAATTTACAGTTATTTTATCTAATTAGCATGTACAACGGAGTAAAGACGCGTTACATATTAAGATGAAAATGCATTATATGGTAGTAACTTGTACATACCTAAAACGATTTTCAAATGTTTCAGTCGGGTTGTAGAATCTTTTTTTAGAGTCCTGAATTTTAACTGTCGATTTTTTTGACATCTTGATGAGATTTTTTTTGTAAACATTGTCGTCTATTGGTATAAAACCTTACAACATTTTCATCTTAGTTGACGATATTTTTAATTTCCATGATTTATTTTATTTCACACTGTGCGTTTATATGGACAGTTTATTACAGTTTTCTATTAAGTTTTCTTTTCATTTTCCAGTTTTCACTTTGTGTCACAAATTCCAAGATTGATCATCAAAGATTCCCATATTTCTTACGTTGAGATTGAAAAATGAAAGCTGACGGCTGACGTAAACTCTACTGCATTTGAAATATTGAATGTCAATTGTCATTTTTAATGCTTTGACACATGCACAGATAAGATTCACATACGCCATACCATTAACCTTGCGATATAGTCTTAAGTACTTGCAAGCTACTTGTAAGCGTACATAATATTAAAAAAGAAGACTTATAACTTCTATTGCAATATCGATGATACAGAAATTTTATATATTGCAAAACAGAAAATAATAGTTTTTTTAATGGTTCTGCAAGTTACGCCGCTCTTATCTTGAATAAGGAAACAGAAATAGGAACTGAATATTATTTAGCTTTTATGTCCACAATATCTGAACTGTGACCCGACAACAACAATAATTACGAGTATTTTCATGTTATGATAACGTACTTCTAATATAAATGTTAGACATTTTTATTTAATTATATTCAAAGTTGTGTTCTTTTCAGTATTTCCGAATTATACTGCAGAGAAAATATCTATTAAGGCTTCTATAACAGCGCGTGCTTTGTGTCATTACGTTAATACATAATTAAAATAGAATAAAAGGTCTACGCAAACATTTCCTCGGTCGTTCTATAACAGGTTTATCATATTATTCAACAGCCGTTTATTTTGATTAAAGGATGACCGCGAGTTCATTGTATATTGATTACTGCTATTCATTCTAATACAAACCTCCTTGCTAATAACTCGTATTATATATTCGTATTTAAATATTATTATAAAGTAGTACAATACATTATTTTTTGCAAGACTTATTTCTTAGTATTATAATTAAACAGTGAAGTGACCATGTTTTGCTATTACACGCTTTTTGTGGGCCTAATTATTATCGCCAAATCAGAGATAACAAAAGACACAATCGGATTTCCCGAATCAGAAGAAAATCTTAATTTGGTTAATAAGAAGGTGAGGAATGTTAAAAGGTTTTTGTAAGTAATTACAGTTAATGGACAATTGCTGATGATAAATACGATAGTTTATATATGTTTGTTACTTTTTCATATTGAAATTAAGCAACCTTGATTACAATCTAGGCACTCGGAACTAACAAATCGACTTTGTTTTTATGGGAAGAAATCGTAAAACGTTAATGTTTTACTTACATTTTTATATCCTAGTAATTTCATACATCAAGTGAGGTTGGTTATATCTCTGATTATCTTAGACTTCTGCACGGCTAAACAGCTTAACAGATTTTGATACATTTTGTGTATGTTATGTTAGTGATACGCTGGAATAAGAAGTATTCTTTTCAAATTAGAAAAAGTAAAACTAGTGCGTATGCCTTACCCTAATGTTGGATTAGGTTTTAAAAGTATTGAGCAAGATTTTTGTTGACCTAGTTGCTTTATGTTCTAGGAGCGTTATCCCGTCTATTTACCATCTATGTGCGGAGAAAATGAGCTCTACTATCCCGGTGATCAAGAGGATGACTGGATATGCGATTGTCGGCCTGGTAAGTAGGATTTGGCTTTCGGTTAAGGCAATGACATGACGACGTCGTTGACCTATGAAGAGCCTAGGGATTTTTATATTTTTAAAATGCTATTAGGTAGTATGTATATAAACTCTTCTATGCTTTATCGTGTGAAATTATCCTATAATAAGAAATTTAACTGTATATTACATCTACTTATATTAATATTTGAAGGTGAAGAGTTTGTTTGTTCGTTTGGACGCGCTAATCCCAGGTACATCTGAATAATCTTATAACCTACTTTAAACCTTTCGTTTCAATTCAAAGTTATAAATGTTGAGCGCAATATAATTCTTTAGTTAAACAACAACAGATGGCGTTTATCAATAAAAATCCCGTATTATTATCAAATATTTATGTAGGATTAGGTATTTACCGTGGTAAAAACCAGGGCTCAATCCATTTGCTCTTTGAAGAGGTAAACGCAATAATTGATTGATAAGAGCCAATTCTGAGTAATATGTTTAATAATAACTGATTTACTCCATGTGATAAGTTCCCGCGCTTTCATGGCGTTAAAATGTAGGGACAATTTACGATTTTCTACTCTATTATACTCATATTAATTCCTAACTAATAAAATTGTTAAAATTAAGCATAAAAATTGAGGAATTCTTATATATTTATTGATACTGTCTGAGAAGCATACATTGTTTTAATTATATACAAGGGCGTTACATTAGATCGATAATAATTGAAACTAATTAACTTATACCCAATATGAATCTGCGACCCTTTGGGCCTTCGGCTATTTCGACTTACTCGATGTTGACGCCTTATAATATGTATTAATATTTCTATACAAAGTCCTCGATAGAATATTAGACTTTGTTTTTAAGTTTGATATCCTCGTAGAGCAAAATTAAGATGTTGTTTCGATATAGCTATTTCGGGACAATTACGATACGTTACCATCAACATTGGGATATTTTTTTCTCTGAAAACCAATTTGACGTACACATAATTATTTTTGGTCAAGCGTGATTATTCCATAATGGTCATGAGAGTTTTATTTTGCGAATGCATTTAACTTGTGAAAAAAATCTTAGGAACAAAACTGCAAATAAAGTTTTTCCAAATTTCATCTTATCTTAGTTAAAAAAAAACATTTTCTACTCTCATTCTTTCAGGTTATTTATACTACCCAGAAAAGGATTCATGCTGGCCAGCGTTCAGACGAGGTCCTTGCAATGATAAGGAGCATCTAAGACTGCCTCACAACTCTATCATTCCAGTGTGTGTTAAAAATCCATGCAACGACGGTTTTGTGGTATGGAAAGGGACATGTCAGCGCCTCGGTTCTACAGCCCCATGTAAGATTGAGTTCCCTCCAGCTGTTCTGTGGGTGAATGCGACGACCATGTCTCTCGGCTGCGTCCCATTAAACTTCCACATAAGGTCCGAGATTGCTTATGAAAATGCGAAGTGTCCTTTAGGTTGTAAGAGACATGTACAAGGCTTGTGTGTTCCAGAAACAATGCCACAGGTCACGAAAGTCTAGGTTTAGATAATGATAATAAATAGTAACGAATTACTTAATGTATATTTTCTTTCCTCACAAATACGGCTGATTGGTGATTAGTGAGCATTTCCTTTAGATATATTTACGGGCATGTTGGTGGCAATGTATCAACGGGTTGTGGGTACGATTCCCATCATCCTGAATGTTATAATATACAGGAGGACATTCAAGCTGGGTTTCACTTGACTGAAGGTGGAATACACCAGCAATATAACGTCTAAGATGCGCTGTGGTACTTTGGTTTTGATTATTCGGAAAAAATCCGTCTGGGTCACGACCGTCGTCCACAGGTGAAAATGTAACATTTAACTGCGTTTCGGTTTCAGCTTATAGATTTCCAAATATTCAAAGCCGAAATAGGTCGGGTCGACAGAACTCTTGTTTGGATGTTTTATGGCTGGGGTATTGATCTTCCTTCATGGAAATCCCAGACATTTCTTTCCTCTCCTATCATGCAAACAATAAAATTTAGCATATAAATTGATTGTAGAAACCATTAATTAAATAGGAACTCTCCCTTACATTTCTCTATTTTCATTAATTAATCTGTTAGTTTATCTGTAATATTCTAATTAAAAAAAAGTGTTATTTATAAGTATGCTATAGTTTATCTCAAACTACGTTTTAGTAGGCTTTGTTTGTTGCACTGTATAAGTGCATAATCATTATTTATTTATTTTATTTATAAAAACACCACAGAAAACACATATTAACGAGGAAAAATCTTACGTACTAACTTATAAATAAAAGGCGGCCTTATCGCAAAGTAGCGATCTCTTCCAGGCAATCTGAAGTACAGGAGAAAAGAAATAGAAAATAAATTATTTAGTGGGTAGGTGTAAGGAATAACAAAGAATACCAAAGGTACATAAAAGTACACACAACAAGTAGAAGAGAAACTAACTTAAATATTGGAAACGTAAAACGTATTCTCTCTTTCTACTTAGACTCTTAAAAGAACGGAGTGATTGAGCTTTTAATAATTATTACTTATAAAAAAGATTCTGGGATACTTTTGGCATAAAAACGGATTTATTTACTATACACTATAGATCTAAATGTTATACCAGTATACGATTAGTTATTTATATTGTACGTAAATTGTAGGCGTCTAGCCCGTTGTCATGACAACCAACGTTTTGTATACCATTACCGTGTTCTGCATAATGTTGTGATTTATTAATTTAGATTGTTAAATAATGTTTGTACAAGTAAATATTACCATTTTAAAGAAATACTTTCACGTTTTGTACTTTTAGATATAAGTGCAACAAGCAGCCAGACCTTGCGATGATCTATAATTCAAAAGGTAAGAGGCACGTTATGTTATTAAAAAAACAAAAGATAATTACAAAAAATTATTGATATGAAAAAGTAATTATATTAATATCTTAGACGTCTAGACCTTTTTGATTTCTACCAGTAAATTTCAGTGGGAACTTAAAAAATACTATCAGCGAAATTGATAAATTGTTAACAAATTCACTTTAATATTATGTACATAAACCATATTGTTTGTTTAACTATGTAGATATCACAGCAGAACTTAGTGTGTTTCTTACGCTTTTTAAAACTATAATTAGAAATAAGCTCATAAAAACCGCAATATGTTTCTCAAGTTAATTTTTTGCTAAAACTCATTCGGGTCATCAAGATGGGACGCGGCTCGGTGGCTACATAATTAACGCTAAACCCAATTGTTGGGTTCAATTAATTTCCATATAATCGCAAGAAAGCCTGCTATCGCAATTGATCGGTGACCCACATTCGTTCACTGCCCATCGGGGCTGATTAGCAGCCTTTGATTACGACCTTCAATCCACCGATTTGTAAAGGTAAAAAGTCTGTACATCTATGTATATGTATATATTCTGGGGTTGCCAGATTTTAATTTTGCGCTTCGACGAAAATAGAGATTTTAATTTGAGTTACAATTCGTAATACCAGGTGTATTATTTTTTTCGACTGTACCGATCGTTATAGTTCGGAATATCCAAAATAGATCAACAGCACATCGAGATGTTATAGGGCTGGAGATTTTCACTTATCACTAAGTTAACCCCGTTGTCTGTCTTCCCCATCACAAAAAACCTTATCGTTATTATAAACGACATAACTTGAATCGTTTTCATCTTCTGAGTATCAATCAGACTTTTAATAAAAAAAAAACAAATACACGAGGTTTTAGTGTATCAGAGAAGCCTTGTATATTTTAAAACGCTTTTGGTCTCACAAACTTTATTAAAAAATACCTAATACTACAAGTGCCTAAAACCGTACATGCGCATAGGCAGTGCTAAAGCTATTTAAAATTCTGAGAAGTCTCTTATTAATGTCTGCAATTATCTTTGAGATAAAGTAGTTTGGAAAACCCAGGCCGGTTGATGTATTTAGTCGAAGTACAGGTTCGCAAGGAGGATACATTCTGAACTTATATTAATGCATCGAACTTATGTTCTAATGGATTTGAAATTTTAATGTGCTCAGTCTAAAGAATTTATTGAAATGTGTTCTACTCGCGCTAACTACAGACTTGATACAGTACAGTACTTGATAGATTTAGTTTGTCATTTTTTATGTTTGACTTCGTTATATTTTTTACTCTTAAATCGTATTTTTTCAACTTTAACTTGAGTTAAACTTTGAATTCAACCTAAGTACCTTAATACAAATCTCCATCAGACGTCATTAAAAAATCGACACAAGTACTTTCTTAAGTAAATTATTAAAAAATATTAATATTTTGCTGAATTAAAATATTCTAACGGTTTAAAACGCAATATATATTAGTTAAACTTATTAGAAAAATATTTTAACTACGGCCCGACGTTTCAGATGCTTTGCAGCAGTCGTGGTCACGGGAAGACAAAGCTTTTTGTGTGTCCTTTCATTTGTGAATTTTAATTATTTAAAAAAGTTGGTTTGATTAATAATTTAAATAATAATAATTATTAGATATTAATGATGGTTGATTAGACTCCCCCGGGCCCTGCACGAAACGATTTATTTACCCTGGGATTACAACCCAGAATGTCTCGCGCATAGCGCAATGCTGAGCAACGCGCCAACTCATTGAGCCACAGAGGAGATTGCATGACTGCAACGTATTTTATCAATGCACATAATAAAACACTTTGCAATCTAAATATTGTTGCAATCAAGATAACGACTGCTTATCTTGTAATTTCTTTACGCATCAGGATGTTGACACGTTACACACTTCACAAGGGTGAAGCAAATATAGTAAGACAAGGTAGGTCAATGGGTACTCGCTTGATACGTAACCTACTTTTAATACTTTAATAAATCAACCTACTTTTCAGTAATTAATCAATACACCATCAATCAAATAATAAGAATGCCTTAGACGCGTGTGATGTTGAAGTAGATATACAAAGAATTATTCAATAAAACTCGATAGATATTTAAGTACAAAATCGTTATGAAAACTTTAATATCTTTCACATGTTGGCACTCTAAAAACCAGAAATCAATTATAAATTTGAAAAAAAAATTGCGCACCAGTTCCACGTACCAATAGGTTGCAAAAATTCGATGATGACGTGTAGGCGTGTAGTTCAATTGGTTAGAACAACAGCATGGAACGCAGTGGATGCTGACAGAGCCGTAATTTTTTTCAATTTATAATTGGTTTTAAAAAAATCCTCATGTCGTAATTACGGCTTACAAAACCTTTATTTGTTTTCATTAAAATGTGTAATACATACTTATTTTCTTTTCCAACCATGTTACCAAACTAAACAAATGGTATGTCGTTAAAATAAGTTATATATTATATTATTATTTTATTAAAATAATAATATGTACATAAAAAATAGGATGAATTCAAGGAATATATTTCGTATTACGTGTTCTTATCGGTTGAACAACGTGTAATCGATCAAATTAAAATAACCATCTAATCATAACATAATTACATAATCTTTTCATATACCTAAAAGTAAACAAAACAATTATTAATTCTCGAGAAGAAATACATTTTCCGTGTATTCAAAAGCCTCCAAAAATTGCTCAAGAAAACGAATTCATCTGATTAAAAACAAGTTACGCTAGCGATTACCATCGGAGGGTGGTAGCGTGCTTTGCTGACGTCATCGCCCTACCACTACTGGTAACACCGATAACACCAGCTTCTAACCCTCTCATATAATGACTACCTATTGCCTAATAACCCTAATAACGATACTTTCGAACTTATAGTAAGAAACTTGGAATAAGTGAGTTTGATAAAGAAGAAAGCAATATTTAAATTCAATTCGATGTTTAATTGACTTCTAATATTTTAGTTAAACAAAAGCAAGTTCGCTTTTTTAAACTTTCATATCTATCCGAAATTCTACATGAAATAAAATTACAACTAATAGCTAGTGATCTGTATTTTGACAATGAAGGACAGGAGGACTAATTAAGTCGAACTATTTTGGCCAAACACAAAAAGTTGATAGCGATGTCTCTTAATACAACTGTATTATATTGGTCAATAATTGTAAATAAATAAAAGCTGCCCGTGAAGGTCAGTAATTTCGTCGCATACATTTAGAAATATTTCCCACATCGCTCCATTTTGTACGGGCAATAATGCCAATCTTGAGAAATACATTTTAGTTCCACAATAAATTCATGAGACGGTGACCTGGTTTCGTAGAATAAGATTAGGTTATTGCGTGCCGCCCAACACCGTTTTGGTCCGAATGGGCAGTGGGCGGCCACAGGCTGTAGCGAGGGTTGAAGTTGACCGTCACTCAGTCGGAGCTTCGCGCCGTCCGCGCCTGCTTGTCGCGGTACAACCCCGCTTACTCAATACCCATGTTTTAAGTAAGCTTAACCTCCACTTGTTATGGACAAATTCGGGCCCGCTCGGGGCGAACCGATCCCCAGCATACTCAAAAGGCCTAAAGCAAATAGCGATCTGCTCGATAAAAGCTCCAAAATAAAACGCGAAAATGTTACGAAAAAGAGCGACGTGAACCTACCGCTGTCACAGGGGTGCACTCCTTTGATGTATGCTTGTCAGCAGGCGGATTATAAGACGGTGGTGGAAATAGTTAATAAAGATGTAAGTATCACAAGTATCTGAGTCTGACAGATAGAGCGTCTGATAACGCTTTGATTAATGCAGGCGTTCTGTTGCTAATGCACGCGATGTAACGAATCGTGTTGTTACTGACTGGTAAACAACCCGTCAAGCCTCAAATGTTCCCTTTAACATTTCGCCCCAGTGGTAATAATTACAGGCTGATCAATAGTTTTTAAACATCATCAACTTTTTAACACTTATTTTGTGAAGAATTTTATCATAGTTAGATATTCCATTATTTTTAATTAAATTGGATAATTAATTTGAATATTTACTAAGTACGTGGATAGAAATTTAATTTTTTTGTAGGAAAACTGCGCGGCGTACCATACGCCTCAGGCTTTGTAGTTAAAAATCAATCAATATGTAGTGTCGGTACCACAATACGTTATTCTCTCTTCAACGACCAATGCGGTGAAGACACTCCATTGACATGTCATGTTTTGTTGACATGATTATTGAGGTTACAGTGTTCAGTTAACATTTTACTGTTTTCTACGTTTGTACTATTTAATGCTCTATTTTGACTCGTAGGTAACCATTACCTAACACCATCCTTACATTTTTTGCCAATGGAAAATAATTGTATCGAAATTAAGGCTTTTAAAACAACTGTAAAATTTAAATCAAGGAATTCGAACACTACTTACTTACTACTTAATTAATATATTATGTAGCCATAAGTGGAACTATTTATGTTTAACAATGATATTACCTATTATCAAATAAATGGAATTCCACAAAAATTGTAAAATTCAATTTGTTTTGTCTGATCAATTGCATTTACAAGCTCTACAACTTCTCTGCCACTGAAGACCATTTTTCCCTGAATTTCGAACAAAGGGCATTGCTTAACGCAATTCTGGCCAATTACAATAAATCATCGGCCAATTTTAAGTTGATGATGCCAGATCTCCTCCATTTAAACAGCCGTCGGCAGTCCGCAAGCGTGATCGTGGGTTGCGTAGCGCTTTGCATTATTGTGCGTCAAGTGGAGTCGGGGCGAGTCAGGCTGCGCGGGCGGCTTGCGCTGACCGAGTGCTGATGGCTGCGCCGGCGCTTTCCAATGCTCGAGATGCAGATGGTCTAACACCACTTCATCTAGCTGTAGTCCACGGGAACGTACCTCTTGTGCAGACTCTGTTAGCAGCTGGGGCAGATGTCAATGCTAAAGATGACGAAAATCATACCGTCGTTCACTGGGCAACCGGTAAGTACATTTCAAGACTACTTTTCAAGTTACTAAATAATTGAAAAGGCGACGAAAGAGGTAAACATTTGATCAGTTTTTCAAATACTGTCTATAGTTTACGCGAGTAGTACACATTTAAATAAAACACTTTTAACGGTTTAAAACGCGATATATTAGTTAAACTTATTTAAAAATGATTTTTAACTTCGGCCCGACGTGTCCCCGTTTCGTTTTGTCTCCCCGTGACCACCGTCGGCTGCTGCAAAGCATCCGAAACGTCGGGCCGAAGTTAACAATCATTTCCAAATAAGTTTAACTAATATATCGCGTTTTAAACCGTTAAAGTGTTTTATTTAAACAGTTTTTAAAATGTTAACCTCTTTGTATCTATGTACCTAATTATAAAATTATTTCATCGTGTAGCCACTTACACTGTAACAAAAGCATTAAACGATAGGTTTAAAAGATTTATCCTTAATCTTACATTACTTATCATTATTTTTACTAACTGACTTATCTTTATGTCCGACGAGCTTTGAAATTCGTCATCGAAATAATCTGATCTAAGATATTGTTTAAAATTGTAGCAACCGATAACAATAAAACGACACAAGTTTTCGTGATCAAGGACCTTAACGTTTTCACAAGTTTTAAGTGACTTGTTATCTTTGTCACGCCGATGTTCATCACTGTCTTCCCATCATTTATTTTTAAACGCTTTCGAAGATGACATAACTGGATTTAAAAAAAAAATCAAAATTGTTCTCTTTTCTTTTATTTGTATTTGATATAAAGAGTTTTATCACAATTTTACATTGTGTTCTCATGTAAAACAAAAATGCTAACGTGACCCAAAAATTAGTTTATTCTAGTTCCAAGTGTCGGCTAACGGGCGATTCGGTTGTCCGCCGTCCAGTTGAAGTATTGAGCGGTAGGCAAGGTCGAGTCCTTGAACTCAAACCTCGTCGGCTGGCTAGGACTAATAATGTGCTTTTCGGAAGTGGAAAGGTCGAGATTGACGATACAACTTCGAATTGATGTAAATCGTAAGACATTCGTAGAATAATGATTCATACGGCCTTGTACTTAGAAATTTAGTTCGGGGTCCCGAAATTTTATGCTAAGTCAGTTAGGATATTACCGATATTTCTAAAATGTACTAATGTTTCGCAAGTTTATTTAAAAATTTTAAAATTTAAAAAAAATTAAAAATTTAAAATTATATGAGGTTTGGATAATTTATCTTCTTTGTGTGCTACAATATCTGTCATTTAAAGTTAAAGGGTGAAATGGTCGGCTGATAACGTGGGGTCATCACCCGTCCCCCTACCACAGGTGTCCCCGATATAAAATAATAAATATAATGTGTGTCTTTCCAGTTTGCGGAGAAGTTGGGGCTTTAAGAGCTGTCTTAGCAGCTGGAGCGGATGCGGCTACTCCTGATCAGCATGGAGGATATCCCCTGCACTATGCTGCACAGATGTGTGGAGCTCCTGCTGCCGTTGACCATCAAGTATGAATTTTTTTACATGAAAACAACAAAAACAAGCAAAAAATTGTTTGTACAATAAATTATTAAAAGATGTAAATAGATCAATAGAATTGGTCGAAGCCGAAATTGTCGATTGTAACGATGTAGAAATTATTGTAATTAAAAAAGACGCGAACAATTTCACTTAAACCAAGATTTAAGTTAATAGCTTTTAAACACTATAAAAGAAGAACTTATATTATCTACTTTGTTTCCTTGAATTATTCCATAATTCTAGAGTCGAGGAGCCGCATTAGAAGTATTACGTGCCCTAGTCAAAGAAGGAGACGCAAGAGTTGATGTAAGAGATGCGGATGGTCGCACACCATTATTATGGGCTGCCTCTGCTGGCTCTGCAGCCGCTGTATTAGCATTACATCAAGCGGGCGCAAGAGTTGACGATGCAGATAGGTAATGATAAAAAAAGTCAATATGGTAAATTTAATACGTTTAATAAAATATATTTTGTGTATTCTACAGAGATGGCTTAACTGCACTACACTGCGCAGCGGCAAGGGGCCACACGGAAGCATTAGAGACTTTGGTAGGCCTCTGTGGAGCTCGTGTTGATGTGGCAGATTCACACGGATGCACTCCGCTGCATTATGCTGCAGCTCTTGGGCACGCTGATGCAACTTCAGCCTTACTCGAACACGGGGCTGATGCCCATAGACAAGATCGCAGAGGACGTAGTCCGGCCCACACCGCCGCTGCTAAAGGACAGATTGAGACGGTGCGGATTCTGGGTGTGTAATATGCGCGCGTGTGTGTAATAATTCACATTATTTTTATTTTCTGAGTATTTTTTTTTTTATAGGAGCTCGAGGCGCTAATCTATGGTTACGAAATTCTAAAGGTGATTTACCACTTCACGAAGCAGTCGCTTCTGGTCGCAGAGAATTAGTAAAATGGTTATTGGATGGAAGACCATCTCAAGTTAACGCAACGAATCACGAGGGTAGATCGCCTTTACATATCGCAGCCGCTACTGATAACGCAGATCTTTGTAGGTTGTTATTAGATCGAGGCGCCGAAGTTAATTTTGTTGCTAGATCTTCGAAGAATGAACCTATTACGCCTTTAGATTGTGCAACTAGCCGAGGCCACCGTTCCACAGCTAAATATATACAGATGCATGGGGGTTTACCTGCATCAAAACTACCATGTACGAAAATCATAATCGATAATACTCCAATTTCGAGTTTACCCTCGCGACGGGTAACAAGTACAAAAATAGATCTCCGAGATAAAATAAGAATAGAAAAACGTGAAGTGGTAGAACTATCCAGCCCTATGCACGATAGGCACCGAGTAAGGGATGAAAGTGATTTATATTCCGATAGTTCTTTAGACAATCGTAGAAGCAATAAAAACATTCACCAGAGGCCTTCGGAGCGAAGAAAGAGGCTGGTTCAAAGCACGCACAGAAGTTTTAGTGATGGATATGATACTGAATTGGAAGCATGCTGTCACCATGCGTATCAAAAACAAAAGAGAGGGAAGGAATCGAAATATCACAAAAGTAGATCAAGAAGTGAACCTTCAAAGCGAAGTAAATCTACAGCAAGACATCGTCGAAAATATCGATCTAGTTCAGAGGATTCTATAGACTCTTCAAGTTCTCGGAGTAAACGAAAGAGCAAACGTCATAAGAAACGCAGCAAACGAAAAACGCAATCTACCTCCGAGAGCAGCTCGGAATTTAGCGAACGGCGAAGTTCAAAGAGAAAAGGTAAAACTACATCTATACATATAGAAAATGATGACACAAAACAAAGCGTAAATATAATAAAATACAAAAAAATCGACAATGCCCAGAGCAGTGTAGCTCAAGAAAATGATCAAAACGTATTAATCGATACTTATTTGGATCAAAAAAACGAAGTAAACAAAGATATGCAAAAAGAAAAAAACAAGACACAAAGTGAAACAGAAACAGACACGGTTTCGGTTAAAACAAACATGGTTATAACTGAAGCCCAAATACATATGGAACGAGAGTCTAGTCAGCAAGGAAGTTCAGAGCTGACAGTAACTCTCGATTCGTCGAATAATGTATCAATTGAAACTTCAAACTTAAATGTATCTCACGCTGATGTTAAGCCAGAATTAAACGAGCCAAATGATGACGAGAAAATAATGGAAAAGACAACTGACACTGACATTAAAGAAGTTGAGAATACTGATGACGTAACTGAAAATAAAGAAGTTAAACCTCAAATAGTAGCACAAGAAGGAAACGAAGTTGCTGTTAAAGATGAATCGCTAGTTACAAATACATCTAAAGAGAAAACAATTGAAGCTGATATAAAAAGCAATGGTAATTTAGAAGAAATAGAAGAGAAAAATAATGAAAACTTAAAGGACATTCGGAAAAGATCTTTTCAAGTTTTATCTGGACCTGAAAATTCGGTAATCAAAGACTCATCTGAACCAAACGGTGGCTCAAGCACAGATTTTAAGAAGGAACAATCTGGATCTGAAGAAAAAAGTTCGCCAAGTGTCTCATTTTCAAATAAAGATCAAATAATTAAAATCGAAGGCAGCAATACTATATGTCAAGAAATGTTAAAACAATCAAGGGATGCCACTTTAGATCAGTCGGGTGACAGTTTAGAAAAAGACGAGAAACCTTCAGACTCTGAAACAAAACCAGATAGCAGTAATGGAAGTAATTCAGCGGGGACAAAGGGGCTACTTTCTGTCATTGATGAACCGGTTGATAGCATGGAACAACCATCTGTCCTGAGTGGCCCTGAAGATTTAGATATTAATCTACCACTATCAGAAACGTCTCCGAAAATTCAAAGAAATTCTTCAAAAGATAGTCGTACAAGTAGTAGAAAAAGTAGCATTTATGAGACCGAAAGCTATAAAGTTTTATCTGAAACCGCGGGTACTTTAGAATCAACTCCGGGTATTTTGAAGAAATCTAGCGCCATTGATGACAGTTATTTCGATGACGATAGGCAAATACAAGACACTTTATTGCGTCAAAGTTCGTATGGAAGAGTGCCTAGTGTAAGTGATAACGAAATTTACTACAGCCATTCGGAGGCGAACGGAAAACGAAAAAGGTTTCGAAAAAAAGGACGATCAAGAAGTCGTATAACGATACGATCGAAGAGTGAAAACTCCGAAAGGGGTTATGAATCTAGTGGCGTGATGGACTCTGGTTTCGAGCCAAGCCCAAGACCAATTCAACGTTGTATTATAAGTCCTCGGCTCAACGCCTATTATCAACAAAGAAAAGCTGGTGGGAGGTTGTCTAGTAAATCTGACAGCAAAATTCCAATAAGAAAACCTGGTGACAAGAATGCCGTGGATATGAGATCTGTAACACAACGCATCCAAACCAACATGAGAAGGTATTTTAAATTACGGTAATTTATTTATTAGTCTTTATCTCTCAAATATTAAACTTTAATTTGATTAAATTTAAGGTACTACTGTGAACGAAAGATTTTTCAACATTTACTAGAACTCAAGCGTTTGCAAATCCGAACGAGTAAAGCAAACGAAGCTGTCTTAGTAAAAAGGGCTATCGACGAATACAACAAATCCACATTGGCCCACGTGGGGTTAGGTAGCTACAATAGCACAGATTACTCTTTTAGCAGTTTTGAAAAATTCCTTTATCACAATCTTAGAAAACTGCAGAAAAGCGGAAAGAAACATTTAGATAATTTACCTGAGAAACCTATCGAGTTCGACTATGGAGAAAGCGAATTATACAAGATGAGCGCGATTCCCGATAACCCTTGTCTGTGCACAAGCAAAACTCACCGATGCTTTCACGCTGTTCACGCCTACACTGGGATTCCTTGTTCAGCCTATAGTAAGTACCTCGGCTCAATGGTATATGTTTAGATATTTTAGCGTCAATAGTAAACCTCTTTCGTAGTTCCTTACAGGTGGAATCACCACACAATGCCAAAACCAGCAACAGCAGGTACCACAGCAAAATCCAAAAGCTTTTTACCTAAAATTCATGCCAAACCATCTTCGAGTTCAGGAAAGGCGCACGTAACTTTGGAGGTATCTCATGGAACAGAGAAACAACTAATAGCGTTACCAGCTGAAAAACTGGATAAGAATAAACGATACTACGTGACGTTTACTGTGAAGGGCTCCGAGCCCCCTTCGGACGATAATGCCTCTCCGACGTCTGCTAACATAAAAGGCGTCAGAAGTGGCTAGAAACGCTTCGAAAGTATTTACCGATAGGTTTGATATTATCTGAGATTTTGATAATGTTATTGAAATAAAGCTACAAAGCACTGCCTCGTTAGGTCGTTTGATACAATCAGCAATGTGATTTAAAGTGTCCCAATACAAAATAATTAGACTGACGAATACCGTCCATGAAATTATTTTTTTAATTACGTTCCAATAGAACGATAATTCTTATGTAAGTTGTGATTTGTGGCGTAAGATATGCTGTACTACCATATGATTATAGGTTTACTTGTCTTCCTGTGATAATGTTTTAAATGTGGCACTTATTAGATTTTGTCGTTTTCAAAATGTTTGCATTACCTAAGAACTTCCTACATCTCTATACTCATATACTGTTATTGTACCACGATCATTTACAAAACCGTTTTATGTATAAATGAATCACCGATAGCGGATTTATCATATGCAGGAAAAATAACATGTGCAAAGGGAATCCAATAAGTACCTTTACTATATGTTGCGTTTTCCTTAATCGCCACTGATTTAGAATTTCCGTTTAAACGTCATGTGTGGTGCGAAAAAATTCTTGAAAACGACTTATAGAATGTTCCAAGTTGTAATTCACGAGGTAATACTCACAATGAGATTAAAAAAGTATTTTTAAGAGAGTGTAGTTTTTCTACCGTTCTTTATCTGGACTGGAATTAAGTTTAACTTTTAAAATAACGTTATTCTGTTTATCGTTTATTAAACAATAATAATTCTAAATACATTAAATGACACGAAATGTAACAATGGCAACGAGAAATCTATACTCCCAACAACAATGCAACTCCAGCTAATGTCCATCTGGTGGGCTTGTCTTTAGTCTTGAGGTTGAAGGTCCACACGAAAGTCGGTCCACGCATACTGAAATTCAGAATAAAAATTTGTATTGTAATCTCTACTAATATAGAAAGCTAAAGAATTTCTTTGTTTGAACGCGCTAATCTCGGGAACTGCGGTTCGAATTAAAAAATAATCGTTTTGTATTGATTAGAGCATATATCGAGGAAGGCTAAAATAATCGCGCTGCGACTAATAGAAGCAAAGAAACAAAGGAAAATGTGGAAAAACCAGAGAAAAATATTTATTTTCGTGGGTTTCCGATGCGTATGCTGCGAAAACGGTTGAATATAGCCAAAAAAAAACATTCATACATATTTTTTATTAATATTAATACTCATTCATAAGAATAATTTTTTTTTCAATTATTAAAAAAATGTCCGATATAGTGTGATACGTGTCCATCTTTTAAGATTACAAGAAAGACGTGGGTAACAGTTTAAATTTATATAGTTGAAAAAAGCAAAGGGAGGTTTGGAAAAGTTTGACGCCTAAAATAACTATTCTACACGGAGGAAGTCTCTGACACAGCTAGTAGTAAATTTACAATTTTCAAACAAACAGGTTCTCTTTTAGCCAATAACCACTTCGGATGCTATATAAGATGTTTACCGAATCTTATAGACGGGGCACTCGTACACATTCTTCGTGTCTTGTTTGTCTTGGGTCACAGCTTTAATGTATATGACAGGGACTATTGGGAACAGCTCCATCATACGCGACTCCACGATACCGCCAGATGCTGTATCCCACCGTGCCCCCTCCATGTACAGCCCGTGGATGTTTGCCCCTTCACGTGGTGGGGCACTAAACATGAAACACATTTAAAAGAAAGAAGTTTGCAAAAGTGTACAGCGATAATTTCACCACACTACAACTAGTCTTAATAAATAAATAGTATAATTTTTCTTTTGAAAACTTTATTTTTTTTTACATGCTATTTTATTAGTTATTATATATGTTTATTGCACATGAAGGCACTATATTATTTAAAAATCGAATATAAATTGAAAAAATGTTCAACAGCACGAAACGCTGACGATACCGGTTCATGTCCTACCCGAGTCGAATTTTTCAACTTTCGACTTTTAAATTGTTATTTTTCTATTTTATGATTGGGGGGGGGGGGGGGCAGACAAGCACTTGGATTCACTTGTAGGAAGGTGAAATAACACAACTATAAAACGTAAGCGTTCAATAAATTTAAAGAGAGGTATAGTGTTTTGTTTTATTAGCACGGATAATATAAGATAAGTAATATTCCTGCAAGATTAACAATAAATACAGTCAACTTTTAGCTATTAAAATAACAATGACCGCATCGATAGTTTGAAGAATTCTAAACACTGTCAAGATAGAACACACTGTTCTCTAATTAGCGTAACGCCATTTAATTTCAAAGTAGGTACGCAGTTGGACAAGTAAACAATTAGCTGGAGTTCAAATTCAAGGTCGAGTGTTAACTTTATTTTAGTACTGTTTAGATGGCAAACATCTTGTATATATTATTATTATATTATATATTAACAATTTTGATAAATTAATAAAATTAATCAAAATTGTTAATTAACAGAAATTATTATAAACATTTAAATACAATACTTTTAGGGGTTAAAACGCAAATGCTTTTTATATTGCCCTGGCCACGGGGGGCAAAACATCGGTAATTTAAAAACGTAGGACCGTAGTTAAATTACACAAGTTAATTATATATTTCATGCTTTAAAAAGTATTTAAATTCTTATCCTCCTGTACTTACTATTCACGTTAACTACAGACACTGTTTAGATAATAAAAATAAGAAAAAGATTAACACAGGGATTGATTCCACGACCACCTCCGCGTTACTGTGCCCTAATTCTATCAATCCTTGTAAGCACATCCTGACGTAAGTTTAGCTTAGTTTTCTCGTCGTTGGTATTTGCAGAAAACTTCGCATTTAAAGCCGTAAAATATTTATTGTATTTAAATGTGTACTACTTGCGTAAACTACAGAAGATATTAAAATAGAAAGAAACGTGCTTGTTGAGGGACCTGTAAGTACATAATTTACAAATAAAATTACAATATGAAGAATGAAAAAAAAATACAGTTAAACTTTGCGGCATCAGCCTCAGCTTGTGCTCAGCACAACAGCGCTGAATCTTAGTCTGACCCATATGAGATAGCACTTCCCTAACCTATTTAATATATTTTAGCAATCCATGTATTTTTTTTTTAAATATTGATAGTAAAGCTCACTTGAAGTCGCCCCTATGCTTTTTAGTGACGTCACAGTTGAGGCACATCTTGTCCAACGGCCACTCGTTCTTACGCGCTGTCTGCTGCATTATGGCCGTGAGGAAAGACTGCGGATTAAAGAACCCAGCTAGCCAGACAGCCGGTGGTAACTAGGTATAACAAGAAGAGAAAGAATATATAATATATACATATAAATTACCTAGTTGTCTTGCAATTATAACACACAATTTTTCAAGACCCTAACTGGTAATCGAACATTGATTTATTAACAAATTATTATGTATTGAATTCTGTAAAGTGTACAATAAAGACTGAATATTTTGAAGCACAGTATGTTTGCGGACATTATTAAAATATGTACAAATTGTTTATTATTCTACTTTTTATTTCTTTTCTTTTCTTTTTGTATTGTTATCAATATTAAGTAAATTAAATGTAGTTGACATGACTACGACTATGTGATACCAGCTGATCCAGCTTTGGCGCTAAAGCTGGATCAGCCCATGCTTACGATCCAATCTTTTAAATCATAAAATCACAAAAATAGTAAAAACTATCTCAGTTGCGATAATATCAAGAATCAGTGGTTTAAATTCGCTCACGTTAAAGTCACCGGACCAGTTCTCCAGCTCAACTAAACGCAGGCATAAATCCGAGAACCAGGCAGCCAGACCGAGCAAGCTTGGATACGCAAGTTTTGTCCAAGAGTCCGGGACCTTATCCATAAACAGCGATTCCATTAATTTTTCCATGTCGCTGCTGATCGTCAGTTCTCCCTGTAATATGGTTTAACTTCAGATAGAAAGTTTGTAAACAAAATAAATTTTAAATGTTTAACTTTTATTATCATGCCAGTTTGTAGCCTTTTACATTTTATTTAATGCATTAGTTTTATTATATACATTTCTTTAACTCATTTATCACTTATTCAATTATATGAATAGCAAGGAGTTGTATAACATTTATTTGTGCTGTCATAATTATTAAAGTTAGAAATAAATAATTACGCAAAAAAAAGTTCCATATTAACTTAATTGAATGTTTATAAAATAACCTCTTTTTCTGACCGATGAGATATATAAAATAGGAATTCCTTACCTTAAGGCCCAATTCAACCTCCTTTAGTGACCGACGTATCTCACCCATAAGTCGATTCATTCGTTCACACTCCTGCAAAGCTACAATGGTGAACGGCGTTAGTTCCTCCACTTTGCCCATGAGCTCTTGCAAATTGAACGGCTCTGGCACTCGGTCTAGTATGTCGTCTAGGATGTAGCGCACCTAGAAAAATAAAACCAGCTTTACCTACTTGCCTGTAAGACAACTAGAATATCAGGAGCCATTTATTTATCAAAGATGAACCTTACCATTTCTTCTTTAGTCGCTCCACCACCAGCTTGTGCGCCGGCGTCTCTTGGTTGCATTTCGAACACCACCTAAAATTAATGCACCTTGAAATACTACCACATTTGAGGCCGCTAGAGGCAGAGTAGCCTAACTGCAATTTTATGACTTCAGTTGTTTATATTTTCATAGTCTAAAAATCTTAATCTAGAAGAGCACAGAGACTGAACATTGTTAAGATAATTCTTACACAAATAATAGTACATGTTCATTTTTGCCTTAGTTAGTTTCGCATTTATATTCCCCTCCATTATGAAAATAATGTCTTTTGTTTTGAGTTTTATGAAACTCTCTTAATAATGACGTTAAGTTTTATAGCTTTAAACCAAATATTATTTATAGAAAGCACGTACCTTAAACAACCGCTCTGACACTGTAGTGAGGTAACCGATTTCCGCGTTAGGATGCAAACCGTAGAGGTACGGCGTCTCGTCAGGCAAGAAGTCATCAATGTATGCGTGATAGCTCACGTAGTCTGAGTTTGGTGGAGATATAAATCCTGGAGCGAGTTGGCACTCTCCGTCGACCTAGTAAAAAACAAATAGATAGACGAGGAGCGACAAGCAGTTTACTTGAATGTTAAATGCCCAAGTCATGTCACATATAAACAAGATACGCTGTCAATCTATTTTGGCTTTGGATATTCGGAAATCCACTGACCGAAATCGAAACGGCATTAAACTTGACGGCTTTTTCATCTTTGAACGAAATTTTCGATAATCCTTAAATCCACTTAATATTTAGATTTTCAGGCGAAAAAGAATTTTAGTTTATTTTAATACTCGATTATTATGACTAACAGCGGTCGTACCGTTACTCTTTAATTTGTAAAATCATCATTTATGTTTCCTTTCCATGCAACATGGAAAGAAAATTATTTGTCGTGTGTTATTTGTTATATATGCATATACAGATTTCTCTCTCTCTCTCTCTTCGGATTTCTCTATCTATTATTCATTCATTTTGGGTTGCCTGTGCGCTTTGTATTCATACACAAATGAAGAAATACCTTATTAATTATAATTACGTTTACTATTTGTTTTAGAAAGGTACGTACCAATTCTGGCTGCATATATTCCAGTAAGAAAGTGCGGCAAAGACGTCGGTCCCAGTCGTCGGTAATATGCCCTCCGTACATAATCTCACCGAACAGATATCTCAAATCTTCCCAGGGCACGCGAGGATTCGCTTCCAAGTAGTTGTACAAGACGTATACGCAAATTGTTAGATCGCCAAAGTTGAAAGGATAGACTCTGGAAATATAATGATTATCTTAGTTCATTACTTCAAATCATGTAAGATAATTTTATAAGAAGGTACTCAATAAAGATACTTGTTGATCACCCCCCCCCCCCCCCCGGGGCACCCTTGGTCTAGCCGCAAACACGGCAGCGTTCGCAAACGCCCGGTTAGTATTCGTGGTTCCGTCGGGACACATCAAACAGTCATTCAAAAAAAAAAAAAACGATCCCCACCGGGTCCAACATTGCAATCTGAATATTAAATTGGTGGTAAGAATATGGTAATTCAGTCCGGGTCACAGATGAAAAAGCCGTCAAGTGTAAGCGCGGTTCGGTTTCAATCTGTGGATATCTAAATATCCAAAGCCAATACAGCACATCTTGTTTTGACGTAATGGCTGGTGTATTTCATCTACCATCAAGTGATCCGATGCACGACTATTCCCCGTGTTATAAATAACCATCTATGAGTACCATGTGCGTTAAGAACATAATAGAATGATACCGGTTCCATCCTTGTGGTCCGAATTTGCGCCTCTCAGCAACTACAGCATGGAAATAGCAAAGAGCGAACAGAATCGACTTAAACTCGGCTTCTTTGCTGCACATTTCCAATGTCTCCTGACTGAAATTATCTAGAGCCTGAAAAAAATACGTACTCAAGTAATTATGCAATACAGTACTTTAAATCGAAGGCCATTTTTTTACTAGAAAATAAAAATACTAGACAGATGGACTCTATGCTGACCAAATAGACTCTAGGACATTAAACATAATAAGAAAGACGCACGAACAACGAAGGTACTGTTTAAAAAAATGGGGAAACTTAAAAGGCGAAATACATATTAACTTATCTACTACTAATCCTTACCTTATGTAAGTTAGCCCACATTCCAATCGGAGGTTCGTTAGTGATTTTGATAGCCGATTCAAGAATACCCTGCGGAATGATATGGTAAGCGGGATCCGCAGCTGGTTCAGCACTTAAATATAATCTGTAAAATTGTATTGCGTATTACATAATATCATTATAAAAAGTCTATTACAATGATATTACTACTACGATAGTAATGTTATTACCATGTATAGAATGAGGCCAAAAACTATTTCAAATAAAACTAAGTAACTAAAATATATTGCATTTTAAACCGTTAAAGTGTTTTATTTAAATTTAATGTATTCCTAGTAATTGAAGGAAAGTAAAAATACAGTTATAAAAGTATAGAGCGAATCTTTCTTTAGCATAATATGTAAATGAATTATGAATTCTCCACTGTTCTGTTATCCCGTTTCGTACCTGTATTCCGGTAAAGGATTTTCGAAAGTCTCTTCCATTTTCTTCTCGAGTGTGGCCAGCCATTTGGCAACCAAGTGAATGTTCTGTAGGATGACCCAGTCGCCGTTGACTGAGGCAACTCCCATCGCCTCTTCAGCAACCACTTCCTGACCCTGCCCTAAAGACACGATGTGGAAGTTTTTCTTGTCCGTTGAGAATCCTAGTTTTCTGCCCAATTTCTCCAAGTCCTGTAAAATAAAATATTCATTTACACAGTAAAATTATAATGTTGACTTTGCAAATTATTGTGTATTTGGTATAGATTTTTATGCACGAGTACAGAAATTTGACTTAAATCTAAGTAAAATCTTGATCTTTTATTCATATTGTATATCATGTTCTCCGGAAGTGCAAAGGCGATAATCTAAGAGCATTAATTACTAAAGTAATGCATGTCGTTTCTGATGCCGAAACTCTACTTTACTGAAATAAGTGTTTTTTCTTAACTCTCTCTTCTCATAATCTTCTACAAGAAGTAGGACAAAAAGTGGTCAGTGGGCGTCACACTGCCATTTCCTATTACTTCGTATCACTTTTTAGATTTTACCGTACTTTCACGTATGTATTTATAAGTGCACTATAACTATACTCACTTTTAATGGATCGACTCCAGGTGACAAAATGAAAAACATGGCTGTGGTCGAATTACTCTCTTGATACGATTTTTCTAGTGGAGGTGTTCGAGCCTCTACATACTTTGTACCAAGGTTCTCCTCACAGAATGCACTATAAAATATACAAAATAATAATTATAAAGAATAACAATAATTCAAATAATATTACTTATTGTAATATATAGTGGTTATTGTAGACGCAAATTGTGTCAGATTTACGCAAACGGCGAATGGCAACGATGATATGTTTAGTTTAAGAGTTTAGTGTAAGATTTAGACATTTTACTATAAATATTTATATGTTATACCCAGAAGCATAAGACATTCTATCAGGCCGCAAAGCACGAAGAATACAGAGCCTCTGAAGCGAACTCTTGTTCTTCCATTCACCAGGCAGCTTATCTCTTTCTGGTGCCTCACCGTCAGTATATTTTTGCCATCTTAAGAAAAAGTTAGGATTGTTTTAATAAGGTTAGAGGTACAATTTGACATACAAAATTATGTAAACTGACAAAAACATTTTCTTTTGAAGTCTGTAGTGTCATACCTCTTGGTTGCCCCTTCTATATCTTTGTCGAGATTCTCAAAAGCGTCCATCTTAGCGAGGGCTATTATACCTCCCCAGGCGTTATTAGAGAGCCACGAATAGGGGGACACTTCTGGCGCGACTGCATACTTTAGTAAGAAGTCCAATTCACGAGGATCTACCTTTCCTTCACTTTGTAATACCTATAAATTAATAAAAAAGTAACCTCCGTTATCTAGCTGCATATAAAGTCTATAAGTTTGTATTCATATTATGTCAAAGTATTAAAAATACCCTTAAATAAAATCGTTCTCTCAAAATTTCTAGTAAAGTCAAATTGTAGGATTTGTTGTATTATATCTATGGAAAACTTACTTGCAAAGTAATTAGGAAAAGAAACACGAGCTTATCCCTTTCAAATAGGCCACGACTAGTATACACGAATACCGCGAACGTGATACTGTCGAGTAAGTTGCGCACGCGCCCTTCCAAATCTTCAGCAACGTCAGCTCTAGCTAACGCATCTTTGAACACAACACTGTATGCTTTCAGTGAGAATTGGTACATGGGATTAATTTTGTAAAGATCATTTAGAATAAAATATAATAAGGAAGCTCTAGCTGCTGCGCGTCTGTAAAAGATAAAATTGAATATAAGAAATAAAAAAACAACAATGTAAAGGTGTTGCTTATGAAAGTCATTTATGTACAAACTCGTCACACGATTTAAATGCAAAAAAAAGAACAACTTATTCAACCTTTTAATTTACGTTGATATCATAATTTTGTTCAGCAAGTTGGTAGCTCATTATTTTCTTTATTTTACTGATTTTATCTTTCACATATGAACAATTTTGATAAACATTTCGGAATCGCAAACAATAAATCTTTAAAAAAATATATTGTTTTAAGATTAGTACACCCAATCATAAGTCTTCAGATTTACAATAATACTTATAGATATTAGTACAAATACCATACCGATATCTCTCCCGAGCCTCATCAATTTTGACGGCAGTGACTTTCCCTTCCTCTACTTTTATTTCAATATCTGCAGCAGTTTTCTTAGTAGTTTCTAGATTTATCACTAGCGCTGAATCACTGAGAATATCTGGCCCAGCTGAAGACAACCTCTTCAGCAGGTCATCTTCGAGACTCTTGAGCGTGATTTTAAAGTCGTTTTGCTGCTTTGTGAGCCCCGCCCTCAGCTTTTCTAAGTCAGGTCTTTCCGCTTTCACTACTTCACCTAAGAGCTGTTCTTCCAGACTAAAATAATTGAACAATTATTAGATAACGTTATACAATTATTTGTAATTTTTTACTATAAATAATCCGTACCCATCCTTAGTTACAGTGAAGTTGATAAGTGTGCACTGCGCCTGCATCTCTGGCTGGTAATGTGGGTTCGCTAGTTTTGTTTGTATCACCAATCTGAAGTTGGGATGGTAATCTATTTCTCTGTCACCGATCTGTAATTTTTGAAATTTAATTATATCGCCGCGAAATTTAAAAAAAAACGTAAAATTTTAAGCAGCGGGGAATATATAATTCAGTGGACCGTCGTCGTCTGTATTATTCTAGAGTTCGAATCGGTGGCTTAATTGGTTAGAGCAATCTTAAAAAGCGTATATTATTAAGACTAAATATTATGTTATATCTAAAACATAGCGCATTTACCTTAAGCACTTTCCCTTTTCTTATAAGTACTCGCCCTAGCAACGGCTCCAGCACGGCATCGACTGTTTCTCCTATGTTCTCTAATAGAACCACATCTCCATTGCTAACGGCTCGTTCGATCCGATCAAGGTAATTCCGTTGAGTCAATCTAATCACTACTAGTGTATCACCGTACCGCGATTTTATCCATTTTATGCCTTGTCTAAAAATTCATGTCAAAAGCGAATAAGTATGGTAACATTGGTAATCATTTTCTTTTACAAATAAGAGTAAGTGTAAAAAAAGAATCATCTTTTACTTTATACATATTTGATTTTCCTTTAGAATTTATTTCAACCTTTCTTTTAAATAAAACACTTTAACGGTTTTAAAACGCGATATATTAGTTGAACTTATTTGAAAATGTTTTTTAAAGTTTATAAGTTTAAATAATACACTTTAATTCGCGTTTTAAACGCGTTATATTAGTTAAACATATATTTGAAAATGAGTTTTAGGGGCGGGGCGGGGGGGGGGGGGGGGGGGGGGGGGGGGGGGGGGGGGGGAGGAAGGGGGAAAAAAAAAAAAAAAAGGAAAGGCAGGCTTTCGTTGGGGGGAGAGACACCCCCCCCCTTTAGCCCCCCCGTGACCCCGGCTGCTGCAAAGCATCCGAAACGTCGGGCCGAAGTTAAAAATCATTTTCAAATAAGTTTAACTAATATATCGCGTTTTAAACCGTTAAAGTGTTTTATTTAAATGTGTACTACTCGGTAAACTATAGAAGTATTTAAGTTTACCTAATATATCGCGTTTTAAACCGTTAAAGTGTTTTATTTAAATGTGTACTAGTCGCGTAAACTATAGACAGTATTCAACCTTTCTTGTCACCCAACATTAAGTATACGGTAGTAGGTATATTGATGTTATTTTCACTCCTGATACTTCTTTTTATAATATGGCAGCCATAATACGTACAATTGGGGATCAATCATCAAAGGCCATCGCGCTGAGTTTGTAAGGATCGTAGCATTCTCTGTACTCATGGAGTCAGTTGGTAATCCCTCGTTGTTCCAGCTGGCTACTTGCGCGTCATCAGTCAACATGGAAAGAGGGTCTAGCCCTTCCGTTGTTTCAATTTTCGGCTACATTCGGAAATTAATGTAAACAATTATGACTTTACTTTATGAATAGATATATTGCTAGCTTGAATGTTTAACTTACATTTGTCTTATTGAGAGTAGGTATCCAGTCCTCATTCATAAGCATCATTCTGTAGCGACGCATAAAGCAGCCAACATAAGAAATAAACGCTGTCACCAAAAGTACGTCGCCCGGTAGCATCACGCCAGATTCTTTGAGTTTCACTACAGTTGCTGACCATCTGTCAATAATACGAACGTGAGATTCTATGAACTGAATTTTTTTTTAATTACGTCTTATTATTTGTCAATGTATTAATATGTGCGTAAAATGTATATAAAAAAACATTTAAAAAATAATAATGTTTTAATTGTAAAGCTTAATTAGCTTGACTATTATTATTATTATTGTAACGAATGCAATTTTAAATTAATTGTAATTGTAAGAATTTATTTCAGATACAATATGACTTCTTTTTTTTAATATAGTGCTTAGGGAATACCTGACCTTATTTTTTCTGAAGCCAAGCCGTTGACGAGACGGTTTGCCAAGTCAATTGTAGCGTTCGTAGCATCGGCTTCAGCTTGACACTTCATCTTTTCATTAACTGCTTCTTGGAAAGCTTTCATCAATTCGCCTAACTTCTCCTCTAATTCCTGTTATAGAACAAAAATCATGAAAAACAAATACTACTAGCTTATCTCTTGGAGAAATCTTTAAATGTATGAAATGGAGTTTAAATGGACTATCAGTTAAAATACTTTGTAACCGTAGATAGTGCTTACAATTTAACGTAAGAGGTATTGCGATGTTTCGAAGTAAAACCGTTAAATTGGAAATGACGTTAGTTACATCCCGCACCCTAATCGGATGATATACCGGAACAACGAGTAGATGTATATCTAAGTACATTTTAACTTCTCAGTATTTTAAACTTACATGAATTTGTTCAGTCAGGAAGGCCAATTTGTCCCTAGCGGCTTGGAGTTCAGCGTTAGCAGCGTTAAGTGCTCTCCTCTTGGGTTCGACAACCACGTAAACATCGTAGAACTTCACGATGTTAATCACCCAAGCGCAAAGGCCAGCTGCCGCCGCTGATTTTGACATTATGAACTCTGCATTGAAATCTGGATTCTTTATGTACGGTTGAACTGCCTGGAACATCATCATTAGCTTTTCATTTACGATTGATTTAAGTTGAGGTATCCAAGGGCTGGATGAGTGTTCGCCAAATTCTCTATATTAACAAAGTTGCACATACTGGACCAAAATGGCTCAAATTGAACGTATAAATGTATAGAAAACAGTAAAAATACCTTAATAACATCTGGATGTATGTTCTCCTTGTCGTAATACACCAGATCGTATAAGAATTGATCCACTTTGTTCATCATAAGCTGTAAAAGGCTAAGTAAGTAAAAATTTATTGATTTATGTAAGTTATTAGTATATTAGGGTTTTGTATGATTGTTTTTTATATTTGAGTTTTGACTTAACTGTTTCTAGTACTAGTAAATAAGAATAATGAATTCGTTTTTTTTCCTATAAAAGTTGTTAAATTGATTTAGACTCACTTTACAAGCCTTCCAAGATCTATCTTTAGGTAATTTCCCTTTCTTGGAGAAGAGTACAAGTACAGCCGCTGTCACTGTAACTACAGCGTCTGGTGGTGAGCCAAAAGCTTTCAGCTCAGTAAGGTTATTCTTGTTTAACGTATTGAGAGCCTCCTGCGCCGCTAGCAAAGCTGGTTCCGCCTTAGCGAGATCGTCCGCGCAAATCTTAGCTTTTATCGTTACATCTTCTTCAATTACTTTGACTTTCTTTTCTTCTTCAGCAGCTGTATAAGGATATCAACGTTTTTGTAGAGAGATAACACCATAATTAATTAGAAGCAGTTAGTACTATACCCTCTGATAAGAATATCTACATTTAAATAGGAAATAATAAGCAAGTATAGGTAGCTATTTTTGTTTAATTTTAATATTTTTTCTGATTATAACCACTATATGAATTACCTGTGTACGATATTTTTTATGTGTGACTTAAACTGAGCTTATTTTTTTTTATTTGATTTCTATTACCATACCGAATGCTTTTTCTTTTGACACCTTCTCACTTTCAGCTCCAACTACTTCAATCAGTTCCTCGGCAGCTTTGTTTTTAACCTTTAGTATAATTTCTTGTTCTGCAAGGGTTACCTGCGAAAATGTAATAAACATAGTACACACTTTTGATACATAATAAAACGATTGTCAATTATAATTCTGTAAGTCTCTTTACCTTCAAAACGGCAACGTCGGCAGCACAAGAAGCCAACTTCTCTAAACCATTCTCTAATCTCGATATCATCATTTTCAAATTAGTAGTCTTCTCTGTAAGAAGTTTACTGTACAAGGATATTTGCTCCAAAAACGTTTTAGGCGTCGTGTAGTTGTATCTACGTTCATTTTGGAAATACACTCCGGACATGGCATTTACACTTTGATGCACATGCGACATGAAATTCGCCACCGGTTCTACCAAATCCCGCTATAAAGCAAATATTTTTATGTTTAGTGAATTATAAGGAGCTATTTGATTTGTTTCAAATAAATTTTACTCACTGGCAAAGCTTCGACCTCGAACAGAAATCGTTTTGAGACAGAACGCAGCGCCTCTTGCGGCCATTCGTGGAACCAATTGATCGCAGTACAGTTCACAATAGAGGGGAACTTACGGGCTCGCACACGTAAAGTAGCTCCCACGGGCGAGAAACACAATACTACCTAAAATTCAACCTGCGTTAAAATATATTAAAAATATATATATATAACGGTGCTTTTGGGATTTATATACTTTAAATATGTACCTTTAACATAGTTCTCACACGATTGATAAAGAACTTCCAACAATTTTCTCGAGTATCTGGCACGCCAGAAGCTTTTGTCTATGAACAATATTTTTAAAATAATTATTTTTTTGAACTACAATAACTATAGTACTACACTAAAAATAACATATTTTCCAGAGAAAAGTTAAATAATGATTGAACTGTGACAGTAGTCATGTCCCTCTTGTTCAAGAAAGAATTCGCAAAAAAAAGTTTCGGGTCGACTAACGCATACAAGTGACACATTTGGAAGTTCATTCATTTCATGCCACTTAATTGAAAATAGTCCACCAAGCCTACTTCTACTAATATTTCTATAAATAAGACAAATATACTTCCTTTAAAAGTTATATACTCCATAAACATACCTCGCCTCTGACCCCATTTATTATATTCTCAATTTCATCATCAGCCAACAATTCTGGTATTTCACCGGAGGCTAACAAATCGTTGATTAAAACTAAAAATCTTTCTTCCGCCACTTGAGCGTCGGTCATTAAAAATACATTGCCGATGTTCTTCAAACCCGCTTTAATATACAAACCAGCTGAAACAACCTTTCGTAAAAATATCTACAAGCAATGGAACTGTATTGTCATTATTTTCCCTACTATATACGTTATATATACTCAATTAATACTAAACCTGTTATTATTACAATTGTGTTGTAACAAAAATGTTAAATTGAAAATCAAGGATCTTTTTCATAAAAATATTATAAATAAAATAGTCTTTTTTATCTTTTTTCTTACCGAGATCCACTTTCAGATCGTTAATGCTGTACCCTTTGCGAAGTTGTATTTGGAATACCTCAAGCGAAGAGATAAAGGCAGATAATCGAGATAAGGACTGCTTTCCAGAACCTCCGACACCAACCAACAAAGCGTTGCCTCTCGGTGCTTCTAAGATGCGGTTTATCCTAGTTAATTAAAGAAAGAGTAAAAAAATTGTATAACTTTACACCTACATTTAAACTGCGTCTACGAGAGATTCCCAGTTCGAATTTCAAAGAAATAATGAAGTTTATGTTTGATCACCTCTTTGCCTGTAATTAGCACACGTATTTGAAAAAAACATTTAACGGTTTAAAACGCGATCCCCACGATAGCAGCAGTCGTGTCGACCTCGGTTGCTGCAAACCGTCCAAAACGTCGGGGCGTAGTTTGATTGAAATAAAAGTAAGTTAACTAATATACTTTGCAATTTAAACCGTTAAAAGTGCTTTATTTAAATACAGATTACTTGATAGACTGCAATACGTTTGCTAAAGGTAAGACAAAAGCTTGCACGTTTTTTAGTCTTAATACCCTTGACCTATCTAAAATTCTTAATCTTTTATGTGGAATATATATATTTTGAACTAAACACATAAAATTTGAACACCGATCTTTCATTATTATTTGCGTACCTGCAAATGTGGTACATAGCATCCTCAAAGAGCACTAGGTTCATAGTCGCTACAAGATCGTTATAGGCAGACAGAGATTCATCGAGCAACTTTTTGATTTGCGGCCAATCTCTGATCGGAAAATACTTCGGATCCCCTACGCCTTCGGCGAAATGGCAGTAAATTAGCGGCTTCTCGAAAACGACATTTTCGTCGTAATCCTGAAAAAATTCAACTCAAAATAACTGCGTCTAACTAGTTATATATATAAGGGGACGAAAGCGTTGCTGATAGCTGTTATGTGCCGCAGATGCTGTTAGATCAAATCACACTTGTAGGGCAATGCAAAGACACATGTAAGTTGTCGAATAGGACAATGACGTACAATGTCTAATAATTTAAATGCCAATACATACACAAACAATGGAAACCACTTAATATAGTATGGTTCAATGGTTAGGATATCATTAATTACCTCGCAGTTTTTCTTTATAACATCCACAATAAGTTTATTGAACGCGTCGTTGTCAGCAGAATCGACTAATTTATCAGAATACACCCGCGTTGCTTCGTGCATCCAAAGCCTTATTAATTCCGATTGGAGTTTTATTGCGTCGCCAGTTGTGAATAATATACCCTTAAATAATCAGCAATACACATTTAAATAAAACACTAACAGTTTAAAACGCGATATATATTAGTTTAACTTATTTGAAAATTATTTTAATGACGGCCCGACGGAAGAGGGGGTGTCTCTGGCGTCAAAGTAAAAAACTGCTAATCTAACGCCATCTGTTCCGTCGAAGTTGGTATTTGTCTAAACTGGCCGGCCAGAATGTACTCGTTCTTATCTTACTAAACAATATTAATTAGTTAAGTAGGATAAGACCACATATATAATTTTTGTCGCTATTTGATTTTTAAGCGTAACCCTTCTGTAGCTTGGTTGTAGATGACGCTTTCAATTTTATCTTGTTTGAACAATCCTGGGTGCGGTAAATACGATATTTTAGATCAATACCTGAAGGACTGACCTTGTTTCAGCAAAACGTATACTAAAGAATTAATATAAAAATAATTTTAACATTACCTGGAATATATTCGAAAGATCGCGCAAATTGAATATGTAATGGAACTTAATAGCTGTTGGCAAGAACGTCGAAGACAACTTGTTATGCAAAGCCAGAGCAGCATTAACCAAGTTCTCACTGTATTTTTGCACGACTAATCCAAACTTATTTAGTGGATTGGCCAAATGTTGTGCCAGTATTTGCTTATAGATGTGGAAGCATGCGTCCAATCCAGGGAAACTGTAAATTACACACTCGATAATTTTTATTTTAAATTATTACTACCCATTTTTTTTAACTAGTCTCCTTTCCACAATCAGGCGTCTTTACTGTTACGATGAAGCGTACCAACCACTGTAAAATTGAAAATGCAAGAAAAGATAAAAGTAATTAGTCAACTAAGTTTAAGATTAAATTGAAATCATTTTACCTGACAGCAAACGTACAGAAATGCCGCTGTAATCGTGGATCAATTGTAAAGGAACCAGCTGTTGGATTCATACAGGAGACGAACATGCAATTCGATATGTCCTTTAGTGATAGCTTTTGTCGGTCATACCTATCAAATATTTTTTCTTAAAACCTTTTGACTGTCCAATTATTGAATGTTATATGACAATACTAAATAACATAATAATATAGGAAATGTTACATATATCGTTCAACTTATCTCACCAATGCTTATAATCCATAAATTGACGAATAAGTGTATGCGGTTGCACCGTGCCATAAGTGTCTACTTCAGGCATATTAAGATCGTCCACAAAGTATATCATAAACTTGCTACCGGGCGGACCAAAGTTTCGACCAGATTTCTTCTCTAACGGCTTTTCGAGAACTTTCTGGATCATTTCTGCAATAGAAGACATTGAAATTCATATCTACAAAAACAGGATTAAAAGTTCTTGAACATCCAGCAGGAAAATGTAATTTTTAGGAAGACAATAGACTAGAGCAAGAAAACATATACACGTGTCCTCATCACAATCGGCAGTAGAATAGGATATAGAAAAAAGGGAAAATCAAACCTGATGTAGTATAGAAGTTGAGAGGTGCGTTTTGGATGGCAAAGTTATCAGATAGCGAATTCAGTTTAGCAGCAACACTGACGGTCTTTCCACTTCCCGCACTACCAACTAGCATCACTGGTTTTTGTTTTGCAATCAACAGATCCATAAAGAATCTGATTCGAGTCGTCTCCGAGGTGGATACTAGGCATGACTGAAATATTAAGATAAATTTACGAGAGCACTTTAACGCATTGAAGGGGAGGGCTTTGCCAGGCTAAAAGAAGAGAACAAGCGTACTCAACGATTTTTTTTTCGTTCCCCAGTAGACAAAATTGGAGACAAACGCTGTTATGTATATTCCTTTCGTTTTACAGACCTGCAAAGGTATTTCCGGATCCAATTCAAAGGCCTCAACTTTTTCAGTCCATGGAAGCCATTTCTTCGTTTCCGGATCGATGAAGAAACCAAAGACGTTGCCAGTGGACGGGAATTTAATTTGTTTGAATTCATTGCAGAACCATTTGCTAAACTCATTACGCCAATCGACGAGCTGATCTTGAAATAGACCAGAGCCGAATCCCCAGACCACACAAAACACGAAATATGTTTCATACCTATAAAAAGAAAATATGAAATAAAATCTGTTGAGTGAGATCTTATCTTATTCAAGCACGACGACGTTCTTTTATTTATTTTTCCCATACAGGACGTACACTATATTCTTACCATTCTTTTGGACAATCCGATGGCAACAAGCTTTTGTTCAAAAAGCATTCAAGCAAATAACACGTAAGCTGTATCTGCTGTAGTTCACTTAAGGGCGTGATTCGTTTGTACTTCTTACAGGACTCCAACAGCGAGGGTATGTACTTGTCAAACATTACTGTCAGCATCGCCTTCTCGGATTCATCATCTCGTGTGGTATCTATCCATGATGCAACGAACCTATTTAAACAAGTATTGAAATTACAATCATGTAATTAGTAGGAAAATTTTATAAAGAATTGTTATACAGCTGTTTTATAGTTCTTAATACCAGACACCAAGTTCTTATGGGGCACGAGTATAAAACATCTCAACAAGACTAATTGTGTTGACCAGGAAAATGGCGAGTCATATGCCATTTTTTTCAAAAAGCAGTTTTAACCAGAATTTGATGTGAGAATCGAGGAGTGACGGATATAATATATTGAGAGCAGTACTCTTAACAGAGGGCTCTGTTAAGAGCACTGCTGTAGGAAGACTTCTAGGAGAAACTATTATTGATGTCCAACATATATTTTTTTACTAAGATTCAATTTTAACTAGACGTTATTATGACAATTCTTACGGATTCCAACCCAAATCCTGTGGATTGATATAAAGGATTCCAGCGCGTGATACAGTCGCTGGTGTAGCTGTACGCAGCGTTGCAATCTCGAAGAGTAAACGCATAGATTTGGTTAGAGCTATTCGTTCATTACTGGCCAGCGTTAATACCTTATAAGAATTTAAAACGTAAGTATTATTTCTCTACGTTTGAATAAGTTGTTTGAGATATTAAATTACTAAACGATTCTAATGCACATATAACCTCAAATAGTCAAATTACTTAATCAATTACCAAAAAGGACACAAAAATAGCATTAATATAGTCCAAATACAATACAGCTATTGCAGAAGTTAGATTTTTGTTAATCAAAGAAATCAAACCTTATTATCATCCATTAATGTATTCAAGCTCTCAATCCACATAGGATCAATATCTCCATCCAATACAATCCACTTCGGCCCATCCCCTGGCATATTCGCCATGTCCCGCATGATAGTGGAAAATAAGCCATCCTTCCATTCCCTGGTCGCTGGGTTAATAATACCAAATAGCTCATCGTTCGTCACCGCTTTAGGATCGAGATCGTTGTAAAACGGTTTCATTTTCAACATGTGATATGTTTTGTTTAAACATTGCCAGACCATGGACTTTCCCGTTCCGGCGAATCCGTCAATGAATACAGAATGTCGGACGGCGAATAGTTCAACAAGCTGCACCATCTGGGGGAAGAAGGAAATATTTGTTTAACTTCCTTAGCGGCGGGTTGCTTCATTTATAATCTTCGGATAAATACTGTCTATAGTTTACGCGAGTAGTACACATTTAAATAAAACACTTTAACGGTTTAAAACGCGATATATTAGTTAAACTTATTTGAAAATGATTTTTAACTTCGGCCCGACGTTTCTCGACGTAGTCTCCCCGTGACCCCGGCTGCTGCAAAGCATCCGAAAGACATACATTGCCATACCAACGAGGCCGTCGAAACTATAGTATAGTAATAAAAGCCTTAACGTATATTTTGGATCACAGTCTTAATTTGTATCGATAAAGAAATATACCGTATTGTAACGTTTACCGAACACGAGTAGGAAACATTTAAATAAGACACTTTTAACGGTTTAAGACGCGAAATGTACTACTGTAACCTATTTACAAATTATTTTAACTACCGTCCAAACTTTTCGGGAACTTTGTAACAGCCGTGGCCACGTGGAAAATCGTCGTGCCGTAGTTAAAACAATTTGTAAATAAGTTCAACTTTAGAACCGTTACTGTGTTTTAAACCATTAAAAGTTATTTATTTAAATTACGAACAACTTAAACTCACTTACTCGTAATCGAAATAAAATTCATACCTTTAATATAAACCCAGGTTCCGGTTGCAATTTCATCGAAATAGCTCCATCTACTAAGCTCTTTTCGAAGTCGAAATCGCGCTTTCTAGGGACGTCTAAAGCCGGGAACAGATCTCCGATAAGACCCATGAATACTGGCCTATCGTCTGTCACAATTTTGGGGATGTTGAAATCTCTCAACGCTCTCATTAGTACTTGATCTTCAGGGCGCAATCTGTCGCCTCTCTATACAGAAAGAACAGATACCAATTAAACAACAAATACACAAATATCAAGATTTATAAATATATGTAGTTAATTTTTAGCAACATTAACAATTTAATTGGATTTTACTATTTCCTGCTTAAGAATCTGCTGCCACAGAGACATGACTGCATATTATGTCTTATCCACAGACTGTAGTCGTTCTTAGCTAGCCATAAACCTCAAGAGTCTAGTGCGACCGGTCACTCGTTCGCTACGATTGTCTTTATGTCAGTTTTACTGATCGATTATTTATTATGTTTTCCTGAATTCGAACCTAGGACCTACAATCATTATCATTAAGCTATGGAGTCCGTTGTTTGATCGACGAATGCATAATAAAAAGCACCTTCAAAGAACCAGCTACCACAAGTACAGACTTGATAGCTCGTAGCCCCCAATCGTAGTGATCCTGTTTCGACAGTAACTCCTTACACAAAGTGTACAAAGTAATGAATTTGCGAGCCAAGAGCCTAGCTTCCTGGAACCCTTCGGCGACCAACATGATTTCGCAAATCAGCTCAAAATCTGGCACCACCATAGCGCAAGGCCTGAAAAATTTTTTGACAGTACGTTGAAGCAAAATACAGGTACTAGATTTTGTTTGAAGATTTTGTTTGTTTGAGCGCGCTGATCTCAGCAACTACTGGTTCGAACTATAACATTATTTTTGAGTTGGTTGGAACATTTAACGAGGAAGGCTATTAATAACATCGATATGTTTTATAGCCTAAAAACATCTCGCTGTTATTAACAGGAGTGACGAAACAGCGGAAAATGTGAAAAAACGGGGTGTTTTTTTCATTCCATTGCGTACGCTGTGAAAATGGTTCAAGATCTTGAACCGTATGAAAAAAAATATTCCTCCTTAAATTACCAAAAAAAGTGTCTGCGATACTATATATCTATGTTATCGATAAACTTGCATGAACGACGGGACGCGGACGACGTCGTGAGTAACGGCTAGAATAAATTAATTTGAGGAGGTTGTAAAAAAATGTAAGCCGTAAATAATCGTCTCCCCAAGTTAAAAATAATTTTAATCGCGTTTTAAACCGTTAAAGTGTTTTATTTAAATGTGTACTACTTCCGTAAACTACAGATCGTATTTGACACGGACACTGTTCGTGATGCCTTACCTGAACAAAGCTTTCAAGTTCTCGGGCAATTCAGTTCTACCGGCATAACCCGGGTTCATGGTAATAAACATACCAATTGTCGGTATCAGTGTAATAAATTCGCCCATAAAATCGAATTTCTTCTTCTTCGCCTTTATAGCGTCAAGAACACTTTTGACTTGGACGGACACAACGGAGAGTACTTCCACGGAAATTCGGTTGAATTCGTCGAAGCAACCCCAAGCACCGGTCTGAGCTAGACCTATAAACAATCAACTCATGCATCTCCCTTTCAATTTTATTAGTTTTTAATCTAGAAAAATCTACCCTATATAGCTTCTGAGCCTAGAAAAATAAATGTAGTGTAACTCTGTTAAAGTATAAAACGTTTATGACAAGCTTGAGAGTAATACAGTTTAAAATTACACAACTTCACCGAAAGACCAGACATTTTACGACTTGATTTATTGTTTACTATAGTTTTCAAGATTATACCCATAGATTATATAGTGTCTCATAAGAAAACACTCGGCCCCACTTTTATGGCTCTAACATAGATTAAAATAAAATATTAAAAAAAATAGGGAAGTAACACCTTTGTATATATTTCCGCAAGACTTGTAATCCATCTGTTCTGAACAGTTGAACACGTACACCATAATTCCCAAAGCTCGACCCAAGTCCTTCGTGGTTTCCGTCTTGCCAGTACCAGCTGGCCCAGCAGGAGCTCCACCCATAATCAAATGCAGGCTCTGTCAGCATACAAAACCATACATATATATATATAGATTAATTATAGGGCATAGTGTGAGTTTTACAGTTAACAAAAACGATAATAATGACATAAATGTTTATTAAAACTCATACTAGGGGTATATAAATTATACTTAGTTGTTACCTGAGTTAACGTAATATAACATCGATCCGTAAGAGGTGTGATAACTAGTCGTGGAGTATTCCCCAAATATTCGTAATCGTAAAGGAATTGAGCATCGCAAATATTGGCATAACAATTGTTGAGTTTCATATCCCATCTGTGCCTAAATTACAAAAAGAATGTTATTATGCTTTTCTACTATTTACATTCAACTACTTTGTGTATGTTGCTATATATTTAAAGTACACAATGGAATTTGTAAAATAAAACTTGTTGATAAAGAGAGGCGTCGAGATTCTTGCCAATTCTTCACCTTGGTTTTACGGGCTCAATTTGAGAATAGTCAGTAAATGACAGTAGTTTTATACGTGTCTAAAAGTAAAGATAGTTATACACATCAATCAATCTATAATATCCCTTCTTATGGCCCCTCGGGGGGCTTTGATAACCGGCGCATCATCGCTACTCTTATGTGGTAAAGCGCAAGCCGAGTGCTTTGAACAATTTCATAATCACACATTGTATAATACATATATTATTTTCCTTACCTCAACTGACTTTGCCACTGGAACGCATTCGATGTTTCCACTTTAGCCACAATGAGCTTAGCGACAACATCTCTCGAATGCACGTCAATTGTACAGATTGTCATAATCTTCTGTCGATCTCCGACGGTTAAGTCACCGAGCAAGAGGACGATTAGAGCGTTCAGTTGGGCAATCTGCTTCTTTTGATAGTCCTTGAGGGCACCTTCGTAACCTGAGCAATGGTAAAAATGATATAAATAGATAAATAATCTCTAAGATATAAAACGTAACGTAATTATATGAAACTTTTAAGTATTTATATCTGATAGAGATTTCACTTTCAGATCCACTTGACGGTAGATGAAATACTCCAGCTGTGTCACATCTCCACAAGATATGTTTTCGACCTACTTTGGCTTCTCTAGATTTTTGTAGGATGTGATAGCATATATTATTTGTTTATAGAAAGAACCTTCTTCAAGTTTTTCAAAAGCCTGATTCGTTTCAGTGGTCCACCAAATCTGAGTCCCGACTAGCGCCGGCTGAGCGGGCCAATCGAACACCCATTCATCACGTGGTTTGTCCTCATACGACTTTACACTGTGCTCGAATATGTCACGCAAAGTATACCGCATACAGTCTGTCACTCGGTTTAACCAGATTTCCACCTAGAACAACAACAAATTCCACTAATGAAAGTTAATTCATACATCATACAATCATAATATGTGGATAAAAAGCTAATAATTCTACTATCCAGCAAGAAACTTCCCAATAAATGTTCTTAATCTAAATTTTCCTACTTTTACTTTACTAACTTTAACTATCTTTAAATATCATTAAAGTTCAAGTAGGTTTAAAATAATCCTTGCAACTGAGTAGAAATAAAAAAAATATACAGACTTTTCCAGAACAATCGCAACACGGTGCTTTAAACGGCACATGTTCCTCGTTTTCCTTAGATATCATCTCAATGGCATGTTTGCTCCCAGGTTTCGGGAATACGAGTTTCGCCAAATTGTCGTACAACTTGGACAAGTGCCGCGCAACCGCTGGTGGATTGTTTCCATTGGACAGGATATCTAGACAAAAAAAAAGCAAACAACATTATTTGGAATATTATATTACTTAAACAGACATAACTCTCTAGTAATAAGTAGGTTTGTCTGTAGTCTACGCGAGTAGTACTTAGATTAATACTTAAATTAAATATTTTAGTTATTTACAATTTATTTTAAGTACGAGCTGTTTCGGATGCTTTGCAACAGCCATGGTCACGGGGGGAGTGAAGGTGGATGATGACCCTGGTGTCAAAGGCATGGTATTTACCCCCCAACTGGCCAACTACCCCCTTATTTCTCATTTATATTTCAGTTTTACATATTAGACAAAAGAAAAGAAAGAATGAGGTGTCATTATTTATCGTGGCTTAGTTAAGACAAGTGTTAAAAACGGAAACAAACTTACCCAGTAAGTCAGCCGAAGACACAAAGTAGAAGCGAGGATACGCCAGACGTTTCGTCTCCAAATAGTTGTTAAGAGCTTTCTCGCATAGGTTGAGAGCTTTCATTAATTCCTCTAGTTTATCGAGGAGACCTGGTTTGTTTGTGGCTTGAACTACATTGGGAGTATTGCCAATGTCTTTCAGTAATTCCTAAAAAATATAATAAAACAATAAAGAATTAAGAAGCTTTGCAAAATACGAGCAAAATATATTTTTTAATAATTTCAACGAAGAAGATCTTCTTCTTCTTTCTTTCCTTATTGTTTAATGCATAAAATATTCATAAAGAAATATGTTATTGAATTGTCCACTTAATACAGAAAATTAATTTATTCTTAAAATTGGATCGATTTAGAGTTCTACATATCATTCTATATCATAAAAATAAACTTAATTTAAGATGGTAACCTTAAACGTCTTATCAATAATATCAAATCGCTTAGAGTCTTCAGGCAACTGGGCTCGTATGTCATCAGAGCCAACAAAGATGCTTTCCAAATATTGCCACTTGCGCTGCACTTCGAACCAGATGGCAATCACTGCATCAGCCGTGCCAAGCTTCTTTTGCCAAGCAGTCACCTCAGCCTCGTAGAAACCAATGAACTTTGACGACATCATGTTTTGGACTTGGTTCTACAAGAAAGAATATTCATACATAGAGTAGTAAATTATACATTAATTATTTTTTTTTAAATAAAATTCACGTTCTTCTCAAACCAATTCACTACTAGGAAAGCTAAGCGAAGATTTGGGAGGGGGCGAGATTTTTAGTATACTATCAGAGGAGATATAGCTTATTATTGTTTCAAATAATTCCTACTTCAATTTACCTGGTTATCTTCAAGCGTCTCAACAAGCTCTTCACTTGCTTTGGGCAATTTGGCACCAGTTCTATCGTGTACTGAGTAATCGAACTCCATGATCGCCCAAGTCGCTTCCAGTTCCCTAAATTGATGAATACAGATCTATACTCCATGATAAAGCAATAAATATACGCAATTAACAAGGTTAGTAGGAATAGGTATTTAAATAAAACTTTGACGGTTTAAAACGCGATACTAATATATATTAATGATTAATGTTTTAAACCGATAAAGTGTTTTATTACTAATATATAACGCGTTTTAAACGGTCAAAGTGTTCTATTTAAATGTGTATCACTCGCGTAAACTACAGACAGAAATAGGTATTAATATAATTTCTCAAATTTGCTACCAAGAACGATATACACACTTAAGCGTTTTCTCCATGGCAGCTTCCTTAACAGACTTGTCGACAATCGTTTTGACCTCCTCCTCATATTTGTGAAGGTTGAGAGCTAACAGATCTGCCAATGTAGTATCGTCATCTATATTGAATTTGACCTAAAGAAAATTGCACATGTTAACAACAAAATCAGTTGAAAACAAAGCCTATATCGTTATTTATATTGGAAATACCTACCTGTATTGCTAAGGTAACATGTTGTGTCAAAACAAAATTAAACTTAGCTTTTAAACTAGAGCTTACAGACAATATTTACATGATGCGTAATATAATGAGATCTACAAAACAAATTCAGATAAAATGAATGAATGATAAGCTATCTTTGGCTGTGATAAACGTTTCGTGTCCAGCTGTAACCCTTGCTCTTTCATTTCTTGAAACGAATACGACCTGTTAAGTTTCTCTGTGTCATTAGGTTGGATTTTTGGCCTTCTAAAATCTTGTATGTGCAGATATTTCTTATAATGTATTTTGACGGGTTCTTCTTCATCAGGTGGTGTATCATATGAAGTTCCTTCCAGTGCTTTAAAATCTTCCAAGATTTGTTCTACGGATATTTGGGTTTGCACATGCCTTAAAGTTAGTGGCTTTGAATGAATATGCTTTCCCTCTATTGAAATGTGATTTGTATGAACTGCTTTCTACGTGGAATGAAATCATAAGTGCCATAATTAGTTTGATGAATACAGACACTAATAATTCTTTACGTTAGTTTTACCTTTGTCGCCATCATTAATTCCACCCAATGTCTATCTTTGATAGCGGGATTCTGCAAATCCGTTACAGCTCGCAACGATGTCATGAGATTTTTAATCGTTGCCTCAATAGAAATATATGGTTCCCTAAAACACATTTTTAGCAACACACGTAAAATTATTATAAGATACATAAAACTAAACCGCAATAATAAAATCTATCAACAGATAAAACGCTTTACAACGAGAAAGCACAAAAGAGACTAACGTAATGAAAATAATATCGACAGCCCTAATTGCTTCACCAATCACGTGCCAGAATTTTTAATACTAAATAATTTAAAATAATATAACAAACCGATTCTATATAAGAAAATTACGAAATCATACTTACCATACTCTCATATCTTTGTCTAACTGCCTCATATCTTTTGTGAATCTCTTACATTCTTGATCCATGCCGTCTGCATCTATCTTCTTCCATGGTGATTTCTTCCAGAATTCTATTGTTCCCATCACTAGGTTGTAATAATCCCATAATTGCTGAAATTCATTTATTTCAATTGTTTATCAATTCCTGATTTTTAGCAGACTCAAAGCGAAAGAACGTGTAAGAAGGTTTGTCAATCGTATACATTTTATAAAATATCTGACTGCGATTCAATATAAAACATATTTTACCTTGATAAGTTTCAGTTCTCTACGACATTGCTTAAGGAATTTCTCGTCGGGCGGTTGTATATCAAACAGGCCACAACTCTTCTTTAAACCAGCAACGATGTCTTCGAACTCCAAAAGTTCTTGGTGAACTTTATCTATCTGTCTATAAGGCTCCTTACAACTTTCAAGGAACATCTACAAAATACAAATAAGTTATATTAAGTTTTCAAGCTGGCGTTTATATTTTTCTATTAAAATAATTACAGCAAATCATGTTACCTAAAGAGGCTTATTAGTATTTTTAAGAACTCCCGATAGCGCTTAATATCTCAATAAACTTTGTACAATAAATATGTCTTATCTAAAACTTATCAAGCACCAATATTTCTAAAATAAAGGAATATCAACCTCTTTCAGTTTAAACTGATCTCTATACATAGTAAGTCGAAGGTTGATAAGCGCCACACGTTTAGCGATTAGAGCCGCCTGCGCAGCTTGCAGTGGAGCCACTGTGTTCTTCATTACAGTCGCTAACTTCACTAAGTTTCGCCACCTTTCCGGCAATACATCCAACTACGTGAAAAGATACAATTAATTCTTTGTTATTAAAAAGGCATGTAAAAATGTTATCTGACTTAGTAATCAGTTTATAGATAACGTATTTTGTTTGTCTGTACCGAGAAATTCTTACCGAGTATTGATGCGATTTCGGTGGCTTCTAAATAAATCCAAAAGAAGGCAAGAAATAGAGATTTCATATACACATCGGCTCGTAAACCATGTATAACTTTATGTTTTGTTTATAAGTTCTAGTTATTATACTACCTGCTCGTAAGTCTCTTCCGGGAAGTCTACTCCATATTCCTTCAACACGTAAATGATATCCCGTAGCGGCTCGAACATCGTCTCTGTGCCGGCATCTACTTTCGCCTTCACTTCATTGAGGACTCTCATCACTTGCAATAGACCTTCATAGTCATCTTCGCCTAGCTCCACAGACAATTCTTTTGTGGCATATGCAATAAACTTCTCCAGGTCGTCCAAGCTAACAAAATTGTAAAAAAAAACAGGTAAATAGTTTCATCATGCTAAACGCGTGAAGTTCTTACTACGGATCAAGAGGGGAGGGTTGTGTTTTTAATTTTTATATCCCTTTCAAATCAATGCTTATCATCATTTAACAAATTTAAGCTTGAAGTATACAGGCTTAAAACTTTGACTGGAAATCACTGTGTCGGAAATCATTTTTGACCCAATAAATAGCGTTTGCGCAAACACCAGGTACAACGTAAACTTACCTTGTTTGGACGTGGTCCTTCAAATTTTGTTTATAAAGATTACTCCACTTGCAGATGATGTTCATGATAGCTTGGTTCAGTCGTTTCAAATCTAGCTTCAACCAACCATTGCATAAGTAATCTCCTGGTAGGGCCGCAACTTCGTCGTACATAGCATTGAACTTGTCGATCTTAAAAAAGTAAATGGTTAAGAAATATTCCAAAAACTGTTACTTGAAAAAATTCGATGATGAGGTGTAGGACTCGATAGCTCAATTGGCAGAGCAACAGCACGGAACGCTGACGATGCCGGCTCAAGTCCTGCCCGAGTCGAATTTTTTTTCAATTTATTTTCCATTTTAAAATTATAATACCTCTTTCTGATATTCTTCAAGCTTAGGCTTAACCTCCGGGGGGTCGCAGCCAAAATCGTATCTGTACTTATCAAACTCTTCGGGAGGAATTACGCGCCCATACTTGAGGAAGCTGGCTAATACTTCTTGTCTGTCTTCCATCCAGAGGGGAGTATATTTTTCATATTTCTGTGAATTATCGTTAACAATTGCATATTGGATTTTATGCTATCGTATGTTGAAATTTTTTGAAAATTTTAATTTGTGATACATTTACTGGAAGTCCTATGCTTTAAAAATCAAGATAATTTCTCAAGTTTTGGTATGAATTAAACTTTTAGCAGTTTTACTTACCGAGGCATACTGTGTAACATCTGTAATACTATTCTCGATTCTTTTCGCAATCTCATGGTACAGGTCTATCATCGCTTCTTCAGCGGTTATATCATCTGTTGACAGATTATTATGATTATTATAAAAAACATGATTCATCCCTTTTTTCTCACGTCACACACATCCATCCGGATACAACCGGATTCTACTTAACATTTGAAGCCATTGGCTTTTTTTAGAAGTGTAAAAAATATTCGTTTTTGTACCTTCATACGTCGGAATAGGTATAATAGAATCGATCCGTGGGAAAAGAGTAGCTTGAAGAAACATGTCTTTCATCATTTCAATCATAGTGTCATACAACCCTCCTTGGTCCGTTAGATCGAGTGACGGTGTGAAACATACATCTGTAACATACTATATTTTATCACTCAGATTAAATAAAAAGATTAATTTAAGATACCTACATATTATTTATGTTTCGAAGAGCTGTCTAAAGCTACATTAAATATAGTACGAACCAGGATCTTTCAATTCCGCTATAACTTCCATAAACGCCACACGCGGTCCTTTTTCTAAATCTGTCTGCTTTTCAAATAGGTCTAGACTAGACTGTATTGCTTTCATTACTTGGCGAGATACCTGATATAAAATAAAAACAGATTTATACTTAACAGGCAGTGGGACCAACTAGCCGCTTGGCAACGATAAGCCCTAAAAAAATTACTCTTCCATCTATTAAAGCAAAAATGCGTTGGCACTGTTTCTATTTTTGTAATGTTATATCTAATTTCTTGTTTTGTTCTTTAACATGTGTAATATCACAAATATACATACTAAAGAATCAATATATTTCACGTAAGCTGGCCATCGTTCCGCCCTAAAGGCTTCTTCTTCCATTTCTCTTTTCTCTTCTTCAATATCAGCCAGTTCTGCTTCATCTAACTCTTCCTCTTCTTCTACTGGCGACTCAACGCCTTCTTCACCTATCGCAGTTACAATAGTTTATAATACTATTTTAGTTATAACTTTTGTAAAAAGCAGTTAATTTCAAGGAAAAAAGTTTTGTAGTTCATGTGTAAAAATTGTAAGCCTTTTGATTTCTTTTTCTATAACAGTTGTATATTATGCTCTTATAATTACTTAAGTTTATTAAATTAAGTTGATATTTAAAATTGTACTATTATAAATTTTTATTTCAAATTTAAATTATTCTGCCATAAAAAAGGGAAACAATAAATAAATAGTATGTTCATTAAAAATAATAGATATTAATTTTACCTGCATCTCGTCTCGCCTGTCGCTCTTGTCGAGCTGCTTCCTTCTCCTCTCGTTTGAGGCGCCTTGCCTCTCTTCTTTCGAATTTAGCTTGAGCAATTTCTGCTTTCTCTCTGTCTCTTTCTTCTCGCGCGAGTCGCTTTTCTTCTCGTCTTTCTTCTATTTCTTTCAATTTACGATTACGTGCTGCCCTTTCATCTTCGTCCAGTGTGGCTTCGTCTACTTCTTCTAATTCTTCCTCTTCATCATCAGACTGAAAACAAATAAACATTTAACGAGAAAATTATACCAGGAGGTTAAACTCAAACATACTGTGAGTCTACAAGATACAATAAGACAATATTAATTTTTAGACGCTGAATTCTCTATTTGGAGAACATGAATCATTAAAAATGTACCTCTTCATCTTCTTGGATGTTAAAGAACAATTTGTAATTAACTTGAAGTATGTTTAAAAACTCAGCGTGACTTTCCAAAATGTTGTTACGTCTGTAAAAAGTATTTATTAAATATTTCTCATTGAGCGATTATCATATTTTCGAAGTGATAAATTTGGTAAAATAAAGTACAGACCTCTTCGCAAGTCTAGGTAGACGCTCATTTACTGCTAGTAGCTCCATTTTATCAGGATTCTCTTTGCGATTGTGCAGTGGCTTGTCGCCCCATCCTGCAATATTGCTCAAACCTCTTCGGACGTTCGTTTGAGCTGTCAGCACGCGTTCTTGCAGCGTGTTTATTGCTGTATATACCTCTGCCATCCACTCAGTAACTAGAAAGTAATATATTTAAAGTTACATTTCATTATTTATTGAATTTATTAAATTTTGCGTTAATTTATTCAATGAGTAATTTTTGTTATATGTTGATAGTACAATTTAAAATCATCTTTTCAGTACGGTACAGTTACGTCCCTTTATAATAAAGTTATAGTAAAAGTGTTACGTATTAAATAACACAGTAGATTACCTATTTCCTGCGGTTTTACGATTGTTTTTCATTTTATAACAGTATTTCTTAACGCTTTAAAACTAGTTTTATATAAAATACTGTCTCTAGTTTATGCGAGTAGTACACATTTAAATTAAACACTTTAACGGTTTAAAACGCGATATATTTTAATTAAACTTGTTGGAAATTTATTTTTATCTACGGCCCAACGTTTCGGATGCTTTGCATCAGCCGTGGTCACGGGGACACTTAGTTTTTATATAATTAGTAAAGATATCATACAGTCATCATTCCACGTGAGCTCCTCCACACCTTTGCCAAGTAGTTGATCTATGGCCGATATCTCCTTCTCAATGAGTGCGACTTCGGTCTCATGGCTTCCTTCTCTTATAGCATTGTACCAGGCGATAGCTCGATTAAGGCGATTCATGTCGTACTGCACAGATCATAAAGGATAAAACACATAAGCAAGGTTTTTTATTATAAATAAGATCACATATATATTGTACTTTATTTTGGCCTCCTATAGAACCCTCAAAGTTTAGTTTAGTTTAGTTTACCCTCTATAGTTTCTCAACGACAAAATTCTAGAATATCCCACCACAAGCCCATAATTATAAAAGTTTTTTGCCAGAACACCTTGGCATTATTCGCAAGATTACTTACAAAAAATTAATTACTTTAGCCAAACACCTTGATATATAATAATGATAAAAACAAACGAATGAAATAAAGGTTTTCGATTCATGTCTGATACAGACAGTACAGTAGGTTTTAATCGGTTTCTCTTTTAATACTATATTAATATTACCTGTAATTTTTCATTCCTCCCATACAACTCTAAACCATCAGCTGGGATTCCTTGTTTGTCTAGATACTTCATGTACCGTATTTCACGTAGTAGCATTACTAACTGAAATTTATTATAAGCATTATAAAAGGGGCATAATAGTAATAATATAATTACGTAATGTTAATAATATTTTCTGAAAATCCAAAGCGATAACATAGGTCGGTAGCACATTTTGCATATATGTTAACAACATTCGTTGTATACTGTCTATAGTTTACGGGAGTAGTACACATTTAAATAAAACACTTTAACGGTTTAAAACGCGATATATATTAGTTAAACTTGTTGGATTTCTTTCATCTACGGCCCGACGTTTCGGATGCTTTGCAGCAGCTGGGGTCACGGAGAGACTTAGTTTTATATAATTAGTAAAGATATCATACAGTTATCACTCCACGTCAGCATCCGAAACGTCGGCCCGAAGTTAAAAATCATTTTCAAACAAGTTTAACTAATATATCGCGTTTTAAACCGTTAAAGTGTTTTATTTAAACATGCGTTGTCTGTGCTTCTTTGGTGTAAATAAATAACGACCATGTTTTAGCAAATATATTTACCTCAGGGCTGAAGTTGTTCCTAACGAACGGAGGATCTCTGTAAATAAGGTTTTTTGCCAACTGCGTCTTGCAAATGTTTGGTACTGTTGCGCACCATTGCTTGAACTGGCGATCTTCTAATACATTTAAATATCCTAACATTTCATTGTGTTTCTGCTTCATATATAGAGCGTACTCGGTTTCAATAATCCTGCGGAAAGGGGTAATGTGAAACGTGAAATTCCACTACAAATAAATAACGAATCGAATGTAGGAAATTTTCATACCGAACGTACAAAAGGTCTGAAGCCGTGCATTGTAAGTCCACAAAGAAATTTCCAAGCACTCATACGAATAATTAACTTACGGATCTTCAAACACGATAAAATCTTCCATCGGAGCCTGTATGCGCCTACGCAGTTTATAAATCCACCAAATCATACCACCGACTGGAGGTAAATAGGAGTCTACCATGGGCCGCTCTGGTCCTTTTGTTAATTTCTGGAAGGCAAAAAATGGTTAAATTCTCTTTCCCATACGCAGTCTGCAGACAGACCTTCGTGCCCTGTCTAACTAACTATAAAATACAATTTAAATACATATATTCATACCGACATTTCCTCGTCAAATATTTCTTTCACGGCATCTAAGTTGGAATGCATGAAATCTAGTAATCTTGGTAACTTTGGTTTCAGCTCGTTCTTTATAATCTTTCTATGAAATAAATCGCCAATAATTTGGAAAAACTGTAAGAAATGATTAGGGATTATTTAATGTTACCTGCGCATACGAAACTGATTACATGTTTTGTCAATGACAAAGCTCTATAAAGGATGTAATGAATTCAAGAATTCATCCATTCTTTTCACTATATCACAGAGTACTGGACAAACAAGAATGATAACGCAATCGCAGTGAGCTTCACCTGGTATAAGCAAATCCAACGCCTAATAAACCAAATCCCGTCCATAATATATCATGAATAAAAAATCGTAATACCTTATAAAAGTGTTCCAAGTTATGGCACTCATCGAGACCCTGGGTGAAGAGTGACGCTAGCCTTTGATCCACGTCATCGAGAACCTTCATATGCTTTACGTAATCAGCTTCAAACTTATCGTCCTCGGGATCCGCTGGATCGTATGTTATGTTACCCAGGTTTTGATAGATTGTTATGTACTCTTCCAGAATCTAATTGTCCAAAAAGAAACGTCAGAAGTGAAACACAGATAGACGTGAAATCTTTTCGCTTAAACACTGAAGGACCTAGCATTCAACCTATACTAAAATCAAAAGCTAAGGATTTTGTTTGTTTGTTTGAACGCGCTAACCTCAGGAACTACTGAGACTTTTTTGATGAAGAGAATAAATATTTAAAATAAATATTTAACGCGGACGAAGTCGCTGACACAGTTAGTTCGTGGTATATTGTGAATACATAATTTTATTGTAAGCTTACAGCCATACAGTCAGTGCTAAGAGTCTTTCCTCGCAACCCACAGAACTCCATCTTCTCCAGCTTGAGAATCTCCACAGTCGCCTCCAAGATCTCTTCGATTTTCTTGAGCTTCTTCATGTACACATTGAAGCGCATAAACACGCGATCGAAGTCGAAAGACCAGCGCACAGGCATCACACCCGGCGGAAAGAAAGTATGCACTTTGTCTCTGTTCATCTCGTATGTTTCACTGCAAACAAAAAAAGGAAGTAATTTAAGAATATATGAAATCGAGCACATATTTGCCAGAATGTAATAAAATATGTATGGTTTAAATTACAAATTGATATAAAGAAAGGTGCGAGGGCTTAAAATATTATAAATGCGTTAAAAATGGATTATAGATTTTAAAAATTTACGCCCCACGCAGGACTAGACCCGGCAGAGCAGGCTACAACAGCGATCCGTGCTGTTGCTCTTATTCCATGTATAATCGATTTTTTATTTATATAATGCCAGCATGTCTAATTACATGTTATTAGTTTCCTTCTTTTTTTACAACTTGTATTAAGATTTTTTGTTGATAAGAAGTATCATTAAGCTATGTTTTTTAAATAATAAAATATATAATACAATATAATAGTTAAACCCTAATCAATTTCATTCCTAGAACTTCTTATAAATACGTATTAGTATATATATTAAGTCTTTTATATAGAAGAGCGTACAAGTGAGAAGCATAAGGTTTTATTTACATTCTTCACAGTAAAAATAACTTACATGAAATGATTGAGAATCGATAGAGCTTTTCTTATTTTTATCAGCTGTTCATCAGCATCGCCTTGAAATATTGAAGCGGGATCTACCGAGTTGGTGCATTGTTGAATAACCAGATTGCACACCTCGCGTAACAGAGCTGAAAATGTGAATATCCTTGTATATATATATATATATTTTATTCATTAGATACACATAAAAACAAACTAGAATAAACAATAAGTATTAAAAAACAACGGCGATGACTTAAATTTGTATCTCAATCACAAGCGTACATTGAGAAAGTAAATAATATAATAAGTACGTTGGTATGGAATAATGTCTGTAGTTAGCGCGAGAAATGCATATTTAAATAAAATACAAACGGTTTAAAACGCGATATATTTTAGTTAAATTTTGCAAGAAGCATCGGTTACGTCTAGCCATAGTTAAAATAATTTACAAATAAGTATAACTAACTAGTAAATCGCGTTGTAAACCGTTAAAGTTTTTAATTTAAAGGGTTAGTATGGATTATACAAAATAAGTTATTAAGTGTTTTTTTTTTAAAACATTATTTTCAGTAATCGTTATATAGTGGTAATGATTAGGTTAGTTTATAACTTACGTATAAGCTTTTCCACGTTACAATAATATCTCGAATTGCCCCAGAGTAAACCGATGCAGTGGAACATGGGTCTTATCAAAGACTTGGCGTCGGCAAAGTCAGTGCCTTCAAAGGTTTCAAAATGAAGCAATAGTGGTTTCTGATAGACGTAGATGTCCCGGCATTCTACGATAGCTGCAATTTATACCGCGGGAATAAAACAATGCATTCATTTACATGTTAAGTTTAAAATTACTGCACACACGAGACTGATTACATTGCGCAAGAGCATTACAAAAGATCATCAAAATCTGGCATATCACGGACGGGATACTGTCTCGGTAAATTAGCAGCGTAAGAGCAAGGTACGGTATGGTCGAGGATTAGAGTCCCGAGAGATAATAAATTGTAAATCTCATGAGCAATAAATGTAACCTTTGTTTTTTTTTCACATCTATACTAATATATGTACAAAGCTAAGGAGTTTGTTTGTTTGAACGCGCTCATCTCAGGAACTACAGGTTCGAATTGAAAAATTTGGTTAGAACATTTATCGAGGAAGGCTATACACCGCGCTGTGACTAATAGAAGCGAAGATACAGCGGGAAATGTGAACTAAACGGGGGAAATTTTTCATCTCTGTGGGTTTCACATGCGTACGCTGCGAAAACGGCTCCAGATACCCATAAAAATGTATGTAAGAATGATTTCTCTTTAAATGATGAAAGTCCGCAATACAATATATCTATCTTTTAAGATTAACTTGCAAGAAACGATGGGACCCGAACGATCAACCGCGAGAAGTCGCTGACACAGCTAGTAACTTATACGTATAGTATATAGTTATAAGTAAGTGTACTTTTTAAATATTTGCAATAAAACGTTACCAGCGACAACATTAGTAAGCATAGTTTTGAAGCAACTCAGGTAGACGCTGCGCGTGGCTTCTAAGTAGTGCGCCATACGTTTTACGCGAGGGTCTCTCAGCTGTGAGTAAATGCCCTCGAGGTTTCGAAGTCTATTAGCGTAGAAATCTATGTCAGCACTCGGTAGAGGAAATTTGGTTCGTTTAAACGCTGAAATAATAATAAGAAGACTATTAAAGCGACGTTAAACTCAACGCGAGTTTAGAAATTCAGCGCGTTCTAAACAGTGGCGATTAGGATTCGCGAGGTCCCCCTTTTTTCAGTTGACGATAATATAGCCTTAGAGGTAATACACATTTTTAAACGACACAGGGGTTCCCCGTCTTGCACGCAGCTAGTTTAGTTTTCATAGTGTTGTCAAAATATTATTTTAAAAAATAATATTAATTTCACTTGACATGGTGCCCAATGCCGCCACTGTTTGAAGAGGCCAGGAAAGTATTATAGATTTAATTATTCTATTGCCATAACAAATCTCTTAATTTACCAATATAAGAGTCTTCCTTTAAAAGGTCATGAACTTGCTGAGCCCACTTAATTATTGCTCCTTCTATATTCGTTTTCAAATACAAATCCACATCTTCAGAATCGCTGGAAAAAAAAATAAGCAACTTACTGGCTCTGAATGATATTCGCATAAAATAATTGCATACCCTTCTCTAAGTCTTGCTTCTGCGTGGTAAATTGTTTCTACTCCATCTGGCATTGGTAACATTACTTGACTGCTCATCTCCCCTTTAAGCTAAGGACAAAAAGAACATTTTTAGTAAAAAAGAATGTAAGAAGAAGATACAGGTCCATAAGAGAGTAAAAAACAATTTAGTAATTAACCTGGTGCATTAAATTGCGTAATTCGTTCACATGCCTCTTCATGTCGTTTTTAACAATTTTTGGCCAACCTTTTTGGTTCTCTGGGTTGCATAAAAGAGGACCAATCACTTCATCAGCCATTACAGACAAGTCCATCAAGACATTTCCTGATAATTCTCCAATTGTCATAGCCTTCAAATATACACAAGTAAGTTTAAGCAGAGTACATAAAAAATATATTTTTGAGGATCCCAGAAAAACCTCCACAAGCAGCCCGTGACCACGGCTACTGGAGAGCATCCGAAACGTCGGGCCGTCGTTAAAACATTTTTTCGAACAAGTTTAAGTAATATATATATCGCGTTTAAACGGTTTAAGTGTTTTATTTAAATTTAAAAATTATATAGAAACGAATAGTTTAGCTAACGCACCTTACGAAAATTCACAGCCGTTATCTTGTCGTCAACATTTCTCAAGAAATATATCATCTTCCCTCTGCTTATTGGAGGGAAATTTGTAGCACAGGTAAGGAGCCCGGCTGTATTCATTCGGAATACGATGATATCGAACTTTGGCATGTCAAAGTACCGAAACAATACATGCTGAAAGCAGTATACAATTTAACAGCCGGAAAATAATATGTAAGAAAGTATTATACCCCATAACATGATCTAAAAAATGCCCATGAAAATATTCGTCTACCTTCTATGATTAATTGGCAAGAACCGGTTTATGGTAATTAAATTTTGATCAGAATACTTCATATGAGCAAATAACCTGAAAAATCTTACCCTTTCATCTCCAGTGATAAACTTATTCCATTTCTCGATTTTTTGCTTAAGTGACTTTAAAATATATTCTGACATAAACTCTAATCGAACATCTACATCCTCCTTCTGCAAAGTGATTAATTAATACTTACATTCCACATTTCAAATCTTATTTGATTCCATAGTTATTTATAAATATTATATAAAAAAGACCTTACATCACCCATTATAATATTATTTTATATCTTCCGTGCCTATATTGTAGACTAATAATAAAGTACATTCATTTTTAATTAAATTATTTAAGAATATTATTATTCGGTAAAAAAATTTTGATATTTGCCGGTATAAATATTTAGCTTTTCCGGCATAAATCAAACAATACAAGTTTTCGATTTTTATTATTTCAATAATGTTTCTATAGTAACGATATTCCAAATTCAAAATTTTATTTAAGAAAACAAAATTTTCGCTGAAAATTATCTGTGCTGCTTCTGTCTTATACTATTTTATATCTATGGTTAATGTCAACTTTCGCGCGCAAATTGTGTTTACGGTTTGTGGACGGTTGCGGAGCTGTTTGAAAGTAATTTCAATAAACGTATAAAGTGGATTTTAGTGAATATAATAACAATTTTAAATAAGAATGGAAGGTTTCGACGATCCTGGGGTGTTTTTCTCAGATAACTTTGGCGTAGAAGAAAATGAATCTCAAGATCAAATTAACCTACAAGCTGTTAAGAAGAAGTTCAAAGAGTTTATTAGGCAATTTCATACGGGAAACTTTAATTATAAATACAGGTATAAAACAGAATAACGATTTACGTGCTTATTCAAACTGTTACAGAAAAATAATTTTATGTTGCTTGTTTTAGAGATGCTCTAAAAAGGAACTATAACCTACATCAATATTGGGTTGAAATTAATATTGAAGACTTGTCTAGTTTCGACGAGGTACTTGCTGAAAAGCTATACAAAAAGCCAACAGAACATTTACCTATTCTTGAAGAGGCAGCTAAAGATGTAGGTTATTTCATTCATTCTGTAAATTTTTCAATTGTTTACAATATTGTTATTTTAATCACATATATTCTTATTTACCTATTTTCAACTAAAATGTTCTAGTATTTATCACTCACTTCGTTACTCATCATCGGTTTAATGAGCTGACATTTTGTTAACTATATGTTTTTTATTAGTTAGCAGATGAATTAACTGCACCTAGACCCGAAGGTGAAGAAAAGGTTGAAGATATTCAAGTCTTACTCTCGTCAGACGCCCATCCTTCAAACTTAAGAGAGCTTAAGGTAAAGAATGATAGATTAAGTTTTATAATGGACTAATCCCTAATATGTCTTTTAACTATACTTAAACTTATTTTACTATCCTACAATGAGAATGTCTAATTGGTAACAATTTTGTAACATATTTAATTTTACAGAAAATATATTTAGTAATTAAATATCTTTTTTCAGTCTGAGACAGTATCCAGATTAATTAAAATACCGGGTATAGTGATATCAGCATCTGCAATAAAAGCCAAAGCTACAAAAATATCAATTCAGTGTAGGTCTTGTCGCAATGTCATTCCTAATTTACCCGTAAAGCCAGGGCTTGAAGGTTATGTTATGCCCAGGAAGTGTAATACGTATGTATTCTTACTTGAAGTAGGTAGAACATAAATAAATCCTATATTATATGTATCTAATTATATTGTTTATTTTTAAGGGAACAAGCTGGACGACCAAAATGCCCTCTGGATCCATATTTTATTGTGCCAGATAAATGTAAATGTATTGATTATCAGGTAAGTTTTGAAATATATTTAGGCAACAAACAGTATGATAGATATCAGTGTAATATGTAACAACGATAATTCAATACTTAGACATAATTTAATTTAATTTAAACACACAGCCCAGTTTGTTTTCTAAACAAAGAGTAATTTTTGGATCTTAAATTTATATAATTATAATTGAAATTTACTTCAATTTGTGTTATTACAAAAAAATCTATTGTAGGTATTAAAACTGCAAGAAGCTCCTGAAAATATACCACAAGGTGAAATGCCGAGGCATTTGACAGTATACTGTGACCGCATGCTATGTGAACGAGTAGCTCCTGGGGCTCGAGTGACAGTCCTCGGAATATATTCAATTAAAAAGATAGCTAAAGCTGGGGTATGTAATATTTTTTCAACTTTCTCTAACATTCATAGGCTCTAGAAAAATATGTAATGTTTGTGAGGGTTTCAGACAATTGATTTGTTGAAAAATTTGATCATCTGTCTGTATCTCAATACCAACCTATATTTCTTTTCAGAGAGGTGATCGCGACAAAGGTTCAGTGGGTGTAAGATCGTCGTACCTTCGCGCAGTGGGTCTCTCAGCAGACGAAGGAATTACTGGAGGACTTAGCCCATTCACGTCAGAGGAGGAAGAACAGTTCCGAAGATTAGCGGCCTCTCCGGATATATATGACAGGATAGGAGCATCTATAGCTCCTAGTGTTTTTGGCGCAGTGGATATGAAGAAAGCCATTGCTTGCCTATTGTTTGGAGGTAGTTACTTTTATTATTTATAGCTGTTTTGGTACCTTTGATATGCTTATATTACAACTAAGTATTCTTTAATATTAGATAATTCACCCTCTTTAAACATATCTTGCCCTATTAAGATCTTTTTTACCACCAGGGTCCCGCAAAAGATTACCAGACGGCTTAACACGGCGTGGAGACATAAATATACTGCTGCTAGGTGACCCTGGTACAGCAAAGTCTCAACTATTGAAGTTTGTGGAAAAGGTGGCTCCTATAGGAGTGTACACTTCAGGAAAGGGTTCTAGTGCTGCAGGTCTTACTGCTTCTGTGATACGAGATCCTGGGAGCGTAAGTATGACAAGATAATCATAGAAGCCCAACGTGTACAAGTCTTAGAACTGCACCCCAAATAGATATATAACAAAACTTTTTAAATTCAAAACTTTTTTTGAACCTTTGCAGCGTAACTTTGTAATGGAAGGTGGGGCGATGGTGCTAGCTGATGGCGGTGTCGTCTGTATTGATGAGTTTGACAAGATGAGGGAAGACGACCGAGTAGCGATACACGAGGCTATGGAACAACAGACGATATCTATTGCTAAGGTATCTTTTTTTAATGATAGCACAGAGATAGTCAAAATCATCAGCTTCACAAATTATGTTATGGTAGCAATGCATGTGTAATAATCATATGGTTGTGAGTCCGATCCCCACTGGGTCCAACGTTTTCCATATCCATTTATAATTTTCTTCATCTAGAAATCTGAATATTAAGGTTATTAAAAAGGCGTAAAGTTTTATTGTGCTTTGTTGTCAGTCTGTGGATTTCCGAATACCCAAGGCACAGAAGCTGGAGTATTTCACCCCCCCCCAACTAGCTTGTCCCTCCTATATCACAAAACGTTTTTACTTCTTTTTTATATCAAGAGGATACATATGTAAATTTATCTTTGATGAATGCAATCTCTAATTGTATATGAAACTGTCTACTCTCTCTACATTTCTTAATTTTAATAAATTATTTTTCAGGCTGGTATAACAACTACCCTCAATTCCCGTTGTTCAGTACTTGCAGCTGCCAACTCTGTGTTTGGCAGGTGGGACGACACTAAAGCAGACGATAATATTGACTTTATGCCCACCATACTCTCGAGGTTCGACATGATATTCATTGTCAAGGACGAACATGACCAGGATAGAGACATTGTAAGTTAGAATAAGAGTGAAAAAAAATCACAGAGGGCTTTGGACTTTAAACTTCACCAAGCCGGTTATATTGACTGAGCTATAGTCCACACAGATTTAAAAGATATAGCACCTATTAATTTTTATCTCATGTCACCTTCAGAATGGAGAACATTTTTTTGAAGTAAGGTAACACCCTTCACAGTGGGAAATAAAGAATTATGTAGTCACACTGATCAGCCAGCCTTCAATTGGTGCCTCACTAATTAAATAATAATGATTACTAGGGTCAAATATAGTATATAAATCCTATATAGTACATAAAGAATACATGATAAATACATACTGTTTAATAGAACACTTAAAGGTATCAACGCGAAATATATTAATTAACTTGGTCTATCGTGAACCAAATATCAACTAAGACGAAACAGATGGCGCTAGCATATGTAACTTTGACATTAGGGCCACCCTCCATATTCAGTCCCCTTGTGAACGCTACTGTAGCAAAGCATCCGAAAAATCAAGCGTAGTTAAAAACAATAAAAATAGCTAATATATTTTGCGTTTTAAACAGTTAAAAGTTTTTTTACATGTACTACTCGCGTAAACTAGAGAAAATGCGTAATTTTTATTATTAACATTTCCAGACGTTAGCGAAACACATTATATCGGTACACATGGGCGGCAATTCTGCTGAGCGGGACGTGGAAGGCGAGCTGCCTCTAGCGTTGTTGCGTCGCTACTCGGCATACTGCCGCGCGCGTTGCGGTCCTAGACTGTCCGAGAACGCAGCAGAGAGGCTGGCTGCTCGTTACGTTTTAATGCGATCTGGTGCCTCGCTGCAAGAGCGACAGGCGGACAAGCGCCTCTCTATACCTATTACTGTCCGGTAATTAAATATTTTTTATATTAATGAACTTCACAATTCTTATAAAAAAATATCAAAACCCATAAAGAATTAGGCAACAAACAGCCAATACATATAACCTAAGGTCGCGGCAGGCCGGTGAGCCGCCTTCGATTTATGATGAGACCACGCCACCACCACGCTAGTCAGAGCCTGTACAATCTGAGGCCGCGACGCACTACTCGTAATTCTTCGAACAATAGAGGAGCTAACGCCTGATGATGCCGTCCGTTCGTGATGGCGAAACGTCGAGAACCTCTTCTCTATCACGTCGGCCGAACGGCCCGAAAGACTCAGAAGATACTGGTTCGAATTGAGATTTTTTTTGGACCATTCATTGAGGAAGGCTTAAGGCTATAAAAATAATCGAATATAATTATTAATTCAATAACAAACTATACTAACATCGACATAGTATGTAAAACTATTATTTATTGCATTATTAAAATCATGTTTCTAGACAACTAGAAGCAATAGTACGCATATCGGAATCGCTGGCGAAGATGCAGTTGCAGCCGTTCGCGAACGAAGCACACGTCAGTGAGGCGCTGCGTCTGTTCCAGGTGTCCACGCTTGATGCAGCCATGACTGGAAGTTTATCAGGTAATAAAAATAGTACATAACCCCTATGCCCGCATCCGACACGTAGGTCTTTTTTATATAGATACCTTATTTTAATCTTCTTACTTATTGTGTTAATTATTTCCCTCTAGGTGCGGAAGGTTTCACATCAGCAGAAGACCACGAAATGCTTTCTCGTATAGAAAAGCAATTGAAGCGAAGATTCGCAGTCGGTTCCCAGGTCTCCGAAGCTACGATAATACAGGACTTCCTTAGACAGAAGTATCCGGAACGAGCGATACACAAAGTTATTCACACTATGATAAGGCGCGGGGAGTTACAACATCGCCTTCAACGGAAAATGCTGTATCGATTATCATGATAGGTGTCTGTAGTTTACGCGAGTTTAAATATAACACTTTAACGGTTTAAAACGCAATATATATTAGTTGGATAAAAGTGTTCCTGCAGTGTGCGTTACCAGTGATGATGTACGGTACCGAAACATGGTCTCCTACCGCGAGCATGGTGCACAGACTACGCGTCGCTCAGCGTGCGATGGAAAGGACTATGCTCGGAGTTACCCTGCGTGATCGAATGAGCAATGAGGAGATTCGTAAGAGAACTAAAGTCACTGACATAGCCCATCGAATTAGCAAGCTGAAGTGGCAGTGGGTTGGGCACATCGCTCGTAGAACTGACGGCCGTTGGGGCAAAAAGGTTCTGGAGTGGAGACCACGTACCGGACGTCGAAAACCTGGACGACCTCCTACCCGGTGGACCTACGACCTGGTCTAGGTAGCAGGGAAACACTGCATTCAACTAGCGAACTTCCGGTCGTAGTGGAACGCTATGGAGAAAGCCTATGTCCAGCAGGGGACACCGGACAGCTGAATCAATATATATTAGTTAAACTATGGCCTGACGTTTCGAATGCTTTGCAGCAGCCGTGGTCACGGGGAGGCTAAAGATGGAGGGTGTCTCTGACATCAAAGTAAAAAACGGCTACGCTAGCGCCATCTGTTCCGTCGAAGTCGGTTTTTGCCAAAGACTCACCGTGACCACGGCTACTGCAAAGCATCTGAAGCGTCGGGCCATAGTTGAAATAATTTTCAAATAAGTTTAACTAATAAATATCGCGTTTTAAACCGTTACTGTTTTATTTAATGGATTATTGTGATTTCTTTATTGCCTACAAAACTCATGTGGCAGATATTGATCAAACAAACAACATTACAAATGACAATAACTATTTTTGTAAGAAATAAAAACAAACTTTGATGAAAAGTAGATTTATTGAGACAAACTAAAATTCTTCTTCTTCGAAGGAAATTGTGTTTACAACACTATCACACGTTAAATCACAAATGACATCTATGATAGTGTAACATTTAATGCTTCTACCTACTTAAAATAAAAATAAATTAATGAGCACAATTTAATGACTAGAATATTCAACATCTTACTACATATTGGAATATTTTGAAGGAACACTAAATATCTGTAGTGTATACTAGTGGTACACATTGAATAAAACATTTTTAACAGGTCCAATTCAGTATGCATATATAGGAAGATATAAAACACTTATTTGTGCCTTAGTAAACCAAAAACTCCTTTAAGGAAACGCAGCTTGTATGAGACGTTAAGAATTTAAGCGTTTATTTTCTGTAGATCAAATGGATACTCTGGGTGTTTATCTACCCCCTTCCAAAACAAGAAATTGAAGATCCGACCTTCTTCTCCGCGGTCCAACTTCCTCAAACGATTAACTTCGGCTGGAGTCAGCTCAAAGTCATATATGTTAGAATTTTCCTGCAAAAAACCGTATTTAAAACATGATTACACAGTACTTTGGCCAAATTATCTCACTATTGATTCATATATTGCAGTGCATTTACGAATGCTTCCGAAGGGAATTATGAATGTTTCTTCTTAATAATTTTTTCTAAAACACGTTGGACTTCCTTTGGAAATCTGGATATTTATATGAGAACCACCATCTACAGATGCAAAAGCAATGAAGTTTAATCGCGTTTCGGTTTAAGTCTCTAGATTTAAAATTTTCAAATATTTAAAGCTATAAATAAGGTCGTGTGCTGTAGACCTAGTGTTTGTTCAGAAGTTATATAACTGGAGCACTTTTACCTTCCATCAAGTGAACTTCATGGTTGTCTAATGTCTATGCTCTTTCAAAAAAAAAAGTTATTTTTTTTTATTGTTATATTAATTTAATCAAGTCTTCTACATCGAACCTTAAAATTACTAAATACGCGCATCTAGCCACATAACTCCTTAATGCAAAATAGTGGTTATGTCCTCCTTAAATTATACTAAACTCTGTACTAACATGGATTCTATTCTCACTGGTACTTTTAGGAATAACGACCACTTTTTCCTGAACAAGAAATCGCAGTAGAACTTGGGCGGGCGTCTTGCTATATTTATCAGCAATCTCCTTTATATCAGGTAGGCCCAACAAATCGGGAAACTTATCTGGGCTGGATGGAAGAAAGATTATTTTGTATATTAAGGATAATCTGACGCGTCTGTAGCCAAATAATTAAACGTATTGCCTAGCATTGCGTTAAGCGCGAGAGGTCCTGGGTTCGAATCCCAGGGAAACAAAAATTGTTTCGGTCGGGCAGGGCACAGAAATCTGATCAACTACTTGCCTGTTAAAGAACGGATCATTGGCACGGACACAGAAATGTTTTTGCCCCATACCCCACGAGGGGGAAACGGGATTTCACTTTATTACAAGGATAATCAACGCACTTATAGAGAAATCTCTAATTTAGACTCTTCTTCAATTTCACAGCTTTTATCAAATTGACAACGTATAACGAGTTGGTCATTGAAAAACATTACCTATTAAAATTACTTATTAAAAATTAAAAAAAAAATCGCCTTTACAACCGTTACGCGAAATAATTTAAGATTTTTTTATTATTTCGTGTTTAGTAGCCACCGCTTTGGCAGTTTCTAGCTCCTGAAATTAAACCGAGGAAGAAGTTTTATTCCAATTGCTTTATTATATTTTCCCTGATTGATTAGTAGGCTTTTGTAAAACAGTAAATGTATTATTGTTAGGTACTAACTATACCAAGATAATGGTAAATATGCATTATTAAAGCATAAAGTAAATCTTACCTATAGTTATACTTATTGACAAAATGGTCCTTAGCGCCCGGACTACCGAGCGGCGCATACGCAGTTACAATTATGTCATTCTCCTCACAAAACTTTCTGAGTGGTATTTGTTGGAAATAAGCGTGTAACTCAACCTGCAATACTTGCGGTTTAAACGAAGCTGTCTTAATTATTTTCGCTATTTGATTTTCACTGAAATTAGATAGACCTAGGTTTCGGATTAGGCCCTCCTTTTGGCATTCTTCCATTACCTTAAAATTAAAGTTTTAAATATAATTGAAATTAATTAACGTTAGAGAGAAATGATTAAATACTTATATATTTTGTTCTTATACTGTACGAACATTGTATACATTTAACATTTTTTTAAGAACAGAACAGACATGATGAAAGGTGAAAAATCTCAGCCATATAACATCTAAACAAGATGTGTAGTCTACCTATTTGGCTTTAGAACTTCTAAGAATAGTTTAATCTGACTAAAAAAGGAATTATTACATTTCTAGTTCATATATAGACATCTAACTTTTCAGTTTTAAATCTATATGTTATTTTACATATATCGGCTTTAGCCAGTAAGATATATGTATGTATAAAATTACATAATGAAATTTACCTTCCAAATACTAATGTGGTCAGTTTCGACGTCCAGCTCATACTCTCCAGTATGCTTAACGATAGGCGTGAGGGTCTTAGGGTCGCAGTGGAAGGCGAAAGGTACGTGAATCAGATATAAATCCAGATAGTCCAGTTGTAGTCGACTGAGCTGTAGTTCCAGAAACTTTTTTACGTCAGACGCTCTATTGCCGACGTGGGGTAACTGAAAACATTATATGAATGTGTGTAAATTAACAAAAAATTTTGATTTTTTTAAAATTAAAACTGACGTGAAACGAAATCTTTAAAATGCCACCTTGAAAGTAACATTTTTGAAATCAAGACTAGTTGAACAAACAATGATTTCAATGTCTCTAATTGTATAGGAGGGCAAGGAAATTATCTTCCTACGATTAATGTAATAAAAGAGCGAAGGTCCGAAAACGTCTTTATTTTCAAGACAAAAACGCCTTATTTATATTCGAAGTTTCTCAATATACACGCTTCTGAAAAACTTCTCACCTTAGTAGTAATAAATAAGTCTTGCCTGGAACCTTTGCCATCATCTATCCATTTCTTTATTGCTATTCCTATGGCTTCTTCATTATTATAATTAAATGCAGTGTCAATGTGCCGGTAACCCAAATTCAATGCTTTATAAACTATAGATTCAATAACATCTGATGAAGCCTGAAATTTGTATGTTTGTTAATATAATTCTTTAACAGATTCGAAATTGAATTGAATGAATTGAATAACTAACCTGCCAAGTTCCTAGACCAAGTGTTGGCATTAAATCTTCTGTTTGCGACAGTTTAGTGTATTTCATACTTCCAAAGAATTTTCGATATTCACGAGTCGTACTCGGTTGTATTATCAAGGTTTTAAATTTACCAAATCCCTTCACAGCCACACAGTATAAACCCCTGTTCAAGAATAATCTGACAGACATTAAAATTGGCAACTTTCCAACAATTTTCTACGATACTATACTTCAATGAAAATGGTATGACGAATGTGTTCAATTATTATTTACATTCTTGACAAGGCTTGAAAAGAAAAGTCCATATATATGATCAAGTTATATACAACGAAAAATGTAAGTATGTAGGTTTGTTAGAAGTATTGATTTTTTTATCGGTTCCATTTTGAGATCATTCAAATTTCCCGGGTGTTTCGTTGATAAACCAAAATAATGTGTTTGTTTTTGTAAGACAGACATATTGAAAGTAAAAATTATTTATATATATTTTCAAATAATTTTATTACTATATTTATAACATATTACATTTATAATTTCTTTCTTATATTAACCGTTTTATATACATAATAGACTAAGGCAACCTGCGTTAAATCTTTGTCAATTGTCATTACTAACTGTCATATTTCAATGATTGTTTGGGATGCATCGCACTCTTAAGATCTGTAAATAACCAAATCTAATTTTCAGTAATTTTAAATTAAAACAAACGTTTGTAGACCTTAATTCCTATAGAATCAATTGCCAATACACAATAAAGAAAATGGGCGTAAGTACTTTGAGCTAATACATTCAGTCTGAACATTTCTCGTCTGCAACTAGTTTAAGTTTATTTTTATATTACTCTTGTTTTAGAAGAAAACGGTGACATCGGTCAATAAGAGCAAAGAAAAGAGGCAAGCACGAAAATTAGAACAACGTCGCATCGCTGATGGAATGGGCTTTGTCACAAAAGCTAACAAGTTGGAAGACCTAGCTGGCTTGTGTAAGGAACTTCTGGTGTATAAAAGCAATGAACTTGACGTTGAAATGTACATACAAAAAGTCATGGACTTAGACAAAAACACATTGCAATGGGCAATAGACCTCACTGAAAGAAATATGAAAAGTCTGTAAGTTGCTTCTTTTCTTTCAATTAATGGAGATTTCATAAATTCATTATAACACTTATTCTATAATTATTTAAAATTTTGAAATATATTGGCTTGCATTGCATGGAACCAAGTAAGAAGTTTTTGAACTTGCAGCTTCCTTAATGTTATTTTAATAGTTTTTTATAGCTGTTACATTTATAACAGCTTTAAAAAAGCTATAAAGATACATTTTTATAGATATGAAACCTGTGCTTGGGGCTGGAACAGAGATCGCAAGGTTGAAGAAATGACAGATGATGCAGCTTGGTATCTCATCGCTAAGGACAAGGATAACTTATTAGCATTCTCACATTTTAGATTTGATATGGACTTTGGAGTTCCTGTGTTGTACTGGTAAGGTATATTATAATTACTTCAAAACCATTTCGGGTGGAATTATACCAAGAAAAACTTAAATGAATTAGTTAGTTCTTAATAGTCAAATGCTTTGAATGAATATTTAGATTTTTCTATATATATATACATACAACACATAAGGATTTATTACTGTTGCTAATTGATATTTATATAATTTTATTGTTTAATCTTCTTACACTTTAATAACACCATGAACTGTTTTTTTTAAGACACAGATTTCAATTGAACACTTCCCTTTCATTTGCGTTACTTATCAGTCTAAATATTCCAAAACTATACTGTCCTTAAATTCTTATTACAAACATAAATCGAATAAGCAATATATAAATAATAGAAGATCATAAATACAAAAATACTCATATCAATTTAATTATTTGGTCTTTACTTTATTTAACCTAGGAAAACAATGGAAAAGACTGGTGAATTTTCTCAAAAGCTTCCTTTGAGCGATAACCTGTTTCGGCCACCACCGTATACAGTGAGTGCAAAAGTAACGAAAGAGCTTATATAGGATATAAGTTGTCATAGCTGTTAAAGCTATACTTATTGCTAGGATATCTAATAGAAGATACTGTGTTAGAGACAGGTCGAGAGCTGGTGAGCGAAGATGAGATCCTCCCTTATGTCTTAAAATATATTCAATCCAATAAATGCTGGTTTCCAAAGGCGTCATTGCCCTGTCCAGAAATCTGTCCCTGATTTTTAGCGCGTTTACTTTATACCTGTTAAGTATGACAATTGTTATTTTGATTGAGGAAGAAAATCACATAACGTTTTTGGCGTCTCGTATTTATAAAGACTAATTTTATATTTCAAATATTAAAAAAAAAACACACATACTTGCGGAGATTAAACACACGACGAACCACAATACATAATGTTAAGAAATTAAGACTTGTAACAACTAACAACAATTACGCTCTGGTAGAGTGGTGGGAGTGGTGGTTCCAGTCCCGCCCATGGTAAATAACCTATATTATAAAAATAAGTATAAAAATTTTGTGTGTACTTACTGATAGTCCGAAAGTAAGTCACATAAAGCTTCCTTAAAAGTATCTTTAGATATTTCTGGTAGGGTTATTGTGCGGGATAGCCCCCGATCTTTCATCGCCCGAGCATTGAGTGCTTGGTCAGCGTAAAGGGGAACGGTCAACATAGGCACCCCACAAGCCACGGCTTCTTGGGTACCGAGTAATCCACCGTGCGATATAAACAGTTTCACGTTTGGATGACCTGTAAAATTAAATTATTTGGAAACACAATTTTTCTACATCGTCTGTCCAAAACACAGTGCTGTTCTCCTTTTTTGGTAGAACACTTTTAATAAAGTAAATATAAACCCTTATGTGGCTAAATTACTAACAATTTTAACATTCTTTTACGTTTTACTACGTTATCTTCAGAGAGTAAAAAAAGATTAAGTATCGTATGTACACGCATGTAGTACACATTTAAATGAAACTCTTTTATAAGTTTTAAACGCAAAATCTATTAGTTCACAGACATTACTACTACCCGACATTTCGCTCGTTTTTCTGCATAGTCACGACGGATCGGCAATTTTAAATTGTTAATTAGCTATACTACCCAATATTTTCCGAAACGAAACATTAACCAACTTACACAAAGTTTTATACTGAGGTATCCATTCCATCGTATACACGTTTTCCGGTACACTAATGTTATTTGAAAGTAAACTCCTCGCCATTTTGACTAAGAACAGCTGTGGCAGCTCTGACATCGCGGTAAAAATCTGCGAGAGTTTCTCATGAGGTATAGTTTCTATGCGTGACATGGATCCAAAGCTCCAGTACACTACACCTTCGTTGGCGTTGTCCAGCACCCGCTTTAAATCCTGTAAAAATATTTTAAAAGTAAATGCATGACTTATTATTAGAGATGCGGCGAGTACGAATTTTTACTCGGTTGAAGTTTTTTCAATCGAGTAACTTGGTTCAATCAAATTCTCACTTCGCGCGCGTAAATCAATATATTATTTTTCTTAAACAAAGTATACTCGTTATCAAATAACAAAATATAATCGAGTTATTCGGCCGAGTAAGATTATCAAAAATCCCGCCGATCCCGATTGGTATCGGGCCGAGTACCGAGTACCAATCGAGTACTCGGCCCATCTCTACTTTTTATATACTCATTATGTATATAAATGAATTATTTACTTATAATGACCATAAGTAAATCTATTGCAGTAACTTTCTAAGCAAAGATGTAGAATTACATTTGTGTTACTCAAACATAATAATATTAATATTATGCAACTTCAAAACATACCACCAAACCAACCAAAACCTATAAGTCGTTATTCTTTGATTGTGAGCTAGCCATAGTGAGCTATCCCTTTCAACCCACCTAAATAAAAGTAATATTGTATATACTACTAGATAACTGTGATATACTAAATAATATTAATAGTTGTGTATACAGAACGAAGATATATGGGATTTAATTCTGTTCTTTTCCAAGTCAGCCGACTAAAAACGAATAAGAAAAGATATCAAGATTTTGATTTGAAATTATTGGTGGATTATAACCATCCTTTCCTGAACAAGTAAATCGATAGAATAAAAGCCAACGCCATTTCATGGTTTTAGGTCTGTGTCGATGATGTGAAAACCTAGATAAAATGGAGACTGGTTAATTTAGGTCGATTTTATTGTTATTATTATCGATGAAACGTCTAATTAAATAATTGATAATATTAGTTAACGAAAGATTGATTAAAAGTCACCTTTGGCATGGTTTGCGCGTCATTGAAGTGCAGCCCTCCAACCTCCACTAAAGCTGGTACCAACGGGCGTACTTCGTTTATACTGAAGTGGCTGTTTGATAGGATTAAACTGTAGTTTTGAGACAATTGCTCCAAGCTATAGCCGGGGCCGAATAGCTTATCAGCTATTAGCTGTAAGGAAAAACTTATAACTAATAAAGATTTTTATTGTAAAACTAATAATTTTAATGGATTTAGAATATCAGGTTTCATAGGTAAAATATAGCTCAAAGAATGTTTCACATACTTCGTCGGGTCGCACTTAAAATGAGATTATATATTTGCGTTTGAAACCGTTAAAAGTATTTTGTTTAATGTGTAGGTAGACGTGTACACTACAGACATTAAGAGTCGTTATTATACCTACACACTTTTACTACGTGTAATGTTCCTAAATCATACCTACTTCTTAATAAAAGTAGGATGTCACCAAATTTTTGAAAATAAAGAAAATATCGGAAGTATTAACACATATTAAATTGAGTACAAACCTGCGACGGAACCTGAGATTTATATCGATAGATCATCTTTGCCCACACAATTGCGAAGGTATTAAAGAATCTCTCCCAAAGATTCATTCCTTGTCCATAGCTGGTCACATACGATGGTATGTACGCCGGCCCCTCTGGGTTAGCCAGCTGATCGTTAACCCACGGCAAAGCCACACTCGACAATAACCCCACGACTGGCGCACTAAACCTTCTCCCAAAGGGAAGAAAACATTCAGTACCAAAGACTTCCATCAAAATCAAGTCGAAATGCACCGTGGAGTTGAGAAGGGACTTCACGGCTGGCATATGTGATACAACATCGCATGACTGAAGGCACTCCTTTATTATCTGGTCCAAGTTTCGGATGAAGGCGGGCTTGAAAGAATTCTGCTGTTCTGTTAAATTATTCGTTAGTTCCGGTATGGTCCCCGCTAGACTTATTTCCTCTAGATTTGGGGGCGGGGTTTTCTGTAAATAAAAAATGTGTTTAGACTCTTTCCAATTTTAAATTAAGTTAGAAAGAACCTTACGAGTATACTTTTACATGACATATAAAAACGAAATATAAAAAACAAAATGTAAATTGTTAAGTAGACAAACACTATCGTACCCTGGGAAAATGTGAAATAACAGTCAATTGATGCTGCCTAGCTACGAGCGCATCTATAATTCTCCCGTACATGGCATGGTGGCTCTTGGTGTTCGTAGGCAGCACGGCTAGTATACGTGCCGAGTACGCTGCGCTTGCGCACCACAACACTAGGCAGAATGTCCGCGCCTGCATCTCTCAGCCGCTCGATACTAATTGCCCGGAAAACTTAACCAAAGCTCACAAACGCACCCTCGGTGACGTCATCGAGTACTCGTAACTAGATGCAGCAGCGGTTATCATGTTTCTCTCGATCTGTATACGATACGTCCGGATAAATGTTTACTAAGACGATTGTTAAAGAAATAAAAAATACTTTAAAGGCCATTTGAATTTCCACCTGAGGAAAGACGCACGCAATAAACTTTTACTTATTTTAAAAACAACTTAATCAAACAACAACAATAACAAAGCTAGTATATAAAGCCTATGTCGTTCAGGGTCACATTTAATCATTGATTGGTCCTGTAACAAAGATGGAGGTTCGCGATGTGCGGTTTTTGTATTATGCGGTCCATAAACCACAAGACATACATAGAGATATCTTGATATTCCAGCTCAGGGCTCACAAGCTTAACTCCATATATCCAGGTTCCAAATCCATATTCATGGTTACATAGACGCTATACTTAACCTATTATTTACAGTTACGAAGTGCAAGTAGAGGCGGACGGTCGGCGGAGAGGGCTGGGCCAAAGGGTGCTTCGAGTCCTCGAGAGGCTAGCGAGCGCCACACAAATGCGCTGTGTACGACTCACTGCGCTTACGCACAACCCTTCGGCCGCCGCATTCTTTAGAGCCTGTGGGTGAGTTGATATACCGTCTACTCTTTTGGATCATTTAATCTTACCCATCGAGGTGAAGTCCACTTCTTGTAACGACATAATAGTCACTCTTGATGATGAAACGTCCTAAACACTCACAGACGTCGAAGAAAAAGCCCGAAATTGTTCATATTATTATTTCTTTTTATTTATAACACAAACCATACTAAAAATATAAAAGAAACAATAAATCTTTGGTACTAACTTGTAAATAAAAGGCTGCCTCATCGCTGAGCACCTATCCTGAAGTAGAGGAGAAGGGAAATAGAAAAATAAAATAGACTTTTTAAGTGGGTGTAAGGTATAATAAAGAAAAAGCAAAGCTGCTTCGAAAAAAGTATACACAGCAAGTAACAGAGAATCTATTTTAATCATTAGAAAGGTAAAACTTAGAACTTACTTTAGAAAAGAGATTATTAAAGAAAGAGGTTTTATATTTAGGAACAAATAAGAGAAGATTATACATAGAACGGAGGTTTAACTAGTGGGAACACAAAAGGACGAATTTCTCTTTTAGATAATAGGCAAAAACCTATACATTGAATATAGGCCGAATAGGTATATCTATACTATTATGTAGAGATCAGTCGATGAGCGATATCCGATAGGATCAATCTTTGTTTTCATATTTATAATGATTAATGTGTTGTACTTTAATTAATTGCTTAATTAGTTTCGTAATTATTAAATATGTAATTGCTTTTCGTAATTCCTCGTTTAAGTATCTGAATTGTATGAGAAGCAGATAAGGGGTAAGTTTTTCAATTAAACAAATGTTTTAGCAACGTGGCTTTTAAAACTAGCCTTCTATATTTAGTGTCGATTGATGAAAGCGTGGGAATTGAAATAGTCAGCTGCGATCTTAGAAAAACGAAATAATATTGATTCAATGTACTTATTATACTAAATAATTACGCAGAGGATTACGGCATTTTACAAATGCTCTTTATGACTTGTATTTCGGGCGTTGAATTTAAACAACATAAGTTTAGGCGCCATTTTTATGGATTGATTAGAAATGCATCAAATGTGAGATATTAATTTGAAACAGACAGCTAGACGACAACTGTGTTTATTTAATTATGTTGAGCTAGATAAATGCATATCAAAGCATCGGTGATTGATGGCTGACAGCCGGACTCGGTCGGCTGACCTAATAATTCTAGATAGCGATAATAGTAGGCGTATTCCTCTAGATCTAGATTTTATTGTTGTATGTCCTACTATTGCCCTGGCAAGACTCCTGAGTCTTGCGACTGAAACATATGTCTAGATTACAAATTAAGCTACGTACATCGGCAACCGAGAAGCCCGTGCGATACGCAATCACTACTAAGGGAACAAAGAAGCAGATTCTCTCTTCGCTTAGCTAGTGAAAAACAACTAAAACGAAATGTTTTATATCAATATTGCAACAAAAGTATTTTTTTTTGTACTGTTTCAAGTCGGTTATTTTAGTTCAAAATTATTTTATCATCAAACAAGTTCTTTGATAACCTTCAACTTTTAAACGGAAGTCGATATAAGTGTAGTTGAAAAAAATTATGTAAGACAAAATTTGATAACCTTTACCAAGCTCTATAAGTTTGTTTACCAATATTTTAGAGAGATTTTTGTTTATTTGTTAAGTGTATATATTTTTTCGAAGCTGCCTATAATTGTTTTTATATGACGTGACTTTTAAACAGTAACAATGTGGCTTTGATATAATAACATAGAAGTCCGAAGCCTTGACCGAGCGCCGTCAATATCTGTTTTTAAATAAGCAGTTTAATGACCGATGTTAATGACCAGAAAGTAATTACAGTTTTTAAATAAACACTTTAACGGTTTAAAACGCGATATATTAGTTAAACTTATTTGAAAATTATGTCTCCCGTGGTGGTGTAAAGCATCCGAAACGTGCGAAGTTAAAAATCATTTTCAAATGAGTTTAACTAATATATGGTTGTAAACCGAAAGTGTTTTATTTAAATGTCTACTACTGGTAGACTTTTTTATGTAAGCACCTTAATAAGTAATCCGCTTTTGTAGTAAATAGTAAAGAGATAGCTTTGCGGTCAGGCAGGGCACAGTAGTCTGATCAACTACTCGCCTGTTAATACCACTGATTTGTGAAACGGACACAGATGTGTTTGTCCACATGTCCCGTAGGGGGGAAACGGGATTTCACTTTTTTTATTGAGTATTCGGGTAAGAGTAAAAAGCACTAGCCGGCTCTAGTTATCTTAGCGCTTAGACATATTTGAATTGGGTTATGTTCTTCTAGGCAATTTAAGTATATACACATTGCGATCGTCACGTCGGAAGTTCGATCTCCAGTTATGCACATCCCACATGTGTGTTACAGAATGCATCGTGTGATAACTTACATATTATATGTACCAAAAAACATCTGCCTATTAGGTCCTGTAAAAGAGACACAAATCCTAGTAAATCGAAAAAGTTTCATTGCGACAATTTGTAAAACACATGTGTGTTTGTGGTCTCATCAAGATTGGGAACCCAATGAGAGAACCTTTTAATTAGTTTATGCATTTGTTTATTAATATCTTTTCTATATTGTATCCAACCAGTATTATATTCGATATACTCTATGTCCACGCGAGCTAGACGTGGCGATAACTTATCCGGGTTTCCGTAACGTAATATTGAGCACGCGTCGTCAGCGATGGAGCCGATGCTGTTATCAATAAGTCGGTGATTTAATAGTCTGATATCATCTCGCCTGATGTGCCGCGAGGTCCCGAAGTTTAGATGCTGTTGTGAAGTCTTCTAAGAGCGCGTTTTGTTTTCCTTATTGACCACTATTTCTATAAGCGTTTGTACCGATAGATGTTTTTTGCAACGTCGTCCAAAATGACAACGTTACAACTGACATTAAAACCTATACAAGTAGTATAAAGGCGAAAGTAACTCTGTCTGTCTGTCCAGGCCGATTTAAATAAAATCATACATGTTACTTTACGTTACTATACTTAACTAAGGATACATGTTACTTTTTAATGCAAAAGAGATATTATTCGTGATATTTGGAGCTAGAAATTAAACTTTCTTATCTGGCTTTTTGGGAATGGGAGGGAGTTTAGGAGTTAGAGCAGGAGTGTTGTGAGGTACAGTGGGAGTTTTGCGGCAAAGTACGCACTTTTCATGCTGCCTTAATACACCCGTTTCGACATGCATTGTAAAACCTTTTGCTGTACGAAAAGTTACGGTTAAAGTAGTAAGGGGTTGAAAGAGTGAAAACTAGTGTGGATGTACCGTAATGAATATTTATAGAACTGACTAATATTATAAATGCGAAACACATGTGTCTTATTAAATTTATAAAATAAATAAAAAAACAGCTTAAATAATTAAAAATCCTACCCAATGTCACTATTCCCCGCGGATGAAGTCGCGGGCACAGTTAGTAATGTATAAAGTTTTTAAGGGCAGGTTAGGCTAAAAATATTTCTAGCGTATCCACTTGTATCGAATAAATTTATATTTATCATCTTTTCCGTAGCATCTAGTAAAGTATAACTTTTTTGCGTTTATACGAGAAGTGTACCGTGTATAGCTGGTGAATAGCCTTAAGAATAATTTACGGTATTTAGAATACCTCTTACATATATTACATACATTCATAATTACATAGTATAGTTTTTTCTAATAGATAACTTTGTTTGAAAACTTTAATATTTTGCACATGATGGCACTATTAAAAACCGATTTTAGATTGAAAAATATCACATTGAGTGAGAAGTGAGGTGCGTGTATCGTAATTTTCTAAAATCGATTTTTGCATTAGATAACTTTGTGTCGTTTTAATTTAAAACTTATAGTCACTTCTTATTTTGAAATGCACAACTAGTATTTTTGTTTAGTGTGAAAGTTTATTCAGGTACTCTAGTCTACAAGCCTTTTCGATATAACTCAATATAATTATATTGTTCATACAATTTTTACTACATTAACCAATATGACAACTAATTTATTGTTAGTCCCTCCAATCGATACAAAGGTTATATCTTTTCAGGTACAGCTTAGACGAGACCAGTCCACCAAAAGAAGAAGCCAGCCACTACGAGATTTTAAGCAAGTCCACATGCCTAGGTGTAGATCCAGATAATCACGATCTAAGAGAACTAGTCGGAACATAATCTTTAAAGTATTTTTTATTAAGGAATTACCAAGAATTTTTGTACAATGTGGATTTTTAAAAATAATATCTATTTGTAATTTATTTTTGTTTTATTTACTCATTTATTATAAATAATATGTATGTTATACTTCATTCTATATCAGTAATTTACAAAGTTCCTTTCGAATCTATACATGTATATTCGTACTAATGTTTTTAATTATCAAAGATTAATCGGCTTTAGGCTCAGCTGAGCAGTAGGATAATTTTGTCTTAAGTAACTTTTAAGAAAACAGAGAAAGTCTCCTGTTGACGGTGACAATTATTTGTCTGACGCCTTGATTCAAAAGATCTAAAAGTATACTTGAAATTAGATTTTTTTAATGTTTTTTCAAGGCTTTTACAATTAACTATATTTTAGGATCCTTAGGACAAGCCAACGAAGTCAATAAGTTATTTAAGATATTATTTTTCTAAGCTTTACACTTAAAAAAACTCAAAAAGCAAATAGACATAATATGAACTTAGATGTCACAATAAATATTATCTATCTCGCCTCGTCATTATCTGTGGGTGTAAATAAGGAAAACCCAGAGTTAGAATAAAAAGTAATTTTTTAATATGTACAATATATTTTTCTATATTAAGAGATCACAGAAAATAAACTATATTTCTTTACAATCTTTGCATATGATAATCCCGTAAAGTTACAATTGAATTGGGTAAAACAGAGAAATTCTTATTTTATGTTGACTCCTACAAAATCCAATGTGTAGTTATTATGACTCACTAACGTAGATTTAACAATGTAAAATCCGTTTAAATAAAACACTTTAACGGTTTAAAACGCGATATATTAGTTAAACTTATTTGAAAATTATTTTTAACTTCGGCCCGACGTTTCGGATGCTTTGCAGCAGCCGTGGTCCCCGTGACTGTACTACTCGCGTAAACTATAGACAGTATTTAATGTAAAATCCTTTGAGAGAGAATATCTCCTTGAGTAAGGGCACAGGACGTAGAAAGATCAAAAGTCAAAGTAAATTAATTATCACACCAGAAGCAGTCTTTCACCACATTTAATATACACACTTAACGTGCCAGTTCTTCTCGTTCGTTCTACGCCATTGATTTGAGAACTGGTAGTAAATATAGAGATTTTTAACTAATGTGACGTTCGCAAGTGTACCTAATTACCTACGTGAATTTTTTTTACTTTGACTATAAAAAAAATACATTTTTTTTTAAGTAACAACATCCAAATCTGCTTCGTAAATACTCTCATTTGAATCTTCGGACTCGTTTTTACATGATTCTTCGTGTATATCTTGATTTGGGTATAAATCTTTAGGCTGCCTTACATATTCTGCACTGGGCTGAGGAACAAACCACGATGGACGCTGATTGGAAAGTAGAGGTGTACTGTGCGGTGGTGGAATAGTGACACATTTTTCTCTTCTCTCGCGAGCTCTTCTGTTTTGGAACCATATTTTAATCTGTAACAATTATGTAGGTTTTTTATCTGTTAGTTTATTAGAATTTAAGTAGAGGAAATTAATTAATCACCAGTTGGTATTTACAACAGACGCCGGCGATGAACATGACTAATAATCTTTATGTAGGAGTATTTTTTTACTTGACGTCTTTTTAAACGAATAAATAACATAAAACACTTTTAATGGCTTAAGTAAGGTTTCCTTAAACTAAAGACAAGGAATACATTTTAAAAAAATATTTAGATTTAATAAAAATCGAGAACGCTGGCGGAATTTGAACTGGCATCCACAGACTTCAGTGCTGCTCTAACCAGTAGAACTACCGTATCGTGTTTTGTTATCTCTAAATAGAGTTTAATTTATATAATGCCATTAAGTATGTATACTAATATGTGAAAAATTAAAGTTTTAACAGAAATTTTCATAATCATAAATAATGACGTGATATAATGAAGTATAGTACATATATAGTTCTAAAAAATAAGCTATCACTAAAATGGACACAGAAATGCTTATGCCCCATACCCCACTTGGAAGACAAGTAACCTCAATGATCAGCACTTTGCATTAACTTATAAAATCTATACTAATATATAAAGCTGAAGAGCTTGTTTGTTCGTTTGTTTGAACGCGCTAATCTCAGGAACTACGGGTTCGAATTGAAAATTTATTTTTGTGTTGGTTTGAGCATTTATTGAGGAAGGCTATAGGCAAAGATACAGCGGGAAATGTGTCAAAAATTTGGAAATTATGGGTTTCTGAGGCGCACGCTGCAAAAACGGTACAAGATACCCAAAAAATATGTATGAAAGAATGATTCCTCTTTAAATGATCTAAAAAAAGTTCGTGGCGCTATATGCCTATCTTTTAAGATTATCTCGCAAGAACGACGGGAAGGGACGTGACCGACATCGTATGAAATAACTATTTCATGCGGACGAAGTCGCGGGCATACCAGCTAGTAAATGATATAATGTTACGAGATCTCACCCTATCGTCTCTCAGTTGTAAGGCAGAGGCTAGAGCTCGAAGCGCGGGCGGTGCGAGGTACGGTGCTCTCGAATACGCGGCCTCCAAAGCCGCCGCCTGCGCAGCCGTGAAAGGCACTCGCGCGTGCCGCCCTGACCGCCGTGACCGACAGACGCTACCTGTTCCTGCAATTGATCTATTATTAACGTAATTCCGTTCACAACAATAAAATATCTATAGATTAATCGATTTTTTGTTTAATGAAGTCATCAGTCAGACTTCTGCGCCCCAGCTGAGTTTAATGAATTAATTTATACCCCGGGATTCGAACTCAGAGCCTCTCGCTTATTACGCAGTACTCAGCATCTTTGAGCTACAATTTCTGGACTAACTTCATATGATCTCATTAATAATCATATTATATTGTTCTTAGGGTAGCACAGTTGCCATAGAACTGACTTGTAAGTAACTGTCCCTTTACGTCAAACTTTATTTTGATACTGACGTGGTAACCTCGGCGGTTGGTATCTCGTGCAGCAAAGCCAGCTAGGCGCTGGATCTCTGCTCTTAGAATCGTCACTCAATATCCTGTCTATACTGAAATCGGAACTACACTTCGAATTAGATGAAAGATCCATGGCACAAAATAAACTGAGGTCCATCTCGTTCGAAATCATGATGTAGCTAAAGGAGGGGCTTATATTACCCCGCCCCTGAAAATTGGGGTGCACCCCTCGTTTTTTGGCCGCGGTTAAATCGAATCACGCGCCGCTGAATCGACGAGTGTTGTGACGTCCGTTCATTCATCTTTCAATAGGAAATTGATACTGTTTGCACACAATAGAATGTTATTACTTTAAGGTTATGTGAGAAAATTTATTTGTAATGTATATTCAGGATTTCGCAGATTGACTTGTAATTTGATACAAGGGTAGACTAGATGAATTAATAATTAATTTATAACGCAGCGCACATTTTGATATTTTCAAAGAACTTTTACGCTTCCGGATGTTACAATGATTAGAGACAATCATTATACCCCCATCTTGATAAAAAAAATTGAATTGAGATACGTTATGTATGAATAACATTTACAATTAAAACTTGAGGTAACAAACAGTACCTATCAAGAACAAGTTTAATTTTTATTTAATGAAATATGACAATAGTTTCCTGTGAAAAGAAAGCCACTCATCTATGTTGGGACTGACGTCCTAATAGTGATATTCTATTAACATTAGTACACTTGTTCCTACATTATAATTGTAATGAACTATACTCCTTTAAATGTGATACTTTTACTTAGGCTTCTATGTATACAAGTACAAATGACTCAGTTTAATTAACATTATTTAAACAAATTAAAAAAAAATGTCGTGGGTAAAATCCTGGAAAAACATTTTTTTCGGTCGAGCAGGGCACAAAACACTAATCAACAACTGGCCTATTAAGAAAATCGGCCAAAACGGACATAACTCTTTTCCAAACCCCCATGAGAAACGGGTTTCTATTTTATAACGATTTGATATGTGACGTATTACAGGATTAAGCTCAAAAAGCCGATAACATTCTTATCTGCCTCAACAATAAGCTAACAAATGATCGCAAACAACTGTACTACCACTATCAATTGTACAATCTTATACCATTTTCAAGTGTGTCATTATTATATTGTGGTACCAACACAATACGAACTAACTTCAAACAAGTACGGAGACAACTTATACCATCAAAGAACCGTGAAAATACATTATTGTATCAAACAAGCATTGAGCGGACATCGAATTTGTTATACTCCGTCGGTTTCTTTTCCTGTTTCAAATTATACCTACAATTCGGTACGCGTGATTTATGTGGCGCTACTGTTGGGATCTCAAGATCTTTGCAATGTAAACCTAACGGACACAAAGCTGGGTCCTTTAGATTGAGTTCAAATTAGGAGGATTTGTAACCACAGAAGAAAGAAATATAACCAATAAACACTTTATAAAAATATTCTTTCACTAGCGACTCGCGCGTACAATAGTTATTTTGTGCATCATGTTAACTATTTATTTTTGCAAAAAACCTCCTCAGATTTAAAAATTATAGCTGTTACACACGACCTCGTCCGCGTCCCCGCGTCCTCGTACCTTCGGGTATCTTAAAAGATAGCCATATACTATGCCAAACATTTTTTTAAACCATTCAAGCAGGAATCATTCTTTCATACATATTTTTGGGTATCTTGAACCGTTTACTGCAGCTCTCTTGCGAAATCTCTGTATTATTTCACAGTTTCTCATTTACTTTTCGCTTCTATTGGTCGATGCGTGGTGTTATATTATTGTAGATGTTATAGCCTAAATCCTCCCTGGATAAGTGATCTATCCAACACAAACATTAACTTTTCAATTCGAACCAATAATTCCTGAGATTACCGTTTTAAAACAAACTTTTCAGCTTTATAATATTCGTATAGATAATGAATTCTATTAATATCTTATTTATGTTTACTTAGACTTCGTAAACAGGTGCTTCGTAACAGTAAAAATAATCGTCTGACCAAAATTATTAAGCAGGTATTAGCTAATAAACCGGTACCAAGGTTTTAAACTCTACTAAGCACTCTACAGCAAGCAACTCTGCAGTAGGTACTACAAACGCGGTGAGAGGTAAACGTCTCTCTGGTTCAGGTTTCCCGATACGGCTTCGAAATGTCAGTCTCACAATATTTCGAGTTTGAAAACGGCGACCGTATGCCAGGAATTGGCTTTGGAACTTGGCAAGTAAGGTTTTATTAATACATTGAGAATTAGATAATTAGAGAAGCAAATTTGTTAAAAACATACTTTATTGGAAAGGAAAAAATCGTAGGTATCGGATAAATTCACGGCTAAACTTTGTGATTAATTAAACAATATTTCTATTTGTTTCTTGTCTTGGTGCGGCTTCGAAGAAACACCATATACACCGGCCTCTATAGAATCTATGTTATGTATTTTACTATAGTAGGAATAATGATGTAAAGGACCTGATATGAAGGACCTGAATGACCTTTAGCGATGTAAAGGGCATTCAAAACTTTTCATATACAACATCTTTTCGAAAACTAGAGCCAAATAGGTCGACGGCGTATCTTGTATAGATGTCAAATAAATAGGGCATTTCATCTTCCATATAAAAAAAATTAAGTAGAAGTATGAATGAATACCATTTCAGTTTAATTTTTAAATCTAGTAGAGAAAGATAAATGAACATAATTAGGATCATTTTAAAATTAAGTATATCTATTTTAATTATTAACAACACACGTTATGTTTAAAGTAAATAGTTGACGAATTGACTTTTGTGGACTGTTTTTGTTTATACGGACTTCTAGGAGACGCGGTAAGTACGCCATAAATTTATTTTTGTTTTCGCCACCATTTGTTATTTTAAATACTAAACACCACAAACAACAACACTACCACTTATCAAGCTCTAGGTGTTCTTCACTAAAGAGCACTTTGTTTTGTGTTAAGATTATGTCATGTCTATCGTAATTATTCCCCAATTGTTGCGTCTTCGTATGTCCACATACTTAAAAGTTCCGTTACCTAACGGGAGGTGTAGGACATATTGTATATCTTGAAATATATATCTATCTTAATTCAGCGGCAAACTTACCGATTCAACAGTGTGGGAAACGTCGTGTGAATTTTAAGTAATTGCCGCATTGTTTTGGACAGTTTTCTTTTTTATTTTAAAAGTATCTACTGTAGACAGAAATGTACCTAATAAGATATTGTCTAGTTTTAAAAAAATGTATTCGACGTTGAAATATAGCAATAGTTCTTGTATTCATAACATGTTGTCTTAATTATTACCGGATACGTTTGTCCAATTATCGCAATGTAACTTTTCAACTAACATGATGTAATATGGCCCATAATATGGACCGTAGGTTCGACTCCCACTGGTTCCAACATATTTGTATATCATGTTCTTATTTATCTAAATATGTGTTAGTTACCCTCTGGGAAATCTATAAATTATAGAAATATCAAATTATCCGGGTCATGGGCCGTTAAGTTTCACTCTGTGGATTTTCAAATTCTGGAGGAATAGATCGACAGAGTATCTTACTTAGATCATAGGACGAGGCATTTTCACCTTACTTCAAGTGTAATCCATGCTTATTTGTACTCCTATCCTGTCATAATAAATTTATGTTAGTTGAAGTCTTGTATCGTCGTTTCCTATAAAATTTGCTGTGCTTATTTCCTGTACTTTATACAAGCTGACTAATGACAGAATCGTGCCTTGAGACTATTTAAGTAAAAAACAATTCTAACCACTTGTTACTGCGTTTAATGGAACGATGATTATCATTTAAAGCAATTACTTCTAGATGTAATCAATGATCAATGTCACTTTCAACACAATTTTATTTCTGTCCAATCGACGTTCTGCCTTCCTCTAGGTCTGTTTCATATTCCGTTGAAATCTTGCGATTAGGCCTCGTTATTTTCTCATATAGTTTTTCGTGTTTCTTTGATTTTATTCGTCGCTTCAAATAAGCTTTAAACAGAACCCATTTCGACTGGTGGAATTTCGCATTCGAATCGACAATAGCTAATGGTTTCTCGCAGTATTCTGATAGATACGAGTTGTCTGCGCCGCATGAACATCTATTGCTGCAGAAGGAATACGTTTCGCTGTCGTGGTCGTGGTCGCCACCACTCGAGGTAGATAATCCTCGCGATGTGGAAGCTCGACAGCAATTATCCTGGGACCACTGCTGCTCTGTTAAATTCAAATCCTTGCAAACACTCGTGGAGGATTTAGACACCATTTATTCGAACACATGGTATCGCCCCATGTTTTTCTCCACCGTTTTCCTCATTCGATTAACATTGCAATATTGTGGGTATTCGCGTCAAATTGAACATAATTTTTTGAATGACAGTAGGATAAACATTGTAGATAATGGCACCGCATCGGAATATGTAGACTCTAGTAATTAAAAATGTAGATAAAATATCCGCGCACCAGGAAATATTTTCAGTGTAAAAAAATTGTGAATTTCAATAACCAAATTATCCTCGTGTAAAATCTATGTATGCGGAAAATACTTTTATATAAGCTCTTTTTTTAATAAGTAAAATAACAGCGCTGGAAAGCAAGAACAATGCTTCCATTTAAAGAGACCGAAAATTTATTTAACATTATATCGAATAAAAAATAACTTTTAAATGTAGTTTTTTAGGAATGGAAATAAAATATTATGTTATAGTTAATCTTTAAAATTGCCTAGAGATTTCTAAAAATATTTATTAAACGAACTCAAGACTCGCATTACAATATTATTTTAATTAATCGTTTCACGCATTAATTTAAGTAATGAGCATATATTTAATTAGCTTTTTGTTCGAGGCTTATTCTTTTTGTTTGTCAAAAAATATATTTTTTTTTTTAATTTATATAGTGTTCCGAGGATGTCTTGGAGAAGGCTGTGGAAGAAGCTCTAAACGCTGGGTACAGGCACTTCGACTCGGCTCAAGCGTACGAAAATGAAGCAGCCTTAGGTAGAGCTCTGAACCGCTGGATTGGAGGTGACAAACAGAAAAGAAAGGAACTCTTCATCGTTACAAAACTATCTAACAGTGGTGGGTATTTATAACATATGTTTGATCAGTGAATTTCAAAAATAGAATGAATGGACTATTTCTCGAATATTTGACCCCCCTTGACACCGCATCACTACTTCCTATTAACCGGGATCTTGGTCAAAACGTCGCTCATAAACAAAACAACTATTTTCTCCTTGAAACAAAGATAATGTATCTACGACATTTCAATATTCCGTTGTAAATGTACTTTTACTTAAGAACAGCTTAGTGTTATATTTTATTATGATACGTGCCTTCGTATAATATTATACTTAAACACAATTAAAGTACGTGCTGTAATTATTGAGATTAGGTGAAAAATCTCTTACTACTTTTTACATTCTACTTCAACTATCGGCATAGGTACAATAATATTCCTTAGAAAGGCTTGGAGTGCAAGTTTACTAACTAAAGTGATCTAAAAATTTTACTTTCCACGTCATGTGGACATGGGAAGTTAGATAACGTAAGGTTTTTAGCACCCAGGTCAACGTCTGACGCTTCAGCTTAAATCGTGTAATAAATTTTTAAATACTAAAAACTATTTTAAGTTTTATATAGTGTTTGTTTTTATTTGCTACTTTCCTTTGCTTCAATCGAAGTAATGGCTTCGTACTTATAGTTTAGAAGGTCCCGAGACTATAATTATTCATATAAGTTGAGAAAGACACATCTAAGTTTGAGTTTTAATTTACTGTTTTCAGGAAACCGCCCGGATCTCGTTGATCAATTTTTTTCACAATCTTATAACGCCCTGGGATTGGAGTACATCGATTTGTATCTCATGCATGCTCCCTTCTCTTTCAAATACGTACCTGGTGATCTACATCCCAAGAATCCAGATGGAACTATGCAGGTGGATCTGACAACAGACATTATTAGCACATGGCAGGTAGGATTAAAAAAAATGTCTATATCACGCCAGGTCTAAATTACATATGAACTTTTTTTTAAATTAGCAATTAAGATATATTTAAATAAAACACTTTAACTGTTTAAAACGCGATATATTAGTTAAACTTATTTGAAAATGATTTTTAACTTCGCCCTTTTCTTTTTTTTTTCTTCCCCCCCCCCCCCCTGTGTACTACTATCGCGTAAACTATGGACAGTATTTAAGTAAGATATATTTATTTTAATTTTTTTTATACAAGGTTTTATACAAGGGAACTCTTTTTTACTCTGATAACGATAATAAAAGTTGATTTATCTTTGTCACCGCTGTAATAATTAGTAATAATACTTCAATCAATTCTTGTCACAAAAACTTTTGGTTGACGTAGCTGTACAATTTTACAAAATGAAAATTTCAGTAATAAAACCCCAATACACTTAATAAATTTACCACAATAACAATTAAAAGACGTATGTACTTCCAAAATGGGTGTTTTTCGCTGTATGCGTTGTGAAATAGAAAAGTGTGAATACAAGTGCGACGAGAAGAAAAATATATTAATGAGCTACCGGACCGACGACATTTATAAAAAGTGCAGTTATCCCATATGTTCTCATAACTCGGGGCCGCCACCACAAAAAGCACATCCCACGCTTATCGTTCCAAAACCCACAGCAGTTAAAACTGAAAAACAAAAAACATGTCATTCTAAGTTAAACCATGACTATTGTTCATGGACAAAGGTATACAAATCACCAATACTTCGAGACCGAAGGAATTATTGCGTTTACTCCGCCAAATTCGACAGTTCTAAACTCGATTTAAACAGCATTAAATCTGTCGAATCGCAGGATTTATTGAAAATAAACAATAGTGTACTCATAACAGCTCCTGTAACAACCCAGACATCCGTTCGGAAGGTAAAACTTACAGAAGATAGGAAATCGCCTGCAATATCTTTTCTACCAAAATTTATGTGCCCATGCTGTTGTGGTGGAGATGATGAAGTAGAAAATACGCCTGAAATAATACAAGAACCAATACAAAGACAAGCTGAAGGCTCGTTTGATAGTATTGACTTAGGACAGAACAGAAGCTTTAACACTTTGCATTTGGATGCTTCTTTACTAAGCGTTATGCGATTACGAAATAGTCTCAAAAAGAAAAAATCTATAGTCTATGCTAAAATGTTGAAAGCCATAACGGAAAACACTTATAAAAACTTAATATGCATATTTCAATCAATAAGAAAACATTGAGGAAATACATGCAATTTATTACAAACATAATAATTTTTGAAATATAAACAATACTAGAATCATAATGAAATTTGATAACTATTAACTTAATTCTAGACCTACTAGAATCAAATCAGCAGAAACTTAGGTATGAACGCCCGTTCTAAAAGACACGGAGATAAAAGCGCTTTGGGAAAATTAAACCGTCTGTATAGAAACAAAAGTAGCACAAAATTTATATACCACGACTCGAGTAAACAGAACAGATATTTCTTCTTTCCTCTTAAAAGTGTCAAATATAACAGAAGAAATATAAAACAAGCGTTGAGTCGTGCTTTAGGTTATCCCTCCAAGAAGCGTAGAGACGTGGATAAAACAAGATTCAGTGGAAAAGGCGTATCATTGAAATGTGATGAAGGTTCTATTAAGAATACCACAGACTTTTCTTCCCAATACAACACGGACTCGATACATAGTCTTGAAATTCTCTCATTTGCTCTGTCGCATTCTTCGTCACGCATATCTTCAGTGCAAAGCGCCTTGAGTTTTAACTTCACACGCAAAGTTAGGAACAACAACCAAAACGCAGTCGCTTGTGTGTTCCAAAAGGCATTAAGAAAGATTATTCCGTCAAAGCGACTTCGGAAGGCAGAAAGACGCAACTTTATTGCTCTAAGGTTGCCCAATGAATTCACAAAGGCAATCGCTCCACAAACCTATCTAATAGATCAAAGTACAAAACCTGAAAAATATATAAAAAAGAGTTGTCATTAAGGAAATACCTAACCCAAAAAAAGTATTGAAAAAAACGGACGCTGACCCAGAGACCGTAACAAGACCGCCGAATAAAATATGTGGACCCGGAGAAGTCTACTTTAAAAAGAACCCTTATTGATTGAGGTAAATTAACTCCCAAAATCGAACTACTAAAAATAGAACGTGTGTAGTTATAGATTCGAAGAAAGCAGTAATTGTACAACATTACAAAATTCTTGACCAAAAACTGGATATAATAATAGAACGTCTTTTAAATAAAACACTTTAACGGCTTACAAAGTTTTCATGGGTCTCCCCATGACCACGGCTGCTGCAAAGCATCCACAACGATGGACTGTAGTTGAAACAATTTCTTAATAAGTTTACTTAAAATATATCGTGTTTTAAGCCGTTAAAGTGTTTTATTTAAACGTATACACGTCACATAAACTACATACAGTATTTAATACAACGTCCATCACTACAGGTGACAACATATGAGAGAAAAGATTTTTATCTACAGCTTAACAACGAAGCAGTTACAATTTTATGATATTACAACAAACTTACTTACTTAAGCCTTACGTAACTGCCAAATCAAATTAATTTTAATCAAAGTTTTGGAAAGTAAGCATAGAATCTACTCTGATTTGCTTTTGCTCTGTTTCAGGCGATGCAAAAGTTAAAGGACTCTGGGAGGGTCCATCATTTAGGCGTGTCCAATGTGAATGAAGAACAGTTAAAGCGGCTCTGTACGATAGCGAAACCAGCCTGTTTACAGATCGAAGTCCATGTACTTTGTCAGCAGCGGCCTCTGATTGATGCGGCTAACCGCTTGGGTATACCAGTAGTTGCGTATTCGCCTTTGGGATCTAAAGCTCTCGCTGACGCACTGGCTGCTAAAAATGGGTAAAAACTATTCGATTAACCATGCAAGCAGTTATCTGCTCAAATTAACACTCGCAAAAAGTCAAAGATAATACCAGGCTATTGATTCTTATTATATATATTCTCCACCATATTAGGATGTAGAAGAGATAAACTCCGAGACGTAGAAAGTTTCTTATACAAAAAAAGAATAAAAATACATTCTTATTATTCCTAACGACGTGCGAAATGCAGATAATTAAGATTCGATACATCGATTTTAAATTATTGAAGATTTATACAAATTTCTTTGGTGATATTGTCTACTTCTTTTAATTAAACCTTGCACACTGTGAAGTGTATATATCTACTATTATTTCTCAATTACAGCCGAAGTTATCCCACCTTGTTAGATTTGCCAGAGATTAAAGCGATTGCGAAGAAACATTCCCGCACTCCTGCGCAAATCTTGTTACGTTTTTTGTTGCAACATGGCGTAGCTGCTATTCCGAAGAGCACAAATCCCATCAGAATTAAACAGGTAATATTATACGGAAGAAATTGAATTATATTAGTCCTTTTTTTTATTGAATTATATTCTGCTTTGTTTAATAAAAAAAACATGCTGAACAGAGACATATAAAAACCGTCAAAATATGATACAGTCATTCTTGCGTTACAGGAGTTCGAACAAATTCCACTTTGGTTAATATATTAATATCTTATTAATTTCTAAAAATGTGCAAACAAAATTTATACCTAAACAACACTTAGCGTGAACGAAAGTCATCGTTTTGCGCAAGACTCGAATCTACTACTCGTCGGGTTTAATGCAATGCGCTGACCGGTCAAATGTGTAACTCGCCGCATTTTTTTTCGACGAATAAATTACAATTACAATTATGTTAAGTCAACTGTTTATCCATTGTTAATTGTAGAACTAATTTTTTATGTTAATTGTGTTCAGGTGCACATTACAATGGAATGTAATATTAATTGAAATAATAAAACTTAAATAGAACACTTTAACGGTCTAAAACGCGATTTATATTCGTTAAACTTATTTGAAAATTATTTAAACTACAGCCCGACGTTTTGGATGCTTTTGACTACGGCCACTGCATAAATAATATATATCGCGTTTTAAACCGTTAGTTACTAAACTAATAAAACATATGTAAATGTGTACTAATCGCGTAAGCTATAGGCAGTATTTAAATAATAAAGTTTTATATTAAATGTTCATGTCTATAGTTTACGCGAGTAGTACACATTTAAATAAAACACCTTAACGGTTTAAAACGCGATATATTAGTTAAAAGGTATCCACGTGACCACGGCTGCTGCAAAGCATCCGAAACGTCGGGCCGAAGTTAAAAATCATTTTCAAATAAGTTTAACTAATATATTGCGTTTTAAACCGTTAAAGTGTTTTATTTACACAATATAAAATTGTTAAAGTAATATTTATTAGATGTTTAGCCCAATGTGTTCGGTCTGACCGAAATGATTCATCAAGTCATACCATTTGAACATTAGGCCTCTTTCTCACAGCGTACGGAGAAAGAGGCCCAATGTTCTTTCTGATAAAATACACCTAGTTATTGTTAGGAATTAATAGATAACTTATACTATTTCAGAATATAGCTGTGTGGGACTTTAACCTGGACGATAGTGAAATGAAGCAATTGGCAAGCTTAGACCGAGGAGAAGCTGGTCGGATCTGCGATTTCTCTTTTTTCGCCGGTGTTGAGAAACATCCCGAATTCCCTTTTAAGAAGTAGTTTTGATCTCACTGCTACGATGAGCTTACTTTATAGCTTATAAAAATGTAGATACTCTATTAAATTGTTTTTTTTTTTAATTATAGATCATGAGAGCAAACCACAGATAATAATTATATACCAGAGGATTTACGGTATTTTTACAATATTTGCACTGTACACATAATTATTGTTAAATAAACTTTTTAATTGAACTTTCTGTTTATTGATTGCATTGAATTGTAGGGCCATTGACCGGATACATTTTCGATTCGTTTTTGTGATATTCTTCACTTTTTTACTGGCACGTAGATGATCAACATTTTTGTGCTCTTCCACGAGCGAAACTTGCCGATTTTCTTAAATAGCGCCTTTTAGCTAAGGTTTGGATTCTCTAACCGATAATATGTCATTGGAGTCCATAGAAATCCTTTCATTTTACTTAGATAATAGCGTTTAAAACACTTTACATCTATTACTATAGATTTATAATCTGTATGACTGAGGTGACGTTTACTTCATATATTTCAGTAATGTGGTATCTTTTATCCCTAAGAATGAAGATCCTTGACCTGACTATCAATTTGAATTATTTGCATGTGTAAAGTACTTGTATTGAAAAGTCATTGTATTCAGTTGATGTATAATAAGTGCATTAACTTCTGTGGTATTAGCGTGGACAGTAAAGTTTATCGCTGTTTAATATGGCGCTGATTTTAAAAGGCGCTGTTAAGTTATATTACTATTTAAATGAGGAGATTATCGGTATGTATTTTTTTTTATAATATATAATTGGATAAATTATCATTTGGCTCGTTAGTAAAATGGTAATAATTTATAATTAAGTACTAATTGTACATCCCACCGAGTCCCAATTTTCTCATTATTTTCTTAAACATTAATAAAACACTTTAACGTTTTAAAACGCGATATATTAGTTAAACTTATTTGAAAATGATTTTTAACTTCGGCCCGACGTTTCGGATGCTTTGCAGGTGTTAGACATCGCCAGTTGAAAATCTGGACGATTTATCAAAATTCAGTCTGATTTCTCGAAAGTCCGTGAATTTTCAAAGTCGACAACCAAAATAGTCAGATTAAATAGGCAATTGCGTATATTACTTAAACTTATTTAACGTTCCATCAATACAATCAAGATTCACCCCTATGTTTGTTTGCTCTAAAAGTAGCTACCTACAAACAGATTTTTTTATACCGAAGATTCACTTGATGGATGACAAAATACCCCCATATAACATCTCAACAAGATGCGCTGTCGATGTTATTTAGGTAGTTTGGATATTTGGAAACGGATTTTCCTATCTATGGACGGAAGTTCGTGACCCGGACGGAATTTCAATATTCTTACCACCTATTTAATATCCAGATATCCAGACGAAGTCCAAAATGTACAAAATATATAAAATAATTAAAAAACGCGTTGGACACGGTGGGGATCAAACCCACGACCCGTTAATTAGCCATTCTTTGCTTAGACCACGCCAACGAGTCCTTTTTCTTTGTACTAGCACTTACGTACTAATACTAGCACTAATGTCTTCTGAAACATATTTTTCGTATTGTTAAACATGTATATTGAATCTTTTAGATGAAAGAACGCGTGATTGGCCATTGATAGGGTCCCCATGGCCGGGGTTGGGCTTATTAACGATTTATTTATTTACTGTGTTAAAATGGCTCCCGAACTACATGAGAGACAGGCCCGCGTACGATTTGAAGGGTCTAATAGCTGTGTACAACGCTTTACAAATTGGCTTTTGTGCGTATGTTGTGTACCATGTGAGTACTTAACTATTAGAACAATAAATTAAGAGAACTATTTATTTGTATTATGTTTGCGTATGTTGATAACTTATCACCATTACACAAATCTTTGTTAAATTCCGCGCATTTAACAACCAATCGTGTCTTCAATTAATAAGTATTTAGAAATCTGTGGCACAGTTGGAAATTGAACTCGTAACAAACGTTTTACTTAATTTATCGTTAAACAATTGTTTGTGTCTAGCTATCTTCGAATTATTTACCAACGCAAGAATGAGTTTATTTGTCCTTCTTGCGTACGCCGAAGTAACGAATCGAAGGGATTTGATTTTATATACTCTTATCTACTGTTAAAAACGTATTGCTACTGTATAGTCAGAACGATAAATAACATAGGCTACTTAAGGTCTTGAAAAAATATTTTCCAATAACAACACATATATCTTCACTTTATCCTCTAAATTTACGACTATTTTTAGAGCCTTCGACTCGGTTGGTTGAACCATTATTCACTGCTATGTCATCCGGTAGACTACGGACCTTGGAGCATCGAATACGCCTGGAAAGTGTGTTATGGATACTTTGCGATTAAACTTGTTGATTTATTCGACACGGTGAGTATTAGTAGCACGAGGGACTCCGCACAATAGAGACGATGTCGTGTCAGTACAATCGTGTACGACAATCTTTCAATTAGTATCTTTGTTAAATAGAGTTTAAAAATAAAGCATTTTTGCACTCGATTGTACTTGGTTCCCAAAAAACGTTGCGCTGACCCAACTTCGATGCTGGAACGATGAACGATTCCTAAACTTAAAACATAAAGAAATGCGTTATCTATTAAAATAAGTGGAGCTTCCGTACACACGCTCACGTACGTAAATTAAATGTTAAACATAGAGTATGTCACGTAAACATACTCTCATTAGATTGACATTTTTAACTTTAAGCCTATAGGTAAATTTTTCTTGTCCAGAAAATCAGAGGTTGGAAAATGTATAGTATTCATTGCCGTAAACACTGTCTGTAGTTTACGTGAGTAGTTTAACACTTTTTTTCACATTTAAAACACTTTAGCGGTTTAAAACGCCAAAATATTAGATAATTTTTTTGATCATTATTTTTATTTATTTGAAGGACGTTAATGATTCTTTGGAGCAGCCGTGGTCACGGAGAGACGAAACGTCAGATCGTAGTTAAAATACTTTTCAAATGAGTTTTATATGTTTTGCGTTTTTAGCCGTTAAAGTGTTTTATTTAAATTAATTGTGGTATTTTTTTTATATATATGTCTCTTACATAATTTGCCAAAATTTGTATTCAATAATGACATTTTGCTTGATAGTTTTTAATTAATATAAAACATCTTAGTTTTATTACACATTTTTAAACCTTGTCTAGTCTCTAGAATCCCGTACGATTTCAGATGCTTCTAGACAATAATTACATTTTTTTTTTAACTCCAGATATTTTTCGTTCTACGCAAAAAACAGAATCAAGTAACATTCCTGCACGTCTATCATCATTTTGGCATGGTAGCTGTAGCCTGGGGCATGGTGAAATGGGTGCCAGGTATAGTCATAAATTCTTAAACAAATATAAAGCAAGCCAAAAAATAATACATCAAAATTACTTTTAGTTTATACATAAATATTAACGAATAGTAGGTACCTTTAATCCTAGATAAAGTTTTAATTTCTTTTATCTGGGACTTAACTTGTTTTAATTTTATTTACAGGAGGACACATAACTATGTTGGTAACGATAAATTCGTTCGTCCACATTATAATGTACGCATACTACCTGCTAACAACCATTGACGATTCCTTCAAAAAATCTCTTTGGTGGAAGAAACATGTGACGCAAGTACAGATAGTAAGTTTATAGAAATTTTTAAAACAATAATGTATTATTTATTTAAGATGTTCTTGCTCAAAAAGTTAGAAAGGACACAACAAGTGTTCGATCTAACTAAGTGAAAGAGAAAACAGATTGAATATTATGAACGGGATTTTTCGTTTCCAAATTTATAATTGATTTTTACTACATCACCGCTGAACTCGTGCAATAAAAATTAATAAGCCATGTCAAAAGGATTGACTACAAAAACTGATATAAAACTTAGCATAACCTTTAGCGGCAAGAAAACCAAACCTAGATAAGACTAAAATAATAATTTTTTTTTTCAGACGCAATTCAGCATACTGCTCCTTCATTTTCTTGCGCTAGCATTTGCACCGAACTGCCCCTTCCCCCGCACACCTGCGTATATCCTCATACCGCAAAATCTGTTCATGGTTATACTCTTTTGCGACTTCTACTACCGTGCTTATATTAAGCCGAATAAAACAAAAACAGATTAGGAATTAATATTTTAGTCATAAGTTGTAAATCAAGCGAAATATTCAGTGAATATTAATTTTACAAGTTATTTATTGCTGTTGCATCGGAAAATATGTGTCAGAATTTTGTCGGGTACTTAGGGAGAGCAGTATGTATCGTGTAATTACGATACAAACATATTTTTCGAAAATAAGACGTTCAAAAAATCTATTATCACACAAAAATGTATTTTTGACATGCAAGACAAAAAAATAAACTTCCATAAACTTATCAAGGATTTATTGCAATATTGTCCCATCTGAACACTCCAAATGAACATAGAAATACTATTATTTCTTATTGTCAACTATTTACATCAATTACTTTACGCACTTTAAGCAATCTGAGCACAGAGTCTACTTTATTGAGTAAACTTGCCACTCATATATGCACCATAGATTTTTTATTTACAAATGATTGCAGATACTTAAACTAGCTAAGAGAAGATAACAGATTATGTTTGACAAGATCTATAACATTATTTTGAGTGAACGCATCTATAACGGCCTTTGTTAAACAGAGGTTACTGGTAACACCGTCCAAATCGTCTTCATCTAGCACTCTTTCAGTGTTTGCGTACTTTTTAATATTATCTTTAAGCAATTGAATAAGGTCAGCGCTAGCTATACTGGGTGCTATTTCGAGATTATACTCCGGATTTTCAACTAAAGTTTTAAGGTCAAACTCCTCGACGTCTGGGAGGTCAGTGTCGTCTTCGCGCGTTTTTTGCCGTTTCACGCGACGCACACGCCGCTTCTTGTCCATATATGTGTTGGCTACTGTCTCCAACTGAAGGAATAACACCGCTAGAGGTGTGTCTACGATGTCATCCTGAAAAGATAACATACGTTTTGAATTACGTTCATTAGTTTTAATAATACAGATGTGATAAACATTTATATCTAGGTTATCATCTTAGTAACTAATCCTAATGACAAAGTTAGGCGATAGTAAATGGTCCTAACCTACACGGCTATTTCTTGTTAAGAACAAGGAAAAATAAATGTTAAGAGTAGGGTAGTTGGAGAAAAAAATAAGAATCACATTAACATCTAGTAGTTATTTAGTAAAATTAATTTGTTGTCAAAAACAACTTCCTTGTATTTAATTATTGCGCCAGCATTATTTATAACTGACCAATCTCAATACTCAATCATAAGATGGACCAAAATTAAACTAATTACAGATATGAGTAATTGTCATTAGTCATCACACAGCAATGACTGCGCACCTGCATATCGTTTCACAGCTCATAAAATTAATGAACAACAATAATATCAGACCAGGTGACAATATCCTAGATTACAATTTTAACTTCGAAAGACATCTTGGCTCTGGTCCGAAACGGATATTTAATTTTGGAATGCTCATAATAAACGTTACTCTTAATTTCCCGTTACCCTTAATTGGGGCAAGGGCCTTTCTGTAACTATGACAGATCTATGACTCTGTTTAGTTGGAGATAGAAATATCTGAAAAAGCGTTTTGAAAGGAAAAAGCCGAACTCAGTGCATTACGGTTTCAGTACAGAACCAGATTGCCGATCCTCCAAAACAAAAAAGATCGTAACCGAACTTTGTTAAAGGGCTGAAAAAGATTATTATTTATCTAATCCAATCTTTATTTTGTCACACCTCTTGTATGTTAAAAATGTAATAATTGTTTTTTGATGTAACAGCTACTAAGGTTTGAGTCTAGGACATTTAGAAAAGTACTTTTATCAAAATATTGAGAACGTCATAACTTTTTTCATTACTGAATATATTTAAACTGTGGTTCATAATGAATTCTCATTCCTGACATCCTGCCAACTATGACCATACCAGACAAGTCGGAGCTAATTCGTTGAGTAATTAATTCTTATACCCAATTAAAGTATACTATTATCATAAGCATATGACTACATGTGCTATATTAAGTCGCGTGGTATTAATATATGTATGGTAAAACTTTGGAATTCTGTAGCTGACTTACAAAATATGAGTAAATGAGATATGATTTTACTGAAGTGATAAAAATTGTATAATTTACTACATATATTAACAACCAAACATATTACTACTGTAGACTATGTTAACGATACATAGGTTTCACAAGTAGTACACATTTAAATAAAATACCTTAACGTTTTAAAACGCAATAGATTTTAGTTAAACTTATTGAGATTTTTTTAACTACGGCCCGCCGTTTTGGATGCTTTGCAGCAGCCGTCGTCACGGTCTCCCCATTACCACGGCTAAAAAGTGTTTTATTTAAATATGTTAACGATGTAATGTATAATTTTGTTCTGATTTCTTACCTCATTGGGATTAACAAGCATTTTAGCAGTTTCCAATGGCAAATCCTTGCACATTTGGGCAATAAATATTTTAATCAGGGCTTCTGAAACATGCGCTGATGGATCCTTTTCCTGGAATAATGAATTAATTTTTAAAGTAAAAATTGAGATAAGTATCTAACATTATATGTGAGAACTATGTCTGAATGTTATAAATATATTTCGGTTGTTCAAATGTAAGATGAATTAATGAAATAGTTTAATTTATAAAGGAAATACCAAAGATTCATCATGATAGTTAATTTATATAGATAAAATTTGATTTTTAATAATATATCAAAAAACCAGCATGATTAGACTTATATAAATCACTAATAATATTAAATATAAATTAATGACACTATAAAATTTATGTAAACTGTGCTTACATGTGGTAACCACATATTAAGTGTGATGTTAACCGGGTCAATATTTTGCACATAATGCCACCAGCCTTTGGGAACTAAGAGGGCGTCACCAGCCGATAGTACAATTGAACGGCCACCAGTCAAACCTTTTGGAGAGTGGACAAAGTTATATTATATACTATACACAATTTCTTCAGAGCAACCCAAATTTAAATACACTATCATGTGCATAGATATCTATTTGTACGTTTAAATGTATACCATTGAATCCATCCAAATTATGAGGGCAGTAAAAATTTAATTCACTGTACACACTAGACTCTTCATACGGTACTCTGGTCATCTTTAAACCACCCGTCTCTGGTGGGAAAAAAATCCATCTTTTTCTAAAACAACAAATAAATGTATTACAACATACATTCTAACTATATAACTAATATATAACAGACAAAAGAAATCTGTAATATAAGTACCAATTATTTAAATATATAAAATACATAATCAAAATTATCAGTGGATAGTAGTGTTTTTTTTTCATTGTATATAATAGGTTAACTAATGTTTCTATGATTAATGAAGAAAATTCTAGCTAATCTATAAATGGGATATGTGCAGCATGGTTAGCAGTTTATATTTACTGACTGACGGACCTTTAAGTAGTATAATCATTTCTCAACTGGAAAAAATAATGGTGACTTGGTATTCTTACATACTTTCCATGGACTTGAGCGATAATATTATAGCCATAGGTGTCCTGGTGGGCAGGAGTATGAGATCCATCACTTCCTACCCATATTGTTGTGTCTGCAGCACCCTTGTCATAACCAAACTGTTTCCAGTTCAACTCCTGATAGAGCACAAATAGTTATAAACACTTGTCTTGTAATCTGTGTATTGGATACCTCATACCTTTTAAAAACATATTCATACCTTACATAATTCACTGTTGCTATCAAACCACTGATGCAAGTACTTGTAGTCAAAATACATCCACTCTGAACTTGATAAATTGTCAACAAATTTCTTAAAAGTCATCTTCTTTATTGAGCATTTTCTTTCCCAACAGGGCTCGTCTGAGATTAGGTCTTTTCGCATACATCGGAAGGGCATTTCCTTGTCTCCAAAAACTTGACACCACTTCTCCAAGTTCCACTGGCTTATGGGCCAGTTGCTAACGAAATTGCGAAAAACAAGAGGCACAGAAACATTTGTTGTTATATTTCTAACAAGGTCCTCGTTAAGCTTTACAGCCATTGCAGTTTGGAAAAATTATTAGTGTAAGTTTACGACGATTAAATTACTAACTGTATTCGTGAGTACTTGATGTAGGAAAAACAATTATACGTAACTAATCATAGTGGTATATTTACTAAGCCGAGTATAAAAATTACGTAAATACTGTTTAATTTATTTAGTCACTATATTTTTATAATACGTAGACATTAAGTTTATTCTGATCTTAATCCTCTATTGAAAAACAAACATTGTTCACGTTCGCTTCGCGGCTTTCCTTTTTCACACTGACAATTTGCTGGCAGTTGCTGACATTACGTCACTTATATACGAATCGGCCTCTATAGTCTGATAAGTAACAGACGGCCAAATATTTGTAATTTAGTTTTTTTTTTCATTATAGCAGAGGGGAACAGACTAGTGTGAGAAGATGAAATACTCAAGAATAAGCGGAGTCATAGCGTCTTATGATGATAAGATGTCCTATGGACCTATTTCCGTTTTGTATATAGAAAAATAGTACGACTGCTGTAAAACATAGACTGGGAATTAAAAGAACGACGAGAACAGTGCAGAATAAACAAAATAATAATATTTATCGCCATTTATTATCAAGTAAGACATCGAAAATACAAAATCCGTAATAAAAGACCAACAGGGACCTGCAACCTATACATTATACACACTATTATTAATTGTACACTGACAGTAATTACTTAAATTATTTAGAATATAATAATACTATGTACTTAAACGTGAAAATAAATAACTATATAGGCGGATTTAATTAAAAAACTAAGTGTACTATAACTGTAAAGAGAGACACTAAGAAGTATTCATAAGTTAATATAATACTCTAAACAATACAACCACTTTTTGCATGTTAAAATCCATTCCAGGCCAACCAAGTACACTGTCATCTATTATAATATTATAAAGAGGAAAGATTTGTACTTTTATATCTAACGGGTAAACTCAAAAAGTACTGGACTGACTTTAATAATTCTTTTTTTAATTAGAAAGCTACATTATCACTGAGTAACATAGGCTATATTTAGTACTTGATTACTATAGGCATCTATATAAATTCTTACTAAAACCAACGAAAGGCGTAAAAAATTAGCCGCAAAATGTCTTTCTTCGAATACGAATTCAATTAACATTCAAAACTGTCTCAATACCTGATGATTACTTTTTTAGTTATGAAAATCGGACATTCCATTCAAAAGATATCACGAAATCAAAAAAGTAACTAATTCGACGATGCAGGGGCATTGGGCGCGAACGACATTGAATATTTCAATTTTTTTTAATCTGCTTACTTGAAAAGTTCAAAGCTACTTAGTTTTAGTATTAGGAATCACACTTTGCATAATATTTGTCAAAGTTCTTTTCAGAACTATCGCTTTGAACTTGAATATTTTCTTTTGTATTTTTATTAGTTTATTCTTAGTTATTAGTCTATTCTTAATTTCTCTGTGCAATCGCGAGGCTGAGATTCTATCGTCGAACGTTCAGGTTCGTCATGCATAACAAAATTCAAGATCGTCGCAGCGACTTGAATGAAATAGAGATAGAAATCAGCAAACGCGTGTACGGGACACTAACAATGAACGCTCGCAGCGGCTCCTGAACCAGCCAGATAGACCACGGTCGTTAACAGAGAGGACGCGCAATACAATTTTTTTTTAAATACTGTCTATAGTGTACGCGAATAGTACACCTTTAAATAAAACACTTTAACGGTTTAAAACGCGATATATTCGTTAAACTTATACGGGGAGACTTCCCGTGACCACGGCTGCTGCAAAGCATCCGAAACGTGCGGCCTAAATTAAAAATCATTTTCAAATAAGTATCTAACTAATATATCGCGTTTTAAACCGTTAAAGTGTTGTATTTAATTTATTTTCTAATTGAATTGAGTGATTCATGGTGGTTTTAATTAGCATGCTTATTATTTTAATATATGTCTACCCGTGCGAAGCCGGGACAGGGCCGCTAGTTAGAATATATAATAATCCCCCCTGAATAAAAAATCACATTTATCATTTTAAATAGATAAAAAGTCTTATTTTGGAATCATATAGACACATACCTCTAATTTATTCTAAACACTATAATATGTCTAAACTTATTACAGTCATATGTAATAATCGTATTTTTAATCAGAGAGTACTCCGACTAATAACTTTAAATTTTATTAAATAAAGAGAAATAAATGAAATTACTTCTTTTGGCTATTATAAGCAGACCCTTAATTATTTTAAAACAACTATTGCACCTAATTGACTATTAACAAAAAATCCTTATTTGAGAATGACTCAGTATTATAATCTAACAGTACCATTCTACTATTTATGTAGCTGTAGCCAAGTCTTATAATAATTCAGTTGTGTATCGTTGAGATTGCACTGTGACCATAGAAAATTGTTACCTATAGCTATATATTTGTTTTTCACTGCGCTTGATCCCATTTATTCTGGATTTAGATCATTGCAATAATACTGTAACAGGTTGTTACTCTTTAAGCAAGCTAATGCCTTTTCTTCCCAGTTGTTGTTGTTTACCACTCTTGGGCTTGGGTGTGGCAAATAAACCACCTGAAAAACATTTATAATTAGTATGGACACAACGATTTTATTTAGAAAGGGTCCATTTATTATCCATGGCTCAAAACTCACAGTGAAGTAATAAAACAATCACATGAAAAAGTGTTAAGTTAAGATTAAAATAAAATTACATGACAGGTGCATGTATCAACGGATTGAAAAAGTTGAATGTCGTGTAGGACACAATCAGCTCAATTGATTGAAGCAGCAGCACAGAACACTATGGATGCTGCATGTGAAATTCAAATACTAAAACAAGTTGAGTGTACCTTTACATTTCTAAGAAGAATATACTCCGATATTGCCTTTTGTGCTCTTAGCAAACAAAACCGTCCAATAGCAACAACCGTTTCAACTTCATACAGTCTCAACACATTGGCAAGCACAAGGTCACCAGTCTTATAGAGTTGCTCCATTTCAGACATCTGAAAAATTTGTAAATAGTAAATAACACTTTAGTATGAAGGGACAAACTCATTTTGTATTATTGTTTATTAAAAGTTTTAGTAAGTAGGTTATGTTCTTTTTCTGCTGTCATGCTTTCCTTTTATTACTGAATTTTCATTTCTATTATTTGCTTGGAAGAGCTATAAAGTCGCCGTTTGTCCATAATTTCCCCCAATGTTTTGTTTTGTGGCTATATACGATTCTGCATCATATTTCAAAAATTCACTCAAATACATGCCATTGTAAATAGAATACTAGGATACTACTTATTGCTAGTATGCACAAAAAAACTTCCTTATTTGTAGATCTAAGCATAGTGAATTGTGAACATTATTCTGTCATGTATCAACTTTAGTGACAAAGTCAAAACACTTACTTTGAAATCACCAGGAGTTATATTACATCCTCTACTGTTCATCCATTGCTGATTAATGTAATTATAAACAAAACTTGTTTTAAAAAAATTGTCTGGTGTTCCACACAATTTCATGAATAAGCCCCAGAATCTTTTTCCACTGACCTGTGAAGTACAAGGCATGTATTATTTACCAGGTCTTGATAAAATGTTATTATTATATCTATGTGTAAATTTGCAGACATGGGGCTAACGCTGTTATATTAAACACATAGTATTATGGAGTAAGTTTAAATACAATTATTTTAAAGGAATAACTACTTTATCTATAAAACATTTAAAATTTTATTCTACCTCTGTTCTTGTACAGTCAAAACCTGTAATGGGGCGGGCATCATTTTCCTCGAGAGGTTTTTCTACAGGACCTTTTATACCAAGCCAATCGCGAACTGAAGATACTTCTCCAAAGGGGACCTATTAAAAATAGAAATCTTGTTATAACTGGCAATATCTAAACTCTATTGACAATACCTATTTCTATCATTTGAGTTAAAGAAATAAGTTAAAAGAATAACTTGTATTGTTTTTTTACATTGCATTTTATTACTTTTTATTGAGAACACATACCCCAGTCTGTGACATTCCCCATGGACCAGGATTCATACCAAAGAACATTATCTTCTTTTTTGTGTTACAATATTTTGAAACATACATTTCAAATGTATGTCTTGCATATAAGGTTGGATTGTATATGTGCGTTATTGTGTCAGGTAGCTTCAGTTTGGAAAGTGATTCATTATATTTATCAATAAGACTCAAAAATTCATCACAGAGTGTGTCATTCTCTTCCTCCTCTTCATCTTGGGATGTGAAAAATGCCGACACAATTTCTGCGCTCATTTTTACTTCAAATATGAACGCTTGAAACTTTTCTCATGCTTGTGAATAAAATACAAAGTGACGCTTCAGTTCGGTGTTTAATTTTGATTATGGTTTTATACTAAAATGCACCTAAAAACCTAGCTACATTACCAATTGGAAATTATAATTTTTAAAACATAATAGAATGTTATGCCTTTTATCTAAAAGCAAAAATGTTGCATGACATTTATTTCTTATTAAAGTTGACAATTGACAATTATAAATTTGACACATTATATTTCAAAATTGACGTTTTCAAATTACAACAATACACGTTCTATATTCTTTACATATTAAATTGAAATTATGAGAATTGAAATATTAATGAGATGCTAATATATCAGAATCAAGAATGACCCCTCTCTGCATTAGTTTTCTGGAGAATCGTTTTAATATTCCACTTAAAACAGCCGGAAGAGTTAAGAACTTAGTGTACATATGTTAAGTTTGTTGTTGATGAAGTCAATCCAAAAAAGATAAGTTCGTATTATACAGACCCACATTATTATCGTACTAGGTTATGCTCGTATAACGTTTAGTTGATAAGTAAACGTATATCGCTATGAAATTTATAGATAGATTTATAAGAACTATTCTCAACTGGTAGTTCTAGGTCTTCTATTTTTGTACTATGGTGCGATAAAACACTGAACAAATATAAAGCTGCATTCAGTAATTTTTTAATATGATTGACTTCATGAGACAAGCTCTCGAATTGGCTAAATCTGCTCTGAATACCAATGAAGTGCCAGTAGGCTGTGTCTTTGTTAGGAATGGAAAAATTGTTGCACAGTCAAAAAATAGTGTAAATGAAACTCGGAATCCAACAAGGCATGCTGAAATAAATTGCATTGATGAGGTTTTGAATTACTGCCAGGACAGAAATATAGAGTATCGGAGCTTCTTTGAGGATATTATAGTATATGTAACTGTGGAGCCTTGTATCATGTGTGCAGCGGCTTTGAAAAACTTAAACATCAAAGAGGTCATTTATGGATGTGCAAATGATAGATTTGGAGGACATACTGTCATAGATGTAGGTGATATTTACCCAAATAGCTATAGCCTAACTGCTCATAGCCATGCTCAAGAAGCCATGGATTTACTTAAACAATTTTACAAAGGTACCAATCCACATGCCCCTCAGGAAAAAGTGAAGAAAAAAAAGACAAAACAAGATGAGGAAAAATTATAATGACTTAATGTAATAAAAAACAAGTTATATTAATATGTCATGTATTTCTAAATTCTCATATACAAGCATTATACAGCTAAACTAGTTCTATTTTACATTTAGATACTTTAAGACAATTTTAAAATACATACATAATTATGTACTAACTGAATCTTATAAGATTTGCAACTAATTCTTTTTAATAAGCTATGCTATGAAACGGACCAAAAAAGCCAATGTGATTTTTAATACCTAGCAAATTACAGGCTGAAATTAAAATGTGCATATTGATAAAAGAATTAAGTTAAAATTACATTTACATTTTTACTTCTAATGAATACATTATGATTTTTTTACAAAAGCTGTGCAGTACATGACACCTGTTCATAAAAGAACATCAACAATTACCTAATCATTAGGTTTAAAATAATTGTGCTTAGTTTCTACAACCTGTTTATAGCATTTAATTAACAATAAATAAGGAGATATGTTTTATAAGTAACAGTGCTCTTAAAAATATTGTCAATGTTATCAGACACAGTATAAATTATGTAAGCATGCAAATTAAAGACAGTAATGGATTATGATATATCAAAGACACACACATGTGGTGTTTCTAGTCAAGTATTTAAACAAACATTTTTAGTACTGAACAAATATAACAGTGAGATCCTTATTTGGAATTACATGTTTATACAATAAATACACCAATATGCCTAAACTTTTTTCTAAAAATAACAAAGAAAAAGTCAAGAAACAAATGTTATAGATTTTGTAGTCAAGCCTTACTTGTTAAATTCAAAAACTTAACATCACAGATCTTAGTTAAATCTAATGAGATCTCACAATTACATTCTTACAGTTTAAAAGAATATAAAAACAATTTGGTTGTCTTTATTTCATTGAGATAAGCATTATCTGTCTAAAATCTAATAACACTATATCCATAACATTTTTACACTCATTAGACAAGATTAAATACATTATTATTCTGCGGGATTATGAAAACCATTTACAAGGGGCTGTTCATGATCAAGGTTATCTGGACTATTGTGGACGCCATTAACTTGAATAACAGGTTCTTCACTATTAACAACAGTATCTGTCTCTCGAACTGGGCTAGAATTGCAACTTGAGGTACTGCAACTGTCAGAACTTGAGGAACTATCACTTTCAGAATCCTCACTCATGCTGTGATGATTTTGTTGTAAGTGTTCATTTTCAAGTCGTAACTTTTCGTTTGTCAACTGGAGCTCCCTTATTTGATCCTCCTGTTCCTTAAGGCGCTGTAAGATGTCTGACAGAGATTTTCCTTCTGTAGTTGATAGATCTTTTTCTGTTGATGCACAGTCCTCTTCAGAAGTATCCAAAGTATAACTTTTGTCTGCTTCAGTATCCTTTGATCGATTGCGGTCAGCTCGTTTAAGAAGAGTATCATATTTTGCTTCTAATAAGAGATATTCTTCAATAAGTTCGTTTTTAGACATGTTAGACAATCGTTCACACTGTGCATCTTCATAAACACTGGAAAATTCTTTTGTCAAATATTCTTCTTCATCTTCGGGTAATGCCAAAAAATAATTATTATCTTCTGAATCAACACTAAAACTGGAATCGCGAGTACGAGCGGAAGGGGTTCTAAATAAATTAAAATTGTTTTCGGGTTCCGGCTTATGAATTTCCATTAAAAACTGATTATTGTTGAAAGGTGCCTGTGTTTTAGCTAATACAATTTTTCTAAACCGTTTGTTCCTCTTACTGTTATTTCGGGTCTCATTTTTTCTTCTTTCTTGCCACGATATTTTTAAATACGGTTTTATCATTTTGCGTTTAGTTTTTCCGCGACGTCTCTTTTTCTTGCCGTTCCCATCAGATTTCGGTTTAGTTATGCTTAATATAGATGGCGCTTCTATCAACACGAGAGAACGCGTCGAATCGCCATCTTTTATTTCTGATATGTTATTTACATCCATTTATATTGTTTTAAAACCGAAATCAAAAATTTGTACCTGAATAACTGTCCTTAACAAAGAAGCTCTTACACTGTTTCAATACGACAGCACTATGACACGCAAGAAAATCTAATAATAATTCTCACTGCAATTGTTTCACAATGCACTAACACAATTCGCTCCGCCATATTCGGTAATAATTATTATCAAGTAGAATCAAGTTTTAAGTACCTTCGTTCCACTATCAACTTACTACTCGGAAGTTGACTTTGACAGTGACAACAAGCTGGAGTATGCACATGCTATTTTGTACAAGTATATAGAAACAATTTTTAGTCTTCGGAACTTAAATGAAACCTGTGGGGTCTCTATCTTATCTATATAAAAAATTAAAATATTATTTGTTTAGAATATTCACTTTAGATAAATTTTGTTTCGCGATATTAAGGAATTGCAGATTGCAAACGATATCTTAAGAGAAATGGCCGATGAAATCGTTTTTGAGCTATTACATTCCGAAATAATAAATTACGCATTAGAACAAACAAAAAATGATAAAGATACAAAGGTAAGTTTTGCTCTATTAACAAGTGAGAAAATGAAACATATTTATTAATATTACATTTATGTTGTTTAAGGATACAGATTTGTCAGTAGTAGAGTACATTGGCTTTGCAGCGGGCTATAAAATAATGGAAAGACTAACGAGGGAATGGCCGAGATTCAAGGATGAGTTGGATACTATGAAGTTTATTTGTACCGACTTCTGGACGTGCATATACAAGAAGCAGATTGATAATTTACGAACGAATCATCAGGGTGTATATGTTTTACAGGATAATGCTTTCCGTTTTCTAACAAACTTCTCTAACGGCCACCAGTACTTAGAATTTGCACCTAGGGTATGTCTTAAATTGATTGTTTAATATTTAATTTTGCTTATCTTTATTATAATACTTTTTATTTTCAGTATGTTGCCTATACTTGTGGTCTTATAAGAGGAGGATTGGCAAATTTGTGTATCAATAGTGTGGTGACTGCTGAAGTCCAAACTATGCCTTCATGCAAATTCCACATCCATGTCCAAAGAAGTTAACTGAGCTAATATGTTCTATAATTAAGTGCAAACTGCAATTAGTTTTATTGTTATAAATAATCTCTGTTTATATTATGTGTATTAGTTGCAAATATTATTCTATAAGCCTCTTGTTTGTTCTCTTGTCTGATTATTAAAATAAACTATTTTAAATTAAACTTTTCATTGGAAACATCTTGCTCACAACAGTTCTTAAACGGTGAAAAGAGACAAATGGTGTTAACTAATTCTTTATTCAAATACACTTATCAATTTCACTATTCAATATTACAAAATTTAATAAGCTTTGTATATTTTTAGTAGCTTTGGTGTTAGGTTTGTTACACAACTTAATTTTGTTCTATGTATTTAGAAAAGAAACATTCTCAGGCATTACTCTTTAACCTTCCAAGATTCAGGTTTAGCATTATCATAAATCGCTGCGAGTGTCATAAAAACTCCTAAATAACATCCAACAATTGTACTGTAGTATAATACTCTGTCTGAAAACCCTCTTTTTAACCATACAGGTATTCCATCTTCACGCTAAAATGCATAAAGCTTTAATAAATGATTTTTTTTTTGAAAAAGAAAAGCAATTATATAGATGTTTGCAATGTCACAACTTTCTTACGCTACATACTTATCTAGCCCTTACTTGAAAATCAGCTTGTAATTTTTTCAATTTAGCAAGACTACTGGATTGTTGAACTCTAGGGTATAGTCGCATCGTTAAGTTGGGGTACAGGAGAAGCTGTAATGTTGTACAATTTGTTAATAAAGTCAGACCAGAAAAATGTATGATGGGTATTGAATTTATTTAAATACTACATACGCGACTCAAGGGCAACATTCTTTTAAGTACACCTTTTTCAATGAGCAAAGAAAATATTTGCTTTAAAATTAGTAAAATAATAATCTCATGGTATTAAACAGGATTTGTATATAGAATTCCGTCACCTTGGCAAATTTGTTTTAATAAAAAAAAGGTTTAAGTTGTTTTAAGTGGCTAGTAATAATACAAATAAACTAAACAACCTACATTTTTATGTATAAAAAAAATATGTATATAACATATTTCTTTTATTTATGCAGTTTTACTTAACTATTTTAGTTTTAAGAAGTTTATTTTTACAGCAAAGATTTCTTTGTTTATATTCAATTGCGTGTGGCACTGCTGTCTACACTCTAAGGACTTACTGAAAATCGGTTAAAATTAACTGATATATGCTGAGTAATATTTTATCAACTAGCAATACACAACATTATTTTATACTGTTAAGACTAAGTTATATTTAGTAAATAATAAGCCTGATATATTTTTTTATGTAGAAAATAAATTAATTTCTTTCTACTTCTATAAATTAGTTTTACACCTTTGAACTGTGGACCGTATGTTTTAGCTGTATTTAATTTGAATTAGCCGCTTTTCCATACACCACAGACATATATAAAGTACATAGTCTGTGGAATTACTTGGCGTCTTGCCTCATGCAATGCATTTTATTAATCGCTGGAACATTGATTGTTTATTATAATCTGTGCTGATTAGTGATGGTTTCAAGTTAAGTAAAACTTTTTGACGTGACGCATTCTTTTTCATTGGCGCTCTTTTACTTCGGGCCTCCTTCATTCGCTAATCGCTTCGTTGTTTCAATTTTTCAGAAAATGGCTACCGAAGAATTGGTGACTGAGCAGTTTCAGTTTTTAGGCATAGAAGTACACAACGATGTTTTGACCAAATGTGAGTAAACCAACAGTTTAAAATTAGTTTGTAAAACAACAAGAGTAAAGTTTGTAAAACTTTTGCCCTATTGAAACTTAGTTGTTGTCACTAAAACTTCAACGCTCAAAAGTATTGTTCAAGGTTTTCCTTTAGTCGTTGCATGTCTGTAGGTGTGCGTTTGTGCGAGGAGTATGATAAAGACGCTGAAACTTTTATTGAACAATGGATGGCATTTAGTTTAACTCATCTCAATGGAGCTCCGCCTACAATTGAAAACTTAAGTCTACTCGAAACACGAGAATTTTCCAAGAACACGGCAAGTAAAAGTTACGCGCACACCAATGAAACTTTTGACTCAAGTACCGGCACGAGTTTGCCACTGTACGGAGCAGCGCTCAGAACGCAGTATCCTTTTATTACCCACGTGTTTTATTTACGAAATTATTTTAGTTAATAGTAATTTTTTCTATGCTAAACAAAACTTTTTCCATGTTTTTATCGCTAAAAATTTTATTTTTAGCAGCGTCTGTTACAATGCTTAAAATTATGCTGAATATTCTTAAATTTCCTGAATATGCAGTTCAGAGAATGATGTTCTTTCAAATTATATGACAACAACACCAAAGGTAAGTTCTATTTGTAGGGAGTGATGAACAAGGACAGCTGTAGCAGAGGATAAGGTTTCTGTTGGCAGTAAATGGGTTTAGGTCTAGTATCACAGTGAAATTTTGTGACTAGATCTACACCTATTGTTTGCTTTCAGATAGGGCTGCTGTGAATTATTATCAAGAAATAGATAGCTTACAAACAAGGTGTTAACTATAATTAATTATGACTTGATGATATTTGTGGGCGAGTTTGCTTCTGGTTCATGTGTATACACATCATGACTAGATCCATACTCGTCTGCAGCCATCAACTCAATCATCATTATTTTAACTACTTATTCGTCTCATTATTTAATTTGAGTTCAGTCATTTAAAATTATCCTTGGAATTTCTACCAATATTATAAAATAAATAACTAATAACCTTTTAAGGACATCAATAAGATAGAATATCAGTGTACTATGCGCTACTGGTCAAATAAAATTCTGATATTAGCTAACTGTAACTAATGTATTTGAAAGTCAATTTGACGCACGCGCAAAACTATTGTGCAAGATCTTGGAACCCCATGATGCTTAAGAATAAGTTGATAACTTAAAACTGATATATTACACATTGGTATGTTGTAACAATTTACAGTTAGTTTGCCTAATCACAATTTAGCTTATCAACCTTTCAGAGAATTAAAGTTGAGAAAGATCAAAAGGCAGTACAAAATGAAATATGTCCAGTTACTTACTCTCCAACGTAAGTACTCTTATTAAGTACCAGAAGTAACAGAGTAAATAGTAGTTGAAGACAAAGGAAAAATATCTTTTAGTTAAATGAGAAACATTAAAAGAGCCTAGGAATGTTTAAAATTTTTATTTTAGAAAACATATCCTTTATAAAAATTAATTTTAGCATCACATACAGACAACAGAACAGATTTGTAGGCATCACTTTCCTATCGAGGGTTTTATGTATTCATATTATTGTCAGGGCAAGTTCAACGAAATACACTTCAAGGACAAATCAGGGTTCAGTCGTTCATTCATATGGATCAGAGGAACTTTTACAGAACTTAGTGAAATGGGATAATTTAAACATGTCAGAAATAAATGTAACTCAAATACCAAATGATGATGGAGAATTGTACACAACGGCCAAGTAAGTACTAACTTCTAATTAACCGATATGCTACTATAAATAGACAACTTGATTTTCAGTATAAACGCTTTTCCTTGCCTCATGTTAAGTGACCGTAGTACTGGGTTTGAAACTTGATTTGTTGACATAATATGTGAATTAATTATATATTTTTCCTCTACCACATAAGGCGAACATATTTCTGTATCCGTTTCACTGAACGATTTTATTTACTTTATAGGTTGTCCGAAATAGTATATATTTATTTAAATAAAACACTTTAACGGTTTAAAACGCGATATATTAGTAAAACTTATTTGAAAATGATTTTTATCTTCGGCCCCACGTTAAAATGTAGATAAAGATGTATTAGTAAAACGTTAAGTTTTACCGTTGGTGCTTAACGCAATATTTTTAACCAATGAACAAGAGCGGGTAAATCATAGAATATAATGTTGGAATACTTGTATGTATATAGAAATTTAAATAAAATGGATTTATTAAAAATTTTTGATTCGGAAAATCTGTTCATAAATGACGAAGTTATTCGCGAACTTATATAAAAAAGCAAAATATATTGAATCGAAAATTTTAAAAACAATTACCTTATGGTTTAAAGTATGCTTTAATCTAATCAAGGTTTGGTTTCGAATTACTGCACGAAAAGGCGAGCGTATTCGACGGACACATTCGATATATTTCGCAATGTATTATGAAGAAAAACGGTTTCTCAGAATCTGTATCCGTGACGCATAAGACGCAGGTATGTCCTACAGTAATTAAATATATAATTATGTTTGCACTACAATACCTCTATGTTTCACTGATCAATTGATCGGTCTTAATATTAAATCATTAAAACTTGTCCACAAGATGATTATAGATGATACTATAAATAAACCCTACAAGAAAAATGATCTCTTATAAATTTCAATTGAAATAAAATAATATTCGAATAACTCCAGTTATAATATATTTTATGATAGACGAGGTCAGAAAATCGTGAGGTGCACGTGATGGAATGTGAAATAATCCAGCCATATAATTAAATTTTTTTTACCCCAAGTCACTATTCCACGCGGACGAAGTCGCGGGCCCCGCTAGTCTTAAATAAAATATTGTTATTTATTTAATATTACCTATTCATAATTTTGGGTGAATCTAGTAATCAACATAGGTTAATGATATTCATGAAAGATGTACTTCATCTGGATATTAAATAGGTGATAGGAATAACAACGTTCCACCGCCACAGATGATAAAACCGTTCAATCACGTTTCGATTTCATTATGTGGATTCTTAATGGTCTAAGCGAAAATAGGTCAACAGCTCATCATCTTTAGATGTTGTATGGATGTGGTATTTCACCTTCTAACAAGTGAATTCCTCTCTTTTCTTCTCTATCATAAAAAAGCAATTTTCTATTATAAATACTATCTAGAATGTAATATAATAAAACGCAATGTACCAATTAATCATGTTGTTTATGTTTCAGAACGAAGTATATGTTTCGGGCCGTATAGACTGCGACGCAAACGCAAGACTGAATGCCAAAAGTGTTGTTCTACAGGGGACATGGGAACACTCTTTAAGTACCAGTGTATCTGTTGATTTGGATAAGTAAGTGACCATCGCCACTGACCACTCAAAATACTATTAACAATCCCATAGGAAGTATCTTTAGTGAACTTATTTAAATTTTCTATAGAAATCGTATGCAGAAACTCTCCCAAGTGAATAAAATACTGTTTTCATCACTTAGCACATGGGGCAGACACATTTGTGTTTTTTACAGGCAAATATAATAGTTGATATCACTTGCAAACTGCTTAATGTTTCTGCAGGGTTTCTATCTTGATAAATTAGAAACAGTCTGGCTCGAAGGCGTTCATCCCAAACCTGAAAGCTATGATATTTTGAAGTCCTTATTACACACCACAAACGTTACTTTAAATCTAAATTAAAATAAGAAATGGTAACGGCGCTTCTAATAACGGCAGCATAGTAAAAAAGTTGAAGTTCAATTAAAATAAAGAAAATTATTTCTAGTGTTAAGCAGTATTCCCTCTTCCCCGGTCAAGTTGTGGTCATGAGGGGCACGAATCCAAGGGGTGATGTGTTCATAGCACAGGAAATATTTAGCGATGGCTCTAGATCTATTCCAGATAGGAAAGCTGATATGATGAACACATTGAAGGGTAATATAATAAATAATTTCTTATTACAAAAATTGAGCCAAAAAAAAAAAAAATTTTTTTTTTTTTGGGCCCAAGGTTTGGGCGGCGGCAAAGAAAATTAATCACTTAATAAAATCTGCTCTACTAAATCTAAGAATATTGAGCAAAAATTTTGGATGTGATTTAGTTCTCGACTAATTTTTAACATTTGAGAACTATGTATAATTAACCACACACGAAGACTGAACAGATCAAAAATCCAAGTGGCTAAGCAAGATTATATCCTTCTACAAGTTTGAGTCCACAGATATTGTATTTATGTTCCAGGTGACCTGTCTATGGTGGTAGCGGCTGGTCCCTACACAACATCAAATAATCTTGCTTATGAGCCCCTGAAAGATTTCATAACATACATAAACACACACAAACCTCAGGTAGTCATCATGACGGGGCCGTTCTTAGATGCAGACCATACGAAGGTCAAAGATAATTCCATGGCTGAGACTTTTAAGTCTTTCTTCGAGAAATTGACTGACAGCTTGGCTGAAATTCATACAACAAGGTTTGTGTGAAATTAGTTCTTTTCATACAAAAGCGAAATAATAAATGAACAACTCTTTCTAGGTAGCAATGTATACTAATAATATTATGGGTCCCGGGGTCCAATATATATTCAATCATTATTATTTTTTGTAATATGATAGAGGTCTTTAAATATTAAATTTCTGTCCGGATACGAACAAAAATAAAAAGGTTTCATCTTAGGATTTTCAAATATGAAATTGGCCGACAACACAATATCTTGAGATTTTATACGTCTGGGGTTTTCAACTTTATGCTTTTGTGTCTACATATTTGTTTTATATAGAGGACTATAATAAAAAAAAATGTAGAACTGATGAACTTACTTATTATGTCTATAGAAATATATTGTTTCTTTGTTTCAGCCCATACACAAAGATATACATAGTGTCAAGCCTTAAAGAAGCCTTCCACTTGAATATTTACCCAACACCACCATATTCTGTGAGAAAGAAATATGCTAATATACACTTTTTACCGGATCCTTGCTTCATTAATATTAATGGTGTGGTGGTATCAGTCACTAGCACTGATGTCTTGATGCATATTAGCCAGGAGGAAATATCATTGTATGTACTTCATAAATGTGTAATTTATTTACTGTGTTAGTTTTATTTAAATGTGTACTACTCGGCTACTGCGTTTAAACATTGAACACAACGGAAACAATTAAATTTCTTTACGTTTTTGTTACTAGTGGTTCTGGTGGAGATAAATTGTCACGTTTGGCTGGTCACGTGATATCACAACAATGCATGTACCCACTATGGCCGCCGCCGCTAACACATCAAGTTGACGCGGCACTGTGGGCGGCGCACGCGCAACTACCCACTACTCCTCATATACTCGTTCTACCCTCCAATTTTAGATATTTCGTAAAGGTAAGCTGAGGGATTTGTTAAAAGCTATGCAAATAAAAATTTATTTTCGTGAACATATATTATTTTTATATAAGAGAAACCAATGTAAAAAACACGTAGAATATAAGGAAAAATGATTTCTTCAGTAAAGGCATATAAGATATACCCTAAAATAGGGGATCGGTCAAATTTTCAGTGTTCAAAATAATCTCTATGGAGACTTATTTCTATAATAAAGTACCTAAACTGTCGTAATATTGTTCGTAGCATGTCGTGTATTGTGACGTCATTTGTGTATGAGTGCACTCATTGATCGCCCACGAATGACGTCACGCAATTTAATTGGAGTTACAGTACATATAAAAAATAGCTCAGTAACAACATTTTATTTTAAAATATTGAAGTTAATTTTGTTAGAATATTATTCTATAATTATAAAACCGCATATTTCTTTGTCCTAAGTATGTCTAAGATTTTAATCTTTTGATAGTCCAATTCTCAATTGACATTAATTGTGTAATGTCCGATGCTATATCATCCCCTGCTTGACGATTTTGTCCTTGGAATTTGGTATTAAATTCTAAATATTTCCAGGATATCAACGGTTGCCTGGTCGTTAATCCGGAGCACTTAACAAAAGGAATGGGGGGAGGTACTTTCGCTCGCCTACTTATATCAGACATCGACAATTCCAATAGTATTGCGGCACAAATCGTTCGGATTTAAATAAAATATTTTAATTCAACTGTGTTTATGATGTCCTATTATGGATTTCGTTTGAGCAAAAATAAACAGTTATTTTGTACTACCCACCTGTTCAAAGATAGTTTTTTTCCATAGCCTTGTTAACATTTATAAAGCCTTAACTTAATTGGGTTTTAGGTTTTCTACTCTGGCTAATCAATGCTTGTCTTAGCGTCGACTTGTTTGTAGGGAATTATAACATTCAACATTAACTTAGCTTATATTCAATGTTGTTCAATCAATTAAATGTAAAAAAAAAAAAAAAGAAAAAAACCCCCCAGGAAATCGCGCAACACGCTAAGCATAAGAAGCAGAAGGGAAATGGAATTTGACTTTTCGTATGTAATATAGTGTATAGCCCCTATGGGGTTGTATGTGTGTCAGTTTCACTAATCGGTTGTTCCCCTTTGTTTCCCGCTCGACTGAAATAATCTATTATTTTATGGGATTTAAATTCAGGACCTCAAGTTAAAACATTACATAACAGAGGCGATATATTAAAAAACCAACCCTTATTGTATCAATGATTTTATTTAAAAACTCATTCAACGTAACCAAAAATGTTTTTCATGAAGCCACAAACCAACTGTAAAAATCGTTGCTTTTTTATTATAATAGTATTACGCTATGCAAAATACACAGGATCATTTAAAGAAACGAAGCCACCCGGCCCTGATCTTAATGCCATTTGTATTCCCATTCGCGGTGAATTGCCCGCACTCTTGCGCACCTCCGGATTTTCTATCTGACGGTAGCTGAAAAAAGTGTTCATATTATCACTTGCATTATTAAGTGAGCTATTTTAAAATAATCAAATGATGAGTTCTATAATTCTGTAAGTTCAGCGCCTAAGTATTTTGTCCTTAAACGCTGTATATATTTTACGCGAGTAACGCATTTAAACAAAACTCTTTAACGGTTTAAAACGCGAAATATATTTAAAAAATTTTTTAAAAATTTTTTCCCCCCCGCCTCCCAGGTGGTTTGGGGCGGCCATGTAAAAGTAAATGGTAAAAAAAAAAAATAATAATTTGAATTTGACGTTTTAAACCGTTAAATGGTTTTGTTTAAATATTTTGTCCTTTACAATGAAATTTACCACGTTATTAGTAAGTCCACTTAATTTTTTAAACTTAGCTATTTTGTAAAACAATCGATGTTATGCTTTACTTAAGCTTAGCGATGCAAGGTCATTGTTACCTTGAATATAAGTTTGAATTTCATTAGCTTAAAAGTCAACCATCTTGAAATACCTTTCACCACGTTTCGATATTTAATTTAATAAGGTACTTAATTAATATTGTGCAAATTAAATTTATTTACCTCTTCAAGGTTTCCAAAGGTTCCGCTTTGGTGTGTCGTACCCCGGTTTCCGGATCAATAGTTGTCAAAATGCATCTGAAGACATGTGTAAATATTAGTATAATATCATGATAAAGTAAATTACCTTAAGACCTTAGGCCTGTAAGCTTGGTAAACCCTATTATGCAGGAGATAATCATGAAGAAATATCCTGCTGGGATTATATTTTAATAGAACTTTGTTGAAAGACAAATTGGTTGATTTTTCGCACTTTGTGACCTAGATAGAAACTCGCAAATCAAATGATATTCTTGCAATGTACAACGTCCTCTCAGAATCTGAAAAACTTGAACACTTAGGTTCTATAATCTCAAATCATCACTACATTGGTTTGCAAGACTACATACTAAGTGCACAACAAGGGTCCCGAAGTTAAAAATCATTTTCAAATAAGTTTAAATAATATATCGCGTTTTAACCCTTAAAGGGGTTTATTTAAAAAAGTTATGTGCTTACCGTGTACAAGGTTTGATGATCTCAAAAATATTGTCACCTATCTTAACAAACTTCCAATTGTCTTCATCAAACGCTTTAAGTGAAGCTCCATCTAAGACGAAGTTTGGTCTGAAATTGCGATGGGTCACTTTGTCTTCTAAGCGGCTGTTCAGCTCGTCAACAGACGCTTCGTTTATTAGATTAAAAGGTACTTCGTCTGGGAGAGCGCCCTGAAATTAAATACATTGTTACTAGACTTAAAGTTTCAGGCACCTATACAAAAAAGCAACATACGGTTTCATAGATGTACTTTTTTTTTAATGCATTCGTGTGTCTTATTGTTCTCTTACGATTTTTGTTGCGTAGTCGCCTGCCATAGCTCGACAACCCAAGTATCATTGCAAAATAGCCGCAAAAACATAATTTAATCTTGTAATACGTAGGTTACTAGGCCTTAAATATAGATTCCCAGGTACCTCAAAGCACCGTAGACGGCTAGTGATGTGTCTAGTGGTTCTGGTCGGCTATACGATTTACCACACTCCCCAGCCCCACGTCACACTTGCCCGAGATGGGCGTGCATTAGTCCACCACCATACCATCAGTTTAAAAAAAAAGGATCAGGAAAATAAAATTAATTATTTTATTAGACTTTAAGCCCTGAAGATGATTAAGGCTTAAAAATGTGCTTTAATATCAATCAATATAAAAACCTACCGTATCATTCTTTGTGAATTTGTAAATCTTATTGGTTGAGCTTCTCAGGCCACGGCTGTTTTGTGAAGCATAATACACTAGACGGAAGCTAGTTGTTGATCTGTTTAACAACCTGTAAGAGACATCAAGTGACGTTATACAAGATAATTGTGTGTAAGTGGATCGTTCGCGAAAAGCATATATATATTTTTGTGAATACTATCCCAGAGTCGCTAACAATTTTTCATTAAGTCTTCTAATATTGGAGTGAGACTTTTATATGCTAACCGTGAAAACCATTCTGCAGCCTCCCATCCACAGTCATATACAGGTACAGGAACCGTCCAAACTGTTGCCGTTTTAGGAGCTTGTAGAGCAACCACCTGCAAGAGATTTTATATTTAGATAATATTAACAATTCAAGACTGTTAATTTTAAATTAGCGACGGATTATGTTGATACTATCGAGCTGTCTTTTTTGTTTGGCGCGTTTTAGATAATTGAAATGTTATGAATCATCAACAGACAGAGTAAAGTTAAAAAGTTATTTGTATAAGTCAATGATTAATAAAAAAAATAAAGTGAATTAAGTCACTAAAATTAACTATACCTCTCTTCATCATGCCAGAAATTTGCAATCGTGGTCATGATCAGCAATCATGATCCAACCTGACGGAAAGTGGGGATCTGGTTTAAGAGAAGCCCACCAGTCGCTGGTTTACCAGATATTCAATAGGCACAAGTCGTAACAAACTTTAACTACATTACCTCAGCTAAGTTAACAGATAACGACTCCAGATCGCAGTGGTTTAGCGTAAGCACAGAGCCGTTGACAGACGGATGCACAAGCAGCAACTCTGGATAAGCTCTTGCTGTTATAAAATTCATCTTATCATCAACGACCATTAAAACTCTGGAATTCAACATTTTAAAGTCTATACTTAATATATAAGGCTGAAGAGTTTGTTTGATTGAACGCGATACTCTTAGGAAGTACTGGTTTGAATTGAAAAATTATTTTCGTGTTGGTTAAAGCATTTCTCGGGGAAGGTTATAAAAATCGCGCTCTGACTAACACAAGCGAAGATACATCGAGAAATGTGAAAATATTTGGAATAATTATTCATCATTATGGGTTTCCATTCGTAAACTCAAAAAAGATGTATGAAAGAATGATTTCTCTTTATATATAGGCATCCTCGATAAATGCTCTAACACAAAAATATTTTTTCAATTCGAACCCGTAGTTCCTGATATTCAAACAAACAAACTCTTCAACTTTATATATATTAGTAGGTATAGAAGTATATTTTTTGATAAAGATTTTTTTACAAATAATCTAGGTACGTACCTGTCTCTCAACCAACCGCTTTTCAACCCTAAAATACTGCATTCAGCCTTATTCATAACGACAGGGCCACAAGATTTGATTGGATACGCGTACATGTTTTTCAAGGTGCCAGCTTGAGTCCATTGTTCTGGTAATTTGGGCTTCTGGAATTCTTTGTACAGGTGATATGCAATATATGCCCCACCTGCTAAGCCAGCTGTGGTGATCGCAGCACTGGTATATGAACCTGCAGAAACAATCGAAATATGTCAGAGATTTTAAAAAATGTTATAAGAAATTAGACACTGATACTAAAAGGACCGATAAAAAAAAACAATTCGTCGTATAAATTTATTAGAGAAATAAAAATTATGTTTCGTTTCGCTGTAGACGATGGCTGTAGATAATTTGTTGAGAGGAAAACCACAAACACTTGATAACTAACAATCAGCTGTTGTCTGCACGCATAAGACTTGAGTGTGTGTGTGTGTATATATACGTTATACATAATAATTACTATTTACTTATAAATCTTTGAAGTATAGCACTCTACATAAACTTATCCATATCAAGGTTTGAGATTGAGTAGAAATACTTAGGTACGGATATACCTACATATTACAATAAACTTTTCAAACGATAAATGCAATTTACTTACCTCGATAAGACATAGTGAATAATAAGAAACAAAGCCTTTAAATTACAGGCACAGTTATGTTTTTCAACAAAATATATAAATCGTTCTCGATTTTAATAATCTCAAGTAATGCCCTTCTCTCATACGTCGGCTGTTTATCTTATCATTTGTTATTGAACTACCTATACAGTTCATTTACATACTTTTAGTCGAAGCAAAAAAACTTAACTTAGTTGTTTTAGTAATAAAATTTTAATTTCAGAAAGGGTAGGTACAGTGGTAATAAAATAACTTTATTTCAATTTAATACCGTTACTATAGTTTGAGGTTATATGTAAGTACTGTTAAAAGGTAAAAATAACAAACATTGTTTTAATGCAATGGCATTAAAAACTTTTCTCATTGGAAAAGTATCATTTCGGTTGACGAAATAAAAAAATGTTAAAATTCTGCTTACGTGAGTATTTAATTCAAATTGTTACAAAGATATAAACTATAAGTTCCATTAAATAAAATCGTGCAGATAAGTAGATACAAACGTGCGAATATAAAACCTTTATAATGGCAAGTTAAGAGAGTATTGTTTGTACATAAAGAATATTCTTATGCGACATATACATTGTCGTTTAGCTTAATTATAGCACCAGGAGCGGACCGTAGCGCCATCTGTACGCCCATTCGTGGCGAATTACCAACAGCTTTACGAAGATCTGGGTCGTCTGGTAGACGGTAGCTGTGAATAAAAATAGTGTCTTCAGGTATTTTAATAAAACACCATGCATTTGAAGATTTCAGTAAACACACTGAAAGTATTTTAAAATATTATTTTAGCTTTATCTCTAGCTGAGCGTGAGGCTTTCTCTTTACTTAACAACGTCTGTTTTACAAAATCTTTCTATGTACAAGTTTTCTAATATTTTTGATAATTTTACATGTTTGCTTTGTATTGTATTCTAATTATGAACTACCTTTTCAGGGTTTCCAAAGGCTCTGAAGCTGGGCTTCGAGCACCAGTTTCTGGATCCAGTGTTGTGAGGACGCATCTGAAATTGTATGCAAATAAAACGACGAAATCTTTTAAAAATATTGCGATTAGGAAAACAGACAGAAAAAAAATAGTGAATATTGCCAAAAACTTGGAAGTTCCTTAGAGCCTCAAGGCTAATTTAATAAAATTCTCAAGGAAAAGTAATCGATAGATAAATATTAGATATGAAACGAGACCTGAAGCACGGCATGATAATTTCGAAAACAGCATCACCGATCTTGATAAAGTTCCAACTATCTTCTTCGTACGGTTTAGCGCCAGTCACCACAAAGTTAGGTCTAAAGTTGCGATAGGTGATCTCCGCGTTCTCAATTTTCTTATTCAGGTCGTCCACTGAAGCTTGGTTTATTAAATTGTATGTAGTGTCATCCGAGAAAACACCCTGGCAAAAATAAGTTATTTGAAAAATATTTTCTTTTTCTTACTGTGGGTAGATAGTTATTTAACCTACCCTATCTTCATTACCGAAATTGTAGATTTTCTCTAAATGATGATTCAGCTTGCGACTTTTTTTAGCCGCGTAAATCACAAGTTTAATAGTTTTCTCTGAATTGCCGAGTAATCTGTAAATTTTAGAACAATCCTGCTATACATACTAATATAAATGATTACTAATAAGTCTTTAGAATTTCCGGTCGGTGCAGGTCCGCCGTAATTAAATACATGTTGCTCTCCAGTGAAAGAAAATTTCGTTCTCCTTAAAAAAAATATAATTTTGCCACGTACCTTGTGAACCAGTCACAAGCAGCCCACCCACAATCAAGTACAGGCACTTGGGTACCCCATACATCACCTTTCTTTGGTTTTTGCAGTTCCATAACCTGAAGATTAAATTTTCATTATTCTTACGACCAATAACCTCATAAATATGCTTATTGTTCGGCATGCTCACCTCATGGGGTACAGATTGGCAGTACTTAACTAAAGCGATTTTTGTACAAACTTACCTCCTCCAAGTTAATTCTAACAGGTTCCATTTCAGGGTGACTCAGTGTTAAAATTGATTTATTAAAAGAAGAATGTACTCTCAGCATTTCGGGGTAATTTCTGGCCGTAAGAAAATGGTAGTTCTCATCGGTCACCATTAAAAACCTGAAGTTATACAGCAAATATCCTGGGATTATTATAATCATCAAAAATAAAGCAATTTTGTTCTGTAGTAAAAGATACCAAAAACCAAGCTTTCTTAGTACTTTTACAGTATATTTCAGTCCACGCAAGCTTTAGCGCCAAAAGCATTAGTTTACTATCAGAAAATATGCACACCATATTAACACCAGAATAACAGTACAATTTGTTGGTTTATAAAATATTCTGTGTATAATGTTGTCTTACCTATCTCTTGTCCAATTCTTTTGTAAACCGAGCGCAGAACATTCGACGTTGTTCAGTATAATTGGCGCACAAGACTTTATTGGATAAACCAATAGGTCTTTTAATGTGCCTATTTTCTTCCATTGCTCGGGTATATTCGATGAATTATATTTGTTTTTGTAGAGATGGTATGATATCGCTATACCACCGAGCACACCAGCGACAGCGCCACTCACATAAATACCTTTTTACAGCAGAATTGAATAAAATAAAACAGACAAATTACCTACATACTTACATTTGAAAATTGTAAATTATATCGCAGTTATTAAATATTTAATTTTTAATTTGCTTAAAAGCAATAGACAACAGCTTCTATCGGCTGCAAGATCGGACGTAAATATTTTTATTTACATATTATGTATTAGCCTTAGCAAGGATACAAACATACCAACAATATTATCGTCCTTGACCTGTGTTACCTGCAGTCTATTTTTAGAATTCTCCGTCGTGAGTGTCAGAATACGTGAATAAAAAGGTAATACGACCTAACTTCAATAATATTTAAATCTCTTTTCGCAACCGTCGAAATGCTTGAATGTTTTAAAAATTAAACGCTATCTACCCTCAAACCGCGTCAATAGAATTAAATCTCTAGCTACAATCTTATTGTTTGATACTGCCATTATAATAGAATAACTAATTGATTGAAGTATTTACGTATTCAATAACCGTAGAGTCGCAAGTTTAACCATGTAATCTCATACATAGCCCGAAGTTAAATATTATAAAAAAAATAATAACAAATAAAGTTATGATAATAGTCCAAAAATACTTGAAAACATCATACCAATTAGGTATGTACGATCTTAATAAATAACCAATGTGGTATTAAATTATTTTAAAAACTTTATCGTTGTTCTCACCTTGAGGCATGTTTTCAAGGATGTTTCAAGCTACAAAAACTATTATTTTACTGATAAGGCACTAGTTAACACTATGTTATCAAGATATTGGCACAACCAGCAGTGCATCTGCAGTGCTAAGAGTGTTCGAATACGTTCCTATAAACACTAGAGTATGCAATCAATTCACTCGATATATGCTTCAGTTTTATTTAGTTAATGCCTATCTATAGCAAACTTATTGCGTCGTTAGACTTAAATTAACTATTTTGCCCTTTTTATCAACAATGCAACTAAAGTTTTTCCATTTTGTTTATAATATTCAGAAAAATTTCAAAATGTATTTACAATTAGATTTCATCCCCTAAAACATAATAATCTGTAAAAACCCTCTAGTATCAAAAAACATATGTCAATTGTCACTATTGCTCTGACATGAAAAGGACGTGTCATGCTTATTTTTGCGTTCGTGTAAGAATAACTCTAAATCACGTTAACTAATAGAAATAAGTATATTTAAGATAATAATTAATTATAATAGTAAATATATATAAAACCCCTTAAATTTAAAGTGATGGTCTTGCTAAATTATGATGTGGTGAGTGTTAACCGTTAAATCGCTGAATATAACTTCAATTTAAATAATTAAGTATTAATTTATATTATTTCAGTTTCTGTCGGAACTAACTAAGCTTTTTCAAAATGCAAGGACCTCAGGATCTGTAACTGTAACAATGAAACGATGTAAGTAATGTGCTTATACTTATTTTAAGTAGATAGGTTAACGTTTGTAAATGCTAACTAAATTTATCGTAATACTTTCACAGATGATGGTCGCACAACGCCAAATCCTCGTGGTGGTTTAGCTATTCCAAACCCACAATACAAATGCTTATTAAGGGCCCAATTTAGGAGTAAAAAAATATCAACTGTCATTGAACAAAAAGACGTAGAAATGTTTTCAAATGCTTACTCCAATCTGCTCAAAACAAGTATAAATGGTTTGAAACGATTAAAGAAACCCAAAAAGAAGGCGATGGCTACCCAATAATGTATGTAATGAAAATAAATAGACTGAGTCTAAAATTAAGCACCAACGGCAACTACACATGCCATTTGCCACAGCCTGAGGTGGATGTCTATTAAAATGTGCTTTTCTCTCTATGGAGATATGAAGAGTTGGAGTTCGCCTAAATGGCTGATGGTACCAAGACCATTCTGTATAATATTGTGTTAATAATAAAATCACTTAAAAGACTGCTATTTATTACTTAGCGTATGCTATTTTAAATGTGTGTTCTTCAATTTAGCTAATAAATCCTATACAAGGTTGCCCCACTGCAGCTATTTATGACATATAGTGCCTGATATCCTAAGACTACAGGATTATTTTCTGATCTCTGTAATAGTCTCACTACATACAATGTGTGGTATATCACTATCTTACCCTTTGCATGTTGCCTATTATTTGCAAAGAATCCCCAGATATCATGGTTTTAGAGGTGGAATACTTAAGATATGTGTGGCTCACACAAACTCACTCATTTTTTCAATAAAAGATGTCAGATTTTTAAAGCATTATCATTATTATATTTATTTCATCATTACAAAGATTTACTTACAATATCATAAAATTGGTAATACAGTTTATTATCACAAAGTGAGACCAAAAATTAAATATCCCCACACATTAATTAGGCACAGAGAATAACAATAGTAAAATAGCGCAAACAATAACATGAATATGAGTAAAAAGTTGCACATTTTAAATATACATTGATACAACAATTATATTTTCTTTAAAGTTAGAAGCTATAATCACAGGTGTTTTGGTCAAAAATACATTTCAACATCTCACTTTCAGCTGAGATATAGATATGGGCTTTTACCTGCTGGCCAAATAAATATTGGCAACGGTGGATCCACGTCAGAGGTCATAACCTCCTCCCTCCCTGAGTTGGTTCCAGGTCTTAGGTGGACCACTAATTGAATGTATTGTTTTTATTTACAAATTATTATGTAAATCTTTAAGTGTAAAATTCAGACATAATATTTTGAAGTACAGTATGTTTACGTACATTAATAAAATACTTTTTACTTGTATTTATTGTTATCAAAATTAAATTAAAATTTGGACTTGACCACGACTGTGTTGCGTCCTCCTGGCACCAAAGCTGGATCCGCCCTTGGGTGGATGTTCCAGGTTGCAATCTTTTTTGCAACGGAAATCTGGGTTATGATTTAGCATTTTTAGTAGTGAGTCGTTTCAAGCAAGCATTTCGCACTTGATCGTTTCCAATTCGCTCGGCTTCTTGCAAAACCCTCCGCAGATCGTTAGTGCGGTCGTTTCGGGCCGCAAGTATATATGCGTTGCTGACATTATGGCAGATCAGGTAACAGGAAATCTATAAAAGATTTAAACACATTTCATTACTGTTTGTCTTCATACTGTGCCCATAAAAATGGAAAAGTAGGATGGGCATTTATGGCTATTGGTAGTATGTTACTGTTTAAAAGTATGTGATTTCTATTAATCCTAGTTTTAAAAAAAAGATTACTATGTTGTAAAACTTATATTTCATTAATGTGTTGTTTGTAAAAACTAAATATTTAAAAGAAAAAAAAGGAATGCCCTTATCTATTTATTCCATTACAATATATATCTACCAACATTCCAAAGGATACATGACCTAACAACTTAGTATCTGAAAATTTTGTGTAAAAAAAAATGAATCGTGAGCCACTACTGTTTACAATTTAACCATTTTAGATCTATTTGTCATGTGAGTGTGGTCTTACCTTTATAGTGACGCTGTGTATATCCGCGATAAGTATCTCTGCTTGTTCGTCATACAGTTGTCCACGGGCTTCACAACGTCGTACTACAGCTGACACCCCCGCTTCCAACACCTGGTCACTCATCAGACTGTGGAGGAAAGGTATAATCTATAATAAAACTGGGAAAATGTATATTCTTTAAGTGTTTGCTTAAAGAAGTACATTTTCAAATACATAATCTACTATATAACTTTGTTAAGTTATTATATCAATTCAGAACGTAAACTTTGAAAACTTGATTTAATACCTACTCTATATAAATAAAAAAAAATGATTTTAGATTGAAATTACGACAAAGGCAGGACTTGACCCGGCATCCACAACGTTCCATACTGTTGCTCTAACCAACTGAGGTAACGTGTTCTACACTTCTTACAATTGTAAATTTTCATACGTAATTAGCTGTAATTTCATCTTTAATGTAATATTGAAAAAAAAATTAACGATGACGTGTACGACACGATAGCTCGGTCTTTTCAATTATAAGAATGTTTAGATTTTAAAACTTTATACATTAAAAAAAACATATCTTAAATATTACTTACTTTGCAGCAGTCTCTTTAGATGACCGTATGCACTTAGCCAATGTCTTGACTTCCATAAACCTGTCTTTGCTTACTAGATACCTCGCCACGTGACTGTATATATTCATAGAGTCCAATTTGTGTTCAGTTATTATTCTGAAAGTTAATATTATCGTTTAAGTACATATTACAATTTTAGCCACAGACCTTAAGGTTTTAACTAGTCAATTTAAATGAAATAAAGTCTAAATACTGTATGTAGTTAACGCGAGTACACATTTAAATAATTTGTCCCCCCGTGACCACGGCTGCTGCAAAGGAGCCGTGGTCATCGTGGTCGTCGGAATCCACCATGTTTCAGAAGAATTATAAATTGAGAAATTAGAAACACGCTGGACCTGGTGGGGATCGAACCCATCACCCCTCGCACCAACACGCATTTGGCCACAACCAAAAAGGGCATTTCTATGTTCAATATTATTTTTATAGGAAAAAATGTGAATAACATTTACTACTTACTTAAAAGCCAATTCAAACCCGCTCTCAACCGACTGTCCAGTCGCAAGCACCACAGCTATCAGTTTTATCTTATCTGTATTAGAGCCAAACAGTGTCAATGGTCGACGGTCTGTAGTTTCTGCGGCGCGCGCATTCATCGGGATGATGTCATGCAACATCTTGTCGTTTAGTCTGTTAGCTGCTTCACAGTTCGCTAGATACTTAGATAACTCGATTTGTCTTGTAAATGTAGTCATAAGATTGTCTATAGTATTTCTATCCAAGTAGAACTGGATTGATTTCGGGTCGTTAATTCCTGAAAAACAAATGGAATATAAGTTAAACCCAATTTGCAATTAAAACTACTATTAACTAATTATGTTTGTACATGATACATTTTAACAGATTGATCTTTCTATATGAGACTACTGCTAAATTAAAATCGATTATACATTAAAAAAAAGGACAGGACTTGAACCGGCAACCAGAGCGTGCCGTCCGTCCGCTGTTGCTAATTAAGCTACCGAGTCAGATTATCCAATTTTTTATTTATATAGTGCCATCATGTCCAATTATATGTGAAAAATATTAAAGTATTCAAACTGCACATTCACAAAAAGCTGTAATATTCTAAGTTTGCCCCCAACTCAGCAAAAGATTTAAAATAAGTTTATAACTCTAAAAAGATATTTATAAAGGCTTATGAAATATTAATATATAGAACTAACAATTAAGGAATTCTCTGTATCTCACAAATTATAGTGTCAATACCACACTTCAAAAATAAAATTGTAACATCTATTGTGACCGGTAGAACTTCGATATTTAAAGAATATATATTTTTTCAGACTAAGAATTTAATATAGCGCGCAGTTCAAATAAGATTTTTATAACATAAAATTATGGGGATTTTGCAACCCCGCACTATTAACTATAACTAATATACGTACTGTTAGCGACAGGTACACACTGTCCTAAATGATGTATCGCGGCCGTGAGGTGATGCTGCCTTGCCAATAAGGTAGAAAACGTCTGACCAGTGTGCACGGGTCGTGAGTAAAGAAGTGCGCACGAGGCCGACGCACGCGCATGTTGACCGCTTCCGCACTGCAGTGCGTATAGTGCGTCGAGGCGTTTGCTCATCTCTAGCGTGCGGCATATATGCATTATGTATTCCTGAAAATTTCATTTATGTATTGACACTTTAACAGTTTAAAACGGGATATACTTATTTTTTATTCATTTAGAAAAGAACGGCGAAATATATTACTTATTTCGCGGTTCTATCAATTTTGCAAAAACTACAGACAATACTTGAGTTATTGTCAAGATGTAAGTTGTCAAAGTAAATTCTTAGTAAGTACATGTCAACGTCAGACAATTTTGTATTATCAAACTCTTTAATAGCAACTTTAGTCCCGATTTAAATTAAAAACTATTGCAAAAAATATACTACGAAACTTCGTAAAAGTAAACGTTAGTAGATAAAGAAACTCGTATAATAAATAAAATGGCATCTTTATTTATCCATATTAATGATAGATTACTTTAATCACTTATGATACAGTTAGGATTGTTTTGCCTTGTACTAAAGACGTGAACACGTATATATTTTGAAATACCCCATTGCTCTAGCCCTATAAAATCTGATTTAGATGCGCTGTCGGCCTCTTATAAGCATTCGGAAATCTACCTGTGATCGGTGCTTCGTAACCCAAATAGCATTTACCTTTGATACCCTTAAAATATTAACAGTGCTTATTTACTAGTATCAATTTTACTCTAGTAATCCAATACTTACCGACCACATTTCCAAGGTACCGTCCATATCTCCCATGGCCTTCAGCATATCGTTGACTTTGTCCCGCTTCAAACACTCCATATACACAGCATCGGTGAAGGTCTCTTTATCAACCGCATTATCATAACAATACCTAATCACCTCCCCCATATTACTGTGCTTCATATAAAACATAATGTTCGCGACGTGAGATCCATAATTACTGAGATAGTAAACGCATTCTTTATAAAAGAACGGGTCCAGTCTTTTGTTTTGGTAGTCGGTCTTCTCTGTGTGATTGTTGTTCCTTCGTAATAGTCCTAGGGACTTTTTCGGTTGCACGGTCGCCGTTTGAAAATCGCTGTAGTCGCCATTTTTTATTTTCTTCACGCTAGCCAACATGTGCATGATGTTGAGCGCTGGTTCGGTTAGGGGAAGTTTCTTTTTTGCTCGTGTTCATTGATGTTAGTTTTTCGTTTGTGGTCTGAAAGTTGCCAAGGTTTGAAAACTTTAATTTTCAGCATATCATTGTTTTTCGGGCTGTTTGGCCGACGTGAGCGAGAAGAGGTTCCCGACGTTTCGCAATCACGAGCGTTCGCATGTTCGAACACGAATTAAAAATCGATTTTGATTGCAAAACGTTAGGTGGCATGTAAATTGAGCTAAAAACATTCGGTTAAAACAATAGCACGGAAGTCTACCCGTGTCGCGTAATTTTTTAAAAATCTAAAACAACACAATGGACACACAATTAAAATATGTTTCAACAATTTTTTGGAACAATTAAATAACCTGTCACACAATGGAGTTTCGGGCATTGGCCTATAAATACTTTTTTTATTGCTTTATTTATTGTTAAAGAAATAACAAGGACATATTTTCAGCTCTTGTAAGACACATCTATGTACCAAAAAACGATAGAGATACATATAAGACCAATGCTTTAACTTATTCATACTTCTATTCTTGTTTTTGTTGTTTTATACCTTGATATTTTCGGCTTTATCCAAAAGTTGCTGATTAACTGGATAGTTCATATCCTCGAGCATACTAATAATCTCATTAAGAAGTGGCGGGTTTCCCCTCCCTCGGCTCTCCGACTGCGTACTAGATGTTGAAATGGATCTGCAAAAAGTAAAAATGCATACAAATAGAATTATAAAATATTTTTGATAAATAAACCTAGAAAAAGAGAAAGAAATTTACTAACCGCAGTAAGCAACGAAATAACAAAAAAAAACATTACTTAATATAGATATAAAATTAAGGTAATTATATTAAAATAAAATACCGCAACTAAATCTTACTAAGCCTTGTACAATTTATACTTTTTGTCTTTTATTAAACCGCGTTTTTATAAAAAAATGTCTAAATCATATAGATAGTAGATAAACTAAAAATAATAACTTTTAAATTATTACATTTTAAGGCACGAACGTATAATATTGAATTTAAAAACCGTAAGTACCTGTCTCTACTTCTCATACTAGATGCTCTTCTATTCATAAAGTGAGATTCAGACGCCTCCTTGCCGTATTCCAATTCCTCAGCCGTATCAACGATAACGTTTGGTGCATTCTTGAAGCACAAAGCGAACTTTCTCCTTGCTTCCCTAAAGCAGCCGGCCTTCAAACAGGCTTTGCCCCAAGCAGCCAGCACACTCGTTCGGGGAATCCCCGATTTCGTAGCTATTTCTAATGCTAACTCCCATTTCTCTGCCTCCAATAATGAACGGACTATTTGACCTGTATAATATTTGACATGATATTAAACTAATCACAATCCCGGTATTATGTTCTCTTAACACGAGCGAGAAGTATAGGTAATTAAAGATAATATAGAATTGATAATAATGTATTAAAATTGGAAAATAGTTTTTGTTTGGATTAATTTTCCTTTTCTATCCAAAGATAAGTGACATTCAAAAGTTTAATAATGATGGCTGTATATGTAAACATTCTGTTCTATAAATGTGTAACTCAAGTATACTGACTAGGATGTGCTCCGTGATGTGGAACGAGATGGTGGGCTTGGTGCTGCACGAGGGTAGCCATTGCTTCTGCGTGTGAAAGACAACGACTTACATGCGCGGCCCCTGTCTCCGCTACTCCACTACCCCTATAAAATAATATTATTAGTACTTATATATAAAGCTGAGGAGTTCGTTTTTTTGTCTTGGTTAGAGCACCTATCGAGGAAGGCTAGGTGAACATCGCGATGCTACTTATAGGAACGCGGGAAATTATTCATCTTTGTGGGTATGCGTTGCGAAAGCTGAAAAAACTCAAAATGAAATAATGATTCATCTTTAAATCTAAAAATGCTGCAAAATGTATGTTTCTTAAAACATTACGCGGACTTCGTAACACCTAGGACTAAAAACCTAACAATTTAATATATCAAATAAAACTACATCGAAATATTCTTATAAATTATTTTGTGCCCTAGGTGTTTGCACTTATATACTTACGGTTTATCTGTTGGAGACCGTGAGTATAATTCAGCTGCGGCGAGTAAAAGCGACCGGCGCGCGCGCACAAGCCAGCGTGAGTCGCCGCAACTACCGTTCGCTAGTTCCCGGGCTATCTCGTCACTTCGGTCTAATAGAAATCTGTAAAAGTAATGAACTTTTAACCTTAAAGCATTAAAGGTTTGACTGAGTAAAATAAACCGATTATTATTATTTTTAAATATGAATAGTTCAATCACCAAAACGATATTAATAATAATATGGACGATTTTGTGTCCTTGTCTTTTATATGGGATTGTGGGAAAGAGGAAACGATGTGTAAACTTTTGGATTATATTTATATTTATCTCACCTTGGATAATCCAAATTAATGGTATGCAACTTCATAATGGACAAGCACAGTGTAACGTTAGGCGTAAATTCGTAACTAAATTCTTCACGCACGGCATCGTTCTGAGAAAAATTAATAATAATAAAATAAAAGGTTTTCTATACAGAAGTGTGATAGTGATTATGTTAATAAAACAATGTTTTTTAATTTACCATTTTGATTTTCTTATTTTTATATCTATTACTTAACTATCTAAAACTTAACCAAAAGAGCTCACTTTGTTAGGGTTAGTGGAGAGACTCCAGTCCATACAAGTAACACCACTTCCAGCTGAATCAGAATTGCTGCTAGTAATCAAGTTATCTTGGTCTGCACCAGACTTTTTGTTCATAGTTTGAACATAACAATCATCGCACACACGGAATTTTACACCGCTCGGATATGTTGGTACCTGAAAAATATATAGTCCTTATAAATATAAATTTACTAGCGGCCCTGTCCTGGCTTCGCACGGGTAGACATAAATAAGTACAAATATTTAAATTATAAGCATGCTAATTAAAACGACCATGGTTCATCTCGATGGTTCAGGAGCCGCTGCGAGCGTTCAGTGTTAGTGTCCCGTACACGCGTTCGCGTTAGCTCTATTTTCTTCAAGTCGCTGCGACGATCTTGCATTTTTATTCTGCAAGACGAACCTGAATAATCGACGATAGATTCTCTGGCTCGCGATTGGGACGCGTACACTCTAATACTTTCCAGACAATAATTTTACGAAGAAGACTCTCCACAACGACTAACTTTTGCTAATCTCGCTTGGGAACTATTCTTAGAGATTTATTTTAAATCAGAGAAATTAAGAATAAACTAATAACAATACAAAAGAAAATATTCAAGTTCAAAGTGTGATTCTTCTTCTTAAAATAACGTTTTAAGTAAAGCAAAAAAAAAACTCGAAATATTCAACGTCGCTCGCGTCCATTGCGTAAGGAGCCCACTGCCCCTCTCTCGTAGAGTTGGTTACTCAATGCGCGGCGTGGCGACCGTCGCCGGCATTATTTTTATTTTTATTTCATGATATCTTTTGAATGGAATGTCCGATTTCAATAATTTAAAAAGTAATCATCAGGTATTGAGATATTCTTGAATATTAAATTATTTATTTGGATAAAAATGTATAAATGGTATGTATAACACGGTCTGATTTTGGTCGGCATTTCTATTAATTTGTCAAATGTAAAAAAGTAGTTATAGTTACGTAACTATAATATGTATATATAATAAATATATTTCGCGTTTTAAACCGTACAAAGTATTTTATTTAAACTTTGTTTTACTTAAATCTTCTTTATGTTTATATTATATGTTGAGGAGGCTTGGAGCTTTGGTGGATTAAAAATATTTAATTTAAATTACTGACAGTACATAAAAGAAAGTTACCTGCATTCTATTCCTAGAACACGCGTGGCAAACGAGTCGCCCGCAACGACGGCAATGATGTCGGCGTATTATCATGGAAAATATCGATATTTTACACAGCATACACCGATCCGTCGTATAGTCCTCCACCCATTGCTCCTTTGCTGGTACCTGTTCTGGCATCACGAACGGCCTAGACATACCCTCAATGTTTATCGAATCAATAGACTGCAGCAACGCATCATCCCAGGGCTTGGTCGGCGGCGAGGGGCAAGCGTTCCTCGGATTTTTCATATCGAGTGCCTTCTCAGCGTAGAATCTCAATAAAGAATCGATTGAATTCCGCGATATCATCACCGAATCGATTGTTTTCATATTATAATACAAATAATCACCGTTCGCATCGGTTGTCAAATTCGGCGAAATCTTATTCAGTATTTCCGTCAGAATCTCTAGCTTCCCGTTCATCAGTAGCTGCTCTATCATCAGTATCGGTTTCTCGATCAAGTCCCAGAAGAGTGGACGCAGGTTCGACTCCATTTCGAGGATTATTTGCAGGCCGATTTTTAGGTTCTCAAACGATTTCCACGAGGATGCATTATTATTGATGTAGTCGAGACAGACTTGGAGTATCTCTACGTTTCTGACTTTCGAAATTTCACCGACTATCAAGTCCAATGCTTCGGTTGACGACAATCGTCCAAGAAGTTCTTGGACCACGGAAGGGACGGCCTGGCTCGAGTATTCGAACAGTTGACGAAGCAAATTCACAACTATCAGGTTCTTCATGTGATCGGTTACGTCATGAATGTCGGCCCAATCCAGGCATAGTTTGAACTAGAAACCATAAGAAAATTAATACGGGAATCACACCCTAATATTTCAATTCTCTTACAAAATATCACAACTAAAAGGCTTACTCGATTTCGACAAAATTCGACAAACGATTTATCCCCTAAAAACAACATGTTAATTATGTACTTATTAGTGCTGTGTCTATATAAAGGCGATATCTTTGTAGATATTTATTTTTTGTTAGGTGTGTTTAATTGAAGTCAATAAAGTAAGAAGTATTGAATAAAACGCGTAATATATTAGTTAAGTAAGTTATTTTAACTACACCATGATACACTTTTCGATTGTTTTGAAGCAGCCGAATGCACTGGGGACTGTTACTGTGTAGTTAAATGGAACTATCATATTTCGCGTTTTAACCCGTTAACTTACTTCATATGAATACATAATGAATAATGATATAGGTAATCTTACCTGTTGACTATCCATTAGTACTTCAACAACATGTTCAGGACTTTCTATAGATTTCTCGTATATAATATACCAGTGGTTTGCACCCATTATTGACGCGATCTGCGAGAAAACATTTTCATTAAAAATAAAAATCATTAAATTTTTAGATCAAATCTCCATTTCACCACAATTGAGAACGTACCTGCTCATATAATGGTATTTTAACCATCCAATCTGTACACGTTTGAAACAGGTCTTCCTCCACTGCCGATTTATCCAACAGAAATCGCAAATAGTCAATAATCTTTAAGGCACCTTCCGCTGACCAGCAATTCAAGTTATTTAGCACCAAGTCTACCTTCAACTCTGGACATTTCAGATATTGACAATACTTCCAGTTTTGATAAATTTTCGTGTTCGTCGCCAATTTGAACAGTATCAAATCTCTCAAATTGTTCAAATTTGCGCTCTGTTGCACTTGCCTTTCCGCCAGAGAATCTATTATTTTTTGGCATTGTAAAATCTTTCCGCATTCCAATAACTTGGGTATAAATAGAAATAGTTTATCCAAGTCTATGACTGTATGCAGCGATGCTAAATACTTATTCCCGTTGAATAACACTTTTGTTTTATCAAATCTTTCCAGATCCATGTACTTGTTGAAACATTTCGTTCTAGCGTCGATGCTTTGCTGCATGTCGTTTTCGTGTAGCGACGTATGTATCTTCTTTATGATGTGCGCAAGCACCCAGTTGTGTAATACCACATATGTTAGACATTGTGGGTCAGGAGTTCGCGGTAAAGGAGCGAAATCAGCTATGGGATCAACGAACAACTTCTCTTCGGGGTTCTTGAAATCAAATACGACGTGAAGCAAATTGTTGAAGTTTTCTTCACAGGACTCCTTGGACGCTCCTACTAAAGATATTGATGGACAGAAATTCAAGATGAGCTTAGGTATCAAATTCACGTTTAGCTTCTTACAAATCGGCTCCAGAAACGTTATGGGCAAATCTTTGTTGTTTATCATTTTTCCGAAAATGTCGTGCAAGTGCCGTTCCAGCACTGCGAAGTATGGAGCTGCAGTGTCGCTGGTCGCAGTAGAATCTTGAAGCATATTTTCTTGTTCCAATTGAGACACAGATTTGGTGTACATATAACATTTTCTTAGATATGGTACTCTAGTCTTTTTGTTACCATATCGTGTCACTTCTGCGATATTACAAATGTCCTTATCAGATGTAGCGACCACGTTCATATAAATTTGATGATACTTTAGCAATAAGTTTTCGTCCAAAGCGTTCGTTTCGTTTGGTTTCACTATATCTTCCAAATCCAAACAGCACTGCCTCAATTCTTTAGACAGTTGATTCAGCTTACAAAACTCCTTGTGTTTGATGGGGATTCTGCAATCTGTTATTAACTCGCATATATTATCTGTGAAATCGAACGATTTGTCCGTATTCCCGAAAATCTCGAAGGTAACGCTAGCGATGTCTTCGACGAATCTTATGTAGTTGGTCTTCTTGACTGACGCTACGTCAGTACTGCTTCTGACTTCTGCGAGTTTTCTTTCCACGACGTTTATGAGACCGTAGGTAATTTCTCTGGTTAGGCCGCTGCTTATAAGAATGTCTACGGCATTGATAAACGGGGAATTTTGGTGACTGTATAACTGTAAGTGTGGATGGCGCGAACCTAATTCGATGATGTCAAAAGAATTAGGTGCCCTATTCGCTGCCAGAAATCCTTCGACAAGGCCCATAACCTCAGTTGAAACCACGGAAAGCGCTGACAGCTCTTTAGAAGGGTATCGCGCGCAATCTCGATAGCAAACAATGTTCTTTATTTTTGCAATTAAATGTCTCAGTTGTTCCGTGAATGTGACCTCTGTGGCAATTTCAGAGTCGGAGAGATCGAACATCTGAAAATGTTAAGATATAATAATATGATTCCCGTAGTCCAGACTTTACAAGTTTTGGCTAAACATTTGTAATATTCTAGGATTCATCTCGGAGCTTAATTTTAAATCTAAAAGAAATGTTTATACGCGTCGCGTGCATGAATGTCATCTTTAAAAAAAGATTTGTAAGAGCATATAAAACCTTAAACGTGACACGTAAATAACGTCGTCAAGTTAAATGTCATTATAAAATGCTCATGAAAAGCGCTTTAAAATTTGTAATCGCTTTTTGTATGGTGTCTAGCTGTTTAGGATATAATATTAAAAGAAAGGTATGTTTTCTTATGTTTCAAGTGACATAAAAATCTCGTTATTACATGAATATACATATAAACAAACGAATGTTATGAAATTACAGAGATAAGCATATGCACGCAAGCACGGTCGTTATGCCAACGCAGTTCATAGTTGGGTTAATGACTTGGTATCAATAATTTCGATAAGACAAAAGCTATATAAGCTTGAGTAAACACGGAAATATTCAATATTGATATTATTCATGCATTCTCTAACAATGTTTGTGTTGCAATAATTTCTTGAAATACAAGTTTATAGTAATTTAGTATTGCATACAAATCTAACATTTAAATTTATAATTAGATTTCAGATATTATATACCTTTTTAACTTCTCTTAATTATAGTCTAACTGTGTTCATTTTTAAGAATTAATGAAACAACTATATTCCGAAGAGAAAATCTTGCATGATTTATAAATCGAAAATAAATTGAAAAAAAAAAATCGAATCGGACAGGACTTGAACCGGCACCGTCAGCGTTTCATGCTGTTGCCCTACCATTTGAGCTACCGAGTCCTAAGTCAGGACTCGGTAGCTCAAATCGATTTTTAGATTATATAGTGCCTTCATGTGCAATAACATGTAAAAAATAATAAAGTTTTCAAATCTTGCATGATTTCAGAACAACAATGGAGGAAGGCAAAATTTGACACTTCCAACAAAAAAATATTTACGAACTGTAAATAACAATTACTACAACTTAAGTATGATAATTCATTTTAAGTATTTATTGAGTTTAACTATTTTTATTTAAATCTCTGGATTGATATATTGTTTCTATTTATGAATTACAAAACATTCCAGCATTAATTTATTTATGTGTCTATAAGTGAAAGAAATGTAAAAAGGAAAAATACTTTCAGCTGCTAAAACTGAAAATAACATCCAGCGTATCCTTAAAGATACAATCACATTTGAATCAGTAAGAGATTTATACCAAAAGTACAGATTACACCAGATACCTATAACAGCAGTATTAATACGACTTTGGAAAATCTTGAGAATCTGGTTTTTAGTTTATCTTGTGATCGCTACACCTCTCTGGTGCAACAAAGGTAAGATTGGAAAACACTTTTGACACAAAACCTGTTCTAATAAAATGCGGTTGATATATATATATATATAAAATATATATATATATATATATACTATGATGTCTCAGAACACGTTTCCTCTCATATTGGAGTGTTTTAAGAATGAAGTATCGATTCACCACGCTGCTACATTGCGGGTTGGAGGGCTTTAACGACTACTCCCATAGAATTAGTCGTAACCGGGACATACTGTCTAACGTGCTTTGAAAATAACGATGTTTTAAAAAGTTGATTAAAATAATAAACCTACAATAAATAATAACCGCCTCTGTAGCCAAATGGTTAAACGTATTGCCTTGCATTGCGTTAAGCGCGAGAGGTCCTTGGTTCGAATCCCAGGAAAACATAAAATTGTTTCGGTCGGGCAGGGCACGGAAGTCTGATCAACTACTTGTCAGTTAGAAAGAACGGATCAGTGAAACGGACACAGTTTCGCCCCATGTCCCACGAGGGGGAAACGGTTATTCACACATATAAACTAAGAACGACCTTTGCAGGATGGTGTTGCTGTTGCCTGTACTGTAAATTTTTTAAACCCTACAAAAGTATTGAAGAGGCGAAATTGTATCTGATACAAAATCCACCTGGCATACTAAAAACGAGTCACGACATTATCATTTACCAGCCAACGGAACGTGAGAGACAGTGTTATGAAAAATTCGATCACATTTTAAGGACGATATAATGAAGTTGCTGTTCATGAAGGAAAATTCAATAAAGCACTTTTACTTACATCTAAGATTTGATTGGCTTTCGGAAAGTCATTGTGGTAGAGGGCTAACGCCACTAAACAATTCGGCTTAGCAAGCATTATAGATATAAAGTCGATTGTTGTCTTCTTTGTTCCGCACGCTGAAAAATATATTTAATCTTGAACATAACACAAACTCCACTTTGCTTAAGTTTTTTTCATGGCATAGACATATAACTTGAAACTAATATATATTTTTATTTTATTGCTATAATATTGTTATGAACATCTACCTTCATCCGAAGCAGAGGTTGTGGACACAATCATAGCTTTATCAGACTCTGGTTTGGGATTAGTGTGCCGACGTCTTACTTTTGGCTTCTTTCTAGACATTCTCAGATCTAACTCTTGATCTTCGTCTTCACTGCTATTGTCTACTTCGACATAATCCATGCAAAGCTTCATTTGAACCGGACTTGTGTCAGGCGAGAGAGTTGATACAAGTTGCATTTTCCATATAGAATGATTAACTATATCCATCAGCAGTTTCAACCTGGCCAAGGAGTTTGTGTCTGAGCAGTTAATAACTTCCTTTCTCTCAGATAAACTTTCTAAACAGATTTTCAAAGTGTTCAGAATTACTTGAGTTATCAATGAGTTACACATAAAACCGGTGTCTGAGCTGGTTGTATCATTCTGATTTTTTATCTGCTTTCTAGAGTAAAAGTATGAACATTCCGAATGGGTGCCACATGGGTAATCCTGATTATGCTCATGACAAGATAAATATTCATATCTAAGGAAGAGACAGGAAAATATGTTTTCTATTACTTCTATGCAGCATGGTAATGGTTGGATTGATAGAAGCAGCCGCTTAATATCCTCCATGCAATTGTTAATCTCATCAAGATTTTCCAGACCTTCGGTTGAATCCAGAATAGTATCTATTACTTTAGTAATGGTGCAATAGCTATTATAAATTGAAATATCCCAATTCATTCCAGTGGTTTTTCCAGCTTTAATGTCAGATTTGTTACTATAAGCTTTTAATTCTGTTATAAAATCATTGTTCATGTTTAACAGTCGTGATACTTTATATCTGTCTACTTTGGACAGCCGGCAGACTTGAGATATAACAGTTAAGGCACTTTGAGCTAGTATTTGGTTAAAAATTGACGTCGTCATTATTTTGCTATTGTTTTCCAAACAGAATTTAATGAGTGTCAGTTCCCTTTTGACTTCTGTTAAATAGAATTGTAGCTGCTTGTCTGTCGTTGTGTATGTGTCAAGAATTGAGAAAATATTGCTCAATTGAATGACCAATGATGTTAAATCATATGTCTCTGGGCAATTTGTAAGATCAATAAGAACCATAATGAGTAATTGTTTGGTGAAGTTATTTATTTGGAAAGTCACCGTTTTCATATCATATAATTGTTGCTTGTATATTTGAGCAGCTTTTAGGAGCCAATGTACCTTTTCCTCATAGCACAGTTCAATCATATATTCTGCAGTTAACTTGAATTCTTTACGGGATTCATTTTTATGGATAAGATTGGTAATAGTGTGTATTAATTCTGGTCTTTGTTGAGGTATTAAGCTGATTAATATTTGTTTATGGTGCTGCTTAAACACATCTCCAGCTATAAATTTAAGGATGTCATTTAGGTGCTGAGACGAGAAGTCTTGGTCATATCTGGTCAAAGACAGTATGGAAATCAATTTATCAGGTGAGTTTTCTGTTACCTCATTTTTCAAGACATCTACATATAAGGCTTGAATTTTCTGCAAGTCTTTAGTTTGAGAATAATTTTGAATGTAGTGCAATAGTTCAGATGTTGTGACAGGATTACTTATAAGGTTTTGTTTAAAAAAATTTAAAGATTCCTCAGATAAACAACTTATTGTTTTAGACTCCTCTGCATCGCTATGGATTTTTAAAATTTCCTAAAAGACACATAGCAAAATTTGTAATAAATAAACAATAATCATAAAATATTCAGCACCTTGCTTTTCCAAAATTATTGAGAGTCAAAGCTTACCTCAAAGACTTCTGGACTAAGGCCCTCAAGAAGACAAAGCATATATTTTAGCTCCTCCTCCTTCATCTTGATTTATAACAAACTTTTTTTTTCAATACAGTAGCATTACATTATCTGTAAGTTGATTTGTATTGTGTTTATTTCATAAGTTTAATACAAGTACATGTATGTAAATGTATCAATTAATGATTACTTAAGAAAACTACTACGTTAAATTGCCTTAGTTTTCTTTTTATCCTTTACTAATACGATTATTCTACTCACATCTTTATTAAAGTTTGTAAGCACTGGATTACTATAAGATACGATTAATTGTATAAGATTTGAGAACACGAACATTGAGGGGTTTTTTAATTTACATAATGCAATAACAAAAACAATACTGCCTATACACCTTTATACATTTCTTTTAGGTAGTAGATACCACAGGTACATACATTTTCAAAACCAAAAACCTTTTATACAATGTAGTAAAATGGTCAAATGTCAAAATTTTATTTAAGAAATGTCATCCATTATGCCTCTGTGGATACTTCGATTTCGTAATAGTTGTACTATCTATACAAAATTAGTATTTCTGAGTGGCAATTTGCAAATAAACTAACAAAAGTAAGGACCCGGTCCGGGGTAATTTTTTAAATTATTTTAATTCCTTGTATTGTTTAAAAACTGAAATGTAAAATACTTTTTAAGCGCAGTTACTTCCTTTATTTTGTTTATAATTCAAAATTTCGTGTGAGAGGTACCATATACTTCGCGGCATAAGAGTCGATGATGAGGTTAAAAACAAACAAGCTATTTGGAGTATTTCAAAGTTTATACAACAAACAATTTTCCACTTTTGTAAATCTAAATCATGTAAATATCAAATTTACCAATGTACCAAAATATCCATGGCGTACGTCGTCTATCGTGTGTGTATATTCGTCGGATACAAAAAAATTCGAAAATCTAGAAAAACGAGCCGAAGCACTTAAAGATGCCTTCGAACAAAGAAAAGAGAAAATTAAATTCACAGAACAAAAAATAAGACTTAAAGGTGTTGAGTTTGTGCGAGATATCAAACAGCACAAAGAAATAACAAGTCAAAAGTTAAAAGTGAAAAAAGATGATATTATTAAAGATATACTTGAAACTAAGGCCAAAGTTAAGGAGAAAATAGAAGGAGTTGTTGAGGTATGTAACTACCGCTTCCCTTTATATTTGTTGTACACTATACATATATTTTCAACCATGCTGAAAATCATTCAATAAAAATTAAACTTTTAATTTCCTCAACTGTGCTTATTAAACTAAATTACTTTTTTGTTTCAGAAAGAAAATGTTTTTACTGTTCCTAATGTCCTATGTGTTATGAGAATAGCCATGTCTCCATATTTGGGATATGTAATTTTACAAGATAATTACCATCTTGCTCTTGGGCTATTAACCTTTGCAGGTATTACAGACTTGGTGAGTGAACAAAAAAAGATAACCAACTAGAGTGAAAGTCATAAGCACACATGCAGTCTATTTTATTACCATCAAATTATCGAATAATTGAATTATTGAATAGCACAATAACATAATTTGATGCACTGCAGGTATTAAGCATAGATATTATTGTTTAATTTGCTTCTATAATTGCATTTAACATACAAAGTTGCAGTATTGCAGACACAGCGTGTATATTTATTTATTAGCTGCACTTCTAAGTCACTATAAAAACATCACAATAATATCTGTTTTAGCTGGATGGATGGATCGCTCGAAAGTGGGAGGGTCAAGCATCAAAAATGGGCTCATTCCTAGATCCAATGGCGGATAAAGTTCTAATAGCAACACTTTTCGTATCACTTACCTGTCAAAATCTTATACCATTAGCCCTAACACTATTAATTGTTGCAAGAGACGCTGCCCTTGTTGGTGCCGGATTTGTTATAAGATATATCAGTTTACCACCACCAGTAAGTAGAGTATAATGAATGTTTTACAAAGGTGTCACATTAGATATGTAAATAACATTATGCAAATATATCTAGAATGATTGATAGGTTTATGCAAATTGCCCATATGAATAATTGAGATAACAATATAAGAAATGTATACACTAAGTAACTGATTTCAATTTACTTTGGAAATAAAAGGCCTGTTTAATTGTTTAACGGCCTATCCAATAAATATTAAATCGAGGTTGAACCTTGGTCAATACCCTTATAAGACAAGACAAGGTTGAATTTATTAAAAACATACACTTTAAATTTGCAGAGAACCCTGAGCCGATATTTTGACGTGACGCATGCGACTGCACAACTCGCGCCCACATTCATAAGCAAAGTGAACACTGCTGTGCAGCTTTTATTGGTAAATTATACACCAATTACACAAGGTCTTCATGATTTAATGCATTGCAAAACACGGCATTTTGTTTAACCGGGGCACAGAAATCTGATCAGCTGTTTTACAGTGAAATTAACATAAATATACTTTATTCTAATACATTGATGTAATTAAAAGCACTAACATCATTTTGAGCTTAAGAATCCAAAGTATTACTTCCACATAGATTTTATTTGTTTTTAGAAAAATTACTGCTAATATTTCTATTTTAAAACACTTGAAAATGTTTGTGCTTACAATACATTGTGTTTCAGGTTGGTACCACACTTGCATCACCAGTTTTTGGCTATGTGGATCATCCGGCTTTGCAAGTTCTTTTCGGCGTAACAGCTGCCTCAACAGTCATATCTGCAATTAGCTATTTAACAAGCAAAGATACATACAAACTTCTAAAAGAGAAATTGTGAATTTTAAATATATATATTAATTTATAGTCTTCCAGTTGCAATATTTTTAATGAAATTCTCCTATTTTAGAGTATTAGTTAATGTGTTTAAGTGAAATTAAACCTAATATCATCTGCCTTATATTTTTATTAAACATAGAGTAAGAATCTGGGATTTTATAGAAATAAAACATCAAGTTACAAAATATGAATTTTATTCCTCAATCTATTCATATTATGAATATGCATAAAATTATGAAAGTACAAAATTATACTTAATTAATCTAAACAAAATATTAAATAATTGCCAAATGTTTAAAAGATAATGACACAAAAAATAGTTTCAGTCAGAATCATTGAGGAGTGTGTTTATGCAAAAAGTTATAAAAATAGAATCTGGAATGTTGCCTTATTGAAAATTAATGAACGTAAAGCGGTGTTTTAATTTCACTTAAAAGAGTACAAACACAGTTGTTAAAATTAAATTAAGTTTTCTTAATGTTAACTATTTCTCACACTCCGCATAAATATGTCTATTTTATCCTAACGCAACAGATACTATTTAAAAGACAAACAATACATTACAAAATACACAAGTACTTCAATTTGGAATTACTAGCAAAATCCACAAGCAAATCTCAGACAACTAGATAGGTACATACTTTTAATACTTAATTTCCTGCGCACATATATATAATGGACTTTTTGGATGGTGAAAGTTCTTTTCAATAAAAGGCACACAAACTTAGTCATGGGTATCAATAAACAGAAGTGTTAGAATATATACAGTATTAAAAATATACAGAAGGGTACTTTCTGACATTATTTTTGGTATTATTAATTGGGGTTACATGAGATTCTAACTTACATAATAATTTCAAGCAATATATTATTTTGTATTGATTCGGTGCATAGATTTGTACTGTGCAAACAGTATTTAATTTAGACCTGAATTTCTATATCTGTCAAACTACAAAATTACATGATGTTTGCAAAGATAGCATGATTCAAAAAACTACAAGGATAATCATATAACATGAATGTTCAGTGTCATTAACATAAAAAATATGTTTTATACATCATAGCTTGTAGATGACATGAATAAATTATTTTATACAACCATAAACAATACTTCTGTTTCCATTATATTAACATATTAGAATCTCTGGCTAAGGAGTACTCATTTAGTACTATATAATTTTACGACTAGATTAGGATATAATCAAATGCTAAAGCCAGATTGAACAGTTAAATAATCTGATGCCTCATTATAATAATATAAACTTAAAAAAATAATAAGTAAACAAATTACTTAATATTAGACAATCTCAAGACCTATTAAATGATTAAATTCTTTATATTGAAAAAATATTTTAAATCATACGTAAAACATGTTCTATTATTATGGCATCTATGTTATTTTGTAATATTCTGTTACATATGCAAGTACACTGTTTAATACTAACGAAATAGTAATTTTTGACCTAGTTATGGCTTGAAAGACAAAGCACCAATCAATATAATATGGATATCAACAATATAATGTAAATCAACAAAAATAAATCTGTCACAATTGTTAAAACCTTAAAACTAACAGTTGATTAATTGTCAGAAACATTGCACAAATAATTATTTTACATATTTTTAATAAAATGGTAACAAAGTCTGTTTACGTTCAAAAGGGCTAATATATATTATTCAAATAATTTACGATTACATTAGAATAGGAGGCTATTATACTTTCTAATGGTAAATAAATATTTATAGTGTTGAGTTAATGATCCGTGTACATGAGTATGGTTTGTAACCTAATTGATTACCCCACATGGCTGTTAATTAGCTCATCACAGATAGCTGTAAGTTCTTCATTATCTTTGATTTTCTGGGCCAAAGACTCTTGTAAGGAAGACGCATGAACTTCACTTTTCTTTAGCATAGCATTGAGCTTAAGAATTTCAGCTTGATGGGCTTTCTTTACAGAATCCAACTCAGCATTTGCTTTGTTTAATTGTTGCATTGCATGTTGCCGTAGAGTTTCATATCTAGCTTCTAATTTTTGTATTGCATCTGTGTTTTCTTCAACGGTTCTTTTCAACGTTTCTTCATTGCTTTTATACCCCTGAATTATCACCTTACATCTCTCATATTTTATGTGAACATCATTAAATGCATGTTCCATGGAAGCCAAATGGGATGCAGCTTCATCACGTTCTCTTAATAATGTAACCTTTTCTTCTGTCCATCTTTTGGCTTCAGACTCCCGTTCACCAATGAGTGATGAAATAGTCCTTTCATACTCCTCCATCACCACACTCATCTGTTTGTTGTTTTTAACCTTCTCAGCGACTCTCTGAGATAATATCTTTTCTTTGTCTGCATATTCCATATTTTGCTCTTCTAATTTTTTAATTTTGGTCTCACATTCTTCCAGACGATCTCTTAAATCACGATTTATTTCTCTTAGGCTTTGGGCCTCCTCCTCCTGCGCAGTAAGCATCTCCTTAACAGCTCTAAGCTGTTCAACTGTGTGTGGATCCATATCAGAAGTTCTTTGTATGACTGGGGGAGGAGGTGGTGCAGGGGATCCTAAACTTAACAATCTATCAATAGTAGCAATTGCTGGTGATACTGTATTTGATTTTACAGGGGTAACCTTGGATGATTGACTTCTATTTACAGCAGGGGTGACTACTTGAGTAGGTTTCTCAGTAGGACCACTGTTACTAGACTGTATGGACATATGTTGCATTGAAGTTAGTAAATTTTGCTCTGTACCTGACATGGTACTGAGTGAATTTCACTATAATTCCAAAATTCCTACTGGTTTTGGACTGATACTGATGACATCGTCTGGAAATAACGCAATAATTAACTTCAAGGACGCTGTTTGAGTCACTTGTCATATTCAGTACTTAGAAATATATTAATGCGATATTAATTAAACGCAACATTATTTAATTAATACAAATTGATTGAGTTATGGCACAATACCTTCTTTGTCTGATGTATTCCAATTATAGGAAAAATAAAAACATCCCACGCACAAAATTAAAGGCCAGAGCCATAAATGGTAAAACGAAATGAATGTACAAAAGTAAACACACACGAATTTTATCGTTTCTTTAGTTATTAGTTCAACTATAAGTTATATTGCAACATCAGCACAGTCCGAAATATTTTCACAAAAGTTAAACACAAAAAATTGAGTTTCAGAAAAAAATATTCCCAAATTATATTAGTAATTCCTTGCACAGACACAAAATTACACAGATTCAACACAGAAACCTATATTACTTAAAATTGCCATAGATAATGCTGTAGGACGTTGAATTGCCTCATTCCGTAAGCTGTACAGATTATAGAATGTAATAAATTTAACAGCAATGAGTACGATACCTTTAGCATTAAGAAATCAATTAGATCTAATAAATATAATAGAATACATACCGATAACGAAAAGGTGGGTATTAAAAAAATAGACAGTACAAGTAACTTATATTTATTGAGTTTAATTAAATTTGTACATATGGCATGTTTTGATAAAATCAAAATTCAACATATATATCTTTATACACCGACTATAAACTTTTCTGTTTTATACATTTCGTAGGCAAAATCTTCATCGTGCGTCGGGTCATACTCTAAGCCTAAAAAATAAATTTATTTAATAGAGAATGATCATTGTATTAATTATTAATTCAAAACAAAAGATATGATTCTATTAAGTATTATTTTATTGTTATAAAACTTGCAATTCGAGTAAAGAAAACTGTTTAAAGGGGCGAAAGTACCCGTGAGGGTACAAAGGTACCTGCAGAAAAACTCACCAACATATTCTATTTCCAAATTAAAAACGCCATCAAATCTGTCACCACACGCTATTCCAAAATTCGTGACTCTATCAAGTTGCATCCTCGTTTGTTTATCTTGTAGTCTGCCTTTGGATCCCAGTACAAACTTTGAAAATGGTATCTGCAACATTTAAATAGAAATCTTTGTAAATATATTCCTTTAATACTTACATTTAAAAAAGTCTCTGGTGGTCAAATTTTCGGTCAATTGCATTTGTCACAGGTTCGAATCTTGTCTGTAGTCTAGATGAAAAAATTGAAAATATTCAAACCTTAGCTATCTGCCAATAGGGACCGCCTCTAGTATATAGTACATAGTGGTAAATATCATTCCATGTTATGTCGTAATATCCTTCACATGAGATATTTAGCAAATACGATCTACCGTCTCCTCGGACCTTAATTACTAAAGTGTTATATATATTCCAGTCGTATGTTGCGTCGCGTTTAAAAGATTTCTGTGAAAAAAAATATTTAAGTATTTAATTTTCTAAGCGCACGTAGCTCCCGAAAGTAATGTTTCGATTTTTTCGCGAAGACCCCCTGAGCTGGTTCCAGGACTTAGGTGGATCATAATTGAACATAATGACTTTAATAAACAAATTATTATTGCAGTTTGTTTAAGTATGTAAATTTGATGTTGACTTGACCACGACTATGGGCGTTGTCCACCCCCGGCGCCAAAACTAGATCCGCCCTTGCACTCACCCTTATTCGTTTGGATCGCATAGAACAATATCCAGACTTCTTGATGCGGCCGTCTTTAGGTATTCTTGTATCCAAATAACCATGAAAGCTGGCTCGACCGGCAGGACTCATCTCTAATTTACAATTACTAAAGCCTTCGTTATGGTCGCTGTCGCTAGTTGTTAAAAACTTGTCCAACACTTCTGGAGAATTGAAACACCATAGCAGGTCTGTTTCGCCTTAAAATAATTAAAAACGGCCTTTTAAAGTTTTAGCCCTACAATGGTGAACTTTTATTATATAAGAAAGTACCTTGCTATTTGTATGGGAATGTTCTAGTTTTAGTTGGTTGAGAATATATTTTTAGGGGCATCACCTATTTATAGCTGATGAATATGAAATAAAACATGATTTTCAAAAAAAAATTATAATTCACGAAAAATTGAAATACAATAATAATACAACAAGTGTGAAGCGAAATTCAATTTGTTACAAAAGCTATACTCATTTCTGTTCACTAAAATTACAATTCTCAAAGCACCATATACAACAAAGCTTACCTAAATCACAGCTGCCAAAAACATCTTTTATCAAAATCTTAACAATTTGTTATTACACATAATTATATTGACAATTTTGTATCAGAAAGTATTTCTCTAAAGCTAGAAGTGGAAGGAATAGGAGATTATAGGGCAGGTTTAACAATACTATGTTGTTTTTTTGTTATAAAGTAAAAAAAAAAGGTATAAGAGACAATAATTAAAAATAAACTTAATTTAATAGACAATCCTTTCTTTAACGTACTTCATTAATAAGCTGGTCACATATTCGGGTTAACTCTTCATTATCTCTTGTCTTTTGAGCTAAAGATTCTTGTAAGGATGAAATCATAACTTCATGTTTCTTTATGGTGGCATTCATTTTAGTTATTTCAACACTGTGGCCCTTCTTCAAGTTATCCAAAGTTTCATTTGCTTTCTGTAAATGGTCAGAAGTAGCTTGTTTTAAGTTATTATACAAATCCTCATATTTTTTCAAGCCCGCATCATATTCATCAATTTTTTTCATTAAGACACCTTCCCGTGATTTAGCTTCCAGTACTACACTCTTACAACTCTCATATTTCGCTAAGAGATCATTAAAAGAACTCTCCATATTTGCAAGATGTTTAACAGCTTGGTCCCTTTCCTTTGTAAGTTTATCCATAGTTTCAAATAATTTCACCTTCTCTTGTTGTTGTTCATCTATTAAGGTGGAAATAGTTTTTTCATACTCCTCCATAACAACACACATTTGTTTGTTACTCAATTGTTTGTCCTGTAATTCTTGAGTCAATTGATTTTCTTTGTCCAATAAATTATTCCGTTCGTCAGATAATTTGTTAACTTTGCGCTCCATGTCCTCTTTGTAGCGCATAAAGTTATGTTCCAAGTCTTGTAATGATGATCTTAGCTCCCTATTTTCCTGTCTCAGTTGTAATACTTCATGGTCTTGATTTTGCAATATTGCTCTTAAGGACTGTAGTCTTTCATTCTCTTGACCAGCATAGCCCATTGTTTTTCGCGTCCTTGGCGATCTTGGAGCTGCAACTGGAGGAGTGCTACCAGATATGCTTATTAATTTATCTGTTGCAACTTGAGTATGAGGTAGAATGGCAGATACACTCCTTACTAGTACTGGGGTTGAATTTGTACGCATAGCAATCGGCTTTGACACCTCCGAGCTTAATACTGGTGTAACCTTTTGCATAGGTTTATCTTTGTTACATTTGCCTTGTGTGTTGCTGACACTTACATTATTATTTTCTGAAATAGAAACAGCCGTGTCTGTCAATATTGATGTAGCACTGCTCGTTTCATAGCCAACATCACACTCTAAAGAATCTGCTTGAATTTGAGTCTCAGGTGATTCCATAAAATGTTTCTGAGCATACAATGGGTCGAATTTTACAAAAAGACTCTCTTTTCCTCTATCAATAAAGGTATGATTACGAGTTGATTCACTACACCTTGCCAAAAAATCCAGACTATTTGAATCTATGGACAAGTTCGCTTCGTAATTAGGTACCTCTTGCATGGTGATGTCGCATATACTATCAAAGTCTGTTCCAGTCAGATAATCATTACTTATATTAGTTTGATCGATTAATACATTATCAGATTTTCTAGGAGAAAGAGTCATGAGATCGCCCATGGACGATACGGGGGTGATAAAACTATCGTCTGAAGCTATCGTACTCGTTTTAGATGACATGTCGAATTTTAAGTCCTCTGATTCCGGATGCTTAAATATATTTTGAACTTTTCTAAAAATTGATCCTATAGCACTATTATTATGGATTGGAGATTGAAAGTTTTCGAGATTAAAAAACATTCGTGCATTTACTTTGCAGTTTATGAGTTACACAAAGTCCCCTTAACACTTCACTAGTCAAACTATTTTTCTTTTATCAGTAATTCGAAGGAACAAAATATAACCATATAACGGACATTTTATTTTTGAATAACGTAAATCGTGAGGCTGGAAGTACCTTTGACATAAAGAACCAAACACCCAGCCAGCCGCATGTCTATAATATCGTAGTCTGTGGCTATACGACCAATGCATAGCACAATTTTCACAGAATGTACAAACGCGTTAGTGTCGCGTTTTGTACATTCTGACACTTGGCTTTGTATTACCTGCCATACTACTTACAGCTAAGACCGGCAAATTTAAAATTTGCTATACTAGAGTAATGTATAATAAAAATATTGAGTCTAGTGAATTATTTTCTAGTTTGTTTCACTAACTTGATTATGATGAATTCGAAGTTTATAGATAATTGATGAAATGTAATTTTTTTTAAGAATACTGATTTCTGGGCAATAATAATACTATTGCTTATTCAGTTTTTCAATAGATTTAATCTAAGTTTAATTTGTAATAATGCTACTCTACGATTAACATATATATATATAAAATGGAATAGTTAAAAACAAATAAAATGTGATTTTGAACAGCAAAACTTAAGCTTATAGTTGCTAATAATGAATATAGAGCAGTACAATGTTTTACTTACAGTAGGTCAGAAGCAATAAATAATTTAATAACTTACCAGGCCTTGCTATTATAAGGGGATCGTTTACAAAATAATCCCTTATTTCATTTTTTAACATTTTAAATTCGCCTTTAAGTTCCTGGAAACCATTTTTAATGTTCTCCAAAGGAGTCGTTTTAATTGTAGTATTATATCCTCCCTTTCGATCTTTTTCCCAGAAAAGTCGATCTGGAATCTTTAGCACTGGGCAATTTTCTATGAGCAAACGAGAATCCTGTGTTCTGCAGAACATAGAAAATTGGCGAACATTTACCATAACCTTAAAATTATTATAAAATTTGTTCAATGCCATTATGTCTATATTATTCTTGACCCGCAATTTACAACATTCACTTAATTAAATTTATTTCATGATAAAATGTAAAAGCACATTATCCTTAAATATAACTCTTATTTATGTTTATGTCAAAACAAAACTTTTTTTATATAAGTAATAACCACAGATAAAAAACACATTTATTATTAGACTACAGTCCTTGGGTAATGACTTTACTAAAGGCTATTCGGACAATTACTAACAACACACGTATATAGAATCATAAGTTTGATCTTATGAAACCAATCACATCTGTGGTGCAAATCAGACCTCTAGTTAGTAGATACCTATAAATATTCATTATTCAGAAACATTCAAACATTTTATTTTAGAAATATTATTTTATGAAGTTAAATGAAATACAAAATATACTTTAATATTATCATAACTCACTAGACAAATTAAAGACTGTCATTATTTATATTAATGGAGTATTTTAAGTTTTCGCAATAGACATTATTTACACTTTAGCGGGCTTTCATTCGACGGTACGATCTACATCGCGCTATATCTATTCCTTTCGCCTTTCTATTTGCATTCTCTTGCTTTGCAGGTTTAGGCTCGTGTTTTGCCACGTACACACGTGTACAACAATTAAATATTAAACAAACAATTATATTAGAAAAATCGGGCGTTCAATATTTTTTATATAATGCAGAAATAATTTATTTGTGTATTGTGTATTAATTATTAACTCGTGAAATGGGCATGGAAAAGCATTACAGGGTAAGTTTATGTTTTTTTTAAATAGAAATTATAAAAAGTGTTGTTTAAAACAAAATTATTTGGTTTATTTTAGGATGAGGAACTTTCGGAGTACCTCTACCCTCCAGACATATTACAAAAATTAAATTTTAGCAAGAGCCCTGCTACATTTAAGCCCAAGATAAGTGCAGCTAATCCAGGCGAGGATTGGATGGTGGTTAGACCACTCCAGCGGTCAGATTATGAAAAAGGGTTTTTACAATTGCTCAGCCAACTCACAAGCACCGGGAATATATCAAAAAAACAATTTGATGGTATGCATTTTCATAATGCTTTTTACCATATTTAAATTTAAATTTTAAGTTTTTACGACACTGATATTTTAATAGATTTTCATTATAAGATTATAATAAAACATATATTCATGTTATAATAAATATCAAAATTTTAAGTTAATAAGTTTCCAAATTCTGGCATCATATAAGTAAATTCTATATTTGCATTTTATTTTTTAAATTTTTTGTTAAGTGCATATTATAGTTTATAGCAATAGATTGAACGTCTTGCTGACATTCAAAGGTGACCTTGTCACACCTGTCTGAAACAACATTCCAATTCTAGTTCCTGATTAATAACTTACACTGAATGATGGCAATAATATCAGTATTCAACAAATGTTTTCTAAGTTTTTAATTGTAAATAAGTAAAGATATAGCTTATATAATCAAGTCTAAAGAATTATTAAATGAAATTACCTTAAGGAATTTTACTGTCAGTTTTTTAGCTTTTTTTTAAAGATTTTTTTCTTTAATTGAAAACATGTAGTCTATAAAACAGCTTTAATCATAGTTTATAATAATAATTAACTGTAAATTTATGTAATTAAGTATTGTCGGTAGTTTGTGCGAGTAGTATATAATAAAATAAAACAATATTGACAGTTTAAAACGCGATATATATTAGTCTCTTTGTGATCATGGCGGCTGCAAAGTATCTAAAATGTTGGGCCATAGTTTACCATTAAAAGGGACTTATAAATTTTTGTAAATATATGTTAACATAGTTCTTTGTTATTTTCTACATTATCTGAGTTAAGTAGTTGAGCAAATTCTTATATTCCAAGGTATGAATGCCTAAAATTTATTGGACTTTGATAATTTGAAGTACTTATCTTTTTGGCTTTTTTTTATTAATAGAAACAACATGTGGATTGCTGCAAGTGTTCATTTAGCTAATGAGGTGTAATTACTTTACAATTGGGTCACTAAAGCAGTTATCTTAATATCGTAATTATTACAGAACGATTTACGCAAATGAAAATGGCTGGGGGATACTATGTCACTGTTATAGAGGACAAGAGACTTTCAAAAATTATTGCTGCGGCAACACTAACAGTTGAACAGAAGTTTATTCACAATTGTTCCTTGGTATGAATACAATATTATTGTGTAAGCTCCAATAATTAAAAAAAATATTTTGTAATTAAACAGATTGGTACCAATTTATCTATGCTTTGTTAAAGAAAATAATGCGAGGAGGAACCCAGGATCCATGCTGTAAAGGATACAATATAATTTGTATCTGTTTGTACCTGTATAATACCACTTGATTGAAACTTAGTAAAATTTGAATGCTAATGAAAAAATAAATGCTTTTTGTATGTCTTCATATAAGGGCCTAAATGAAGAAAATGAATATAATATTTTGTTTAAAACAGAGAGGTCGCCTGGAAGATGTGGTTGTGAACGACACCTACCGAGGAAAACAACTGGGAAAACTGTAAGTACTGTTTTATATCAACCCAACTGTTCTACTAAGATTTAAGCTTTAGTCAGTTGTTTATTATTTATTTTTAACAATAAGAAATATTTATTATCAGTCTATTTCTATAGTTTTGAGAAATTTATTTTGATAATCTATAATTATATTTGTTATTATTGTTATATTATTTGTTATTGATATTAACTGTTTGTATTCCAGAATTGTAGTGACGGTGTCTCTACTAGCGCATCAGCTGGGCTGCTACAAAATGTCCTTGGACTGTAAGGACAAGCTTATTAAGTTTTATGAAAGTCTCGGATATGCGCTTGAAGCTGGCAACTCTAATGCTATGAATATGCGGTGAGGTTTGAAATTAATCTTATATTTGTAGGGTTCCGTAAACATAAGGTATACGGAACCGTTTAGACTACCTATTTGTTCTAAAACTCGATTGTCCATCAGAAAGATACTTAAACTTATTTGAAAATGATTTTTAGCTTCGGCCCGACGTTCAAATAAGTTTAACTAATACATCGCGTTTTAAATCGTTAGTGTTTTATTTAAATGTGTACTACTCGCGTAAACCATAGACAGTACTTAATTCAATCTCGTGCAGGTTTGAAGAGCCATCCTGACAATTAGCCGCTGGGCCATCCGACCTGCGTTCCAAACTGTAAGTATGAAGCAACTGGCTCGGACTTCGCAACAACACGCCTTCCATAACATTGGCGACAAATCATACTTTAAAGGACGTCAGAGGAAACCTTTTGAATTGTATATCCAACAAAAATTTACTAAGTAGTTTATTGTTTATATCAACAGAAACTTTAGAGCTGAGTGCGAGAAGGTTACGATAAATTGCTACATGAGCTTATTACAATATTTATTTATAATAATTGAATTAAAAGATTTTATTCGGTTATCGCAAATGTGTTGATATCAAACTATGACGTCACTTGCCAAGAGACAGTATATACAAAATAGCTACGTCATAATATAAGAGATATGATTTACCTTCGAGAAATAAAATTTTAAATATACATAACACTGTGTTTGTTGTGATTTCTAGTTGTTTTTGTAGTTACAGCCGCGGGGTCAATTTCTTTATCCATCAAACATTTTGACCACATCGTGGCTTTTATGTTTGATGGGGTAATTAATTGATTGATAGATGTCCCAGCACATAATTTCGTTTTAGTTTGTAATTGTACATTCCACGAAAGCTAGTTACTCGCTATTATTTGATTATCAGCTTTTATTGTAATTAACGTTTGTTCATTATGCGTACTAACATCCATTAAATGTTTTGCTTATATCTGTGGTTTTAATTTCGCAATCAAATAAGTTCTATTAAAAATCTTTTATTTACACGAGAGGTGAATATGCGGTACAGCGCACACGTACACATTTACAAAACAATAACGCACGCAGGTGCCATAATTATTTAGATACAGGATTAAGATTTTCATTTTGTTTTAACACTTACGACTTGCCCTTCAAATCACCGTGGACACTTCCTCAATAACCTGATAACATTTTATCAACGTAATCTATATAATCGAATTATTACAACTTCGATCAAAAATCGGAAAATGCATCATATTACCAAAGATTGCTATTACTTCTTTTAAAAGATAATTGGTGTTCTTTGATATAATCTTCTTATTTGCTATAATTATGGTAGATTTAAAATATTACAATGAAAGTGTTTTTTTATAAACTATGATGGGAAATATTTCAGCATTTCATTGGTGGACGGTAACGTCTACCCGAATCGTAGAGATTTTTTTAAAATTGTAAATTTAAAACTATAAATAGACATATAATTACCTTTTCTAGCCATATACTATAGTTACTTAAGCGATATTACAAACAAGCCTTTGTTATTCTATGAAAAATATCCAATACAATAAACTACATTAGGTTGAAGTCTTTCATTTCGGAGTTTTCTAAAAGTGACTAGTGTATAGCTAATTATATATAATTATACGATATATTAAATACTGTAATAGTTGCGTAGTCTAATCTCACTTAAGCGCCATTTATTTGGTACTTGTTCCCAAATTACATCAGCAAAGATTCTTAGAATGTTATATAGTGGAGAGAATTTTGAGTTTAAGATCGCTTGAGCGGGAATCCACCCTCAAGTCAAAAATAAATTCAATTTATATAAAATACATACATAGATACTTTTCGTTACCTTGAGCTTTCCAAGTTTCATCCAGTATTAATTTAATAAAGTATGCCTTAGTCATAGTGCTATTAATACGTATAATATATTACAACATTGATATTGCAGTAACATTAAATATCTTAACAAAAACGAAGAAAATATGTCGTTTAATTTTTTTTACGACAGACCATATTATATAATTTATTTAGTATCATATGTCCATAATATGATTATACAAAATCAAAGAGATACATAGCAATTATGATAAGATGGCTTGATAACAATATGTCAATCGAAGCCCGCCAAACGACAGAGATAGTGCGTAATCACAAATTTATTAACATTTGAAGTACATATTTAGGTCTTTATAAAATCACTGTTGGGTTGATTCTAATAAAAAGCCATGTATAAAAATAAATAAAAATATTTTATTACATTATTCTCATAATAAATAAATACGTCTTTAATATATGGATGAAAATGTTTAAGTTGACCAACAGAAAAAAAATCACTTTTAAGCACAACGCCTTATACCATAGACAGAAATACAAAGTCCTTATTTATATTAATTGTGGCTGATAAACAATCCGCTTTCAATATCAAATGTAAAACGTAGATTAGATAACCTTTTTAATTCAATAAATTCGCTAAAATTAAGAACTAAACATTACAGGGAGGTAATTAAAAGTTATAATGCAAATCAACAGTGGTGTAGCTATCGTAGGGCCAGGTGGTGCAGTGCACTAGGACCCTGGAACTTAGGGGCCCTCTAACCTTATCTATGAGAAGATATAAGCGTAGGAGAAATTGATTTTTAAGTGTTTTTGTTGCTATTTATAATTTTGGAGGCTATACTAAATGATGGGATGAGGGCCCGAATTTTTTCTTGAGCCTTAGGATTAGGTAGACCGTAGTCCTTATCCACCTACACTAGCCAGCTACGCTACTGAATTAACATATAAAACGATTTGTTTATTGTTGAGAAGAGAAAGAAGTACAGATAATACTCTGATATTTTTTAAGAAGACAGTTTAGTCTATTAGTATAGAAAGGTACTATTTAACTATTCAAGAAAATATATTTTGGATACGCTAATTTTGTCTTGTATAAGGGTTAATGCACAAGGCGGCTGGGAAAAGCGTGTCCTAGTCCAAAAAACACTATTTCCATTTAGTTCTTGAATATTTTCCACAGTCCACGAAGTCACGTCAGAATTCGACAGTAATGGAATATATAAATAAAACACCTTAACGGTTCAAAACACGAAATATTAGTTAAACTTATTTGAAAATTGTTTTTAACTTCGGCCCGACGTCTAATATATCGTGTTTTAAATCGTTAAAGTGTTTTATTTAAATGTGTACTACTCGCATAAACTATAGACAGTAATGGAATAGCTTTAACACAGTTTTTGAACTACGCCTTAAAAACTCTTAGGCGATTTTAAAAAATGGTGTTTGACATGGATCTTGACTGCTGTATTTATAATGTATGTTTTATATTTTTATATCTTACTGCTCATGTGAACTTTGAAACATAATAAAGAATTCAAGAAACTTCAGACAACCTTATCAAGCCCCTCTGGAACACCTAACCTCAAAATAGGGTAGATTTTTGGATCAGTGTATCAAAATAGCATTAAGACCCCAATATCCGTGTCTTAATGTGTACACTGGTTTAGAGGGTTCCATTTCCCACACATTAATACATATCACTTGTTAGTTCACGTGTCACTGAGCTCACTGTCAGTTAAGGCCGGCAGCTAGAAGGGCGGCGCCGGCGCAGTTATTTTGGTGCCGAGTTTCATTGGACCCTGACCGCGCGCTGTACGTCTAGCCTCCATCTCGCGTTGACGCTGCAATTTTCTCTCCTCGCGCTTTCGTCGCATTTCGTCCATTTTTGAAGCATTATTTTCTGTAATAATTAAATATAATTTTCATTAGCCTGATAGACATTCATATTTTGATAAGAAATTTTGACGTATTTTGTATAGTGTTTTTTATAATTTTTTTTTGTAGGATGAAATACTCCAGCCATGTAACATCTCAAAAAGATGGGCTGATGGCCTATTATTAGGTCTGGATATTTGGGAATCCACAATAAAGTTTAAAATGTCAAATGCACAGCTTTTTTATTTGATATTACAGATTCCTAGCACCAATTTAACATTCAGATTTCCAAAAGAAGTTTAACATGTTTCAGAAAAACTTTAATTTGAATTGGGACATGTTCGACCCGGTGGGCATCCGTCTCACGTCCCGATGATTTTTAGCCATAAATTACATACTACTAAATACCTGACAGGTAAGATTTTACAGCTTGAAATCACAAATTGGAAAAAAAAGGAAAAACCATATCTACAAGGGTAGTATAACATACGATCGGCGTTTTCTTCAATCGGCTCAAACTCGCCATCCTCCCAGCCTCCGAGTGAATCGTTGCTATTCTGATGTGCAGCCGGCTTATGTTCGAGTCTCGATGTATTCCGAACGAATGTAGCGTTCGCGTTCTGCATCGGTTGGTTCCACTCAGAGTTGTTCCAAGTCTCCGATGGACTCGCTAGTTCCGATTCAGCCGCCTGAAGATTAATTAGGGATTTTTTGTTTGATTTTGGGATTCCTAAAGATGTTTCTAATGATATGATGCGGATGAGAATGGCAGACACATTTCTGTGTCCTTGCGATGGCAATATATGACAATATGTGTGTGTCTAAAATTGTCTATTTCTACTCTATTTGAGTTGTCCCAAAGTTTTGCATGAATAATGTCAATACCATACAATCCCAATTTAAAGCCAAGAATAGCCGTATTTTAAACTGATGGTGTGAATGCGTAACGCACGCCCACGTACTATAACTTCCTTAGAGACAATAGCCCCCCAGAACCACTATACACACCACCAGTCCGCTTCGGTGCTTTGAGGTAGCTAAGAATAACTCTAACCGGCTGTTCCTGTAGTTCTCCCCATTCATCATTGTCCCATTCGTCTTCACACAGTGCAGCAAGACCGCCTGCACCACCTGCACTGCTTGTTCCTGACTTGCCACTGCCGCCTGTTGTCGCTGGAAAAACATAATCCATATTAACCTAATTTCTTTATGTTTGTGTAATCTAAAGTCATATATGTAGATAAATATTTCTAACTAAGTTTAAAAATAAATGACAAAACTCTGGTATTTTTTTCATGCTTTGTAAAAAGAATACCAGAAGAAATAATACCATAGATGAAGCTATTTTTTTTTATAAAAAAAATTAACTTAATGAGCAGAAGGGCTAGAATTCTTTAATACTTTTTAATGTCACATACATTAAATAACAAAAAAAAAAATTATATATTTTATAGTTTATGCGAGTAGTCCACAATTTCATTAAAACCGTTTAGAAAGGGAGAATAATTTTTAAACTTATGTTCTATTTATTATGAAGGTTCGGATGAAAATTAAAAATGCTTGAACTTTATTTTTATTTATAAAAAAAAAACATGTTCCGCATATAACTCCAAAGATTAGTTATTTATAACTTCCTATAAATTCCTACTTATTAGTGTATTTAATATTTAACAATAGCGTCATTTAACTTCTTAGCTATATGTATATTTTAAGATCACCTGCGCTAGAGTCGATTTCACCCCACGCCGTCATATCCCAATGTTCAGGGTCATAGTCGGAGGCGGATTCGCTATGTTCTAGTGACGTCATCGATGTTACAGATGATGTCGTTGTCGACATGCTGCTTGACGAAGGTTGTTCTAAAAAAACAAATGCATATAAAAAAAAATGTTTTCTCTTGACAGTCTAGTAAGACTAGTAGTACTAGCTTGGATAGTAATCCAAGCTGAATATATCTTCGCCATACTTATAGTGTAATTTTCTCACAAGGTTTCCAATGATTTACACTAAAAACACTTTGAGACACTGGATAATATTTTAAACTACTAGATTACCTTTTTCACGTAATTCACGTAGTAAAAACTACAATTAAAACAAAAAAAAATATCCTAAAAATGAATTTTCGTGAATAGACAGATTAAAATTGCCTTTATTTGGCATTTAAATAGCAATGGATGTAAGTAAAGTCAACTATAAAAGAAAGCAGAAGTCCCACCCATACAAGATCGCTGCAAAGCGTTGAAACATCGACTTAGAAATAATGAAAAAAATTACAAAAAACGTCGCGATTAAAGTGTATTGAATAATGAGGTGGTTTAGTCCATATATAAAACGAGATTTCTTTATCTTTGTGTCATGAACTTCACTCGATAAAAGGTAATAACTAGTTCTCTATGGTTTGATATCGGCCATACTTGTGTGAGGTCTTTCGCCAAGTTAGAAAATATGGACTATACCTTAAGATATATTGTTAATCGCATAATACTTTCGAAATAGGATCTTTAGGAATCTCAAATATTTCTTACCCAACGATCCGGGTTTAGATAAAGTAGATTTAACTGGATGCTGCACTTTTGCCGTATCCGAATGTGATCGGTAGAATTTAGCAGTAACAGCGGTAACCGCCCATCCAGCCCAGGTGGCTGCCGCGTTGCTGAGCGACGGCGTTGCTGTATGCACATCCGCTTCTGCAAAATAGAGATAATTGACATGTTAAAAATGTTTCATACTACTCATTCATTTCAATAAACATATTTATTCTTATTATATGAATAAACTTCTTTTTGGCATGTTTTGTAACATGTTTTATTTAAAGGTATATCCTTTAAATAAAACAGTTTAACGGTTTAAAACGCGATATATATTAGTTAAACTTATTTTTAACTATAGCCCGACGTTTCAGAAGCTCGCTGTGACCACGGCTGCTGCAAAGCATCCGAAATGTCGGGACGTAGTGAAAAATTAAGTTAAGTAATATATTTTGCATTTTAACCCGTTAAGCGTTTTATTTAAATCTGTACTACTCACGTAAACTACAGACAATACTTAAACATGCTCATTTTAAAATGTAAAAATAGTAACAGAATCTTACCCATTCCTTCTTTCAGGCTAGGATCTTCAGAGACTTTTTCCAGTTTTCCGAGAAATCCTTTGATAGTTCTAAAAGCCGCATCACGGACCTACACAAAATCTGTTGTAAAGTACAAGTATTTCCATATCACAAATGAAAGAATTAGTATATTCAATTACCTGCTTTTCCGGGTCTGCAGTGAGTGGACATAATGCTGGCAACACTCGGTTAGCAACTTCGGACAGCAAAAAGTACTGCTGGGTAGCGGCTAGCGCTAGCACCCCAGCTTGCCTCGCTGGTGGAAACGAATCCCGCGTCGCACGAACGAACGCAGACACTAGCACCTTCTGTCGTATTTGAGGGTGTAAATGCGCAGCTATTTTCCCTAGACACACTGTTGTGTTCGTTCTGTAAAGTTATGACGAGTTATAGAAGGGTCAATACAACGGTTGTTGGTCTGCTATTTATGTTGAGTCTGTAATGAATAACCAGGAGATAGGTGTTAAGGATTTGAAATGTTTATATTTTTCGCATGACAGCATTATATAAATTAAAAATCTATTCAGCGACTTAAACACGCCTCCACAGCGTTCCGTGATGCTGCTCTAACCCACGATTACACGGTAGCTCAATTAGAGTAGCAGCCAGGAACGCTGTGAATGCCAGTTTAAGTCCTAAATAGTCCTGTGTCGTAAATTTTGTTCAAGCTGAATAGGTTGTTTAATTGATGTGAAACGTTTAGCGGTTTATTTATTTTTATATAGACCGCCTCCGTAGCTTGATCTTCGAACGTGTTAAAGAACAGTGCGTTTTAGGTTTGAATTTTGAGAACAATAAATTTTTCGGTTAGGAAGCCTATGAGGGAAATAAACTCAAACACTTGTCTGTTTAATTATTCACACAAAAGGGATATTGCTTTAAGAAAAAACAAATTTGTGTTCAAAACATACCTAATCCCACCCTGGTCATCTTTTGATTGCAATCTCGCAAAATGTCGTAACACTTCTACATTTAAGTTATTATAATTCAACTTTGGCGCCAAATGTACAATAGATTTGACAGTCTGTTCACGGATAACGGCGTTTGTATCTAAGAATCCGTGTATCACTTGTGGGAAGATTTGGTCATTGACCTGAAATAGAAGTTAAAATAATATGTACTAACAAATCGGTAATATTATTTTAAATACATTTAAATAAAACACTTTTAACGGTTTAAAACGCGAAAAATATTGGGTAAACTTATTTAACTAATAAATTTCGCGATCTAAACGGTTGTCAAAATGCGGATAACCAAATATCCTAACACAAAGTAGGTTGACGGCGCACCATGTTGAAATTTATATGGCTGGGATATTTTACCTTTCATCAAGTAAACGTCAAGATTGTTTATTATATAAAAAAACTAAACACACTACGATTACTTTCTTAAACGTATGTTTTACTATGTCGGTTATTAATATAATACTAAGATTTAATTAGCTAAATTACTAACTAGCTATACAAGTGATTTGGTCATATTTGACGTGTATGTAAGATTTTCCTTTATTAATAGAAAAACTACACACCGTTGAGTTCTGTAGATGCATAATGAACTGGTCAAGTTGCTGCAGCAGCCTGGACCTTGTTGTCCTGTCGTTGGATGCAAATAACTTTACAACACACGGCACTATTTGTTTCTGATACTCTGCGTCTTCTAATAGTTTACCTAGCTGCGAGGAATTATTCAGAAATATTAATTTTGCTTTAATTACAATGACTTAAAGAAGCATTTGGAATACATAAACTTTTTGACAATTTTGGGTCACGAATTAAGTTAAATCAGGTTTTGGTTTCAGTCTGTGGACACCATATATCCAAAGCCAAAATGGGTCGACGGCACATCTTGTTTAGATGCTATAGGTTCAATATATCAAGTGAATCAAGTGAATGCTTGCTTGTCCTCCTCTATCATAAAAAAAGAATCCAATAGTAATAAAAACTTTGCATTAGCTGCGCCATGTTTTCTACGTAAGAATGCGAAAACTTAGTTATGTACATTTTACCTTACCATACCCATAAAAAGAAACATATAATTTTCTTGCAGCATAAAATATTGCAGGATGTAAACACACACAATTTTATCAAAATTGGTTGAGCCATAAACAGAATGAAATGTTGTAAATTGTACCTTAAACATAGGTCCTAAAACAGCAGACCCAGCATCCCCATAGTGAAATGAAGTCATTAATTGCGGCAAGATCTTGTGTATACACACAGCCTCTGGGAAACTGTCTAAGTAACTGCTTAGTGTTGAGAAAAACTTCGCTTTCTCAGCCTTATCTTTGATTTGAATTTCTTCCAAGAACAGCATTGTATCTATCAAATCGTTCTTGAAATAGCCTCCTAATTTACGACACCTGTAAATATACAAATTTCAGAATAAATGGAGTATAAACTAATAAATAAATGTGTTGCATACATTTATTTAGTTACTGTCATATTAAAATATGTTTTAATAATAATTATATACAGCAACACAAAAACACTAGATGGAACCTTACTTTGCGCCATCACCATCGCAATTTTATGAAATAACCGGTAAGTAACCCACTGACAGAAAGATTTGCTTATTAATATACATAGTGTCTTTTCTGACTAACCTTGTAATAATATCAGCTGGGTTCGGACGAGATGCTGGATTAGCGCTAACAAGCTCACAATATAAAGTGCAGAGTTGCTTTGGAATGTTGTCAACAGTTTTAAGAGAGGGTTGGTTCTTCAATGGGCCGTTGTATGCTTCCCATATGAGACAGCCGAGACCCCACATATCTGAGGAGCTGTAGATAATATATTCTTGTCAATATATTCTCAAAATGCATGATAACTCTATACTAATATATAAAGCTGGAGAGTTTCTTTGTTTATTTGAGCGCGCTAATCTCAGGAAAACTGGTGGAAATTGAAAAATTATTTTTGTGTGGGATGAAGCATTTATCGAGGTAGATTATAGCGACTTAAGTTGTGGGCAACAGCTTAAATCTATAAAGGCGAAGAGGAGGTTTGCAAAAACAATTTTTTATGGCCAAAATAATTATTCTACATGGACGAAGTCTGTGTCAGAGACTTCGTCGCTAGTAGAATATTATGATTTTGACAGTCAAATCTTTGTGTATTTGTCACGAAGACTTTCAATTACAAGTAATTTTAAAACTATGCAGATAGTCAAGCTCCTCATTTATAAAAAAAAATGTGAAGATGAAAATAAAATTCTGTCTGTAGTTTACAAGAGCAGTACACATTTAAATAAAATAATTAATTCTGGTGATGTATCTCTGTCTATCTTTATTTTTAAATATAGACTAGTCTATAACAAAATTAAATGGAAAAATAGAATTCATAACATTTAACAACATGTCATCATTCATTTGACCTAGTTTCACCAATTACTTTTACAACTGTTCAATTGGAGTCCAAATTGCTCTTATCATAGCCTCAATTTATAGGAAGTTACTTCCAAATATAGAGGCTTTTATCTAACTGAAGCAGACATTTAATAGTGTGTTATTTGACCGTGAAAAAGATACAATTGTATTTTACATTGCATATTTCCATTAGTTTAATTTATTAAAATGTATATTTATCATAAAAAAATATTGTACTTAATTTAAAATTCACATATTATGTATTAAAATTATTTAAACTACAATTACATTAAAATATCACAATAAAACAAGAACTCTTACCATTTAGTAACAGATTTTAATTTAGTTGCATCCTTTTTTTCTGGAGGATCATAAATTTCTAATGCTGGAAGGATTTTAATAGGTATGACACTAGAACCTTCTTGTCCATGACTAGTTATAAATTCAAAACCACCCAATTTCCACTCCTCTGCAGCAGTTACAAAGACAGAATATAAACATACATTATTATGTTTTATATTGCCGTCGTTATTGAAAAACGACAAAGCCCTCTGAAAAAGGCAATCAAGTCAATAAAGTTTTACTATTACATTAAATGTAATAAAGATTTAAACTTATTTTATATATAATGTGGCTCTATTATATAACTCGTGTATTCCAATTTTTTTGTTGTAATAATCTACATCAATACACACTAATATGTGTGCCACATTCCATAGCCCCTAGGAAATGGAGTTCACTTTTTTATTCCATATTTGCCTTTTACAAACTCTAGCCAAATTGCACAGTAAACAATCTTTTACTAAGATTAAAAAACTTCAACAACATGGGATACATCATGCTTTGTGTGTATTTCAGGGTTAATAGTATAGCTTAATTTTTACAGACATTCTTTCTAATCTATTTATTAACGATTGTTATAATAATTGTTAAATGAACCATTTTCTGTTTTCATACTATGACTCATTGGTTCCAAAATCTTTCACAATACCTTCAGATATAGATATATTAATACTTACAGTTATTTGAAATATCCCCCAAGCAAGAAATAATTCTCGTTGTTGTCCTTCAAGCTTCATATCCTCTATATGTTTTGATAGAGGCTTTACAACCTCGGTTGCAACATATAAACATTTTTCAGTTTCACAGCTATCTAAGTAATGTAATAGGCTAGGGTGCCTTATGGTTTTAAGGCGTTTTAAAGAGGCCTTTGCTATATCGAAAAGAGTCTCTGAATGTTTTTGAACATCAAATAAGAATATAGACACCTCATCTTGAGTTCCTCTCTTCTTGCCTTTGTGTAAAGTCCATACACTTTTATCCTCTAGTCCAGGGACTGGGTCACCGACTTCATACGGGAAGTCCTTCGTTGGATCACGAGAGAAAAAGGACCACATATTGCAGGTACGTAAATTTACACGTAAAGATGGACACTTATTTACAAATCATGTGCATTTTTAATAAACATTTGGTTTGTTACACCTTAAGGTTGACTATACGAAACACTCATTGATTTATAAGAAAAGTTTAGAAATTAATTCTATACTACAGAAAGATTTGGAAAGTAATAAAACAGTTTAATAACATTTAACTACACATAAGACACAAATTCGCAATTTACGACATCAAAATTTTGTGAACATAAAAGACGTTTGCTGCCGAACTGACAGAAACTGTAAATTGTCATTTAACAGCCGTCAAATGGCCTTATTTTGTGGGAAGTAAAAAGGTTTTCAGAAATTTTATAAAAATAACAACATCAGTTTAAACGTTACATTGTAATTTGTAAGATTTATTTTTACTATATTACATCTCCAACAATTATAAAATAGATTAAATTAATATGCATTCAAATAATTGGAAAACGTCAATGTCATAATCATCTGTTATTATGACTTGCCTTCAAATACTTTATTGGTTATGTTGATTTATTAGTTGACCCCATAATATATCTGTTTTAACTCGCTGTTATTTTTAATATGTCTAAATCCGTGGCCCGGTTAAAGTCTATGAAAAAAGTTGCTGACAAAATAGATCATTCGTCTAAATTACGAACTAATGTTCCTGCTGGAATGGCTGCTGCTGGACCTCCTCTCGGTCCAATGCTTGGACAGGTAATTCGTAACATCGCTATTATTCAAGAAAAAATACTTAAAGTAATCTATCATTGTATTTCTCTCAAAATTACATACATATTGGTTAAATTCAAAATCTCTTTTTACTTTAAGTTCATCAGTTAAATATACTCCCTTTTTTAGCGTAATATAAATATTGCCGCTTTCTGCAAAGACTTCAATGAACGCACAGCAAATATAAAACCAGGAACACCCTTGCCAGTAAGAGTTAAAGTAAATCCTGATAGATCCTACCAGCTTGTAATACATCAACCACCCTCATCATATTTTTTAAAACAGGCTGCTGGAACTAATCGTGGTGCAATGGAACCAGGTACATAGTTAGAAAAGGAATATTAGTAACTGTGTTTATTTAGTTCTCTTTCGTTTCTATTTACCATGACATTGTAATAAAGCTGTGCTTCAATCAATAAGTAGGACTGTGAATGAAATGGGTGCCTACTAACAAAGTCTTTGTTTAAATGTAAACAATTATATGATCATTAAACAGAGGTGTCTGTGGTGTACTACATTTAATGTTTATTTACAGTTAAGGAAATGTGTGGAAAAATAACAATAAAACATATATATGAAATAGCAAAAATAAAGTCTCAAGATCCTCCATTGGAGTGGAGATCACTCAAAGAGATTTGTGTGATGTTGTTATCACAGGCAAGAACTTGTGGTATCGAGGTTGTCAGAGACTTGGACCCAAAGGTAAGAATTATTTAATCAAATGAATTGAGATTATTATTCTTGCATAGTGCCACTTTGGGGTGTATATGAAATTGATTTTTTCAGGAGTATGGTGAATTTTTAAATGACAGAAAAGCAATAGTTGAAGACCAAAAGAAACAATTACAAGAGAAGCGTGAAGCCAAAATGTTGAGAACAGCGTAACTTTAATCAAAAGTAGATTTAGGTTTATAATTAGTCTTAAATAAAACTTAGTTATTTGAATTTCTTATTATTTATAATTGTTCCTCTTTACAAACCTCTCAATGACTTAGGATCCACAGTGTGTTGTGGGGGTGTGGCAAAACTCAGGTACTTATCAAGATTAGCAGTAAAATAAAACAAATGATATCAGAAAATAAAATGTAATCATTAATCAAACAATGTTTCGAAGTTCCCCACCTCCAGGAGATGATTTTTAAGAGAGCATTATCTAGCCTAGTGTAATTTAATACCTTCAATATGCAAATGAAAGCTTATTATGGTACTAAACATATAACTAAGGCTGTGGTCAAAAACTAAGAGGCATTGTCAGTAGAAGTATATTGGTTGGCAGCCCATATTATTATATGTTAGTAAGTCTCGTTTGGTTTTTATAGACTTACACAGCCTTAGCATTGCCTTATGCATTTTTTAAGCTTTGTTTCAAACTACATACAGACTTAAATTATAAGCTTCTCAGTTTTTACTACACCCCAAAAACTGAAAAGTATACACAGTACTTACTAACTTACAATCTGTTAAACTCTTATGCACAACACAATATATTTTCTGCCATTGCTAGTATGCATTAAAAAAATATAGCTCTAGTTAAGAAATACTAACATTGACAGATGAATTCTTAAAGTAAAGGATATTCGTTACAGAGTATAATAATATCACAATTACAGTCTATACAGATTCTAATAATAGTTATTAAACATTTATTTGCCTAAAAGACAAAAAATAAAAACAGATATTTTACTTTTATCTACACCAGCATTCATGTTAGGTGGATAATTCTGCTGTGCTTATAATCATGATATTCTTAATACAAGGCTTGTCTATATTCACCATTCATAGATAGATAATAAAAAATATTTGATTTAACATATGCTTGCCATGGACAAGACCAGAGAAGTAATCAAATAGAAAAAAATAATATATTTTGGAAAGACACAAAACACTATCTTCAACATATTGTAGTATAATACATCGCATTAACACTCTTTGTAAGAACAAGCAACTTATTAGGTTTTTAAGGTTGGTAATGTTAAAACAATACTACATCTAATTATATTAATTACTCTAAACACTGACACTGGTACCAACAAAATAAATCTCTTTAAAACCACTAATCAATTTAAAACAAACAACTACCCTCAAATTACAAAACAAACCTTTAATTTGTATCTTATTAATTGGTTAAAAAACAGTATCTCAAATATTTACAATTCAGGTAGTTCAAAGCAGAAGGGCCAATAAGTAGATATGTTTAGGTTACATATATTTAAGTTGTAAGCCTCGTCTTGATATATATAGTTTGGTTAATAATTTGTACTGTCGGCTTTGTACTTTCTATAAATTATGCAGTACTGGTTAGACATTCACATACTATGTATAATAATCTACGGAAGGAACTATATGGTAACTACATTGTATCTGTTATACTTAGAAAATAGTGAATTCTCTGGCATACCTATATTAACTTTAAAATGTGAGACAAGTTAACAAAATATAAAAACTTCACTTTTATTATCTATGGTACAATGTTTTAATATAAAAAAAAATCACTCAGCGAGTAGTTAAAAATAAGACTGGGAATAAAATTGTAAAAAAAGCTTAAAACAAAAATGTGCGTGTCATTACAATTAGAAACACTGGTGAGTAGCCATCATTTTACACTTAAAATTGTTTAAGGTATATAAAAAAAATTTAAGTTACTTACCTCTCCACAGAAGATAATCACAGGTCTTAGAAGAAGCCTACATTTATATACGAAATTTGAAATATTTGAGCTCACTTAAGCTTATTCGCACATCGCCATTTTGTGAGCGGAACGTTTCAGTTTCGGCGAATTTGGCAAGACATCCGGTAATTCCGTGACGTTTTGTATGGTGAAATCTGGAAGATCCGACTCTGGATCGTCCTTGTGTAGCGGAATCCATACTGTACTCAGTAAGTCTGCTTGTTTACCACCCTGGAAGCCATTGTATTTTTTTTACTATATTCTTTGTACATATTATAAAGTATTACGTGTATAAGTAGAGAAAAGCTAGTAAAAAAAAGTTTGACTGACCTTTATATCGGTCTCTAGTTTATCACCGACCATGATGCAGTTTCTCGGCTCCACGTTGAGCAACTTGCAAGCCTCGAGGAAGATGTTCTGGTCGGGCTTCTCCCAGGGCAGGTCTCCGGATACCAGCACACAGTCGAAGTACTTGCGCAGCCCGAGCCTCTCAACTTTCTGCCACTGAGCTCGTGATGGCCCGTTTGTGATCAGACCGAGAAGATAATCCACCCTGTGTCATTCATCGACCACTTTTTTGTTATTTCGCGTCGAAACAATGCTGAAACTCAGCACAAATTATAACAGGAAACACAACTTGCACATACTTTCCATACTGAATAAAACCATGCAAACGTTAAAAGTAAATGCAAGATTTCACACAATATTATCAGCTGCATATGTAAAATATATGCAAACGGACTTATATTAGGTATAATGCCATGTTTAATTACGCGTATGATATAACTATAGAATCCACAACGTGGCACTATGTCTTATAACTGTAGTTATAAACTATGGAGACATTTGACGAAAAGATTGGGTACTTGCTGGTTAAAATGCAGTCGCAATGAGCAAATAATCTCCATAGTTGAGTAAAATTTCTGAGGCAATGGGTTTTACCTTCATGGTGTATCCTCATATAACTTTACAAATACAATTCAAACCTAAGTGTGGGGCACGCGGCGCCCAGAGTATGTCACTCGTTGAGCAACAACTGAACTGTTGAAAAACAAGTAATTTATTAGCAACATGCGCTCAAAGCCAACCCAATCAACTGTAGAGGTAGGTCAACTAATTTACATGAAACAGAAATTACAACGACAGCGCTACCTCAACAAATAATTGGTGTTGACTTCAAATGACATTTACAGAACTCAGTACAATAAATACCCAACACAGTTTTATGTGGCGTGCAAAAATGAATTTATGAGCAAGTGGCGATGGAAGATGAATATTTCAATAATGCCATATGATGAAAACCACATAAGACCATGCACAGCCATGAAGTTTTTCCAAGTTTCAAAAACCATTGACAATTTAAAATAATATTATTACTGCTATCACCAAAATGACTCTATTTGATAAACTTAAGTGTATTTACAAACTCGGAAGAACTTCTGTGCAATGAAATTGTCAATCTCTTTTATAATAAAATTATTATATAATTCCTTTCAAAAATAGTTGTAAATAATAAATTTACTAGCAAAGAAATTGACCTAGTTAGTGTTACATCATGGAGAAATATTTTGAGTTACTTTGTAGATAGTTATTGACCGCTTGTAAATATTTCTGCATAATATAATAAAAACATATAAATTTGCCGATCATACCTTAGAGATTCCAAAAGATGTATAACATCCGGCGACAGAGCTAAATATTTAAATCGTAAATTTAGCCATTCGGCAGATATATTTTCTGAAACAATCAATCAATCAGCCTTTAATCAGTCATCAGAAGTGGGATTTGAATGTTGTCTATTTGATATATCATGAAATTTTCTTTCTTTTGTTTTTTCAAAGTGCCAAATTAAAACGTAGAAATCAACATAGCAAGTCACGTCTAATGGGCCATTAAACTGCAATATTCGCTGATATTCTCGGCACTGCGCCAAATAACGCAGAGGAAATTATAGGTACATCCTTGAATATGTTATAAATGAAACTATATTTCTTCTTAAAAATATAAGTAAGGCTTTCATATAATTATTGTTGTTATTATATACTTTATTACCATAGCATAGGATATATAATATCTAAGGAAGATGATAGTACTATAAAACAATTTAACTGTATTTCATCCCCTTTGCTAGTGATAATATATAAATGAAAAGCAAGATACATACAGCGACTACTTGCTTATTTATTAAAACTTTATGATAATAATAATTTAACACTTGAAAATAATTAAATAATTTTCAAGCTACAAATTAAGAACTACCTTAAAATCCAAAGTAATAAAATCCTGATAACTGTTTAACTATCGTGGCCCAAAACGGGAACCAATAAAACTGTCCACTTACTGGCAATGTGTCTATAGTTCTTCGGCAAGCAATTGCGCCATAAATGCGCTGGCCACTCGTGTAGTGCGTAGGATTCATCGTCGGGTCTGGCACGGAAAGCGCGTAGGAAGTTAGCACCGCTCTCTGCAGCTACGTCATGAGGGACGCCGTACTCGTCATGCAATATCTGCACCAGCTGCCGAAAGAAACGGTCTATTGACAAACACTATTCGCTCTTTAGGCACAAAAAAATATTGCTTTGACTTACGACTGCTTGTGTGGTTGTTCTTACAAAGCCATTTTTTTATTCCACATTTGCTGACCTGGCAAACGTTATTTTGCCATATGAAGTATTTCGACCAAAGTTTGATTACCATAGAAACGATTCTTGTGAGTTAATCATAAGACTTACATATGCCCTCGTGGACATTATAGATATATTATTTTAGATTATTAAAAGAGGAATACTTGATTCATCCATATTTTTGGGTATCTAGAACGTTTTTGCAGCTCATGCTTCAGAAACCTTCAAAGATATTATTTTCCCCGTTTTTCCACACTGTCTCTTCACTCCTATTAGTCATAATGTTATGTTTTTAAAGCCTTCCTCGATAAATGCTCCAACCAAAACAAAGAATTTTTCAATTCAAATCAGTAGTTTCTGAGATTAGCTCGTTCATACAAGCAAACAGACTTTTTAGCTTTATAATAGTATAGACTCTTATAGAAAATTAACTATTTATAATTCTTTTAGCACTTACATCAGAATTCAGATGATAATCAATTGCTTTCCTTAAAAATAACTTACTCAATGTTCATGTATTTTAAATTGGTCATTAATTTGTATAAAAACAAAAAAATGCTTTACGAAAATATTTATGTATGGCGTGGTGTAGGGAAAGCATTCGTTTATTTTCGAATCAAGGAAGTATCTAGTTCATAAATAGATAGAGTTCGTCGTACTTGGTTCAAGTCATTCACCTAGGTGCAGTTTGGCACCAAATTCAATGTGAAATATGATCTCACCTTCACTGACACATCATAATTACTATACATATCTCAAATAATCAAACAATTGATCATACCACAATTTGTACCCAAGATTTAATTGATATTTCTTTGTACTCTAATAGAATATTAGTGGTAGATAAATAATAGAAAAATTTAACCGTTTAAATCATTTATTATATTCAAAACATCAATTTTGTTTAACAATGACAATGAGATATACTCCTTTTTAAAACAATAGTGTAATCCGTTTGCAAGTTAAGTACAGTGTTTACATAATTTTCATAAAGAAGCTGTCTAATCGCCGAATAGCTTTTTCCCAAGGTCCATCATTCTGTGACTTCTGCACATCTTCAACGCTCCTCCTTTCTTTAGAACAGCTTTGGCATTCTCATTTGAGTCCACAAGACGACATAAGAAGTCCTCAAATGCTGATTTAATGTTAGGCGCTAAAGTGCCAACTTTTACCTTAGCAAGCATTTCGGCTATTCCCTCTGCCCAGCCACTCTCAATAGCAAATTCAGATATCCAAGGTACAATAGTTAAAACCCCACTTAATGTTTGCATACCTAAAAACCATAAGTCGGCTATTTCACCCCAGTTCTCTTTATAAGTCATGGACACAACAAGCGCACTAGGGTCATTTGACTCGTCAACAATGTATGCATCCCATAGAAAACGTATAGTTGACTGTATGTATCGACAAATTGAGAAGTCATTCTTCTTAACCTTACTTGCCCCTTGCTGTTTCAGTAACAATAAACCTAATACTGCCAAATGTCCATGTAAAACAAGGTTTTCAGGAATATTTTTCAATTCAGGTAAATTGTTGAATATAAATTTCAGTAAGGTGTTAAACAGCATACTGTTTTCAACAACCTTTGGTGCTAGTACAGTGAGGTTCATGAAAATGTTGCAGAGGCTGACCATAGCTGCTCTCGAATCTTTCATATCTTCCAACACTTGTGGATCTAATTCTGGTTCTGGCTTCTTCACCTTGCCCCTCTCTGATTTTGGTACAGGTGGTTTCTTATAGTGAACAATTGACCAATGGAAATTCATGGCTTCATACAATATATCCTCTTGTTTTAAATTTAAAGTTATGTCCCGAGCTTTATCCTCTACTACAAGATGACATAAAGCTGGTAGCATTAATCTCAGTAGATCTATTTGCCCCATCAAACTGATGTCTGTGTCCATCGATTCTCCTTCAGACTTGTTTTTCTCAGATAGTTTTCTTGCTCTATATGCATGAAATGAATCATTTGCAAGTGAAAACATAAACGGAAGTAGGTTGCACACTTGATCCCTCATTGCAGTTGTTTCCTGGGCGAGCCAAGCAACTAAAACTCTTACCATAGCACATACAAACACCTTTTCCACATCAGGAAGTTTATCTCGGTTCTTGTCATTAGAAACTTTGGTTAAGATAGATACAACAGCATTAAAAGCACCCTTAAGACTAGTGTAGACAGACTGCTTCTCTTTTTGTTCTAGATCCAACTGATCTGTAGCCATATAATTTATTGAAGACTCAAGTACCATGAAACATGCAGTGACTAGATCTGCATTTGCAAAAGCTTGCTTAAAACTCCTATCTTCAAGTTGCATTCTAATCTCAATGGCACATAGCTGTAGGAGTAAAAGGAAGAATTTCTTAGGGTTTTCCTCATCGTTAAATGTCCACTCTATACCCAAAAGGTCAATAATATTAGCAGCTAGCTTTAAGGCAGGATCTCTTTGGTTCTTTCCGATTTTGCTGGTAAGTATATCGTGAAGAGCTTTATAAATACTTTGAGGCCATGTTTCTTCTGTTGATCCTGGTATTACAGTGTTCTTATTGCAACTGTATAAAAGTGCACTTAAAATGGTTGCCAATTCAAATTTTCTCTCAGATTGATCAGTGGCAAAATCTAAGGCAATTTTGTTAACCAGGGCATGGAATGGTTTAGGATCACCACCCCAAGCTGCAGGGCCATAACGACTTACTAACTTCACTAGAATATTTAAGGCTTCATCAGTCTGAAAGCTTTGGTGTGAATAAATTTCTGACATCTTTGTTATAGCCCCAACTTCAATGAGAGCTTTTTGTCCTGCTTCATGTTCCGCAATGCATTGAAGGCATGTGTAAGCTTCACTGATTATGATAAGGTTATCATCATAGTCATCGTTGTCAGAGGTTTGTACTATGTCAAGAAATACTGGTATATTGGTGAGCATATCAGTGTGTGTTGCAAGTTCTGGTTCATTACAGAAGCATGTAAGTATTGAGAGTGCAACTGATTTATATACTGATGGAGGGCAGTCATCTTGGGCATTAGTGCCAGTTAAAAGTTTCTTGAGAAATTTAAATCCAATGGCTTCAAACAAAGCTTTTTTCGCTGCTGCATTGCAGTCTTTTCCTTTCACTAGTTTGGTAACCATAAATAGCGCTGCGAATTTTTCGGTATCGCTTTGCGCCGCTTTAAGTATGGCTATGCATTTTTTAATTGATTCCGATATCTCCCCCATTTCGGATTAAACACTGCGCGTTCGCAAAACGCAATAGATCTACTTCCACTGAGAGTAGGGAGCTGTTGGATTAGTCGAACACTGTTCACATCACGTTTATTAATAGCTCGACTTCTCTTTCAAAAATATCTAAATCTGGACGTCGAGCTCACGTTCTCCAACTTTAAAAGTTCTATTTATATACAACTGGAACGTAAGTAACCACCACGCGGGTGCAAGCTATATCAACGAGCGAATCCACAGCGACGTAATAAGGATTTTGGGAATTATCGATGACAGCGCGCGTATCGCGTTGACCGTGGCAATGTCAACATTAAAATAAAAAATCTTACCTTATTGCAAGCCTTTGTGTCTCCTTTTCTCGTTTGAATTAAAGTATTATCCAAGTCGAAAAATATAGTAGATACATAATTGTCTTCGTAAACACCATCCATATTATTTTAATCAAAAATTTAAAACGAAAATTATTAATCAGCTGCGTTAAAATATGGAACTTGTAGCATGAAAATCAAAGGTCAAGATAAAGAAACGTCTGATATGACATATGACAATTTACAACTCAAATTAACCATAGATCTGAGGTGGGTGTTTGCTTAAACACATTATACGACGTAAAATTAGATTATAGAAAAATACTCAGATGTTTTCCAGGCAGAAAATTAAATTACTAACATCAAATTACAGAGTAAATTAATTTGTTGAAACTGCCATCTGGTGCCTCAAGTAAGAAATAGTTAAAAACTTTATTTTGAATAAATAGGGTAACATTACCTTATTTACCTTACCTCATGGTAGTTTAGTTTAATATTACTTGAATATGTCGGAAGTAAGTATAAACTTGATATAACAATAATGTCTATAGCGACTTGCGATTTCGTTTTATTTTATTTATATCTTATTGCCTTTAGAAAACGATCCTACAACCAGTGATTTTATTATAGACATATCCCGGAATTGGCTAACATTTCGGGAATTTTTTCCATCAAACCGTCGAAGCTCCAGTACAATCAAAACATATTTAAAAAGTACTTGAGTATTACCTTAAAATATATTGCCCATCTAATATTTTTCATTAAGAAACGCTATAATAAAACATGTTATTTATTACATAGCCCCTAAGATTATATTTTAAGATCTTTATAGACTGTATTATATGAAAGTAATATGCCGACTAGGATAAATTACGATGAAGGGACACGTCGTTTCGTGAACGCTGAACAGAGAAATTCTTTTATCAAGATTTTTTCAGTATAAGTGTATCGTGGCGATGGAGTCACGATGCTTTATTTAGATCTTTAAGATTGACACAAATAGAGTCGACTTTACATCACAATATGTGGAACACTAAAATTTTCACTAGCTACTTTACGTAGCTCTTACGAGATATATTTAGTAATTTCGAGATAAGCATAATCTATATTGTGTAATTTGAAAGTTAAGTTTACAAAGACGAGTTAATTAGATGAATATTTTATATCGATCGATAACTTTAACACTTATTACTTAACTAGTTCACCCATTGCGCTATGGAGGCAATATTTTTACTAAGTACACAAATATTATAGACGTCATTTGTAAGTATATATTTTATGCATGCTCATAACATTATGTAGATTGTAGAGGATATTACCTCTTCAAGTAATCTTCGTATTCATCTCTAGATAAAGTTAGATACAAAATAAACCAGGTATAAAAGTTTTCCCGCTGATAGAAAAAAAGAAAACAAAACAAAAGAGGTTCTATTCAAGAATAATGTAGAGACTAAAGGCTATTTCTTAGGTAATAACAACAAAGTCATGAAGTTCTTTAGCTTTGCTTTTCTTTTAGGATTTCTACTTTCTCATTACGCTTTTATCTATTCAAGGTGCCCTTAGTTGAATAGTGCGATCTAGTAATTAAGTTAGTTGCTTATTAACGGTGGCCGCAATCCAAGGGATCTTTAATCTTGGTTCAATGTGACAGAAGCAGAACTACACATAAGCGCAAAGGTAATCGGCTTCGTCTAAATATCACTTAGAAAAATAGTAATTTGTTTGTCAAACGTTTTTCTTTATTTACTTTCACTGAGCCTCTTTTATTTAGTATTTTGCTTTATTTTGATAGGTGGACCTGGACAATGTTTTAACCATGAAGTCACGGAGAGAGTAAACAATTAGTTTCTTGCTACCTTACTATGTCTTATACTTCTTTACTGTGTGCACTTTTTGGCAACTCCTTTTTTATCTCTGCTGCAACGCTTTGGTACTCTCTATCTGATTCAGTAGGTACGTCTAGCTCTAGCCCCTTACCTTATCATGACAATGATGAATTAAAAAGAATAACGTGTCATTCTTCCTAAATTGAACTTCACATTTCCTTTCTCTAGTTTTTATTAGATGGGTTATTATTATAATTTTAAGTTTATTTGTAATTTTCGCTAACTTCTTGCACATTGTCTAGTTTAATTAAAAAGTTTCTTCCCTTGCGGGTTGCCTCGAAGAGATCGCTAATAGTGAAAAGGCCGCCTATTGCACTCTATAGTAGTAAAATTTCATTGTGTATCTGTATGTTTTGTGTGTCTGTGAAATAAATAACGAATTTGTACGAGATTATTAATTTCGCGCGTAAAACCACTAATAAAAAGCGATACCGCACTCATAAGATAAACCACACAGCGATTATACATATAAAGTGTATTCAACGAGTTGCGGTACGTTAGCTTTCAATATCGCGATTCACATTTACATTGCATTGGGAAAAGAAGCAATCTGATATTGCGGTAAATAGGAGCGTTGCGGTGTACTCGATAGAGATTTGATGTATACCTGGTAAACAGCTTTTATAGAATCGGATTACGCCAGTGTTGGGGCTTCTTCTTATATTAAGAATACCTTTTGCTTGCATCTGAAGCAATTTTAAATTGTCCTGTAAAAGTAAAACTACTAAATGTTATTGATAAGAATTGTACTTAGTTTAATCTTTGTATTAAATGGTCCTCAAGAATTCCTTGTGCAAAACATTAGGAGGTGCAATTCACAACAAGATGGTTGAAGTTGGAATGTAGAAAATTATAGACAAAGGTCTATATAAATGTTATTTGTATATATGTTATAGTGTCATAGTAAATAATAAAAACAGTAAATTCCCGTTTCCCCTCTGGGGCATGGCATGGGGCAATAATATTTCTGCGTCCGTGTCCCTGATCGCTTTTATTTACAGACGTCGTGCCCTTTTCAACCTAAACAATTTACTGTTTAATTTAAAAAACAAAAATAAATTAAAAAAGTTTTCGACTCGGGCAGGATTTGAACTGGTATAGTCAGTGTTCCGTGCTGTTGCAAATTTACTGTTTCCCTGGAATTCGAACTCAGGACCTCTCGACCTTAACGTAATGGTAGGCTACATGTTTAACCATAGAGCTACAAAGAGCTTAATAAATAAGTACCTATATCTTTAAATGTAAACACGAATAAGAAATCTTTATTTCTGAATAGTAATACATCGAAAGACAGATATAAACTAAATATGCTACACAAGCAAAGCGTAGATAAAAGACGTTACGCTAAGCGCAACTATCAGGTACCCTCGTGGCTCCAACAATGTACCGATCTATCAAGAGTCATGCATATTATCACTCGCTAGCACCTGCCTCGGCGCCAAGTGAATGCACCTAAGCCGCTTTAGGATTTTGATACATCTCTGTCAGATTTACCCCTAGACGATCTCGTAGCCAAGATTTAGACGGCGCTGTTTTACAATGTTTGCTTTGACAGTTTTTAAAGGGCTATTTGTTGCAAAGACGGTATAGTCATTTACTTGACAGACTAATCTATTGTGGTTGCCTAAATTGTATGTAATTGATGTATATTATTGCTCTTTCTAATTATTATAGTTTACAAGGCGATGTATTAATAAGTGTTAGATATTATACATTCAAAATATTTTTTAATTTTTCAAAATGACTTCCGATCCTGTCACTTTTAGTTAAATAAACTATAATACATCTTATACTTTCCTTCGTCTACATGGATTCAGGATGTCTTTTCAGCCACTAAGAAAGCAGGAAGTTGCTACTAGATAGAAGAAGACGTATTATAAGAATAATTTCCTATACTACTAACGTAGTAAAACACAGCAACCATTAAAGAAAACGCTTTTAACTGTTTAAAACGCGAAATATTACCTTAATTTATATATTTTTTTAACTACGGCCTAACGTTTCGGGTGCTTTACAGCAGTCGTGGTTAGGGGCGGACTAAAGATGGAGTGTGTCTCAAATGTCAAAGATAAATCTGCTACGCTAGCGCCATCTGTTTCGTCGTAGTTTGTGTTTAGAAAAACTAGCTCATTCCGACTCACGATGTCCTCTTGTTTTTCGGTACGCCATTTTTTTGAACGTAATGTTTTTACTTAGTTTATATACCTATTCAAAATACTAGGTCCCATAAACTAATATACCTTTCGCGTTTATTTTAATGTTTTCTTTAATAATACACATTATCTGTAGACGACTAGTAAACATTAAACCTCTCATAAACAAGATAAGACAACCTTAATAAAAAAAATTGTCACAAGTACGCGAGTAGTACACATTTAAATAAAACACTAACGGTTTACGGCCAAAGTTAAAAATCATTTTCAAATAAGTTTAACTAATATATCGCATTTTAAACCGTTAAAGTGTTTATTTAAATGTATTCCAAAGGCAAGTTAAGAAGGATGCCCATGGGCTATTAATAGAGTATTGCATATTTAATAAAGTATATTAGTGTGGCATCTACGTAATTAATCTGGCCACTAATTGCTATTTTGCCGAGGCTTCCATTTCACGACGAAGGTCGAGTTCCTCCTTTTATCTGCAGAATATCTTGCCGCTGATGAATATAATATAACGGTTCATTATATTCTCATTATTTAGCCATTTGACGTACGATGTACGATATTTTTGATGGTAGTATGGTAATGTGGATCGTGTGTGAAATTATAGAACTTAAGTTATTATGGTAAATTATATATTCGTA